TCACCCCCCCCCACTCCGCGCACCTGAAGTCCAGCTCCACCTCCAGTTTGGCCGCCAGCTCCTCGTACAGCCAGGCTAGTCGGATGTCCGGGAACAGGGCTGAGGCGGCCGCTGCCAGGGCCTTCATGGTGGCCAGGTCGGCGGCCACAGAGCTAGCCAGACCGGGGTACTGGACCTGTAGGTGTTGGGGGGGGGGGGAGACGAACCACACACGATTGAAGCTGCTGCCAGGGCAAGAGAGTATCAAACGTAGAACTGACCGAAAGGCGTCCATGGGGTGTGGGGGTGTGGGGGGTGAGAGGGGGGTTCAGCGGGGCCCACATCCTCACACCCTCATCATGTAAGGCGACTGGGCGGCAAGTCCTACCAAGCCCCCCGATAATACTTCCAATCCATCCGGCACCCCCTTCCACTCCCACACCCGATTCCGCACACATACACACACACACACACACACACACAACCATCTCTCCCCCTTTGCCGGCCCTCCTCACCTTGACCGCGACCTCCCTGCCATCCGCCAGCACCGCCTTGTGCACCTGCGCCAGGGAGGCGGCCGCAGTGGCCCGCCGGCTGAAGGAAGAGAACACGGAGTCCACTCGCTCGGGGCCGCCCAGCTCCCGCTCCAGGGCGCGGCGGACCTGGCGCGTGTGCGGGCGGTTTAGGGTTTTAGTATGGGCTTAGGGTTTTCTAGGATATTTTTGAAGGTAGTTTGTTTTCCGAGCTCTAGGACGGGGGGGTCGAGATAGGATTCCGGGCGCGTGTGGGTAGCCGGGGTTTCCGGGGCGGGTTGGAGGGGAGAAGTGCGGAGGAGGGTTAGGGACTGGGGAGGCGGATAGCTGCCTAGGGAATTTAGGGAAACAGGAAATGCCGCAGTTTAAGGTGGGGTGTTGGTGAGAGTCATGTCCTGAACAGCCTTCACGGCTTTTGCTTCAAGGTGGCCGCCCATAAGAGATGACGCCGGACATACAGACTGCGACAGGAAAAGGCAATGGCGGGAACCGGAGCTGTCAAGGGCCTTACACTACCGCAGTTAGCGCAACAATAAGGCCCACCAGTGGTGAGAGGCGAATTGCGCGGGAATTATGGAGCTGTAAAGCCAATCAAGTAACACATTTTCAAAACTGGCAAGCCGTACTTCTGCCGTACATAATGTAGCTTAGAGGCTATACTAGCTTCGCTGGTGCCGCACCTAAGCTGCAAAGTGGGTCGGCAGGCCCAAAGAGAGGAGCCGTTTTGAAGCCCTCTGGCTCACGGACCCCCTAGAATCCCCCTTTCCCCAGATAGCCCCCGGGCAGCGAAGCCAACCTCAGTGAGCCGCACACGTCCACGTGGCGACAAACACGGGGGAGGCAAACACACACGGCTGTCAGTTCCATTCCAGGGAGCCGTACCACTTTGTACGGATTGGGTACGGCACGGTCCTCCAGCTGTGACAGTACGGTACGGTATTCCCGGGGCACGCCCCCAAACGCCGCTGCAAACTGTCCCGCCTTGACGTACACTCCGCCGTTGCGACGACAGACCTGGCGGGGGATGCAAGGGGGGTTTAGGGGTACGTGGGGTTAGGAGGGAATGACATTTAAACGCGGGAAAAACCCTAACCGTGTCCAGATCACCACTACTCAGAGATCACCATACAACCAAACCGCATCCCATCCCATCCCTTCATCCCTCCATCCAGATTGAATCCCGCCAGGACTACGCGGAGGGCCTTTGCATCCGCAAGTCGCTTCGGACCCGTTTCGTGTCGACACCACCATCACCACCACCACCACCACTAGGAGCCCTTCTCGCTGCACACCCGGACCTCTGAACCCCCCCCTGTCACAGCCCCTCCCCCGCATGTCGAAGTCCCTCACGCGGGCCCCCGCCCCTACCCTGCCGCCCCGGACCGGGTACCTTCCCCCTCCCCCCCCAGCTCACCGCCAGGAGCTGCTTAGCCCAGTAGGTATGCAGCTGGCTGAGGGCCGCCTGGTAGGCCTCGTCGTGCTCCGTGTCGGCGCCGTAGCAGGAGGCCTGGAAATGCGGGTACGTATGTATGTATATATATGCATGTATGTATATATAAATGTACGCATATATGTACGTACGTATGTACGTATGTATACACGTCAGGCCAGGGCGCCGACCCCTACCGGCGCTATCCTCTACTGCCCCCCCCCACCGCCCACCTGAAAGCGCTTGTAGCTCAGGCTAGCCCGAATGGCCCACATAACTGTACGTAACGTCCGTGGAGCTGCCGCCGCCAGCGACGTCGCCGTGTCCGTCGCCGACGCCACTGCCGCCGCGCCGGCGACGAGTGCTGACGTCACAACCAAAAAGTACAGCCGCCGTACAGCGACGACGGCCAGAGCGTGCACTCGCCGTGCCAGCGCCGTGGCATCTGCCGCCGCAGCGGCGGCGCCGCGCGGCAGCATCACCGATGGCGACACACTACCGCCGTACGGAGCGTACGGAAATCCGTACACGTACGCTCCCCGGTATAGTGGGTACGACCCCGCGGAGGAATGCGCGAACTCCGAGTGGCCGCGCAGGAGCGCCATGTAGCGCACTGCGCGAGCGAAAATCACCCGCATTCCTGCCCAGCCCCACTACCCTCCCTCTCCTCAACTAACAATTAACAGAGCGCACAGCAGTACGGTAAACAGCTCCTCCCTAGTGCTGCGCCTTGCTTGTAGCCCCACTCCCTCTCTCTTCCTCTCTCTTTTTCTCTCTCACTCTCAGCTTATAGGAGCCAAGAAGAGAGTGCCGAACGCCGGTTCTCAATCAAGGATCCGCGGGGACCAGAGCCCGGCCCCGTTCCTATGACCTCCTGAGAGGCCCCCCACCTCTCTTTCTGTCTGACAGCTAAGAGGGCGCTAAGAAGAGACGCAACAGCCGCCGCCGTCCGTGTTGCTGCCACAACCCCGCTGGGTCAACAACTTCCCTGTTTGAAGCCCTTCCCAACCCCCGTCCGCCCCCTCCCCGCGCTGCGCAAACCCAGAAAGCTCTTCGTGGGCCCCACGTCCGCACCGCCGGCTCTACGCTTTCCCGGCCACCACTTGCCGCCGCCGCCGTCGCCACTACTACGGCACTGCTGTATGCAGCACACCCTGTCGTACAACTGCCCCTTCCGTGCCCTTCCTGTCCACGTGCCCTCCTCTTCCTCCTCCTCCTCCTCCCGGCGCCGCTGCTCTACTCCGCGTCCGGCAGCACCTCCAGGTCGGCCTCCACCCAGACCAGATGCCTGCGAGGTGGGGGCCCTGCCGCCTGCTGCTGGTGTAGCTGCTCTTCCTCCCCCACGTCACCTCCCTCCTCAGCAGCCTGACGCCCCTGTGGATGCTGCTGCTCCTGCTGCAGGCGCTGTGGTGGCTGTGGAGGCGGCTGCTCTTCCAGCCCCTCTTGCTGCACCTGGGCTGGGGCCTGATTCCTTTGGGCGCGTGCCCCGCCGCCGGCACGCAGCCGTTGAAACTCCGCGCGATCGGCTCCAAAGTCCTCGGCCTCTAAATCGGAAAGCCAGTCGGAGTCAGCCCCCGAGCCTGAGTCTGAATCCGAGCTGGAGAGGAGGGGGATATCAGGGTCCCCGTTGATGGCGTCCGGCGCGGGACGTGGCGGGTGTGGACCCTGTTCCGGCTCAGCGACTGCTTGCTGCTGAGCTGGATGAGGTTCGGGTTGAGGCTGATTACCGACCAGGACTTGCGCTGCGGGCTGTCCCCCCGGAAGGTGCTCAGAAGGGAGGGCAAGCGTGGGATCCGCCTCGCCTGGGCTTTGCGATATGACCTGGGGACCCCGGTGCCAAAGGGGCTCATTGAAGACAAGCTTAAAGGTGTCCTTTAGGTCATGCCTAAATGTGGGATTACCTGCAGCAGCCGAAAACGAGCGATTGCTGGAGGCAGGGATTGCTTGGAGGCGTATAGATTTAACAAAGGCGTGCGCAGTAAGACTTGGGCTGCAATGTTTTTTTGCTGCTCTAGACGGTAATCCTCCATGCTAAAAGTGGCGGGTTCCGGGTGTGACGAGCATCGACCTGGTTTGACGTTGGACAGATGCAAATGAGCTTATACCCATAGAAGGACAAACAACACAAAACAATACCATATGGCCCTACGCTCTACGTATTAGTACGAATCGCCTCCTGGTTAAACACCCCAAAAAGCAACCCAGTCCAGGTCAGCACAATGTCAGCAGCATTCCAGGACTGTTATATTGCAATTCCCTATGCGTTTGATGTTAATTGCGGACTGTGAGGATCACCTACCTGCTCACTCTCCTTCAACTTCGGGAGTCTCTCCGTACGGTATTCGTGCATCGAGTAAGGGTTTGGCCTCATGGAAATATGCCTGAAGCGAGCGATTGCAAACAAGGGCCTCACTTCTTAACGCGTTATGATGTGTTCGGAAGGGACAAACCTAACTACTTGGCTTGGAGGAACCGTGTACCACAGGCGATGATTCGGTCACTGTCCAAGAAACTGTGTCTTTGGTAGGTCCTGATCACAAGGGGGGTTTAAGAATATGAATTAACTTGTCCGTTTAGGGTAGCTCTTTTGCAAACGATCTAGGCCTTTCTGAGCACTCTACTTTCCTTTTACATAACTAGGTGGCCACGACGCCGCCGCAGGCCGGATCTCCTGTAAACCACAGCCACGGCCGTGGGGTCGCCAACACGGGATCTCGGGTCTTCTGATCGCCATGAAGGACCACGCGGTGGGCTCGGGCGCAGGCGAGGTCCCCCGGCCATTCCGTGCCGTACTGGTGACCGGCGCCAGCGGGCTCGTGGGGTCTCACGTGGTGCGGGCGCTGCTGGCGGGGCAGCTGGCGGAGGAGGCGAGTGGGGGCACTGTGTTTCGCTCCCCTGGGCGGGTTCGCCTCTTCGGGTAGTGACCGGGGTGGGGGCCCGGGGGCGCGCTCCATGGGCGCAATGATGGGTTCATGATTTGGGATTGGGTTAGGATGCGGATGAAGGTGAGGATGGGAGGTTCCTGCGTCCTTATCTCCTCCGCTCCCTCCCGCGCCATCTTCATTCCCTCCTCCCCTTAAGGGATTGGAGACAGCGTTGTTGGGTGGAGAGCGGTATCACAAAGGGGTGTCACGATGGTGCGCTGCATGACGGAACCGGCACCCCTAGACATGCGCCAATGCGCTACTTACACGGCTACTACTCCGGCTGGCCGCCAAGCGGCTCTGCATCGCACCCTGAACCCCGGCCGGAACCCCAACCAAAACCTTACTGAAACCCAACCAAAACCTAACTGAAACCTGCCAATACCCAACGGAAACCCAGCCAAAACCTAACCGACCCACTTGCGACACGGCAGGTTCGCTGCCTGACCCGGCAACCCACTCCCGAGCTCCTCCAGCTGGAGAGGGACCATGCGGGCCGGGTGAAGCTATGTATCGGGTGAGCGGCAGGATGAGAAAGGAATTAGTGTGTGTGTGTGTGTGTGTTAGCAAGGACTGGGCTGCATGGCAAAGGAGAGTCAGTGGGTGGTTGTGGGTCCATTGGTCACACCATTGGGGATGTCGGCTCCGCGCCCCGGTCTCCCACCTCGGGCCCCCCGTCTTGGGGATTTCGCGGGAAACCCCGGCAACCCCGCACAGCATAGCACCGCACCCCTTCCGCCTCCCCGGCCTCCTCCGCCCCCTGCGCACCGCCTCCCCGGGTTTTGGCTCCCGCAGTGACGTACCTATAGCTCTTACGCCCTTACGCCCTTCCGGCCCGGTCGTGTACGGCACGCAGCGATATGCTCGGCCCAGCCTGCCGTACAACCGTGGCGCCTCACCTAACCGCTGATGGGGGCTGCGACGGTCTCATCAACTGCGCTGCGCACTACCGCTGGTGGAGCCGCAGTACGGAGATGTACGGCGCTCTAAACGAGGTGGCGGTTTCGGAGCTTATGAAGCTGGCTCTGGAAGCCAAAGTTACACAGGTGGGGATGGCTGCGTGGCTGTGTAGCAGGACCGCATGGAGTAGTGTGGGGGTTTTGTGATCTGAGTTTTGATGTCGCTTCTGGAGGGGAACGTGAAGAACCCCATCTCTGTGTTTGACGAAAGGCCCGAGAGGATAGAGGATAGCCGCTGACCCCGCGAGTTATTATTCCTCTAGGGTTTCACTATCGCCATATTCGTCAACGCGGCTTCTGATCATAAAAAATCACGTGTTGTAAAATTGTGGGATTTCAGAGCTGAGGCATATTCTGACATCCAAACGGTTGCGCAGGTGGACAGAGTGGGCTTTTGTCGCCGTACATTCGGCCTATGGCCCCACGTGTCGCACCACTTCACTCCGCAGGGCTCTGTCTCTCCTCACCGCACCACAAGCTCGCTAACCCCCCCACCCTCATCCACGTCGTACATCACTGCCGTACCAGATCGTACATGTCAGCACCATCCTCGCAATGGGATGCCCTCCCGGTGGCTGGGGCTCCCCCACGCGTCCCCTCCAACCCGACACGCCCCCGGGGCCCACCGCCAGCCTCTACGCACGCAGCAAGGCGGCAGGTGATGCGGCTGTGTTGCGGCTCGCTGCGGAGACCGGGCTGCCTGCGTGTGTGGTGGCGCTGGCATGTGTGGTGGGTGCGGACCGGAGGCTGGTTTCTGGGCCCCAGGACGACGTGATGCGAATTGCGGATTTGGTGCGCGGCAAGGTGGGTGCGAGCTGGTGGCGGAGGTGATGGCGGTGGATAGGGAGGGAGGGAGGGAGGGAGGGAGGGAGGGCCCCCTCACACCCCTTTTACCCCTCTCAACCCCCACACCCCTCACCCGGCTAATGGGCCGGCCCTGCGACCGTTGCCTCCCGTGCAGGTCCCAGCGGCCCTGGGCCATGACACGGTGTTCACCTACATCGGGGTGCGGGACGCTGCCGCAGCCATTGCCGCCGCGCTGCTGCGAGGCCGACCTGGGCGCAGATACCTGGTGCGTGTGTGGCCGTGGGTGAGGTGATCATGCACGGTGACGGGGGCGATGTTTGGCGGCACTACCTGAGAGTCCTAGAACGGGTTTTATAACCCACACATACATACTTGCGAGCTGACCAGGGACTAAGTTGATGCGTCGTTGATCCGCTAGATTTGGTTGGATGCTGGTGGTGAGTTGCCGAACCCAACGAATACATTCTGAAGTCTGATGGGGTGACGGATTAGGGTGCCCCTCTAGCAGGGGAGAGCAGGGACTGCCCCGGGAAAGGGGGCCGCTGGCGAAGTTAACCACCCTGTAACAACATACATACACACACATGCACGCGGTTCAGTTGCGTGTGGGTGCCCAGCCCCGGCTGGCGGCTCATTTCCAAGCGGCCCATCCCGAAGTGATGGTTTGCACACACGTATACTTGTGCACGGACGCCGGTGGGCAGGTGGGCAATCAGAGAATGACGACTGCCGAGTTCTACGACACCCTGGCCCGGCTCAGCGGCACGCCGGCACCCACGTGGAGGGTACCCGTGGGGGTGGCGGCGGCGTGGGCGGCGGCCGCTGCTGGCTGGGCTGCACTGACGGGCGTGGCGCCGCAGGTATGTACGGTTGGGCGGTGCGGGTTGTGTGTGTGTGCGTGTGTGTGGCTCCCGCGGGTGTGGGGGTCTTTTGCGGCCCTGGGCTTGCTCCCTGCTTTCCTGGCCTAGGCCGCGCACCTCTCTCTTTTCTTCCTTTCCTTTCCCTCTCTCGTCCTTTCTCGAGTGTGCGGCACTGCACCAGCAGCAGCAGCAGCAGTAGCTGGCAAAATACAAGTTTCGTACATGTTGTACCATCTGCAAGATGACTCTCTTCCATTTTCCTGTTTGATGTGGGCTGCAAAGGCGCCGCCGGACCTCATCCGTACGGTTGCGTACGGCACGCTCCTCTTCGACAGCTCGTCCAGTGAGGTGGAGCTGGGGTTACAGGTGCCGTACAGATGCATCAGTGAGTCGTTTCGGGAGGCCGTACAATACATCCAGGAACATGACAGGCAGCAGGCACAGGGGCAGCCGCCCGCGCAACAGCAGCAGCCGCGCCAGGAGCAGAGGCCACTGCCACCACCGTCGCTGCAGCCGCAGCTGTAGCAGCAGCTGTAGCAGCAGTAGCAGCAGCAGTAGTAATAGCACTGAAATAGCAGCCAGGGACTTGGGCAGGGCGACCTGAAGGTGTTAATTAAGATGGTCCGACATGGTTGTGAAGATATTCATCGACCTGGATGTGCTGTTTGCATTTTGTAATTGTTGTGTTAGTTGGGGAAACTAGCGGCTGAGGGATGTTCGGATGATAGTGGTCCCGGTGTATCATAGAATCCTAACTTATTTGCAAATGAAGGGGTCAACGACTGCTACCTCGGATTTTGCGGTGAATGGACAGGGGGCCGTGGGACGCCGTGGGGTAGAGCGGTGTGAGTTTTGTGCATAAGTGTGCATAGGTGTTTGAGCACACGAGGATAGGCCTGAAGCGTGTGGTGTGGGACCTTAGCTGCGTGACTCTCTAGTGTTGCACGACGACGACGACGTTTGTGTTACAAGCTTCGAGCTTGTACGGTCCAAACGAGCCAAGAGGCTCATGAACCGCCGAACTGGAAACAAAAACATATAAAGGTAGTAAATTAACCTTACTGTACAAACATATTTAATCATCAATAAATTGTAACCTGCATCTTCTGATATGATCCAAAACATGTGCTAGTCCGCGTGCACTCTTTCGTCCGTGTTGCACTCTTTCGTTCGTTCGTTTGCGCGTCATATTCACGACTAACCACCAAGTCGCAATCTGCGCAGCTGTGCGTCGTTTTGCTTACGTTACAAGTTGAGCAACTGTAATAATGCAATACCTATTTATGTATAATTATAACATACCTTCGTTCATTTGCGTTCGTATTACTACACAATGGCGGAACCCCAGTAGGGACTCTCGTTATCGGTTTTGAAGATTACATTAGCAATATGTAACACAGAAAATACAATTGTGTCAGGATATCGAGCCACAACATACTGTCCTGCAGGGAGCGGTTGGAGATTACTCAACTGATGGCCTGAACAGCCGCAGCTCGAACAAAGCAATTTACGAGCAAAACAGTGCCTAAGTATGATCTACGCAGCTATCGTGGGCACGGCTGCGCGGCTGCTGCTCGCCTGGAGCGGTGTCGGAGCTTTCCTTGCATGGCGCATCGAGGTGTCCACAGCAGCAAACAGCAACCTGGAGCTCCGTGAGGGCCTTGCTTTGCTACGCCTTGGCATATCACCCTACACTGGCTCGTCCTGCCGTACACCGCCCCTAGGGCTGTGGCTGTACGGCGCTCTGGCTGACCACGACTTTCTCTACGTGCTGCCCAACACTCTTCTCGACCTCCTGGCAGCGTCGCTACTCTACCTTCTGGCCATGGACTTGCTCTCCGGTCCAAGGCGTGTCACAGACGAAAGCCGTGCGACACGCGTCGTCACAGGGGCTGTACAAGACCCGGATAGGCGGGCCGCCGCTGCTGGCGTCGGTATCGGCGTGGAGCCGAGTTGCGAGTCCTCCTCTGGAGGTGAGAGCTGACCGCAGGGCTGCTGCGCCGGCCTCCTCGGTCTTCGCGCCCGCTGTGCCGTGTTTTGTGCTTCCTGGTTGCACAGTGGATGGAAAGCTCACAGCCGGGGGACGGACGGGGACAGCCGCGCGTGACGCTCCGCGTGACACCCCACGTGTGCTAGCACCCCTGCTCTCTACCTCCCTTCCCGTTGGTGGTAGATTTGTTGCTGCCACACCCGCAAGCCGTGGCTCTCCTCTGCCCCCTCCTCTCCTCTGCCCCCTCCTCTCCTCTGCCCCCTCCTCTCCTCTGCCCCCTCCTCTCCTCTGCCCCCTCCTCTCCTCTGCCCCCTCCTCTCCCAGCATATGGTCACAGCAGCGCCACTAACGGCCCGTTTGCATTCCTCTTACAACCCACAGCAACCCCTAACCGTTACTACCCGTCGTGCGGCTCCCCTCCCAGTAGGGAAACCCCGGACAGAGCCGTCCTCTGTAGTGGGATCTGTAGCGGGATGTTGGAGTCAGTGGAGCCAGTGGAGGAGCTGTGAAGTGATAGGGGGGAGATATGGGTATGGGGGGTATGGGGGACCCTTCCGCACTTAAAAACTTACAGCTAGCACCTCACCTCACCAGTGCGGTCACCTCATCTTTCGTCACCTCACCAGTGCCTTCACCCACCATTACCCGCCGTCAACACGTACCGTCTTGTGTTTGCGTCCTTACCTGGGTCGTTATCTGGCTCGTTCTCTGTGCTGTTGCCTTCCGTCCCAGGTCCAGGCAGAGGCCTCCGTTCCGCCCTGCCGTCCGCCCTGGTCTGGACCTACCTCCTCAACCCCTTCACCCTGGCGGCCGCTGCGGGGGGTACGACATCTCCCCTCGAGAACCTGGCGGTTGTGGCAGCGCTGTACGGCGCCTGTAAGGCACGGCCCGGGCTGGCGGCACTGGGCCTGGCGGTGTCGACGTACATGAGCCTGCATTCGGCGGTGCTGCTGGTGAGAGTTGGGTGGGTGAGGCGGCGGCCCGGGGGTTGAGGATCTGATTGTAGAGGCTTGGCCTGATGTTTCGACAATAATGATGATGATCAACAAGGTGTGGATCTCTTTCTTTTCTGTTCTAATGAAGGGCTCTACTGGGAGCCGCACCAGCAGCTGCTACCACAGCAAGCAAGGGCTTCGGTCCTTTTTCAGCCCACCCGCCTACCCACCTACCCACCCACCTAGCCACTTTTAGCCACCCACCTTCCCAAGCGGTGCAGTGAATAATCGACCTGCTGAGCACCCGAGCTCTGGAGGCTTACCGCAGACTTGCTCGCATGAACCATGACCAAGAGCAGGTTCTTCCCCCGCACAGCACAACCTAGATCACCGCACGCACGTAGGTCCCAAATCGTCTCTTGTGACTGGGAATCGTGTTTATTGTGAAGCGGCGTTATGACCTCTGCGGGTTTGTTTTTACTCTCTGCTACTCTCGTTCCGCAGCTCCCAGTCGCGTGTCTGCTGTCGTACGGGCCGGAGGACGTGGCCACCCCGCTGTGCGTGCTCCAGCGGAAAGTATGTCGTACAACAGCTGACGGTTGTGGCGGCGGCGGTGGCGACGGCGTTGGCGGCGGTGTGGCTCCCGGGGGACGCGTTCGTGCCGACGGCAGCGACGGCGTAATGGGCTCCTCGGGCCAGGTGGACGCGGGTTGTGGGCCAGCTGGGGGCCATTTCGAAGGTCAGGAGAAACAGCAGCAGCAGCAGCAGCAGCACCTGCGAAAGGGTAGGCGAAAGCAAGCAGGGACTGTAAATGTTAGAGAAGGCTGGAGGGCGGCGGAGGAGGAGGACGAGCAGGAGGAGGCGGACGAGCCTGCAGTCAGTAAAGGGACCGACAGGAAGTCCGCTGCAGGTGCCAGGTCGTCAGAAGCCATCGCAGCTGCCGCAACGGTTGAAGAAGCAGAAACCGACAATGATGGTGATGACGATGATGCAAGAGGACTCCTCCGCAGAAATGGGGGAGGAGAAGCAAGGCGTCAGCAAGACATATTGGCGCGGTCGGCCTCGATATCACCGGGGCCTAAGTGTTCGAGCCCACCCTCATGCCCAGATCAGGGACGTCGGAAGCGGCTGCTGCCGCCGCCACCGCGTCCGCCGCGGCTGCTCCCCTGGAGACAGCTGCTGCATTGTACGGCGTTGACGATGGCTGTTCTGGCGTTCCTGGTCGCTGCATCTGATCTGTTCCTGCTGTTGGTTCCGCCGCCACCGGGCATCGTGGTAACTTCTGACGGCAGCGGCGCCGGCGGCGGCAGCAGCAGCCGCGCGGCAAAGACGTGTATCCTAGGCGCCGCGGAGCAGCTGATGGCCCGTCAGTCGCCCGGCCCAGAAGCGGAGGCGGGCGCGGCGCTGCTGCGCGCTGCTGGTAGCTCTCTGGCCGCCTGCTGGGCTGTACGGGTGTACGGCAGCCAGATCTTGTTGGACGACGCGACGCCCAACGTGGGCCAGTGGTGGTATCTCTCCATGGAGGTCTTCAACGACGCCAAGGTGCCGTCGGACTAGACAACGGGATGAAAAACGACGCCAACGTAGCCTGGTGTCATAGGAAAGGGGGGGGGACTGAAGGGAGCGACATGGAGTCCAACCAAAGGCTCGCACCATATATGATGTGTGAAACAGGGGGGTATATCTTCACCCGTGGCAGCTACCCTGCGAAACCCTGCCTTCCCCGGTATTTCGGGGCACCCTCATCCAGTCACCCTAATCAACTTCTCAGTGGATCGCTCAGGTTCCGCACCCACCACCAGCATCCAACGGAATCTGCCGGGTCGACAGCGGCCCAACTCCATTCCTGGTTGGCTCGCAGGTTAACTTAACCACATATATGTGTTGCTGCTTACCTGCAGCCCGGCTACCTGCCGGCAAGCAGTGTCCCTCCTGGGAGCCCCCGCGTGGCCGGTCGGGCCCACTGGCTGGGCTTCCTAACCAATGCCTGCGTTCGTCCACGCCACTTGGTTTTATTAGTTGTGGCTGTGCCGGTCCTCACTCGTGCCCCGCTGGCTTATCCTCACCCATCACCTTCCGGCCTTACACCCGTCCCCACCTGACCCATGGGTCCGTACAGGCCTACCTCCGAATCCTGGCGCATTCGCTGCTCTTCGCCCTGGCGCCGCCACTCGCCAAGCGGCTGGGCGTGCGCCGCCCCCTTGCGCTCTTCCTGATCCAGTTGCTCTGCCTTGGCTTCAACAAACCCTACCCTTCCGTCGCCGACCTAGGCCTGGCGGCGCCGATGCTGCTACTGCTAGGTCGGCAGCAGCTGGCGGCGGCGCGGCTGCGGCTGCTATTGCCGGCCAGCCTGCTGCTGCTGTGCGTGCTGGGCCCCGCTATGCAGAACATGTGGCTGTCATATGAGAGCGCCAACAGTAATTTCTTCTACTCGATCACGTTGTTGTACGGCGTTTGGCAGGTCGTACTGCTGGGCCATGTATTAGGTCTGACTTTGTGGATGGATCGGGTGGTGAGGGGAAAGGAGCCACTGACTGACTTGGCTTCCCTCCCGGTGGGAAGTTGACGATAAGATATGACTGGACGAGCGGTAACGGACGAGCTCCGCGCGTTGCTAAAAGCTATGTGCTGTCCGGTCCTGACGAGGGTTCGATGTCAGGAGGGTCCCGAGGTCCAGGATTCAAAAGGAGAACTTACTGACGCGAAGACTTACTGACGCGTGTTCTTCAGTTTTCGGGAATGCTTTTCTGCACCTTTCCTGAGGCGGAGGGAGCAGTTTGGAACGTATATGGGGCCATGGAGTGATATGTCCGCCTGTGGCGACAAAGAGCGTGTGTGTGTATGTGTATGTATGTTACAGGGTGGTTAAGCTTCACCAGCGGCCTCCTTTCCCGAGGCAGTCCCTGCTCTCCCCTGCGAGAGGGGCACCCTAATCCATTCAACCCATCCGCTTTTAGAATGTATTCGTTGGGTTCAGCAACTCACCAGCAGCATCCAATCAAATCTAGCGGATCAACGGCGCCTCAACTTAGTTCCTGGTCAGCTCGCAAGTTGATATTATCACGTCCTACACCGTCCACAAGATGAGGGGCCACTTCCCATTTCAACACTCCTTAAACACCCGAGGAGTCGGCAGGCGGATATGAACCCGGACACTCCGGGAGCAGAAGTCAGGCCTTAACCTCTGCCAGCCGCCTGCCTATAAGATGTATTGTCATGTACTGAACGTGCTGTGCATGCCGTATACGTACTGCCCCGTTGCATCGCAGCAGTTCGGAATGAAGGTGGTGTGTATGTCTGTGTGCGCGCGCCTTACGATGTCCAGGCCAGTCTAGTCCTTGCCTTCCCTGACAGAGAGACAAACCCGCATGGCAGGTAATCGAATACCACACGACGTCGATCCGAAAGAAGGACTATCTCCCGTGAATAGCACAATGGTGCGAAATGCTGTGCGGACACAGAGTACCTGCACCGCGTGCGCAATGTACTGGTCGCCATGACCAGCAGTGTCCGTCAGCAACCAGCCGGAGGTGCCCTAGAACGGTTAATATAGCCATTATTGTGGCGCCGAGTGAGGACGTTGCCGTCCTCTCCTCCGGGCCTTCACTAAAGGCATGCAGCTCATCCTCGACATCCAGACCGCAGTCATGAAGACCGCAGGTACGCTCGCGGCCTTTAGACCTGTTAGTTGACTTCCAGTTCCCAAGAACCTGATCTGAAACGCATGCGCACCAGGTGCACTGGCCCCGGCAACACAGCCCTGGTGTGCGCCAGCCACAGCACCCACCAGCCGTGCGCCCTTACTATTAGGAGATGCTCCCATCCAGTTACAGATACCCGCATATACCCTTCATAACCCCATATCTCCGGGGGGAAACCCCCCTCGGGTCGACTATGTCAGCACACGTTCACCTCGCATCGAACCGCTTTTTAGAGAACCCTTCAAGAATATCACCAACAGGCAGTTTGGCGGAAGCATAATAAGCAACCAAATCCCTGTCGGCTCTGTAGGCTCCCAGGGGATTTGCACCGTTGCAGTCGGGACTACCGCACAGGGGGCCCCAAGCAGTAGCCGCAGCAGCAGTAGCCGGGTCCTCAGCTGATGAGCGACCTGCTGCTGTTGACAGCTGGCGGGGGAGTACGTAGCGGTGCGTGCGTGGTGCTGGTTCCGTGTGTTGGTGTCCCGAACACATGGATCCAGCACGCAATTGCCTAAATAATAGTAGTAGCGGCTCTTAATTTGGCTACTTCCTTATCAGGACCAACTATCATCGGAAGCACATCTGCAACAGACGTCCATATGGGTTTATCCATGTTCTTCGCGACTACACAAGGTGACATGCATCATGGTACAGAGTCGAAAAGTGTAATCGGCAGCAGTTACTAGGTCGTCTGGGTACGAAACTGTACGAAAGGAGGTCTTGGATAGGTTGACTGATCAATCCGGAAATACTTCATGAACCATTTACCATGCCCTCTCGTGCCGGACGATCGACTGGCACGGAACGTCCGATAGGTACAGTCTCTAGTGCACGGCAAATGGTCCCGATCAAAAAATCGTGCCGATCGAACGAATCGGAGCGATCGAGTGATTCGGACCGAACAAGCAGACACCGGATCGGTCGGCGATACGGTTCCGCAAGTCGCGGTGTATATCAGCGCATCACTCCACAAAGCATAGGATGTCAAATCATCTCTTAAAGTATCGGTACAGATATGCACCAATAGCATACCTGTAAATCGCTGGGTTTTAAGTATTAGATCTATCCGATTGAGGATAGGCTCGCAGCGATTGCAAAATCTTCCATCCACTTGCGGCCATCATGGCACACCACGCTAGGGTCATCAAAAAAGGCCGGCATTGGGCGCCTGCGGCCGGCAGCAGCGCCGTGATCCACCTGCCTATGCTACTGCTGGCTGGTGGGCTGTTGCTGCTGCAGCTGCTCCCAGTGTCAGGTGCTGTCCACCCAGCGGACCCCGATGGGGCTGGCGAGCACCACGTCCTCTCTATTGCCGATTTCCACCCGCTGGGGGCCGGGTCTAGTAATTATAAGCTCAACCGAAAGCTGATGAGCGATTTCAGCGGTAAGGACGATGGTGGGAAGCATGACAATGGCTGGCCCGATGGAGAGCATGGAAAGTACGATGGCGAGTGGGAGTTTAAGTGGGACGACAAGGACAAAGTCAATTGCAAGTGGGACGAAAAGTGGGAGGACAAGGACAAGAACGACAGCAAGTGGGACGGCAAGTGGGACGGCAAGGACAAGAACGACAGCAAGTGGGACGACAATTGGGACGACAAGGACAAGAACGACAGCAAGTGGGACGACAATTGGGACGACAAGGACAAGAACGACGGCAAGTGGGACGACAATTGGGACGACAAGGACAAGAACGACGGCAAGTGGGACGACAATTGGGACGACAATGACAAGAACGACGGCAAGTGGGACGGCAAGTGGGACGACAAGGACAAGAACGACGGCAAATGGGACGACAATTGGGACGACAAGGACAAGAACGACAGCAAGTGGGACGACAATTGGGACGACAATGACAAGAACGACGGCAAATGGGACGACAAGTGACAAGAACGACGGCAAGTGGGACGGCAAGTGGGACGACAATGACAAGAACGACGGCAAGTGGGACGACAAGTGGGACGACAATGACAAGAACGACGGCAAGTGGGACGACAAGTGGGACGACAATGACAAGAACGACGGCAAGTGGGACGACAAGTGGGACGACAATGACAAGAACGACGGCAAGTGGGACGACAAGTAAGCATGACGGCAAGTAAGACAACAAGGACGGCTTGTGGGTGATTGAGGATGAAGCACGAGGGCATGATATGTAGCCGCAGAGGCAAGAAGGATGACCACGGGGTTGAGGGCAACATGAAGGATGGCAGGCGCCACGCAAGAAGTACGGGATGTTCCAGGATCAAATGTTAGTGTAGGCTAGGGACAAGGCTAGGCTTTTGCAACCCTGGCCTGGGGGAGGCATTTCATCCATGCATCAGTGGGGACGGAGATATCCCGGGCTGTTGCGTGTCACATTACCACGTTGCCCTGGTTGCCTGGAAACCGTTTGTGCTTGTGGATGCTGTAAGGATGCCGTAAGGATGTCCCTACGAATTGGAAGTGTAGGGGAGTATGAGGCGCTCTCCACGCATTGGAAATCTCGTGAGCCAGTAGGAGCCAGTGTGATCCCTGCCCTGTTTATGAGTCGCATGCCGCTAAATGGCCAGTACGCCGCTTCAACGTCTGTGCCCCAAGGTCGACAATTTTGGTTGGCTGCTTTGCTCGGTTGGCAGTTTGTGTTTTTTCGTTGAGAATTTGCTGTGGCATGATGTGGTCGTGTGGCCGTCTCATTTAAACGATTGCAGTATGCATGCCCTATATGTATACGGCAAATATCATAGTGCGCTGGATATTAGTAATGTGCAATCCGGTGGTGGTGAATGTTCTGAATGTGGTGCTTGGTTCTCAAATGTGCGGTTTTGTGATTTCCCGGGTAGCACCCCGGTAACTACGCTGTGAACTGTTATTACATACACACAGTCCAGCCCACGCTGCAGTACGATTGCAACCTTAATGTTTGATGGAGAGGCAGCAGTACAAAGGACAACTATGGCCCAGGCTTCAGGAGTGCAGGCTGGTATGCTACTGGATAGCTCGTGTTACACGGCCTCACCGTCATTGCTGCACGGCAGCAACTGTAGTATGCAGGTGGTGATACAACCATCAAATGGTGGCATCGAAAGATACCGTTTGAGACAAGTGATTTAATAAATAAAAACACCGTTGACCCCACTTGTGCTTCGCGCCGTTAATTCCCCAGTACGACGACTGGGCGTCACGATCTCCGGAAAGGAGAACGCCGTATATGAAAGTTGTTATACGGCCCCGAAGGGCTGCCCGACGACCTAAGTCCACGGTCAACGATGAAGAACAGCGGGCCATTGTACTGGAAGATAGACATAGACCCCTTCCCGAAACCAGAAATACCCCGTTTGCTGATGTCTGGCCTGCTCTGAAAATTTAACTTGGTAGTTGGAAGGTTGCACTGCAGTATGGAACCTGTTGTGTACACAGGCGCATGAAACTGCATTGACATCATCCTGACCAGTAAAATGTCGTTTGACCTGTGCAGTACTCAAAAGTGAAATTTGCAAATGCAGGCCATGAAAGGTATGGTGCTAACAGAAGGTAACTGATTTATTCCTATGTAAAGGAGGGCTGGCGAGATTCCTATGTAAAGGAGGGCTGGCGAAGTTCCAATTCATGTTTTCGTGCAGTTGGCGGTGTGTTTCACATGGTTGGTGGCCGTGACCGTGTCAAAACATTTGGTTTGGGCGGGCGCGCCACCACACCACCAGAACCGCTATGCAGCTACCTACGCCGAGCACAAATCACGCATTCTCCTGATGATCGTTGAAGGCCAGCCATTTAGCTGGTCACGCAAGTCATCCCTGTTGGGGTTATGGATACACACACTGGAGTCAAGCCTGACCGTCAGTGCAGTTTTATTGTGGGGGCACCGGCACCGGCGGATTCCTCCCCGGACGCTGCCCAGCACGAAACAAGTGAAAGCCCGCATGGGCGTGGTAGGATGCCAAGCCGTTGCTGTGTTCCTTTAAAAGTCCCGAACAAGACATGGTTCACCGATGATGTTGTTGTTGTTGTTACATGGTCGTGGGTGCGTTCCCCGTACCTGCAAACCACCCTAATACGAGCCGAGGGCTCAAGGGCTGCCAGATCGCCTATAAGCACCATCCTATCTCGCACTTCCAACGAAACAAGTGATGAAGGATACTAAGGACCAAAGGAAACGCTAGAGTTGCGGTGGGACCATATGCGTTCCAGCATCCTTGCCAAGCGTTCAGGTTCCCACTTCATAGCGTCCTTCATATGCTCGAAGCGTGGGAAACCCATATCAGATCTGATTTTGTCGTACACCGGACAGTCCAGCAAAATGTGCTTCTCATCCTCGATATGGCTATCAGTGCCGCAGCAGAGGCATACTCGCTCCTCCCTAGGTATATAACGCCGTCCCTTACGCGTTCTGTTAGCCGCCAATGCCCAACAGCAAAGCCTAAACTGCATAAGCTTGCGGTTCGCTGAACGCGGGATAAACATTGTGATATGCGGAAGCACCTCCTTCCTGCCCGCTTGCTCGGCCGCCAGACCCATCCAATGCGTATACTTCGCCATTTGAATTCCTGGTTGCTTGCCGTCCGACGGGTACACGTCAGGCTGGACATCTAAACGCGTATGCTTCCAACCCCTCACTAATTGGTCCTTGAACTCCAAAACCACACCTTCTGGCATTGGCCTGTTCATCAGCCACTCCACTCGCTCGTCTACCTCGTGTAGCCCTTGCGGGGCCTCTTTCCATACGTCGTGCCCCAAAAACATAGAAAACGGAGGAGTAGTGTCCCCTTCGGGGTTGGAGAGGGACTCTGCGACCTCCTGTCGCAAAACTTTGTGTGCCACAGACCCACGCTGATGTATGTTCGGCGTCACGTCCTGGCAAATTGAACATCGACATCCGTTCTATCGAGCATGATGACAATGTTTCACCAGCTTATATCCCCCTAGATGAAAAAGGTTGGGGCATATAACTGGTGTAAACGGTAACCTACCAATTTACCAATGCCCGCCAGAGGAACTTCCAATAGCGACAGAGGAACCTGAAAAACCACGACGCATCCCTTCCCAGGGTTGGATGAGATTAGCCAGCGAAAATAACCTTTTCAAAACTCTAAAACCTCACTATCTTGCCCCATAATAAAAGTCGCAACCTATTTATTTTCATTTGGACTTCCCTCAGCAAGTACTAGCTAGCTCTGGACCGAACGCCAGTGGCAGCAGCAACAGCAGCGACACCTGTCGCCCTCGCTGCAGCCCAGACGCAGCAGCTGGCCCCTGCTGCCAGTTTGGCCATCAGTATTCGTCGTCTGAAAAGTCGCTGTCACCTTCGTAGCACACCACCGGCTTCTTCGGAATGCAGGCCGCTCCACCGCAGCCGAGGTCGCGGCGCACGTGCACCTCGTCCAGCATGTACCGCTCAGCGAACTCTGCCACCTTCATTCCGAACGGCTGCGATGCAACGGGGCAGTACGTATACGGCATGCACAGCACGTTCAGTACATGACAATACATATTATGTTCGTACATCGGTGCGCATGTATGGAAATGAATTCAATTTGGACAGGGAGGAGCTTCCAGTACGCACTGTAATGCTGGCAGGAGTGATAAAAGAACTTCTCTTCTTTGTAGAGAGGCCCTAAGTTAGCAGTATGGCGCATACGCAACCTCGCAATCTCGCTCTATAGACGGCACTGCCGTATGTAATTAGGTCAGGTTGTTAATGAAGGTAGGACTAATTGCAGACTTAAGACCGGGGGGGGCGACCTGGCGGCTGATATTGTGGTGCCCTTCGCTGCCGCTGCCCGTGCTGTACGCGCCCGTCCGCGCACTAAAAGGCCGGCGGGGTGAAGCGGGTCACCGTGGTGAACGCCCTTTCCTTGTTCCATTCCAGCGACCCATCTTGCCTCGTTAACTGTCCTGCTGCTGCCTCCCAATCTCTTTCCGGCCGCAGCCCACGTAGGGCCCTCCCCTTTCGAGCGAGCTTTGCAAAAACACATCGCCCCATGCTGCTGTTGCTGTTGCTGCTCGCCCGCTTGCGGTGACCGATACAATTAAGAGGTACATATCGCACCGCTCGATGGAAAGAAATCGAATCTAAAGACAGCTATCTGCACAGCTATCGCCAACGCATGGGAACCGCCAACGCATGGGAACACAACACACACGGCAGGAAACGGCAGGATGCGAAGTATAGACACACATGCAAGTGTAGACACACATCAGCTCCACACACAGCGAATACGCTAATAAGGCGCGGCATAGTGTCCCTAGAAGATTCCAGGATTGATGACGAAGACAAGGTATGAAAATCCAATTCCTTGCCATGGACATTGATGGATTAGTTCATAGTGACCTGCAATCCGAGCCGGAGTAGAGTTGATGCCACCGTTGATCCGGATGCTTGTTTATCTTGATGCTGGTGGTGGCGGTGCATAGCCAGGAACAGTCACTGACTTTGCAGAAGTCGGCATGGGTGAGAAGGATGAGGGTGGTGAGGACTGCGCGGGTAGTGGCCAAGGGTGAAGCCATAACCCCCCTTCTTCACACTAGTACCTTGACATACATACATACATATGGGCGAGTGTAGATAATACATAATAGGCGTGCAGAGCACGGCTCGGCACGGCGTGCCCGAGCCCCAGCAGCTGCAAGTCCATGGTTCCCATTACCTCGAGTTTCTTTTTAAGATTGGTTGCGTCACTGCACCAGTGCATGAGCCCATCGTCCATCCACGCCCTGAAGACGTCCTTCAGTTCCTCAAGCTGCGCCGCACTAATACGGGGACCCCTCCTGCGCCCCGATGCCATGCAATTCGCGCCACGCAAGGAGCCTGCCGGGGCCCTAGCTGGCGGCGACGGCGGTGCCTGCGACGGCAAAGGTGGTGACAGTGACCGTGGGTGGCGACGGCGAGGCGCATTTCTGCTGCGTTCTCTCCCGCCTAGGTGCCTTTGCGGTGAGGGGGAGAACTGCTCGCCGCTGCTCCCGCCGCTGTCCCTGGATCGGCTGCGGTGGCGACTACTTCTGTGCCTGGCGGCGCTGCTATGTGGGCGGCGCAGTGAAGGGGATCTCCGGGTGCGGTCGTGATGCGACCCCAACCCCAACCCCAACCCCGACGGCGACGGCGGCGGGGACGGCGACGGCGATGAGCGCCGGCGGGACGGCAGCTGCTGCAGCTCCGGCTCCACTTTGGTTTGCTGAGACCGGGTCTGGTGCTGGTGCTGGTGGCCCACGACGGGTGGCTCAGCGGGTGCCTCTGTGGTCCTCCTGCGGGTCGACGGGTCACAGATGATCGACGGCGGCAGTGGCGTGGCCGAACACGGCTGCGCTGCTGGTGCTGCTGGTGCTGCTGATAATGGTGATGGTGATGGTGGCTTTGACTCTTCAAGCAAAGGGTTGTAATGACTGCAGTGATGGTCTGCTGGCGGCGCTAATGGCAACGGCGGCGGCGGCCGGTGAGAAGGCGGAGGGTGGTTCAGGTACCATGCAGCGGGCGGCAGCATCCCCAGCGGGAAGCCCAGCCCAGACGTCGCCGAGCCCGCAGCAGCTGCAGCGGCAGCAGCGGCTGCTGCAGCTGCTGCAGCGCAGTCCTGTGGGGGTTGTTGCTCCCGGGCTGTGCTGCGCCAGTATGCCCGGGTCACCACCAATGTCTCCTCTTGCTCTTGCAGGTGCTGGTGCTGGTGCCAGCAGGATGGCGCGGTCCCCGTTGCGGCTGCAGCCATCGCTGCCTCCCTAGACAATAGGCCCGCAGGGTAGACCCCAGGAGGAGGAGGAGGAGGAGGATACACCGCTGCTGCATAGTAAGGGGCAGCATATGCCGCCGTCGGCGGCGGTATTGGCATTGCCGCCCCCGGCGGCGGCGGCGGCGGCCAAGATACCGATGGCCGATGGCTACTTGGGTCAGCGGAATGACGTGCTGGCGGCGCTGTTATGGCCTGCGGGTGCTGCAACAGTGCTGGCTGCGGCGGTGGTGTCGCTGCTGCTTGGCACGGCGCCGGTGCTGCTGCCGGTCCTGCAGCTTCTGCTGCAAGTTGCGGCTCCAGCTGCATCATCAGCAAGAAGCCCTCGTTCTGCAGGAACTGGCGGCGCTGCTCCTCCGGGAGTACGGCAGCCAGCACCTGCAGGTCAAAGGTTGGGAGGAGGATATCACGTATGTGGTGAGTATATACACCTAATGTGCGTGATGAGTTATGTGCGTGATGAGTAAATGGATTGGTCATGACCACGACAACGAACATATGTGGGCACCTGCTGCCGCTGCCGCTGCCGCTGCTGCACGAACGACATACAGCTGCTAGTCCCTAGGCCCTGCACGAACACTGGACCGCACATATCTCCCCTAAGGGCCGACTCACGTGAAGCGATCGTCACTTGCACTGCTGCCGCTAAGCTTCAATATGTACTATTGCTCTCGACTTACTTTGCACGCCCAGCCGCATTTGCTTGATATGAGGAACACCGTCAAGTGGCGCCCCCGCAGGGGCCCTACGTGAAAGGCCACAGACGACTCCGCACAGAGAACAGTGTCCGGGGCAGACTCCGTGAACAAGCCCTGCTCCTGGAACTGGTGCAGCATCCTGAGAGCGAACGAGCGAGGGAGAGAAGAAACACGCGAGGGAGCGCACGACACGACAGGACACGACAGGACAGGACAGCGCACACAGCGAACATCCATCACAGACGGACAAATGGTACGGCCTTATGGTACGCAGCCGGCAAGTGGCCTGGGCCTCATCGCCGGAAGGGGGGGAAGGCAGGGGGAAGGGGGCAGGAGGGAGAGGGCAGGGGGGAGGCAGCCAGTTGCAGCGCAGGAGCTAGCTAGCAGCTGCTCGAGCAGGGCTACAGTATGGGGCCCAGCAGCAGCAGGCTAGGTACACTGCGCACCTGTCCAAGTCAGGTCGGTCGTGGAACGTGAGTACCCCGACTTCTGGAATGATGTGCTCGTAGCGGGCCAGGTGGTTCTGGAATCTCACTGCAGGTGCAGCGCGCTGCAACGGGGGCGGGGGGGAGCGGCAGGTGCTAGCTAGCGGTAGGCGCGCAGTAGGGTGCTGTTTAGTTGGTACGGCTATCCAGCTCTCAGCTCTGACGGCACATGCACGTGAAACACACGCGTTTCTGGTGAGGGCACACTACGGCGGCCTGAAAGGGACTGCAATCCGTGGACAGACAGATAGACAGACGGGGTGACGGGAGGGCAGGCCGCCCGGCATGATGAGCGAACGTCCGCGATATCCTTCCTTACACCTTCCTGGCTCGCATCTCTCTCTCTCTCATGCTCTCCCCGTTCAACCATGCGGGGCAGGGCAGGTTTCCTTTCACAAGATGTACAAGCGCCGGCAACCACGACCGACAGCCGCACCAGTACGCATCACGATCGATTGCACCCATGCATTCCTAGCCAGCAGCTCACCACCGGCTTGGCGGGGTCGATGAAGAAGGGAATATTGACATCGGCCAGTATCTCCATCGACGCGGACCGCCGCGCGGCTGCAGCTGCCAAAGCCGCGCTCCCCTCGCTGGAATCCACGGGCACCACCACAATCGATGCGGCCCAGATCTGTGCACTCTTGAGGCGCACGGGCGGCTCCCCCTTCACGCACAGTTCCAAGATACCCTTCCACTGCGTCGAGGCGCGGCATCCAGGCGGCGGTTACATATTATACATTTATATGAGATATCAGAGATACATATGGGCTAAAGGGTTGTGGAGTCGAAGAGCGAAAACCCCAAGTCAGGCAGCAAGAGCAGGCGCCGTGCGCACACGGCACTGTCCAGCACGACTACTGCTCAGCACAAGGGACCACCTTGTTACGCAACCTGATGCCATGTCTGTCTGAGGGGGTGAGTGCTTTGCGTGTTGTGGAAATAACAATGGGGGGCTGCGTTTGCGGGGGCTGCTTCATTCATTCGAACCTTCACGTCAGGAGATCTCTGCGGCGGCGGGGTGGGCTGCCGTTGCGGTTGCCGTTGCGGTTGCGGTTGCGGTTGCTGTTGCTGTTGCGCCCATTGCAGTTGCGGTTGCGGTTGCGCCGATTGCGGTTGCGGTTGTGGTTGCGGTTGCGCCGATTGCGGTTGCGGTTGCTGTTGCGCCCATTGCAGTTGCGGTTGCGGTTGCGCCGATTGCAGTTGCGGTTGCGGTTGCGGTTGCGCCGATTGCGGTTGCGGTTGCTGTTGCGCCCATTGCAGTTGCGGTTGCGGTTGCGCCGATTGCAGTTGCGGTTGCGGTCCCGGTCGCGCCCATTGCAGTTGCGGTTGCGGTTGCGCCGATTGCAGTTGCGGTTGCGGTTGCGGTCGCGTCCATTGCGGTTGCGGTGGCGGCTGCGGTTCGCGGTGCGGTTGCACCCTCCCTCCCTCCCCCGCCGCCGCCTCCTTCGAAGAGCGCCAGAGGTGGAAGCACTGGAAGTCCTCCGTGGAGGGCACTGACTGGCTCTCGGCGCGAAGACGTTGCAGGTACTCCTGGGGGGGTGCGGGGGGTCAGCAACACGACATTACGTGAGGTATCATCGCACTCAGCAACAATGACCGGGTGACCTCTGCAGACAAGAAGTGGAAAACATAATGACCCGCATAAGGAGGATTCACATAACGTATGGGATGAAGTTAGCCATGACCTCAAAACGTTACCGAAGATATATCTTAGCTTATCGTTTAAAGGAAGTAGGAAAGGTTGGTAATGCCCGTGGTGTAGGATCGACGAATCTGAATGCGGACTGGCACTCATTTACTCGCATGCATGGGCAGGGCAGGGGCAATGGCCGAGGACAAACACACCGCAAACATCCTCTTCTGCCAGCCCAGCCGCTTAACACACCCACCACCCCACCCCACCAAATCCCACCTGGTCTACCCACAATGATGGTCGACATAGGATAGGACATGCCCCGCCCTTAAACACACAATTTAGTAACATCTGGTCAAGTGACCTGGTAAACATGGATTCGGCTGAAATGCGCCATATCAGTTAGGAACACAGACCCCTGCGCTAACCACCTTCACTGCGCAACCCACCCACAACAACCCATATCACCGTCACCGCCACCCCCCGTCGACGTACATCCACACCTCGCGCTTCTGATTCAGGCTTTCAGCCTTCAAACGGACTTCCTCCGGCAGTTGAACGTTGCAGGCCCCGGAGCGCCCCAGAGCTTCAGGATGTAAGACGCCATGTTGATTTAACAACAGAATGAGCTGCCTCAGGTAATCCAGATACTTGAGCTGCGGGCAGAGGGATACAAGTGATGCGACGAAAAATGAAATAGGACAAATGCATATAAAGGCTCAAGGGAGCAATCAGCAGGCGGCATTCGAGGGCAGGTTCTCGAGTCCAGATCTCGTTGTAGAGGACTCCACACACGGGCCGATGTGTGTGTGTGTGTGCATGCATTGCCTTACACCTACCTGTACTTTTGACAGCTTGGCTAGGCGCAGCTTCGTTTGCTGCCGCTGCTGTCGCTGCTGCTGCCGTTGCTCCCCCGCCACCGTGTGCTCCACTCCACCACTGCGACCTCCGTGTGCAGCCGGCTCTGTATGTCTGTTTGTCCGCCCGTGTATACGTATCGCACCGGTGGGCGGGCGGGCGGGTGCATGCGAGCGCAACAAAACCACGTCCCCAAATCAGTTTTCTTGGATGCTCGCGTGTCTCAACTTCACCGGTGGTCGTCATCACGGCAGCAATGCAATGAGTCGTCATTGGTGGCCTTGTACCTCTACGCTAGAGAGGGCTACAGCCCCAACTTGCTTAATCCGCCTCATTTCCTCATTTCTCAAACATCAACAGTCTGGGATTCATTATTACACCAACCAGCATCTGGATCCGGCAAGAGTTATTACTAATCAATCTGCAGTGCCGAGGACAGACATGTCTGGGCGCGTCGAGGACTTGGAAGTTTCCTCTCTCCAAAAAAGGATATCACTTTTTCATGTCACAGTGCGTTCCATCTCCCAGCAGCTCCTGACCAAGGCTGCTTCTAGGAGTGTGTTTGTGGTCCACGCACCTGCCGCTGCTGCTGCTGCTGCCCCGCGGGGCCGGCGGCTGCGCCGACTGCAGCGCGGTTTGCATTTCTGCAAAGGCAGGGTACATACGGCGGAGTGCTTTTACGGGAGCGAACGCATTCCAAACCGATCGTCGTAAATAGGTCTTGGCTGATATCCCTAGCGTGGGCAAGCTCAACTCGGGCTGCCTCGGGCGTGTACTGCGACGACTCGGTCCCGGTGGTCCCGGTGCTGTTATAGCTTAGCTGGTGGATTTGGAAAGGACCGATATGCCAGCCGCCGCAGAACATCGATCGACTGCAGGATTTTAGTTGTTGCTGCATCATCAGTTGCGACCTCTGCGCGGTCCAACAGCAAAGCTCTCGGAATAGCGACTGAATATGTTAATTCACTGCCTCTCCAGGAAGCAAGCAGGCGTTACGGTGCTTTGCGGTCGAGCGGTCCACCTGGTCCAGGCTGGCACTTGTTGCCCAGGCAAAAGCAACGCAACATGTCCTGTCATTTGAAACGCTTTTTTTGAAACGCTTTTCAGGGCATATAGCGTCTATAAGCCGGCTGGGGACGTCCTATTATCGCTAGCCAAAGGACAGGCAGGGTGTATGCTGGACAACGGATCCCGGAACGCGCCCAGCATTTGCCAAGCAGAAGAAGACAGTGCCAACTCAGTCATCGATAGGAAAATTGCGTGAATTAGCATCGCGCGGCTAGCCGTGCTGGGCAACGGGAAGAGGCAGGTGGTGGGCTGCCGGCCGCTGCAGGGAGCTGGATGTGCGTGAGCAAGCTTTCGCCTTTTTCACTCCCTCAGCCACGCATCACGCACCTCTGTCAACGTGCCGGCCAGCGGGAGAAAATTTGCAAATTATAAATTCCTATGCTGTGCGGACGCACAGGGATGCATTACCGCCACATTACCACAGGGATACGAAACTGCCAATTTGCTTCTTCCTTCGGGTTCGCCTTCGTTATCTACAAAATTGTTGGCAAGCCTCGACGACGCTTTGCCGAAAACAGCCCTTATATCTGGGGATCGCTACCTACCCATGGGTCCGTAATTGGCGTCACTTAACTGCAGCGAAAAACATGTGGGCAGACGAACCTTACTTTTGCAACGCAACCTGACTGGGGACTCATGCGATTGATGGAAGGCTTGTTGATGCATAACTCTGTCGCCTGGCAAAGTCTCGCGAGTCCTTTTTGCCTCACAGAGTTCATTACAGTCCGATTTGAGTGAAGCACAAGGCAAGTCGCTTATGGCGGGCCCCCCAACATAGAAATGCACCAAACGGTACCACCAAACGCGCAACCCGGCCCCAAGAGCGTCGACAGTCCACCCCCATAACCGCTCAGCACATGCAGCACGCCCATAGTAGTCCGTCCTAGTCTTCGTAATACCGAAAGAAGCCAGCCGGCCGCCTACCGGCCACCTCGCCGTCGCGCATCCGGTGCTGCACCTGACCGGGCAGGGGGCGGCAGGGCCCCGCCGCCCTGACCTCCCACCCCGCGCGCTCCGGCACCTGAGGTTCCGCCAGCGCCGCCAGCGCCTCCTGTCCCGCGCACTGCAGGCGCCGGTGGTAGCGCAAACCCGCCCCTCTCGTCGTACTCAATCTCCGTATCGGCGCCGCTCCTGCCACACAGCGAGAGGGGGGGGCACCACGTCGCATAACACATGGTCAAGTACACCGAGGCCATGGCCAAACGCCTCCCCTCACTGTTCCAGCAGCACGCATGGCGAGTTTTTCCATGACACGAACCCAAGGGAGATGAAGACATGTGCAGCAAATAGCAACAAATGTGATGAGGTATGGGCCGACCTAAATGCTTCGGCTCACGCTGTCATTCCTGATACAGCCTAGCCCCATACACGACGCTGGTGACTCCTCGCGCGCGCACATCCCCATGCACGCGCTCTTATCTCTGTCCTCGTGCACGCACCTTCGGCCGGCGGTTCCAACCTCCGGTGTTATGCTGCCCAACCGCCCAGAAAGACCGCCGTGGCCAGGGCTGCCGCCGACCCCGCCGACCCCGCCGCCGCTGCCTCCCTCCGACTTGCCGTCCATTCTCCGCCGCTTCCCGCCACCATCTGCCGTGTCGCGCTCCCGGTCAGCGGCATCTTCAGGCAACCCGATGCGGCGATTGCCGTGGCGATCCTGCGACGGTAAAACGACCCGCTATCATATTTGTGGGTTTGCGTGCTTACACACGCAACGGGAAACATACGCGCCCAGGGACGAAGAACAGGTCGCCATAAGCTCATCACATACAACAACACCAGTACAAAAAACAAGTCAATACAAGCCGGACCCACCCGATCCCCCTCTCCCACCCTCTTCGCTGCCCAATCAGCCTCTCACGCGCCGCACTCCGCCCCATCCCACTGCGACCTCCTCCCCTCCTTCCCTACCCAGCCGGCCACCCACCCTGGACCGCTCCGCGGAGGATGCCCGGACTTCCCGGTCCTTGGAGCTGCCGTTGTCCGCCGGGCCAACCCCCACACGGCCTCCACTGCCCTTGACATCACTGCGCTCACGGTCGGCCTTCTCCACCGCAGTCGAGGAGCCCGGGACCCTCTCCCCACGGCCATCCTTGTTATCTTTGCTGTCACCAGCCGCGCGATCGCGGTCCGGAAACACCGCCTTGGCCGCCGCACGCGCCTCCTCCGCCTTCTCAGCTCGCTCCCGCTCCTTTTCCTCGCGCCGGCGCTCCTTCTCCTCACGTCGGGACTCGTCCTTGTCCTGGGAGAAGCGAGAGCGACAAACAGGTGGCAGCAAACGGGACTGGCCGAGTCGGGGCACAGTCGCGAATCTTAGGAAAGCAAATCACGAATATGGGCACGACAATGGGCACAATGTGCACAACGACAATGGGCACAACGACAATGTGCACAACGACAATGGGCACTGACCACTGCGATGCACTTTGGGCTCTTGTGCGTCACGAGTGCTTTTGTTATTGCGGCCTCTGTTGTTTCCCGACTACCATGACAGCAGGTAGGTACTGTCACCTCCCGCAGCGCAACGTCCTCCACCTGGGGAGGCCCCGTTGGGGTCCCCGGTGAGGAGCCCCACCGGCCGCGGTGATGCTGCTCGCGTGCCTCACCTCTCTGTCGCCCTTCCCCCGCTCCTTGTCTTTGTCTTTATCTTTTTCCTTGTTGCCACCCCGCTCCTTCTCTCTGTCGGGCAGGCAGGCAGGTAGGCAGGTAGGAAGGCAGGTAGGAAAGCAGGTAGGCAGGCACATAGGCAGAGGCATGCTTTGGTTCAGAGGGCAGAAAGAGGGCGCAGAAACCTCCGCGCCAGAGAGGGGCGGAACAGATCGGAACCGGAGGGGAGGGTAGTCGCTCGTCGAGGCCCAGCCAGTATTAACAACAAAGAGACCACGCAACAGATCGCTCCCCGGGATTCAGCCCACGGCCACGGCCGAACACCAGCACGGCACATTAGGTCGTCTCCCGCTCCGGTCATCACCATTTGGCCGTAAGTCTGTATGTGCGCTGCAACCCACAACAAACATCGAAACCCGCAACACCGGGAACATAGCGCCCACCTGCGGAAAAATCGATTGGGTGCTACATAGTGAGGCTCTCATCCGCATTCCTCTACCGCTTAAAGAGCGTACATGCCCTTTTGCAGGCTCCGTACTTGCCTGTCCTTGTCTTTTGACCGCTTATGTTCTTTGTGCTCCTTCTCCGACTTGCCCTCGCGCCCGCCGGACGTCCCGTCCGCGCCAACACGGCCGCTGGTCTCGGAGCCTGCCCGACCGCCGGCCTCGGACATTGTATCCGTGCCATCGCGATCACCACCGCTGCCGCCACCACCGCCAACCCCTCGGACCTTGTTCCCCCCTGCAACGTTGGACCGAGTGTCGTCAGCTGCTGCGGCCGCGGCTGCTGCAGCACCACCCGCCTGAGCTCCAACACCGCTCTCGACACGCTGCTTTTTCAAACCACTGCCTACGTCAGCGCCAGCGGCCGCTTTCTCAGCCTTCTCAGCTACCACAGCCGGGGCCTCGGCCTTGTCGCCGTCAGCCCTCCCCTCGCCTCGGGGCCGCTTCCGCACGGTTGCAAGACCGCGCCCGTCTTTAGCATCCCCCGCGGCGGCGTCGCCACCGTCTGCCGCGCCGCCCGCTGCCGTGGAGACGCCACCTCCGCCACCGCCGGGCGCCGCGGCTGACTCAGGTGGGCCTGCTCCTCGGGGCACAAAGGGCTTGGCGGCGACGTTGAGCGACTTGTGGCCGCCTTCACCTGCGGTTGGTGCCGCCGCCGCGGCACTGCCCCCTGCCGCCGCTGGCTGGCCGGGTCCGGCAACTGGCCGGGTGGTGCCCTTGGGTGCGGCCGCCGGCGAATTCGCGGCACCTGCTGAAGAAGGCATGTGCAGAAGGAGGAGACGGAGAAGCGAATGTCTCAACATCAGCCGGCCTACATGCTTGCGTGCCTGTGCTTGTGGTGCCGTAGGTGCCCCGGTCGTCGATCCCACGCGCACGGCTGACCTGCGACGCCTCACCCAGGCTGTATGGTGGTGGCTCTGGAGGCAGAACCCCCGTGTCATACGTAAGCAAGGAAACATCGCAGGGCCGCCAAAGGGCTGTATCCATGTGCACACTGGTGCACTACTCCTTACAAAAGCCAGCCCCAATCCGCTCCGTGACAAAGCTTGCACGTGCTGGGCCCTTTCTCTAGCTGAGCCTGCACCAGCCCTGTGCACCGCCACCGCACAAAACCGGTATGGAATCGCGACACGACACAAGACGATACGATACATTGTTCGACTGAGTCCGCCGCGTGTATGCAGAAAGGGGCCCCACTCGAGCCCTGCTTTAACACATCCACACTCCCACCTCGGCCCGCCGCGCTACTGGCCATGGCACGTTGCCGCTCCACCACCTGCGGCCCACCGTACTCCAACTGTGACATCATGCGGCCTGGCTTCTCTGCCTCACGGCTAAGAGCAATGAGGTAGGAGCGGGCCATGGTCTTGATGTCCTCGCGGGGATCCTCTTTCTGCAGCTTCTCCACCCACTGACGGAAGGAGTTGGCGGAGGGTACCGTACCCGGCCAAACCTGGAGGAGCGCGGGATGCGCGACAGAGGAAAGCAAACGTGGAATGGGGGTAAAATGGCGGGAAGAGGGACAGAGGGAGGGGGCACTTGAACGTTGGTGGACGAAGGAGGCGATTCAGTCGCAAGCTACAGTCTTCATGGATTCTTGGACCCATGGATTCTTGGAAAGAAGAACTTCAGCGGGGAGCGGGAGGCGAAACAAGATGGTTACGGCAACGGGGACTATGGAGCCGCAGGGCTAACGGGGCCGGAATGACGGACATGATAGGATCGAAGCGGCGGAAGCCAACCTTCTTCTCTTGGTGGCAGGCAGTGGCCGAGAAGCCCTCCCGTCTCCGGTCGCCTTATACACGGGTTCCCTGGCCCCCTTTTCCCTCCTCACCGTAACCAGTCGGCCCATGACGGACAACGCGTTGGCTATCTGTGTGTAGTCCCCGCTCTCAATGGAGGCTCGGAAGGTGGAGCTGATGATGCCGTGCCACAACATCATCTTGGACTTGAACACCTGTGGGAGCATTGGCGCAATGCCGCAGGGCGCGAGATTAGTAGAAAGATGACATGGAGGGCAGTAGGCCGGCAGCAGCAGCAGGATGAGGAGGAAAAGGTCGCGGGCCCCAGGAGTTGGCATAATAGGCAGCGGAAGGAAATAGGCCTCGGCAGGAGGAAGTGCTTCGAAAAGTTGCCAGTAGGGAATGGTGGTGGTGTTATTGTTCAGTGTGCGGATGACTGGAAGATCTTCAGACGGCCAGCAGAACAGCACCCAGCGGAGATACCGCAGTGCTGGAGGCCACTCCTGGAGGCATTCCTGCATCTTGGATCAGCTAATTTTCCACCATTAAACGCTCACAGACATGCATGCACAAATCCGTAACTCCTCCTCCTCCTCTTCATGATCAGAGATAAATGCGTGACGCCCAAAGACGAACCATGAAGCCCAGCTGGATTCGCTTGGATTTAACGCAAAAAACCACCAGTCGAGTCGCAGCAACGGCAGCAGAGGCTGTACATTCTCCTTCCCACCCACCCTCCCTCTTGTAGCGGCGACACCCACGCCACCTTCTCACTCATCTGCAGACCAGCGGGGACCCGCGGAGCCCCCGGATCCCTCGCTCAGTGAAATAAACCCCCTTGTTAACTTTGTACAGCGCAACTACTCACGTTGTGCGGCTGCTTGACGTTGGCAAGTGCCGCAGTCTTGCGGACGCAGTCATCGTTGAACAGCTGCAAACCACAGCAGGACAAGGAGGACGGGAAGAGGGGTGAGAATGGTTGGCCATAGGGCGGAAAGGTGGTAAAGGGGGTTCAGAGCTAAGGGTGGACCTCAAGCGGCCCACACACATACCAGCCCGCACACCAGCCCCATCCTGCACCCCCCTGCGCCGCTACCTTTTCATCTCGGTGCCATGCCACCAGCTGCTTTAGCATCTCAAACAGGAACACTCCAAAGTTGTTGGCCTCCACCTCCGTCATGGAGCGCAACACGGGGATGGTGGCGCGTAAAGTCTGAGGGCAAGACAAGAAAAAAAGGGCAGCATCAGCAACACAAAGCAATGGTAATGGCAATCAGGCGCTGCGTGGCATGGTGCTTTCAGAGTACCGTAGTATTCCCCGAACCAGCCACACATAGCGCGTCACTCTGTGCTAACCCCCTCCGCACAGCCTCACATACTCGCATCGTCAACATCCATATGCAGAACCTGCACCAAGACACGCGCGGGCCATGGCGCCGCAAGATCTTCAGGGCAGCCAACTTCCAAGCTGCTGCTGACAAGGATCCAGCAGGAGATGGCGTAATAGCGGCCTCATGTTAGGACTACCCACATATTGGCACAGTCTTCAGGTTGTCCGAGCCGGATAGCAGCCCCTTCCCCCTCGCGCGGCTGTCCCTTCTGGCGGTCTTTCCGTCAGGACCCACAGGGGGCATCCGCCTCTGGGCACTGTGTGAGATCCAAGGTCCGGCACCTGCCTGTGGCCGACGTCGGGCCCGGCCAAGTGATGCAACGCAGGCACACAAACATGAACGCGCACGCACGTGCCACTCACGCTGTCCAGGAAGGGTATGAGTGAGAAGTGGCGGACCTCCATGTGGTGCAGCAGCAGGATCAGCCGGGCGCAGTACACGGCGTCCATGGCGCTGAACAGGATGCGAGGAAGGAACATCTCCTGCAGGGGGTGGGGAGATCCAAAAGGCAAGGTGCGTTGTCCCGCGACGGGAGGTGTCCAGGGGCATCAGGCGGTAAAGAGACAAAACACCGTGACGGGACACCTCCCTTGAGGTCCCCAGAACACGTGAATGGGTGGCCGCGACTGGTATAAGTCGCACCGAGTGACGGTATATGTGAGACATCTTTACACATAAATCTACCTTGCGACGTGGTTATGGCGTTGATGGCTGCGGCCATGTAAGAGCCGGGACACAGCGCAACAAACCATACAACACACGACCCACAGCACCTCAAACCAATCCACCCCACCACGCGACCTGGAACAGGTGTTCTTCTCTTCGTTCCACTTCATCTCCCCCGCCCCGCCCGGCCCTGGGCCACCCCAAAGGGACATACACCCACCCACCTGAGCCACTGCGTAGAAGGCCGGGACGTTGCGGGCGGGGGGCCGAGCTGGCCCTCCCGGTCCCGCAGCATTTGCCCCTGACGCCATAGCCCCGCCGGCCGCACCAGAGGGAGCTCCCTTTGGTCCATTCGCCGTCGCGGCAGCGCCAGCCGCTGCCGGAGCTGCTGGCTTCGACGCATCCGCCCCCTCCTCTTGCTGCTGCCCAGCCTGCTGATGCTGCGGTTGTTGCTGCTGCGGCGGCGGTGCCCGCGGCAGGAAGAAGCCGGCACGCTGCAGCACCAGCCGTTGCTTCACCTCGTCTACGTGGCGCCGCCGCTGCTCCAGCTCTGCGGTGAGGCGGGACTGCTTCTCCTGGGGGGCCGGGAAAGGCAGCAGCGGGAGCCGGAGCCATGCGCAGTCAGCAGTAGGGGACGCAAGAGCTGGAAGCACGCTACAGTTAGGGGCCCGGCAGCGCGTGGACGCACAGGGGTTTTGGCGGACCCGGGAATTCAGGGCAGCAGCAGCAGGATGCCCAATAGGATATCCACTAGAGTGTTTGGATTGTTGTGGTCCGGGCATGGAAACGTAAACCCAGCCCGGGCACTTGGCGCTACGCTTGGCTGTTTGCAGAAGGACCGCAGCGATCCAGCAGATGGTAGATGGCAGGGATTCACCGATCTGTCCGTAAACGCTATCAGCCACTAGGGCCAGCCAGCTGGACCCACACACTCACTCCGTAACCCCTCAGGACGCCACATGCTGCCCAGCAGCAGATCCCCACGGCCATTTTTCGAGGACAAGTGCAGGACCAGTCGCACACCACGCAAAGCCCCCAGGCGTCGCACCCGCGACCTCACCTGCAGCGCCGCCTTCTCCACTTTGTACTGCTCGTACTGCTGCTGCAGGTTGTTCGAGACGTAGCCGCTGTTGCTCTGCAGCCCTGGCCGAATGTAGTTCATGTAGTTGTTATCTAGGAGCTGCGAGGTGCCGTAAGCGGTGGGTGAGGCAATATTGGTAAGAAAATTCGCTGGATATCCAGAGGACATACATGGGCCGCAGTTAAAGTAGGGTAGTTCCCAATACGCGTCAGATGGTGACCTTTGGAGAAAGGCCGTCACAAGGTAGCTTTATAAGTTTCTTGACGCCAGATAAAGCAGCCGAGGTAGGAGGGAACAGGACCCACGTCGGCGGGGGGAGGCCTCATTCAAATTGGATACTGGGCAACACGCGCGCCTGCATCACTCCACAGCACACTGCATCAGGTATGGCCCCACAAGTACCCCAGCCCTCACCTACCTGCAGCTGGTCCTTCACATTGGAAAGCTCCTTCTCGTACCTGCGGCCGGAAAAGAGGGGAGCCAGGTAGGGGCGCAGCTGAAGGTTCAAGACAGAAGTGAAGAAGTTGGCACATATAGCAGGACCCCTCCCAATAAGCATAACGTCGGCAAGCATGCCACCGCGACCTGCTGTCCTAGTCTGCAGCCTTCCTTCACTCCTCCATCAGTATCCAGGACTCTATCTCTGCCCTAGCCCAGCCCTGACGCGTCTATTGCACCGCATCCTCCCTGCACAGCCCGACTGTAGCCCCCGCAGACGTCGACTGTGCACCTACGGCCCTGATCACACCTCCTCGTCTGCCTCCCTCTGCTCCACCTCACCTCTTGACCGGCACGTAGATGTCCTGCAGCTGCAGCGACCAGAACGTGGTGTACAGGTCCGGCGTGACTACCGACCACAGAGCCGAGTTCCCCGCACATGCCGGCAGACCCGCCAGCACACCGCCCCAGGTCTTGTCACCCACGCGCGGCTCCTCACGCGGGGGCGCATCGGCCGGGCCAGCTGTACGGACAGCAGGATGCCACACAAAGGAAACAGAGCCCGGCATAAATCCATTTGTAGGGGGCCAAACAAGCGAGCACAACAAGCCCGGGGCAGCCGCCCCGGAGCAGCCCCCTAGCCCCGCCAGGAGAAGCGGCTTAAAAGCGACAGGCTCCTTATTATCACTTTGGCCAGAGAGCAGCCAGATAATCGGGAAAGGGTCATTGAGCTCTTGGAGACTTTGTACACAGTTGATACCCGACCGCGGTCTTTTGCACCTACCCGCCGGCGCGGCGCCCTCCTCGCCCTCCTCCAGCTCCCCCTCCTCGGCAGGCTGAGGGGCCGCCGCGTCCAACAGCCGCGCCATGACGGGCCGGTAGATGTGCCAAACCACCTCCACGTCGATCCCGTACTCGCGCCTGAAGGGCAAGGGTAGCGGCAAGGGCGGAGCTAAGGCAGGCAAATGAAGGACTACAGGCGCACTCGCACACACGGACGCGCGTAATTAACTCGTCGCCATACACATATACCCGCATGCAGCACCGCACTTCGGCACGGACGACACGGCCAGGGCCGAATATGCACAAAGCCGCTCACAGCACGGCGATGCCTACGCCTGCCAGACTCCTAACAGCCATGGGACACACGCACACGCACACGCACATACACACCCCGACTGGACAAAAGAAAAAATAAAGAAGCATGCGGATCCACAAATCTCAACTCGCACTCGCACAAAGGCACTCGCACTCGCCAAAAGGCGCCGCGTGCTTCGGAGGCAGCGACGGTGACGGCTAGAAGCAGTGCAAGTGCGCAAGACGACGCGCTTGCAGGACCATACGCCTATGGCTTAGCATCGGAGGCGGCTTCCGTGGTACGGCTGGACACGGATCGTGCAGAATGACGCAAAAACACGCATGCCAATGCCGCCGCCTCGTGCAGTCGCCAGTTCTTTTCCGCACCAGCTCCCCCGCATGCACACACAATCTGTGCGCACGTTCATGCCCTGAACCCCGAACGTCGTCGCTCGCGGCCCGGCACACCTGAGCACGTCTGGCGTGGGCAGCATGTCGGCGTACGACTCCACCGGCAGGGCCAGTCGCAGGAACTCCGTCAGGTGCAGCAGCGTGTCCTGAAAGCAGGGAGGCAGGTGGAAATGTAGGAGATAGAAAGGCACGTGGAAGGGTGTGTTAGGTAGGAGGTACCAGATGGCGTCCAGTGGCGCAATTGGAATGTGGGGAAGAAGAGTGAGACGAGGGTGGCCCGACATAAGTCACATGCAGGGAGGCGCGGCCCGGGCTTTGGAGGACGGGCACAGTGACTCCGCCACGCACAACCGCGAAGGAAGTACGCTTCCCGCAGCTGTCAACATTCGGAGGCGCCATTTCCTTTTGGCCGCTGCAGTTGCTTTATGTGCCCGAAGCTCGCAAGGGCATACGTCATTGGCCCAGTAATCCCGCAGCACAGTAGGCGCTTGAACTCCCGGGCAGGGCAAGCCTCAAGGGCTGAAGATGATGCAGAATCCCAGGCCAGTTGCAAGGAAGGACAAACAAGGGCCAGGCGCAAGCCCACCCGCCCAGGTCGCTTCTATCCGCGATTAAGCTATAGCATAGGCACCGTACCTGGCATCTGTCGTACATGGTAGCTATGAACTTGATGAGCTTGGAGTCAGTGTGGTTAATGATGATGGACCGCTGCTGCGCCGTGAGGATGAGGAGAGGCAGCGTCAGGGAGCAGCTGCCGCCGCTGACGCCCAGCCGCCGGCTGTCGTACTGCACGATACGAAACGACGGACCAAGTGCACAGGGCCCAATGGGTGTTGGTGCGGCGAGGAGCCGCCTGGATCCGGCCATGAACATACGCGCACATGTGATACTCTTAAGGTTCAGGAGAACAGGTTAAGAGGAGGACAGGGAGAATAAGGAGAACAGGGAGGAGAAGCGGGGACCCCAAGCGCAATCCTTCGCTCAACGTCACATTACCGGGAACAGATAGAACAGGCCAACCACTTGGGCCTCCTCTGCAACGTCCGACATCCAACAACCTACACTCTCACAGCTTCATACTCAAGCATGGATACGCCCTGCAGGACAACATTTGGGTTGCAAGAGAGCATACAAGGTAAAATCCCGCGTAGTGCCCAGCTCCTTCCCAAGCCCCTCGTCCTCCTTGAGCCCAGTTTTTGCGAAGTCCCGCCCCAACCCCACTCACGTCCTCTAATGCCCTCAGCAGCCGCTGACGCCCCTTGGCCAGGTCCTTGGCGCTTGCGGTGCGACCCATGCCCAGTGCCGCGTCCGCCTCGCCGGCATCCAGCACCACCGCTTCTGCCACCAGCTCCGGACCGCCCGCCAGAGCGTCTAGCTGCTCATCGGACAGAACTGCTTCCAAACGGACACCCTGGAAAGCCGCAACAACATCCACAGCCGCAGCGAGGGGGCGATACATGGGTAAAAACATGCAACGAAGCACAGCGTGAGGATAGCGTGAGGCCGGGGGCAGGTGTAAGCAAGCAGCACGGCGGGAAGCAATGGGCTCATTGAACACACAGTCCAAGTGAAATTGTGACCATGCAAACATGCACTTGCCAGCAGCGAAAGCACCGAAACGCAGCGCCCAAGCGCGATGACCACGGCATGCAGCACCTCTGCCGGACTTGGCCACACAGACCGAAGGCCTGCGTCGTGGCTTCGACAGGCGAGTCCAAAGCCCCCGTGCCCGGGCGGCTCCCTACGCGGCGGACCATACTAGCAGGAGAGCTTGATGGCCCACGCATTATCCTTCACGCCTGCACCCAAGCCCGGGGTAGCCACCCACCCACCCACCCACCCACCTACCGTCATGGCCACGATGATCTGTTGCAGCACCAGCAGGTCAAACGAGTCCCCCCCCCTCAGCGTGTTCACCAGGAACTGCAGCACCGCGCCCACGTCCAGGTCGGAGAACCGCCTGCGCAGTCACATTCACGTGAGCCGCCGCAGCAGCATTCAATACCGTGAGTCAGGCACAAACGCAAGGGCGGCAGCAACGCGAAACGCACGCACCCTATGCCGTCACCAACACGCCACACCCACCTGCAGGCGGCGCCGGTAAACCTAGCCAGCGACTGTAGCCATCCAGAGATGTTGACACCGTCCTCCTTCACCTTGTCCCTCTCAATGGCAAGCCTGCAATGTGCAATGTGGAGAAATGACAGAGATGTGAACGTATGTGAACGTATGACAAGACGAAACCTCGCTTGCTTCCATGCTCGCTTGCTTCCAAGTACATAACCCCAATCCTCATGTTACTATTGCCAAAGATCCGGGGATAGCAGCTGTCTACGCTTGCGAGGAAGAGCGCGCTGGCCCGCCCTCTCGGCAGTGGCTGCGCCTCCTTTGTAAGGGACTGGCCGGGCTCAGGCCCGGAGGCCAAGCAGGAACAAGCGGCTTGGAAACCTCGGGCGCAACGTGGGCTGTGAACAAGCCGGCCCTCTCGTCTCCCGCATCTCTATTATCAATGATGTTAGGCCGCCGTCACGAATCGTTGGCTCACCGGGACAGGATGACAAAGGTCAGCATGTCGTAGCTGAAGGACGACAAGTACTTGAGAGCCTCCAGGGAAACCTCGATTTGGTTGTCGTATACTTCGATCTGCAACCAACCGCGGTGGTCATCCAGTTTATTCAGCCATGGCTCGCAGTAGCAGTGCCAATAGAGCAGCACGTCACAAACGAGAGCAGCACAGTAAAGCGGAATGCCAGAGCAAAAACAGATCGCGGACGGCATGGATGACTTCCAACATATTGTGAGGTTCATGCAGCCACGTGGGACGCCACCATCAACACATACACACACATATATACAAGAGACACGAGAAACGGATATACCTGCGTCACAATCGCCTCCATGACCGGCAACGGGTTAGCGTGGGCTACCTTGGCCACCATGCGCGCGTGCGGCCTGGTGTGAAGGACGCGGGGGGCGAGGTAATGAACAAAGAAACATATTTCTCCCGTGAAAGATCTGCTGTCCCAAGGGAGCTCGAGAACCCTAAAAAACACATGCAAAATACAAGAAACTGAACACACAAGGCGCGACCACAAGGATTTGAGCGGCCTTTTTGAACCTAGATCAATGTGAAACTGCAAGGCATGAAACGTCGTCTGCCCGCGCACCTGCACGCCTCCTTCTTCTTCTGAGGATCCGTGGGTAGGACCAGGCGCTTGAGGACTTTCTTGGTCTCTACGGTGGCAAGTCGCCAAGCAGCCTGGAGCAGGGGCTGAGACTGGGACAGCTCCTGAAGAGCAAAGAGACGTAGCGGGTAGCGGGCATGACAGTTACGAGGACACGACACGTGCAAAACGAGTTAGTAGGTACGTACGAAGCGGAGAGGAACATGCAAGGGCTAGGCGATGGCGTGTGCCTCAGCGACGCGGAGCGGACGAGCAGCAGCAGGAGCAGCAAGACGGTTACATGGAGGGGGATGCCATTAGCGATGCACCGGACACTTGAGGCTGGGCAGCTGCAGCTCGGGGTCCAGACGCGATTCCTGTTAACCGCAGCAAGCTAATGCCGCGCGTCGAAATTCCTCCAATTGGTTCCTCCATTGGTTCCAATGCACGCTCCTTGAAAGCTAGGGGCTGCTACAACACCCAAGTTTCGCATGTGTGTTAACGCCAAGCGTTACACGCACCGCACTGCATTGCACACGATCGTACAAAGAAACACAGATGCACATACCCGAAGACCATGCAGCCCTCTCCTGGCGTACCTTATACTCTGCATAGATGCGGTATCTGGATTGCACGGGCAGTAGTTTGACGCACTCCCAGACATCCGCCGCCAGGGGCAGATGCACCGGGCAGCAGCTAAGAGCAGGTAGCAGCACCATCGCCAGCAGCTCGTCCAGGGGCCCGTACCGCTCAGGCCTCTGGCCCATGGTGCTGCGGGGCACGGCGGCGGCCGTAGTCTGCTGCGGCTGTCCGTTGGCCTGTGGCGCCCCTGCCGTTGAGGTTATGGCTGCTGCCCCGGCCCCAAGTTCCGGCCCCGAATCATTAGTTAACGGGAAGGCGAGCTGGTAGCGCAAAATCCGCAGTACCTGTTGACACAGCCGAGGGGTTTCTGAGACACGACAGAGCAGGCCCAGCACTGCCGCCACTTCTGGCATGCCACTTGTGCCCTTCCCAGGGCAGCTAGGCGCAAGCGGAGTCATGGTGCATGGCCTTGGTGTTTTATCCACCTTGTTTAACGCCCAGAGGCTGATGTGTCATACAGGTGACGTGTATATGCGGGAGCATACAACCATCGACTGGCAGCACCGCCGGAAAGCACATGCATTTTGAAGTAGTGAGTTAAGTAGCAGCTTGGGAACAAGTTGAATGCGCTTCACCGCAGCGTCAGCTTTGCCAGCAGCCGCCTCCATCCCCGGTCTCACCTTAATGAACAGTCGAACGTCGCGGTGAATGTACAGCCCCAGCATGTTGAGCAGCCGGAGGGCCATGGGGCTCAGCTGCGGAGATGTCGCCCCGGACGGCGGCACGTCGCCCCACAGCGCATTTCTGCCCAGGACACCCTGCACAGTGCATACACAGACACAGACACACATTGTCGCAGGAAGAATGGGGCTCGGGTATGCAATCGGCATTGCGGCTCAACTCGCAGGTGTCCATTCGCACGATATATGAATGCACCCCGCGCGCTTGCCTACCTGCGGAAACAGGCTGTCATACGCGGGCGCAACCTCAGCAGCCAGCAGCCGCGACAGCGCTTCGGAAATGGGCGGGTGGGCGGCGGGTGTAGCCCCCTGCGCCACCAGCCGGTCGTGAAGCTCCACTGCCGCGTCCCAGGCACCCACCTACCGGCATGAAGGAGCGGAGTGGGTGTTACCATGTTTACCATCTTTTACAAGTGCGGCGCGAGGACACGATTAGAGGATGCGCATGGACTGCCGTGGTAACAATCACTCTTGGAAATGACATTTTGCTTGGGGGTTCTTCAACCAGGGTTCCTGGTCCCGGGCAGCAACGCTCGCAATTTTCACACGCAGGGCTGCACAGTGGCCCAAAGCGATGGCTTAAAAGAGGCAAGAGGAAGACTCGGCCGTTGAGGGAAATCAATACATGAGCCCTGAGGCTGCTCCCTTCCGGCACCCACATCCACGGTGGTCATAGAAACGCGCCAAAATGAACAGGTGGTATGGACGGGCGATGGGGGTATGCTGGTGGTGGTGATAAAACATCCGTAACCCGCCTGGTGGGAATACCCACCTGCAGCAGTGCATCCAGCAGAGCTAGCGGCTGGTTGTGGCGAGGGTCAGGTCCCAGAGCCAGGGGCCCAACCGCTGCGGAGGGATCCAGCTCAAACGAGGCCGCGGAGAGGCCCGTGCTGCGCACGTTGCGGCCGCTGGCGTCCGGCTGCTACAGCGGGGGAAAGGCGGGGGGGGGAGGGAAAGCGGCTTGAGTCAGGGACATGGCAGGAAGTGGAAGCGGCACGCACTGATCAACTTGATGAGGCCGAGACCACCCGAAGGAAGAGTGTAATAGAAACAAGTGCATGGAGGGAGGACGCGAATACAAGGGGGTCAGAGAACGCGCGAAAGTGCACCGTACCACAACCTGTACAAAAACATCTGCACTCTAACATCTGCACTTCCCAGAATCGTGGGCCCCCGCCCTCCCCAGAGTTCATGCTCTTAGTACTGTCAATTCCTGCATCAACTTCTCAAATCCATGCCCGCAGCAGACGTCCCCCTTGTTTTCCCGTTCCAAACGACCTTTCCCTCCTCTTCCCTTTCCCGCTTCTCCACTGGTACCTGGCCGCCCTTGCCGTTGCGGTCCCGGCCGTCTCCCCCATCCCCGCCCGCCGCTGCATCACCCCCAGATGCGGCGCCCAAGTTGATCTGCCCAATGTCCCCCACACGCCGCATGAGCGCCTCCCGGGCGCTGCGCTGTCCTGTCGCCTGCTGCTCGTCCGAGGGCGACAGGTGGCCCAGCAGCTCCTGCAGGCTGGTGCGGCCGGTGCGGACCAGGTGGGCGGCCACCAGCAGGAGCTCGCGAGGGGCAGGATCCCGGGAGGGGTCCTGCGCGGACGGCAACGGGAAAGCGGGGGGGGGTGAAGGGAGCGGAGAAAAGACGTGGACCCGGATAAGACACCCGTACATTAACATGGCCGCATTCGAGCCGACTGTTCGGCATCCTTTGCTTTCTAGTCTCCCCCGCCCTGCCAGACGCAACTGCAGGAGCCTCAATTTCCTAAACGAAGTTAGTCCAGCGGTTCACATCCTATGGCCTCACCAAACTCACGTTCGTTCCTTTTACCTCGTGAACCCCTTCCCCTTGGCCAGCGGCCTGCCAGGGACTCGACGGCTAGCCTCTTCCTGAGAAGCCATGCACGCCAAAGTGTCGCTTCGCAACCACTTCGGATAGACTCTTCTCCCTCGCGCCTCGTTCTGCATCATCCACCCAGTCCACCGAACCTGGCCCCCGCCCTTCCTTTCCCACCCTGACATGAATTCTTCTCCCCATTCCGAGTCTTGCCGCCACAACTGCCGCACCTGGTACTGTTCCAGTTTGAAGCCCAACAGCTGCCCTACCGCCTCGCCCTTGAGCAGCCCCACCGCCTCCAGCAGGGCAGTGTTGTGAGGCTGAGCGGCCGCCGCATCCAGCAGCAGGTCCAGACAGCGGTTGGGGTCCAGGTCGAAGGAGCCGATCAGGGACTGCAGCTCCCGGGCCAGGTAGGGAAGATCCTGTGCGGCGTTAAGGGGGCCCCGGGGGATGGGCGGGGACGGGGGGAAGATAGGGTGAGAGCTAGGTATGGGAAACTGGGAGGCGTGGGAAGAGGGAAGAATACCTGCATTATCATCGCTGAGGTGGCCAGGAAGGGAGGGTGTGAGGCTAACAGGATTCTAAGCTTGCGCAAAGCGTGGTCGGTGACGAGGTAATAATCTAAGCTAGACGAGCGTATGGGGTAAGGGCCAGCCTCCTTGCCGGCGGTTTCCCCCCCCCTACACCATTGGAATGTAGGGGGGATGCCGAAGGTGCGACGGCTCGGCTTGGACACATATGGCCCCGGTCTCTATGTGCATAAACTACTCCTCCACATCATCTTAACTTCTCCCCGGGCTTTTTCCGCAGCCTTAGCCCTAAGCGCGCCAGTTCCAGGCGCTGCCGCGGCTCATCGTCACAAACGTAATCCGCCTTATACACAGCAAAACCCACACCGATATCTCCTTTTCCGCCATGCGGCCCTCACAGTCCCTCCCGCCGCCAGGCCCCCCTCACCCGTCCAGCCGCCCTGGCCGTCCTGTCCCCCAGCTCGCTTCCTCCCACCGCCCCTTAACCCACACCAGCCACTCACCTCCTTCCCCACAGCCCCCGATCCAAAGTGGTTGTACAGGGTTACCAGCTTGGCATAACCCTCCGCGTCCTCCCGGAGCAGGTTGTACCTACATCCATGCATGACATAAGGAATTTGACATATATTCAAATGCCAAGGGGACAACTGCGGGTGTCCATTAGGGGGCCCTCAGCTGGGATCCGCAGAAACCTCTGCTAACTGTGCACCCCTCTGCGACCCGTCATAGTGACAATTCGCTGGCCGCGGAAAGGACAACAGGGTCATGCAGTCAGAGAGGAATAGACCACGGGGCCGTGGCCGCACTCAAACACTCACTTAAGGATGGTGTAGTTGAGTTTGGTGTTGTAGCGCACCGCCTTCTTGTCCCACACGCTCTTATCCCGGATCAGCCCCACGGTGTGCAGGCAGTCCGGCTCCAGAACCTGGAGCAGCTGCTTCTCCGTCACCTAGCGGACCCCAACAGCGCCGCAAACAACAACACCGTGGAACAACCAAAACCCCAGCCGGCAGCCAGCAGCGGAGGGGAGCAAAGGCAGGACGCAGCAGCACGAGGATAGGATAGGAACTGAACCATGTTGCACCTCCTTTCGTGGGCCCGCGGGACTAAGTGCTAGAAACGCCGGTGTGTCGTGGCCAATGGCAGGGCAACCCAATATGGCCATTTGCGTGACTTTCGGCATCAAACTTGTGTCCAGACCCCGACACCATCCCTTCAGCACACACAAGCACAAGCCGCATACCGCACGACCTCCCAGAACGGTTGCTGGGACCCTATCAATAAACCTGATCCGTAGCTTCCCTTACTCCCCTATCAAGCATCCCCGTTTGACCGCGTCCCACTTCGGTTAGCAGCAATTAGCCCCTCTGGCCGGGGAACCTGTCATTGTTTGACAAACTCTTACGGCCGTACTGGCTCACCGACACCAAAGCAACATTTCCCTGTTGTGCGGATGGCACAACCTTGCAGGCTGTTTTCGCTGACCCAACTTAATCGACACCCATGCGCCTTCTGCACAACGGCATAGCCCCGGCATAGCGGCCTGTTTTGAATTCAAAATTTCGGTCACGAACTAGTTAGGGCCTCTGACAAATGGAAGACACAGCCTCGAAACCCAGAACCCATGGTCTCGTGTCTGCTCCTCCACCGAGTACCGCCCCGTGTTGCCGTGTTGTGCAACAGGCCCATCATCTACTCACCCTCTTATCCTGCCAGCACGCTTTAATCGCTGCGACCAGGTTCATGCTCTCCGGCCCACGCCCAACCTCAAAGCGCACCCACAGCATCCTGCAAGTCGAGGGAATAGCCGTAATCCTGTGGCAGATAGAGGAATACGTGTGTGCGCCAGCTGTCGCAGCCTCTGGGGTTACGTACCAAAAGACGTCCACAAGCGCCTCCGCGTAGGCCGCCGGGGTTCCCAGAGGCTCGAGGGCCTTGTAGAACTCATCTGCCTCAAACACACGGCCCTGTGGAACCACGTGTGGTTTGGAACCATGACAACCCCCCATGGGTACCGTTACGGGCAGGCACCAGTTGGTCCCACGTCATATCCGCAGCGTGCTGTCGCAGACAGCATGCATCACACACATTGCGCCTTTCACAAGCAGATACGCACGGTAACAGGCGCGAACCTGTATATGCTTCAAGGTCACGCCAAGCAACTGCTCCTTGATGTCCGCCGCCATAATCAGCTGCTTTGCACAAGTTTAAGTTACTTGTATAGTTGAAGGTCCGATATGCAAAGCTTTCTGTTGTTGTCCCCTACGTTGGCGCGATCATTGGGGGTAAAAGTTCGCAAATAAAAGTAAGCCCCATACGTCATGAGCCGACATAGCTGCATCCATGTACCTAGCCGTGTCTGTACGCAGCTCTGGCTTGCGGCTGTCTATTCGTACGGCATTTCTCTCATCATTGTGAACGACCAGGCCTTAGCAATAACCTTTTTTTTCCTTGCGATTTACAGCCTATAAAATCCTGATGCAACAGTATAGCAACAACTAGTATGCAACAACAATATAGGACGTGTTTCAGTAATCTCGATAGGCTGAACGCCGAAAGCTCTACCCGCGTTGTAACCAAACTCTTAGCAATTCAGCAGTTGCTCGTTATTACCAACTGGTGGTTAGAAGTTTCTAGCTTTTATATTCTGCTTCTTTATACGTTATATGGGCAGCGCTCAACCATGGTTAGCAGTGGAGTTTGCCGCCCTAGATATTTGTGGTTTCGATCGCTGGATTGATGAAGCTCATTACATGGCGCAGCGACGCAAACGAAGATAGAGCTCTTTCGCGCGAGCGAGCTTCAGTCCAGGTGCCAATGTCTCCCTTCCAGTTACGGGGGGTTCGTACGGCACTTCGGAGAACTGGCGGGTGGACGAGGGTCCACGTCAGGGCCTTCGCCAGCAAGGGGGAAAACGAACGCTGCAATAACGTTTCCAATCGCAATGACTACAAGGACCACAATAGGAAAGGCGGCTGGCTCATGGCTGTGTTGGAAAGGAAAACAGCACAGCTCCACCTCGTATTACTAGCTGTGGTTACGTGCTCTGTTAGGTGTTCGACAGTTACATTCCGTTACATTTCCACAGTCACCTTTGCGTTACGTCCTCGCCAAGCTCACATCCTTGCGGACACTCCATACGACTCCCTCAGGCAGGGAATACCAAGACATACATACCGCATAACACCACAAAATTTACTGGGAGGCTGTTGATCCTCAGATGGCTCCCAACTACCATGGCTACACCATTTCAATCGACACCAACATGACCCTCCCTCAACCCGTCCGAACAACACCCATAAGCAGGGCCCCACGCAGGTCCTACCCACCCACTCACACCACGCGACCCAAATGGCCCTCCTTGGGGTGCCTCGATGCAACAATTGTGTGCACCGGATGAGTTCCGCATCCTCCACACACACAACCATTCACCCAAACGATAGGTACCCAAATCGCCGGGGCCGCTCCGTGGCACGAAGTCAGGGTCCTGATGACGTCGTCACCCGTCCTGCTACATCCAATGGCCCTGTCGCCCACCTGTCGCGTAAAACTCGGCGCACTGCCACAAACACCCCACCGGACAGGGGCGTCATGCGGGGGGTCGTGGTGGAACGAGGAAAGGAAGAGCCCTAACTTCACTGCACTGTTGTCCCAGCACCTTGGTCCTCCCCTCTACTAAGGACGACATCCCCTCTAATAAGCAGCATCCCGGCATAGCAGCTCTCCGCAGGACATTCAAGGAAAACCCGCTTGGCGGCAGCAGCTGCAGCAGCAACAGACCGCGACCGACAACCGGTGCTCTTTCCTAATCAAACAGCAGGCGTGATGGGAAGCGCAAAACTAGCGAATAGCGTGCCCGTGGAGAGGTTTGGAAGAGTGGAGAGTCTGGCCGGCAGGTCTGCCCCGCTGGGGGAACGAACTCTCTCGCTCTGTCCCCCCATCCCACCCCACCGCAACGCACCGGGCGACAGGCCACAACCGCCCAGGCAGTCAGAAACCAGGCCTCTCATTTTGCACTTCCCGTCGTGTCGGATATCTTCTTCATCCAGCAGCCATCATGTACAAGGTCACCACGGCCATCATGTCACTTTGTGTGTTTCTTTATCAGCTCCTCTAGCAGGTCAGGCCTGGCACCACTGAAGCTCTCCACCCTGCGACCGCCCTTGTAGTAGACGAAGGTGGGCTGCATGCAGCGGCCCCAAGGACGGTTGAGAAAGCAAGAGGGGGGAAGGGCAAACTGTGTGAACCAACATGCGAGCAGTAATCAGTATCAAGTGCAGAAAACCCTCCATATCCCCGGGTTTGGGAAGGGTTTGGGAACGGAAGACAGGGGGTTAAGGCCATGGGGCGCAACATCTTTCGATGCCGTACATGTCAAGCATCGACCCACATCCACGCAATGCAAAAGGACAGAGAAGGTGAGCAGCAGCAGCAACAGCAGTAGTAGCAGCAGTAGCTAGTTTCCCGCAAGCATGCGGATACGTGGAGCAGGGCCGTGCGTGCAGGCAGGCAGATCGGATGTCCATAAAGCGGCTGGACGGCGACATCCGGCATGGGTCGTGGTATCATCACCGCCCTACAGCGCCGTGAGGTCCCAGCCATAGCTGCACATGACCACCTCCCCTTGGCCTATCCACAACATGGCCCCGAAACCCATTATTGCTGCTTCTCTACAACTGCTCCTGCATTGAGAACATGTTCACCTTGCCGCAATAGCAGCAGAACCATCACCGTCAGCTGCTGCTGTAGCAGCAGCAAGAAGAGCAAGACACGCGGCTGAAGGCCTTTCGGGCAATCAACTTCTGTCGAGAAGCCTTGGGGCGTCCCAGCTTCGCGGTCCACGAAGAGGAGGGCTCCAGGGAGGTGGAGGAAATGGAAGCCCTTTGAAGGCCTCCACCCGAATACCTGGCCCACTAGCCCATCCGGCCGCTGGCCAGCCCCAATATCACCGAAACCGTATCGCAACATATTACCTCACCTCACCTCACCTCACCCTCACATGGCACAATGGGGAGCGGGTAGACCGGTCCAGGGTCTACGTAAACGCGTCATGTTGCACTTCGGCATATCGCATATGGCATGTCGCATCGTCCCATACGTCTGGTTGCAACAACAAGCTACCTACAACCACGGTACCATATCACGCCCCGACGCGCGACCGCCTTTCCGCCTGCCGCTTTTGTGTCACGTGCCCATTTCATGTCGCTCACCACGCCGGTGATGCTGTGGTCGTTGACGGTTGCTGACACCCCCGGGTTGTCAATGTCGATCTTGACGAAGGAGACCTGCGAACGCACGGGACGGGGCACAAGGACGCGGGAGCGGGGGAAGTCACGCGAATGGAGGCACCGCTGGCACGGGCATGTTGTGATCCAGATGCGTTTTCGCTGGTTATCCTGGCGTGCGTGCTGATTTGACGAGTAATAATGTAAGGGCGGGCTTGTGTTGACAATTTAACGTGCAGGTCAAGTACAGCGAGGGGCTTATGTAGAAGCCGAACGGGTTTGAGTGATCCAGACAGAAAGGGAAGGGATGGGAAAAGGTGACAGGGGCCCGGGCGATATCCCCCACAATGATTTCCGTTCCCAACCCGGTTTCTCAACCCGCTCCCCAGGTCTCATCCAAACGATGCAGGCATCCCCGCCATTCCCATGCACCAGCTTACATCATTAAACTTGTTGGAGAGCTGGCTGAAGATGGGTGCGATCATGCGGCACGGGCCGCACCATTTGGCGGTGAAGTCGCAAATCAGTAGCGACCCTGAATCTGCGCATCAATTTCATCCCACACAAAATCAAGACTCATGCTGGGCTCCGCTGGGGCTAGGAGGATTGCCGCTGTGTGCGGGCAACATGGTCGGGTTGCGAAACTTTAGCGACGTATCCCTCACCCGCAGCTGCTTTGAGCTTTTCTGCAAAATCTTTATCGCTCTGTAGCTCAACAACCTTGTCCGCAGCGCCAGCTGCAGCAGCGGCCGCAGGCAGTGTGACGAGAAACGCTGCTTGCGCGCGGAGCTGCCTCCGAGATCACTACCTGTTGCATAGCGCGCGCCACGCCCAGTAGCAGTCGCGGAATAAATGTGGACGAAGTTTTGGCCACACCGGGCGCTGCGGGCTAGTTGGCAGAGCATTTCGGGAACCCTGAAATTGCCGGCACAAAGCAATAAGCCAAAATGCCAATAGCCAGCGACAACCGTCCAAGCTAAAGCCCTACTAACATCAAATTGAAAAGTGATCCAATGTACGTTCGCGATGCCAAAAGACAGTCCGGCAACCCGGCCATCGCACATTTCCGCACACTTCAATCTTTCCCGTTTGCGGGGTTAACCATTTAACGATATTCTCAAGCTTATTTAAAACGTATCGCTGAATGTAACTTTTAACTTTGCAAGCATGCCAGGCGGGAACCAGCCTGCTATGACCCACGGGCCGCTATTAAGTCGCTCCTTCGCAAGCTACGGCCGCCGTTCTCGTCGGTGCTCCTTCGCAAAGGAACTACAGGCTCTAACATGTATAATGGTGACGATAGTGTCAGCCTCAACGAACCCCATTCCCATGGCATGCAGTGGGGCAGGCTGCGCTGGAGGAGCCCTTGACGACCCACGTGGCGCCGTCTCCCCACGTGCAACTGACAAAAACGATGGAAATTCTGATTCTCAAATAACCCCCAAGGTTTAGCACAAGAATTGGCGCATACCTATGTGGACGGAAGGCGCGCGGATCGTGCCGCATTGTGCATTGTGTATATAATACTGTTCACTTCATACATAACTGAATCAGTTTTGCTGTACAGCAATCGGTTGAATTACTTTACATCCAAATCTAGCAAATTACTTTTACCCATTTTTCACCTACAAAACGTTTTTGTTCAGGAGCCACGTGTGTTCCACAAGAGTCCCCACCGCCCCTGTCGTCGCAATAATGGTCCTGTGACACCTTTATGATAGGCGCGCGTGGAGGTGCCCCCCCACCATCCGTACAGCTTGGTGGGCCAGCTCCGAAACGGCTGTACGGCGTTCCTCGTGGGGCCTTGCCACGTCATGACGGTGGCGCATTGCGTGTACGACCCACTGCGAGACATCTGGTGGCCAGGACTGGAGTTCAGTGCGGGTGCGGGTGCGGGTAGGGCACCTACACACACACATATATACACACACCCGCCGGCCCCGCGACTGTCCTCGCCCAAGACCGTGTACCGGAGCCGGGGTTAGTCCCACAGCTGTGCCGTACATTGTTCCTTCCCGACAGGTCGTAATGGCGCATCTGCGTGGGCACCGTACGGCACCGTGACGTGGCGGGCGACGGAGGTGCCAAAAGCGTGGCGGCGCAGCGGCGGTGCTGGCGCCCCCGGCGCGGAGATGTACGACTATGCGTTAGTGGTGCTAGCGGAACCGTTGGGGCGGCGACTGGGATGGATGCAACCCGGCGGATGCGGGCTGTACGACCGCCATTTTGCCGTACATACCGACGCCGGCGGCGGTGTAGCTAATGCGGAAAGGGCTGCAGCGGGCTTCAAGTTCACCGAGAAACAACCACAACCAATCACCGTACAGGTACGGAAGGATCCAGCTGCCGTACAGATCCGGCCAGGCGGGATCTGTCTGTGACGAAGGTCCGGACCGGCTGCAAGGCTGCTCGTAGCAGCGCAGCCGGCGGTGGCGGTGGCGGTGGCGCCGGCAGGAAAGCATACCTACCCGTACACCCGTACACCCAAATGTTCGCAGCGGAGCCCCCGGAGTTTCCCATCCCGCATACGCCTTGTCCGGTGCGGGTGTTCCCCCATCCCAACGAACTCCCAACTCCCTTGCCGTACGCTTCATCTTTTCCCGGCACTAGGTAGCCGGTTACCCCGATGACAAGGAGAACGGCACCTTGTGGCGGGAGGTCTGCCGGGTGATGCGGGCGGCGGGTGGTGGGGGCGGCGGCAGCAGCGGCGGCAGCGCCAGCGACGGCGGCAGTACGGCGTCCGCTCTGTCGTACCATGATTGCAACACCCGGGGCGGCAACTCGGGGTCTCCGCTGTGGGTGATGCTCCTCGAGGTGAGTTTCGTCGTACATGGCGTGCCAGCGGCTATAGCAGTGGTTGAGGGGAGCAGGAAGGGCTAGAGGCTTAGGGTGGAGTGGCGTTGCTTTGTTACTCTGGGGGGCTGTAGCTGTACGGAATGTACGGGAGCCAGGAAACCACGCAGCTCCCCGCAAGGGATGCATCTGCTGCCGTACACTGCGACCGCGCATATTGCCTGTCCTCCCCAGGTCAAATCCCTTCCGTACACATACATACGCACATACATAATTACATACGTGCACACATGCACACATACAGACATACACATGGGTCAGGCATTACTGGTACAGCACACACTGATGACCCCGGAGGTTTCCGGAATCGATACCTGTCAAGAGTCGAAAATCCTTCCAAGGGTGGAAGGTATATGCGCCCCTAGTCGATGGATGGTGGTGACCTGGGACAAAGTCTTCCTACGAGCCGACCAGGAAAGAAGATGAGCCGCAGTTGTTCCGGCAGATTCCGTTGGATGCTGGTGGTGGGTGCGGAACCTGAGCGATCCACTGAGAAGTTGACTAGGGTGACTAGATGAGGGCGCCCCGAAATACCGGGGAAGGCAGGGTTTCGCCGCGTAGCGGCCACGGGTGAAGATATGCCCCCCTGTCCCACACATCATACACATGGAGCCCGCCGTTTCATGTCCCGAGGGAGCGGCCTCTGGCGGCATGAATTGATGCTAAGTCTGTAGCTATATTTGCAAACCCTCTCCAACCCCCTTTGTACGGCCCACTCGACGCGTGCATGTCCCATCTCAGCAGCTACTCCACCCCTCCTAGGCCCCTGTTATAACTCCTCTCACCCCAACCAAAACTACCCTTCTCCGTATTAATCATTTCCTCCCTCCCTGCCAACCAAACTCTGCCCCAACCACTGCCGGTCGCGGCGGTCTCTGCGCCGCTCTTCCGCCGACACTGTGACATCATCACCGTCGTGGTCATCGTCCTGGGGGCCGTCACCTCCTCTCATGTCCCAAATATTTCCAAGAGACCCTCCCCCCCCTCCCCCGCCGGCTCTACAGCTCCGGCCCCCTCCCTGGCGCCGGTGGCTCCGTGCGCGGTGGCAATGCATGTGGCAGGGGAGAGAGTACGGCGCTGGGATGCGGCCGGTAGGCTGTACGGCAACCGCAGTCGGGGAGTGGCAGTGGACCTGGAAGGCGAGGCGGGTGCCTGGCTGCGTGCTGCCCTGGGCAAGCATAGCGATTGCTAGGAGTACGACGTAGCTGTACTTGGATAACTGATCAGGCAAACAGAAAGCGAAAGGGAGGTAGTGACGAATATGTGGTGATAATATAATGATGTCTGTATGTGCATTTGCACTCCTAATCCTAGTTGTATTTCACGTGGTCGCTATCGTGTGGGGGGGTGGGGGGGTGGGGGAAGGGTGCGTGAGATAATCCAATAGGTAGCAGACCTAGACCGACCTGGGCCGGTGCTGCCCCTACTGAAGAAATGCGATGTGAACGGGCCTAGGAGGTGGCCCCCGGTGACCGCTGTCGATAGTGGATAGCGCCTACTGATGGCGGCCATCACCACTTTCACCCGTTTCCTGGCCGTACCCCGGTGACATGCCGTACAGCCCCACCGGCGCGACGAGACAATCAACTAGGCGGGGAGAGTGGAGCACAGAGGGAGAGGGGCACGTACCGATAAAGAACAAGAACAGCAACAAACGGCCCACAAATAAACAGCCGCGAAAACGGCCGTCCACTATTGCCAGCACGCCTCGTAGCGCGACGATAACCTGCAGGAGGAAAGTACAAGAAAATCAGACATTCGCATCCGCCCTGGCAGGATAGGCGCCACCCGGCTCCAGAACCAAGGACGCCCAGCCGTCGTATATTGCAGAAAACCTTGTCCTTTTTACCGCGAGATCGAAAAAACGATTCGCTGTCAAGGTAGGTGTGTCACAGTTGCCGTTGCGTTGGGTTCAACCTCCCGTAGGGCCGTTAACGGCAACGGTGGTTCTTATACAATGCTTCCCGATATGACTATGAGATACTCTGGAGTGCGGTTCCAGCGCAGATCTCTCCCCTCGCCGTACACACGTTCATTCAGCTGCGGGCCCCCGGACCGGACACTACTTTGCTGCCTTGCGCCAGGTGCCACCCGCTAGCGCCCACTTCACCATACGAGGGTGGGGTCATCAGGCTGCTGTCCTCTGCCGGACTGCGGTATATCAGCACAAGCGCCCCGGGGGAACACTTTGATGGCGACTTTAGCATTGGGCGAAACAGGGCATCCCAACCGCCCATTGGGCCGGGACCGTAACACAAAAGAATTTTATGCTATAGCCAGCTTCGAGTAGTGCACGAAAAGGTAAATTTTACCAGAGTACGGTTTGCGGCGGCGATATGGTGTCGTTTTTTGGGGGGGCGCGGTCGGTCAACAACAATAATGAAGTCAGTCAACGGTGGCCTTCCACGCACCATCCATTTCCGTCGGCCGCTGCAACCTTGGTTTTAGATGACAGTACGACATAACAATCCCCCCCTGTCCGCCAAGCTTTTAACTGTACTTTTTAGCTCTTAACTGTACGATAATTGTAAAGAATTGTACAGTAGAGGTACATCTTCCGTGAGTAAACCCATCCACACATCATATGCTTGACAGCCCCAACCTGCCCCCGACATACACAAGCCTTGCGCAGACGGGCGGCTGCCGCCCGGGGGCTAGTGGCGGCGTCCTCACCTCAGGCGTCATCCCCCTCGAGAGGCCCTTCCGCCGCCGGTACCACACATCACCATTCAGCTGACAGCATTCCTCACAAAGCCATAAGGGCTTGCGTGACGGGTTGGGTTGGGGTACGCGACACACACACACACACATGCATACATACGTACACATGCACACATCTCTGGATAGGTTCATCGAGAGCGTCCTCCACACCTCGCTCCATCCGTACTTTTGACACGTCCCTAACCCCCCTTACACACATGACATACGTGTGTGTATGTATGTATGTTTATACGCTGAAGTGCACTTATGCAGCACCACATCACGACACACAAAAAGCCAACAAACTGTCGACATGCTTGGGACTGCAACCCCCTAAGATTGCACGCAAAATCCCAAACGACAGCTCAACCCGGCCAGGTGAGAATCCCCTCTAGCTTTCCTGCAGAACAATCCCCTGCGAGGCGAGGTGAAGGCTGCTCCAGGTCGGCGCGCGCGAGTCACTTTCCGACGCTCCAACCGATCAGCCAGAAGCAAGCAGCTGGAGGGAGAGGCGGAGCCGCCAAACGGCATACAACCCAGCCAGCCATGTCGAACATCAGCCGTACTGTACGACATGTACCGTCTATTCACGCCATACGGATATACGATGTACAAGCGACCCAGCATAGCTGCAATATACCTCTGGATTGCCAATCTCCACCACGCCAGCCTTCATAAGTATTCATTCGTCAAAAGACATGTTAGGGCAGAAGGCGTCTGGACAGGAGGTGAAATCCCCTCCTCCTTCCCTGCCCTAACATGTTCATGTTGCTCGCCTCGCCCCCTCAAACGGCTTTTCCTTGAATGAAGGACGCCGCCCAAGAATAACCAACAAAAGGTTTGATGATGAAAGCTGCCACGAACGATTAAACCAACATCAAAAAGAAAGAAAAAAGAGCAAAGAAGCAAGAGAGAGAGATCAGAACCCTAACGGCGACAACCAATCAGAAATGTACATCGACCGGGCCAGCCTCGCTCTCACAGCCATATCGGAGTGATGCGCGACAGGTGACGTCACAATCGTCGTCCGGTCGCATTTCGCAAACCTCACCTCACCTCACCTCACCTCACCTCACCTCACGCTCCTCTCTAGTGAGGTGCAGCCCCAACCAAATCAGCCCTCAGAGATACACACACACACACACACACGCTCTCACACACACACACACACGCTCTCACACACACACACACTCTCACCGAATCAGCCCCGCAGCGCTCCATTGCTGTTGGGAGTATGAAACCACAAATAAATCCTTCATGAAGTCCCGACCGTTCTTTGCATACGACCCCCTCTCCAATTAACACATGGCCCCCTCCCGCCCCCCAACACATACACACAAACATCCCCGCCCAAGTTCCTGTTTGGGCGCGCTGGATGCACCTTGCTAAGGCTGTTGAACATATTTATCCCCGTGCCGTGCCGTACATTCGCAATGACGAGAGCCCCGACCTACTTGGCAGCCAAGGTGGCCGTATTGGACGCACTGCACCGCCCCTAGAGCTCATGCTGCTGTTGCATCTCCTCATGTGCCTGCTAAGCGACTATGGATAACCGCTGGCCTATATCCTCCGCCATACCGTACTGCCGTAAGTGCAAGGACCCATGGGTCAGTCCGTCCGCATGTCTACATCCTACCTGTAAACCTATCAGTTTTCCGCGCCCAGCAAACAAGCACACACGCACATGCACACACGCGGACATACGACATGCATATACACACACCAATATGAACATACACGACGTAAGCACACGTTCGCATGCTGCATGTAGCACACCGCTCCGGTAAGACTCAGTGCGGAGTTTGTCCGTCTGTCTGTCCAGTTCACCTTGGAGGAGGCGCTTATGACACGAGCCGCAATGCGCGGCCCACTGGAAATGTGTATCGCCCAGTGCAGCTCCTGGCCGTACCTCTCCCCCCCTCCCCCTCCCCCTTTCCCCCCACCAACACAACGCAGCTAGCTCTAGCCGCCGCGCTCGTCCAATGGACACGTATTACCGTACATGTGCTCAACTTTCCGACCCTGCCCACCGTTAGCGGTTGTGCCGCGTCACGTCCCTCGCGGCCCTTCCCCGGCCGCTGCCCTGCCACTGCCGTCAGCCCCGTCAGGTGACACGGGGGAAGAGGCCGCCGCGGCTGCCGCTACAGCGCTACTGCGTCGTCGCCGCCCGCGGGGGTCCTCCGCCGTCCGGGAGCCGCCCAGTGCTGTTCATGTTCAGCGGCTAACGGTCTCAACGAGGCCCTCTCCACACTCTCCGACTTCGCTGACCTAATCCTGGTACACCCCCCGGCCGCTGCTGTCATTCAAGCCGCTGCTGCTACACCCCCCCTGCAGCAGCTACACCACCACCCCCCTTACGGCCTCGCTCCCTTCCGTTCGCAGCACCTGTGGGAGCCTCCGGAGGCCGTCTGAGCGGAGGTACCGTTGGCGGGACCGTTGGCGACCCCCTCCTCCTCCTCCTCCGGCTCCTCCCCGGGGGGCCCCTGTGCTGCCGGTGGCCCCACCACCACTGCAAAATCACTATCCCTGCTACTGCCCTCCTCCTCTACCCCTTCGTCCTCTCCCTCCTGCTGCTGCTGCTCCAGGTACACCATTCCCTTACCTCCATTCAGTCCGGCACTGCGCCGCATCCGTACACATGGGCACACCACCTTCCCCCCCTCCTCCTCAGGCACCCCCACCGCCACCTCGTCTCCCTTCCCCAATGCCCCCGGGCCCTCACCCAACCCCACTAGCCAGCACTGGCAACCTTTACAGCACCCACAAGCCGTCTTGGCGCCGCATCTCCCCCTCCTCCCGTCCGTCCCTACCCCTTCCCCAGCTTCCGCCCTCTCATCCGCACCCAACAACGGCTCCCTCTCCTCTCCCTCCCCATCCGCCGTACGACTGCCGTGCACTCCTCCCCTTCCCCCTTCAATCCAGCCCCACTTCTGCAGCTGCCTGCCGAATTGCGACTGTGGGCCCAAAGCTAAGTACAGCACAAGGCCCAGGTAGAGAGCCGTGAGGATGGTGAGGGCCGTCCCAGTGACCCACGGGTCGCCCACCACGGCTTCGTATGCCACCTGGTAGACGGCCAGTCCGTTAATGAGCAAGACGACAGCGGCGATGGCCCAACAGAGGGCCGAGGTGGCGGGGGAGTTGGCGAACTCGCCCATGATGACGGGGGAGGAGGTGAAGGTGAGAACCTGGGTTTTTTGGGGGGTTGGGGGGTTGGGGGGAGGGGGGTTGTTCCCAACGTACCGAGGTAAGGAGACACACAGAGAGAACCCCCTCCCTCCCTCCCCCCCCTGGTCCCCACACCCACCGGCACCAGTGCGAAGGGCAGCTGTATGCTCTGCAGGAGGTTCAGTCCCTGGTTGAGCTGGTCCAGCTGGCTGCCCCCGCCGCACAGCAGCGCCACCAGCAGGGTGGGGGCGATGGCCACCGCCCGGGTGATGGCCACTCGGCACCAGGGGGACACCTTCAGGTCCTGCAGGGCGGGGGCGGGAGGGGGGGGGTACGGCAGTGAACATAACCGCGGCAGGAAGGAGGGCGGCTGAGAGCGAGAGGCGTGGGCTTGCACCACGCACGGCCCTGCACGACCATGCAGACATGAAAACGTGTACGACAAGCTCCAAGGCCATCAGCTCCAGGGCTGGCAACTCCAAAACACATATGGGTTGTCGACTCATGTCCCCGGTGCCCACTGGCCTGGAAGACCACCTGCTAACTCCCCCTCCCCCCCTCCCAGCTGCTCCCTCTTCCCCACTCACTCACCAGGTATCCCCCCATCACGAACTGGCCAGTGTAGGTTCCCGTCATGGTGGACGACTGACCCGCGGCCAGCAGCCCCAGAGCCCAGATGTACACCACCTGGGGTGAGGGGGAGGGGGGGGGGTGTAGGGTGGTGGGGGGTAAGACGTTGGCACTCGAGCGGGTGTTGAGGGGGAGCACGGGCACCTGCGGAGGGGCGGCATATGCCCAGGGTCGCAACCACCACCACCACTGCCAACATTACCGTAACCTCCCTCCCCCTTCCCCGCCCCCCACCCCCCTCACTCACGGGCTGTCCGTACGTTTCCCCCAGGTACCGCCCCGCGTTCTGTAACCCGATGTCCGGCAGGTCAGCGCCATAGAAGCCAGCCGCGAATACGGCAGTGATGAACAGATTGATCACCACCGCAACCTGGAGGCAGAGGGGAGAGGATAGAGTGCGTGAGGTGCGTGTCGAGAATGTGTGCGTGCGTGCGTGTGTGTGTGTGTAAGGGGCCCCCCGGCCTGATGACCCCCCTCCCCAGATATCCCCCCACGGCCGGTTAAGAGTGCGATCAGGGAGCAGCACCCCGGGTGCACTGCAGGACCCGGCCCGCCCCGCGGCCCCCTCCAAGACCCAACCTCAAACCCAGTAGGGGGAGGCACATCTAGCTGGCCCCTCCTCGCCCCCCCTATCCCACATCCCCTTCCTCACCACCAGCGACAAGGCGCTCTCAATTCCAAAGTACGTCAGCGCCTCCCTCTTGGCTCCCGGTGCGTCACTCCCCAATCTGCGTGTCTGCACCAGGGCGCTGTGCAGGTAGATATTGTGCGGCATGATGAGGGAGCCCAGAAGGGCTACTGCCTGAGGGGGGGAAGGGGAGGGAGGGGGGAGACGAAACACGAGCGAGTGAAGCTATGATGCCACGGGTAGACTGATACCGGGGCGGGTAAAAGGGGGAGGAGGGAGGGAAGGGGCACACACGGGTGTGTATGGAGCTGTGCCTAATCAGGCAAGCACAGATGGGCACGTCAAGAAATCTCGGATTTCACAGTATGTGGCTTCCCTCATCCTGACGCGCATGGCGCCTTGCACACATACGCGAATACTTAGAAACAACACATACATACATATATACATACATACACATACGCTCACCACCGGGATGTCCTTCCGGGGCAGTTGCGGCACCACAAACCCCCGAGCCACCTGCTCCAGGGGAACACCCGCCCTGCCGTACATGACACCAAAGGTCCCCACCATGACCCCCACCATGCCCGCAAAGAATCCCTGTAAGGCGAGGGCGGGGGGGAGTGGGGGGAGTGGGGGGGAGGGGGGGGAATGTGCTGGAAGAGGTGGAAGGCAGTATGAAGGCTGCGCGGGCGGGGCGGGAGAGCGAGAGTCGGAGGGGGCAGGGGGAGGCGAGGTACGGGGGCCTCGCGAGCACATACACACCGTCCGGATATCACGAGATTTCATTATCACGGAATTTCCCACTTCACCCACACACGGATCAGGCACACGAACTGAGAACCTCATACATACCTACATACCTACATACATGCCTACATGCCTACATACGTACATACATACATACATACATACATACATACATACATACATACATACATACATACTACTACCTACATACATACACCGATGGCCCCGCTGTTAGGGCGCCCGAGCCCGGTCAGCACCCCCTCCTTCCTCGACCTGCACCCCCCCCGTTTCCCCCACACACACTCCGCCCCCCGCCCCACTCGCCCACCTCCAGCACCCGAATCCCCAGTCGCTCAATGAACAGCAGCGCGAACGAGTCCGCGGCGGTGAGCAGCACTCCCGCCCACAGCGGCAGTCGACCGCCGCTGAGCAGCGACAGGGCGATAGCGCTACCTGGATACAGGGGGGGGCGAATTGGGGCCAGCAAGGCAGGGATGAGGCAGGGGGAGAGGGAGGCGGGGGCGGGGGGAGGGAGGGGACGATTTCGGCAGCGGTACGGCAAGCAACAACGAGCAACAAAACACCTCCGCATCCAAAACCCTACGCCCCCCCGCTTAGCTCCGCTCCATCAGTGCCCCAATGCCCCTCCCCCCGAGGTAAATACTGCTCCTGTTTGCGCCCGGGGTGGTGGTGGTGTGTGGTGGGTGGGTGGGTGGGGGGGGTGTGGGGGGGGGCCGGGGAGGTCGACACATGGCGCCTGGTGGTGGCGGGGTAGGGTCGGTAACGCACACCCGGTATCGCCCCCTCCCCATGAACCGCCCTGGTGGACGAGCTTTCTGCTGGCGGTGGTGCCTCTTGGCAGCTGCCCCCTCCCCTCGCCACGCACCCGTACCCGTACCCGTACCCGTACACCTCCCACCTATGACCTCCTGGATGTCGCTGCCGATGATGGCTATCTCTGCCATGAGCCACAACGCGATACGGGGCCCCGGGGGGTACTGCTGCCTGGGGGGAAGGGGTGTGCGGGGGGGAGAGGTTGGGGGGAAGGTATGTCAGCATGTGTGTGCGGGGGTTGGGCAGTGGCAGCAGCTGCAAAGCACGACGAGGACCTCCGGGTTACTGGAGGGCGGTATGTGGCCATGCAGCTGTCCGGAATGCCGCAAAGTAAAGGAGAGCCGCAAACGAGGCGGGAGAAGTCCCGCAACAGTGGCAGCGGCGCACAGGGACCTCCTACCCCACCTCCCCCCTTCCCCTCACCTCCCCCTCCCCCTCACCTCCGCCCCAAACCCACCTGCAGTGCTGAGCCAGGTGCTGCCCTGTCACCACTCCAAGCTTGGCGGCTTGCATCTGTACGACAAGACCCTGAAGGGGGGGAGGGGAGCGGCAGGGTGTACGGTTAAGTTGGTGGCCGTGCCTGTAACCCGGGGTGCAAAAGAGAGGGCACAAGAGACACCTCCCCCCTCCCCTCGCGCCCCCGGCGGCACTTGGCTCCAAATAAAACACAAATCACCAGCATCTCCCCTCCTCCTTCCCCCCTCCCCTCCTTTCCCCTCCATAATGTACGAACCCCCCTCCCTGCCTACCCGGGCCCCCCCCCCTTGGGCCCCCCCCATCGGGCCCCCCGGCACCCACCATGACCGTGCTCAGCAGCAGCAGCCACAGCAGCACGTAGCCCGCCTGGGCGCCCACCTGCAGGTCGCTCTCCAGGTTGCCGGGGTCCTGGAGGGCAGGGACGGGGAGGGCAGGTGGGACGGGGGGTGAGGGGGGGAATGACGAACCACGAGCGAGTGAAGGAGGGAGAGAGAGAGCAGATGGACGGGAGGGGCCCTTTCCTGCGGGGCGGGAGCTGTACGGGACCTGTACGGAGGTGCTGCGACCCCAGCCCCAACCCCAACACGTGTATACACACTTCCCTCATCGCGGCTCAGAGCATTAAAGCACTGGAGGCGGACACAGGGATTATGGAGGGGGTGGGTTGAGGTGGGTTGAGGTGGGTTGAGGACACGAAGGGAGAGGTGGGGCGCCACAGTGCTGCTTTTAAACCTGTGCAGATTCTTTTAAAAGGAATTAAAATAGAAAGGGTGTTTTCGGCCCTAGCTGGGAAGGCTGGGAAGGGAAAAAGGAATAGGTTCATTCGTTTTTTATATTATATTCCTTGTGTCAGGGTTGGCCAAAAGGTTTCCTTCCTGCCGAATGTATGTACGTATGTCTGCTCAAGCACGGGTGGGTCAAATGGATGGTTCTTGGAAGACCCGCCGCCACGTGGAGACAACGGGGCCTTACGAGCATTCCTGACGTGGCCCCGGACACGGCGGAGGGCGTTACTCCTCTAAGGGGTTCTCATCGCAAAGAACACTAACTAAAGGTCCGTTGATCCGCTTTCCACAAACATTTTTGTACATTACCGTTGGGATTACCGTTGGGATCTAGGTTGCGGAGGGCCCCCAGCGCCCCAAGGCTAAGGGATTGTTTGTCAGCCAGACTCATAATCCATTTTTTGGGTTTGGAATAAAATTGACGCCTTCCCAAAAACAAACACAAAATCACGATCCGCAAAGCAAAGCAATCGGCCCGCTTAGCGGGGTGTGAAGGGCATAACGGGATTCATGCAGGGCGACGGTGCGGGCAAGGGAATGACGGGTGGCCCGGGGCAGGGGGGAAGGCGCGGCCGCGTCCGAGGCACTGGCGGGACGCGCTCCTTACACCTCACGGGAACCCGCAGGTCGGTGCACGAGCAAAGGGCGGGCACACTGGAAATCAAAGGAAACCATCATCAGACGATGCCTTAACGGCCTATATTTTTAGGATTAATAGTAATCGGATGGCCAGATATGCTCTCACGGGCAAAGATGCCGTTCGACTGCCGAGCGGTACAAGCCGCTTACACAACGTACCACGTACGCAATGGACATGAGGATACCCGGGCCCATGAATTTCAGCAAACGCCGAAATGAAAAGTGGCGCTGGGAGCTTTCCTCCCAGTCGGAGTCCTCCACTGTGACGACTGACGGGGCGGCCCCGTTGCGACACTCCTCAGCAATGGAAGGCATCTTTGACGCCTTGAGCTAGCTTTCCACACAGGACGAGGTCTTGTGGCCGTTGATGCCAAGCTCTCTGCCAATCCGTTCGCGGAGACCGAGTTTAGTTTGCAAGGGCGCGTGTCAAGCGTGTGTCAGGCATTGCACATAATGCGTGGACTAACTGGTTCATGGACGCATGTCCAGGTACACCTATACGCCCGTCTGGTCACAGGAGAACGATGCGCTCATAAGGATAGAATGGCAAGCACATCAAGACAAAGAATCGGACGTGGGCTTCATGCAGCTTTCCATAACAAATGTCTCCTACCGTAGGCTAACTATTGATGAAGATATGGACACGTGGCCACCTTTTTGCTTTTCCGTGTCGTCTCCCGTAATTTGACGAGAAACGACCAACGGCAGCAAGCCTTGATTCAAAAGCACATAGGATTCCGTAAGTCCAAGAAATATAAACCGCAAGTCCAAGAAAATTTAACCTAGAGATCTGCAGGGTGCCGCCCAAATAACTTGCGACGATTAAACTTCGCCGGTTAACCTAACCTTGCGTGGTGGCGAGCGTGCATGATCACCTAAAATTCACCGTAAAAGCTTATCAATCGTTTGTATCTCATCGTTCGGAAGCGTCAATCCTTTATGGGCGGGGAACAGTTTTCGCGCAAAGGCGCTTGCTGTACAACAGCAAGGCCATCGATGCCGACAGGATGGACAGACGGATGGACAGGATGCTGACCGCACTCACCAGGCAACTAGACTTTTGGAGGCATGTCGTGCGCCAAGGGCCTGAGGCACAGACAGCGACGGCAAATATCGGTACTCAGGATTACATCCAGCCTTTCCCAGCCTCATAACAAAACACGCATGGTCAAAATCACAAAGTTCCTGCAAGCGCCCTTACGCTTGTGACGGCTGAAAAGAGCCCTTATGAGATCGTCTGCGCCTCTGGTCGCGTTTGCTGCCGAACTCCGCCAAGCTCTGACATAGCTCACCCAACATCCGCTACGTACCATGCCTCTATGAACGTCTGCTCGATTTATGCCGCCACTGTTCATCAACTGCCTTCTAATACGGGTCCCCCTCCATCCTTAACACCGCGACAAACTACGCATCAACATCACCCATGCGGCCTTATCGTCTGCACGGTCTCTGTTTTGCACTGCATACTTCGGTTAAGCTGGTCACGCTGCATTTCACTCTATCCTTGAGGCAACTACGTCTCACCGCAATGGCGGGTAAGATCCCGAACCCCGAGTCCGACACCCTCCCCCCCCACACACAGGCCACCTCTCCCAGGATCGGTAGCCAAACGCCCGCTACCCAGCTCAACTTGTATCGTGAAAATCAACACCATGTTTATTTTCGTGAGAATCCGCCCAACATGTGAAGGAGTCTAGCCAGAGATAATTCCTTCTTGTAAGACCTGTAATGTACGATCACCAACACTGCAACACAGTTTCTCTTTCTCGCTGACTGGTTTATTCGCTGACTGGTCTCTTCTTCACTTCTCCAGAATGAACTCCGCCACCGCAATCCCCGTATGCCGGGCAGGTGGCTGTAGCAGCACATACACCAGGTCCCCCGGCTGTAGCTCCGACACGCTGATGGCCTGCCAACATGTCACCTCCCCCGCCCCACTGTTTACCCCACCCACAGCAGCAGCAGTAGCAGTAGCAGCAGTAGCAGCACCCGCCTCCAAGCTGCTCCCCACTCGCTCCCACCCCGCACGGCCCCCTCCCGCCGCCCCCGGCCCCACCGGCCCCACCAACTTCACCGTCTCTACGTTCTGCAGCATCAGACTGTGCCGACTTACGCGCACCTCCCCAGCCACGCCCGTGTCCTCGGACGTCTCGACTTCCACCAAGACCTGCGGAGCCAGGGGAGTAGCAAGCCAGGGGGGAGAGAGGCCGGGGAGGACGGAGGGAGGGAGTCCGGGGGAGGGGTTTAGGGTTTTACACGCATGAATCTGATTCCGATGGTGCGAAAGGGGTTTGTGCGGTGGGTGGATAGACGGCCGGTAGGGTATTTTCCAAAGCGCGCCAACTGAGGGCGAGGAGGAGGACGAGGACGAGGACGTCCCCCGGCCACCTGAGGCCCCACGTCCCCCACTCCAGGGGGGAGGGAAGAGTGCAGCTACCAACCCCCCAACCCCACCATCTTACAGTTTCCTCCCACCCTGGAGGTAACGCCTGACTTGTGTTTCCTGATCCCGGCTGCACTGCACCCACCAGCGGTCTCCTCTCGATCTTGACCCTGCCCACCAGCGCTGTCCTGCAGCGACCCGCCGGGTCAGCCACCAGCACCTCCTCTCCGCTCGTCAGCTCACTCAGGTAGCGGGTACGACCTGCGGGACAGCACACGTAGGCATGTACCTGGGGGACGGGGAGGGGGCCCGCGGGGGGAGGACGAGGAGGAGGACGAGGAGGAGGGCCTGGGAGACCGGGAGGACTCGCGCGGGCAAACACATTTGTGGGTGTGCACGTGCAGGAGAGAGCGGGGTGTGGTGAACCGCTACCGGTGCTGTCTGAATGGCCACTGGACCACTCATGCCCCACCGGGGGTTGCACTCTCATCCGTACAAGCCATCCAGGCTGCGGGTGGCTCCGGAACCCACGAAGTCAACACCGCTGCTCGGGCTGGCGCTGCTACACCCAGGCCACAACCTGCCACGTCACCCCGTCGGGACTCCCGCACCCCGGAATGCTTAGTCCCGTTCAGCTCCGGGACCAGTAGTACCTCCCCTTCCCCCCCCCTCCCAGCCCTCACCGGCCCCGCGTTAACTCTGAAGGGTCTGCTGGCGATGTACTGGCTCTCCCCGCACTCTGAGTGCACGAGGGCCAGACAGCGGGCGAAGCTGCCCACCAGCAGGCCCTCGCCGGGCTGATAAGGGGGCATGGAGGGGGAGGGGGATGGCAGAGGCGTGTGTGTTTATGTGTTTGTGCTTACGGGGTTGGCGCGCCTCTTCGCCTCTTGGGTCCAACACCCCCTAGCAGAGTGTCCCCCACCCCCCAGGTGCGCAACACGAACCTTCTCCTTTCTTTCCCGCCCGTGTGCGGGTACCACCAGTTGACTTGAGACCCCATGCGTGTGTGTGTATACCGCCCGCTACCCACGTAGGTAACCTCGGAGGTGAGCTCAAGACGCACACATACATACGTACACACATACCCCCCCGCGGAGACGCGCTCAACACCCCTCCGAGCCCCTTCTTAAATTCCCCCCGGGAGAGAGCTCCCCTCCCCCTTTCCCACCCCGCACACACCCACCCACACCCACACCCACCCACACACCTGCATCAACCCCGCCAGGTCCACACACGCCCGATCACCCATACACAACTGCCGTACAGCCACCACCCGGGCAACCGAGTACCGCAGAAGCGCGTCCGGGTGACCTGACTCCTCGGCGTCGCGGCGAGATATGTACGATACAAGTGTACGGACCTGCATGCGGGTTGAATTCCATTGCAATGCAATGTATGCTCTGGCTGCTGCTGTCTGACATCACCAAAAACTTCACACCCACACCCACACCCACAGACGCACACTGGCGGTTGGTCTACTGGAAATTCCGTACAAAGTGGCTGTTGACGACGTCGTATCGCTGCCGCAGCCAACACGCCTCTCTCCCTGCCGTCCTCCTTGCCCTACCAGCCGCCATTCGGTTGTCCTTCCCCTTCCCCTTCCCCTGCTCACCTGTGCCGGGTCGTTGGACGTGAGCAGCGCTCCCGCAGTCCCCGCCTGCAGGGCCTCCATCATAAGCTGGGCCTCAGCCGCGGTGCCGGCAGCCGCCAGCAGCCGCAGCGGGGGCAGCCCCGCGGGGGAGTCCGTGTGTGAGCTGGAGGTGGAGCTGACCGCGGGGGCCTGGGTTAGCGCCACCAGGTTCTCGGCCGGTATGATCTGAATGAGGGGCGGGTTGGGGTTTGAGGGGGTGAGGTGTGAGAGGCTGGGGAAGAGGGGTTGGGGGCGAAAAGACGAACCACGAATCGAGTGAAGCTGCTGCCAAGAAAAGAGTGTACGAGAAGCAGAACTGACCAGTAGGCGGTTTTGGAGGAGCCGACCTCGGGATGATGTAGTGATGACGACCGCGGAAACCTACCTACCTAGCCGCCAAGACTAAAAATAAGAACGAAAAAAAAGCACTAGATCCAAGCCGTAAAGAAGTAAAGGTAGGTGTAGACTCTACACTGTAGAGGCGGCGAAAAAGTAGTAAAAAACTGATGACGTGAGCTGGAATAAAGTTTGCCGCCGGCATGGCGGCGGCATTGACGTGGTTGGACCAAAACTGGGTGATAAGCTGGTACTAAAAAGCTGGTGACATGCAAGGGGTTGGGGGGAGAACGCGGCCGGAGGAGAGGTTGGTTGCTGGTCGCCCGGGTGAGGCGCACTGTGAGAGTCGCCCGAGGGGGACTGCCGACCCCCCCGGGGGCAACTGCCTACTCCAGAGAAAGGAACCTCCCCCTCCGGGGGGATGTAAGACAAAGGGAAGAGGTACGGCGAACACCCACGACATTCGTACATACAGACAGACGTACCGACAGAAGGACGGGCCCGAGGCAAGGTCCATCCCCCGAGGCGGGCGGTGCATCTCACCGCTACGTGGAGGCGGCAGCGGCTGCGGCTGCGGCTGCAACCCCCCACGGCTTCAAATTCACTTACAGACCCACCCACCCACCACCACCTACCTACCCATCAGGTCGCGCACCCCCTATCTTATTTCACGTACCTCTCCAGCCGCAAATCCAACCCCGAACATTCAGCAGTGCAGCTCCCTCCCACCCACCTTCCAATCTTTGGCATCCAACACAAGCACCCACTCCGAGGCGGCCTCCGACCCCACCCAGCCAGCCTCCGCCTCTTCGGTGTCCTCTCCTGCAGCCGCCACCTTCCTCCTCCCCCTCTGCTGCCCCACGCGGCCCTCAAGAGCACGAGCCGCTTCCGGACCGTCCACTGCCACCACCTCGCCCACCTGCATCCGAATCCAAATCCAAATAAACGACGCTCAAGCCAGAAAGCGCGTTCCAGACCACGAATCCAAGATCCGGATCTGAAAAACTAGTGCTGGAGAGCACGCCGTCATCACAATTTATCTCGGCGCAGGACTGCGCTATCCCGGGGCCCTGGCCTCTCCTCGCGCACTGGAAGGGCACCTCAGCGGTTGCAGTGCTGGAGCTAGAAGCCCCTTTCTTCCTTTCTTCGGCAGCTCTGGCGCCGTTGTTATTGCAGCTGGCGGCCAGTGCTTGTCTCTTGGACACGTACGGCAGGGTGCTGATGGGGGCCCGACCTCGCGCGGTGCTATCGTAGCAGTATCGTATCAAAGCTAGGGCGGCAACAAAAAAAGAAGTTTTGGGAGATCCCGGGTGAATGACCCCCGGGCAAAGTGGAATATGTCACACCGCCCCGTCGCCCACCTGCTTTCCCGTGTTCGTCTCCGATAGGAGTCCCCGGCTGTCCAGGTGCAGACATCGGAAGCGGCCCAGGGAGGACCAGGCGGCTGCGAGAGCCTGATGCGCGGGATCGGGTCCGAAGACAAATGCGGAGAAGCGGCCAGACTCGAGCGCGGCTGTGAATGCTGCCTGTGTGTGTTTTAGGATCCGGCCGGGTAAAGGCAGCGTGGGCCAAGGGGTTGGGGTGACTGGAGGCCAGGAGGTGTGACATGTGGCTCGGAAAGAAATAAGGTGTGTGTGTGTGAGAGAGAGAGAGAGAGAGGTTATGTGGAGAGTCTGTGGGGGACTGCAATGCTCGTGTGCGCACGGCCGGGGTTACCGAGTACCTTGTCGCTGGTTTGAAGCCAGAGCTCCTTAGCGCTAGCGTGCATAGAGGCATTTACGCGTAGCTCATGTGCAGAATATGTAAGACGAGGAATGGGTCTCCATCGCCAGTGCTTTGGTGTGGACTGCAGCTGCCGTATGCAAGAGTTTGGGCCAAGGCTGTGCCGTAGCAAGGCCATGCCGATATTGAAATGCACGGCCCACACTAAATGAATGATTTAAGATTGGGGCTTGATTGACGACGTCAAGCATCTATTCCTAATTTCCGTACTGGTTCCGGACCAAGCAACACAGTGTTTCGTTCTTTCCGTGCAACTTCGGGCGGATTGACACCAATTATGGTAACAGTGTAGTCTCCCAATCCAATATTCTGTTTGACAAATTGATTTTCCTAGTTTTGGTCTTCAGCACCGACCTGAGCACCAAGGCCGAAGAACATAATGATTACTTATTGTCCGACATGTGCAAACATGCTTTTAGGTAAGGGCCTCATGCTCCATAACAGCCGTAAACGCCGCTTTGCATCTGTGACACAGCTTGTTTTTACACACTGCAGTGGAGCTAACCGAATACAGCAAAGAATTACGGTATTTCTGCCAATGCTGTCCGTATGTGTACAGCATTGATAAGAAGGTAACTCGGCGAATGCTGTGCGTGCTGCGTGCTGGGGATGAAGCGCGTTGGATCCGCGTTCCATCTGGCGCAGATTTCTAAGATGGCACCATTAGCCCGCAAGCAAGTGGATGATGTACTTGGTGGCGATGATGCTTGGAAGAACGTTGCCAAGACTGATGGTGGGTACCGTCCTCCCCAGGGGTATCTTGGAGCCATTTTTGGAAATGTCGCTATTGTAAATCCATTTTATTTATGATGCCGTGGGCTTTGTCCAGTTCCGTAAGTCACGGCTGGGCACCCATGGATTGGTGTGAGCGCCCATAGGAAATCTTGTATCGGTGCCCTAAGCTCGCACGGATTCCCGCCTTGAATGCGCAATTCCTTGCTATCGCGTTCCCCGCTCCGCCCCGTTCCGCAGCCACGTGCTCCAAGTGCGCTTATCATCAAGCGTACTTTATGGAGATCCAGACGCGGTCAGCGGATGAGCCGGCAACGCTGTTCTTCAAGTGTGTGCAATGCGGTTACCGGTGGCGCGAGGGGTAGCGTAAACAGGAGCATTTCCACATGTCTGGAGTTACAATCGCAGTTGGATGTAGGGCCCTTCTCGGTGGCCTCTTCGCCTTACGTGAATGGCATTCGCCATGTCTTTGGTGGTTCTCGTCCAAGCCGCTGGCTAGCCCTGTGCCCTTGCTACTTGCGCCAATTCGGCATGATCGCTTCCAGGGGAGCGTTCCCAACTGCTTCGACATGAAGCTCATCGTCGTGACTACCCGCTTTCACCGCATACAACTTGATGCCTCAGGCCCGTTGTTTGTTGTGCAACGTCCGGAGGCGTATGCCCCGCTTTGCATGGGATGCATACTTTGCCCCAGCTGATATGTATTCTCCTGCATGTGGGTGCTGCTGGGGCCTGTACGGTATCACCACGGCCCAGTGGCGTAGAGGGGAGAACAACACGGTTTTGACGGAGGAAAGTAGCACGCATGGGGTGGTGGTAGATAATGCACGGGAACGTGAAGCGAGGTGTACATGCTAGCCAGGATGTTGGGGTACGCGACTGCGCTTTCATGTTGCAACTGAATTGGCACGGCTTGGTGCACAACCTGCAGACCCTGGACTGGCCACCAACGTTTAGAAATGGCTGCTGGCTGCCGTAGACGAGTGTGACAGCAGCTTTCGCTGGCTGGTGGCAAGCGGCGTCAGCGTGAGAGGGATGGTGTGGCAGGAGGAGGATGGCAATGTTTGGAGTTCCGCTTTTTCGCCAGTTGCCCTGGATGCAGTATCCAACAAAGTGAAACTCCAAACATTGCCATCCTCCTGGGATGGATACTGCATCCAGGGCAACTGGCGAATGCCACAAATAGCCGTGTCAGCGTCGCCAACTAGAGTAGGATGTTACATGTCTCCACTACAAATTCCGAACAGCTTTGCCTCAACAGACCATACTAGTCATAAAATTTCCCATAAAAAGCAGCATGAGAGATACAATTGAATACACGACATCTGCAGCACAATTAAGTGTTACGAATGGAAGTAGCATACATGCATTACTCAGCCTTGAAATATCTTCCAGATTGTTTAAAATAAAAACAAGCCCTTGCCAACTCAACAGCACAACACTCTCCGACAACCCTCCATTCGGTGCTAAAATGCTAAACAAACACCTTATAAGCCAATCAACAACAATCATTCCAACTGCGCAACCTCTCCTCGAGCGTGTAGCCTTCCCCAGCAGCAGCAGCAGTGCGTCCAATGCGCAAGGTGTGCGGATGTGCCCTGAAGGCATTAGTCCGTAGCTAGACAACAGAACTCCCCAATAGGCGGCAGCCATGCGCTCGCGTTTCATTTTCGTCCCCTCCAATCAATCTCTCTGGCCAATCAATCAAGTATGGGCCGATTGGCTTGCACACGCATCCAGGCAATTGCATGTGACCCCCCTTGCATGGTCACGCGTGCTAAATGATTTCTTCGTGTGCGCTGAACAAACATGCGCACGGCTGTGGCCGCCATGGCTCAAAACCCGCGTCTGTGTCAATTTCTTCTCCTTCTTCGCCAGCTCCCTCGCGGCACATACCGCATGCAAGGGTAGGCAAACACCACCCCGGGCCTTTCCGCCTGCAAATCCCACAACTAATGCAGTGGAAAGCACGACATCGGTAAACAAAGAAGTAAAAGCCGGGTCAGACACGTAAAAGCCGGGTCAGCCCATCTCAATGCCCAGTCCCAACACAGAACATAACATTATACATCGCCTAGGACTTTGCAAGCAGTCCTCTATACCCACGGACGCCGTGGTCACGCTAGACCGTTGCCGCAACATACGCCTAGGTAGCGGCGATGTTGCGTGATCGTTCAAAAACATCAACGGTACTCACCGCGCTGGTTGTACATGCAAATCTTCGGCAAATCTTCGTGTATCTAGCAGAACTGGTGTAGCGACGGTCCGAAACAGGGCGTGTTCAAAGGATGTAATAGAACTGCTTTCCATCCCCCTGCACAAGCTCTCATCGTTTTGCCTTGTGCACCCTCGCCTAATTATCCCTCCGACAGGTAACATCAATGACCACACCAGCCACGCATATCAGGCCCAACCGGCGTGGTCAACAGAAAACAGGACAGCAGATGAAAAGAGACAGCAACGTACAAAAAACATTAGCGCTGAGACGCAACGAGCGTTCGGTGCACGATGTCACTTCTAGCGCGCTTGGTGGCGACCACACGAGCAGAGCTCTGGAAGCTACGGAAGCTGGCAATTCCTTGGGATGCCTTATCAGGTAGGAAAGACAGTCGGGCTTGCACCGCCCAGGTGCCCCCACTCCAGAATGACAGGATATCAGGAGGTGCCCGGCGCACGTGCAGGCATCCCAAGGACGTTAAGCTAGCTTATGTATTGCTCGAATATGAACGCGCGTCCAAGCGCACGCATCACACGACCAGCTACCGGTGCTTGCGCCACTCCAGCAGCCGGTCTTTGCAGTATGCTTCGGGCCAACACCAACACCAACATCTCAAAACAGCACCCGCGCCCGCAGGCAACCAGGAGGGCAACCAAAAATGAGATGCCAAGCAGCCGTACCCGAAAACAGAAGGCTGCCAGCAAAGACCACAGGATTAAATGAGCATCACGACGCAGCAGACACAGTCCAGCGTATGTATCGGCCATATGGTCCATGAATATCATCCATAGGCCAACCCGTGCCTTTTTTTATGCGACTCACCATACTCGTCGGATGGCCTGACCATGCGGATAGCTGATGCGCGAAGCCCATGGCCTGGGAAAAATACCATTTCTTCGTCCGGTCCCACGCCGATCCTAATTGCTGATAAGAGTTATTCCTACCCGAGTGTCGTTGCGCTGCATCTAACATTGCGACCATGAATGGACGCCTGGTATGCGGGCTAGCGACCGGACAAAGCGCGAAGAGCCCGTGTGTAGTTATCTGCAAGGCAGGAAAGATGGCTAACGTGTCAAGAGGTAGGGAGAGGTGCGAAAAGCGCCTAGACGCACAACCTGCTGACTGCTGGCAGACTGCCGAAACTCTGCACTACGAAACAGGAGTCGCACCTGGGTTATGAAAGCGGCTTACAAAGCCGTGTGGACCGTACGCCTGGTAGTCAGACAACGTCGTGAGCGGGTGTGGCTGATTCATGAATTGCATCACGCTCTCCTGCATGCGCTCGAGCTTGGCCGCACGCCGAGCAGCGGTAGCCGCCCGGTGCCGGCGGCACCCGCTGGCCATGGCTGACAATCCCACGACCAGCAGCTCGTCCCAGGAGGTCATGGATGCAGCTGCGTAGTCGACCGAGGGCACCAGCTCCTCGTGAAGGCCCACTCGATAGAGCGCCGCATGGTTTGGCAGCATAGGATGGGAGGCGTCCGCCGGGCCTGCTCACAAGCGACGGAAAGGGGGCAAAGATGCAGAAGCGTAACGGCAGGTCGTGTGTCGAACCGGAATGCGACAAGCCTGTCAAGGGCACAATCCCTGCTGCGCGGCATATGCCCACGGGTGGGCTAGTCAATACACTCACCGTTCACGAACGGCAGGTCCGAAGATGGCCGCAGAACTGCCATACGGCCCACGAAGTTGTACAGGCTCTTGTGTGGCCCTGCGTCATCTTGGAGGGAGTGGTGATCACGGAAGGATGGCCACCAGCGCTGCAGCACGCCCGCCACCATTGTGTAGTCGCACACAAAGGCGCGGGGCACAATATCCTTATGCATGATCACGTTGACCACCTTGTCGTCTGCGAGCCCTAGACTCGCCATGAGGCCTAGCGGCAGCGTCTGAACCTGATCCATGGACGCCGCCATGGCGGCGATGCCAGCCAAGGGTCCCATGGCCGTGGCCGCGTGGCGCAACTCACAATTGAGGTGGCACTTTAGGCAACGGTCGTGCGGCGCATCGGCAACGGCGCCCTGGCAAAAGACTGCCGGTGCGCCAAAGGTGTAGACAGGAGATATGTTGGACGGCTTGAGCACGCCGCGCAACACAAATAGGAGCATCAGCACCGTTCCGAGGCTACCGCCAAGTGAGTGACCTGCATGTTGAGGCAGTCAATCCTGTGAACAAAGCGATATTAGGCCTGAAGCTGCGCCTACACCTGATCCATGCTCCATATCTATAGTTATCACCAGTGCACTTAGCACCCCACGCGAAAGGCAGCCCTGAAGGACACCATGACGGCCATGCGCTCACCCGCAAAGGACACCATGGCGTTTGGAGATGTCTCCAGGTGCTGTCGCACAAGAGGTAGCAAATCGTCGTACAACACCTTAGCGGCCTCGTACACGCCGCGATGGATACGAACACCTGAGCGCCACACAAGGACAGGGTCCCTGGTAAGTCCGAAGAGCGAAGGAACAAATTTATAGCACTGTCCATGTATTGATGCGCAGCGCCAAAACAGGGCATAAACAAAGCACACACGGCACATCTTAACATGCATATCGGAAACTCACCATATTTAGGGTCCTCGAAAACCACGGGCTCAAATTGCAGGTTAATCTGCCAGTGCTCTAGGGACGTGGAGCCCTGCATATACAAGCGGAGGAAGGTGGCCAACCTGTCAGACGCTTGATTGTCGTTCGCCACGGACTGCATAAAACGGCACACACGTGTTGCCCTGCAAGGATATGTGGCACCAAGGCCATGACGTCCTCCCCTTATAACCGATTAGCAATTAAGCCTACTTTTCCCACCGTTCTGTGGCACCAACCTGGATAGCAAAGTAGCGGATGCCCCTCTGCTTGTCATCACATGCGAACCAGGCACTAGGGGGCGCCTTGCTACAAGCCACCACAACCGGCGGGCCACCTGCTACCGCCTCATTGCCCAGGGTGTTGAGGACATCCGTCACCTCTTGCGGTCCACTAACCGCGACTGGCCCATCTCCGTCAACACCGCCCATCCCAGCCGTGGCTCCGGATGACGAAGCACGGCGCCTTCCAAGCTGTTCCTCACGGAGTGCACGGCCTCCGGCGGCACCACTCTGGGCAACTGCTGCCACCGGTGCTGCCTCGCCGGCAGCGCTACTTGTGCGGCGTTCCACAAGCTGCGTCTTATAACCATAAAATTGGCCAGCCACAAAGTCCCGGTCCTCGCACAAACTTGCGTCGCAGAACAGCGTGCCTGACGCAACCGCATCTCGAAACTCCCCGCCACCCCTGCCAAGCATTGCACCCGCAGCCAAAGGTGCGCCGCCGAATGGCGCATGTACAGGCGCAGCATACATTCCGCCAGCCTGCAGTCCCACCATTGTGGGCGATTGCGCGATGGCACCTTCGCTATTGTCAGCGGTTTTCTCGTCTGCTGCTAAGGTCTGCTGTATCATGGCCATTGAGATTTCGTCCAGGGTGCCCATGGTCCCCATGGTGACGCCCGTGCTACTGCTTCCGAGTAACATCGCCCGCGGCCCGCGGGCAGCCATCGCGGCCCGATGCTCCAGGTCGGAGATATCTCCGTCATCATCGTAGGAACCCATCGACGTAAGCGCCTGGTGCAGGGTTGAAACGTATACAGGATGCTCGAATGCGGCGCCGTGGCCCTGGCTGGTCAGGGCCGCAGTCACCGCCTCCGGCGAAGTGAGCTGCAGCATGGAGATAGACGGCGACAGCTGAGGCGAGCCCCCCATTGTGAAGGAGACAACACTAGGCGCCAATTGAGTGCCGTACATGCCATCCAGAAGTGTTGCTGTTGACATAGTTGCCACGCGTCCGTCCGCATGTGTCTCGTGCTGCTCTTGCTGGTCCTCTGTGCCCGGGGCTCCTGTAACTGCTTCGCTCATTAATTCCGAAGCACCGGGGGTGCTCATACAGGTATTACTACAGCTGATGGACGTAGCAATCAAAGAAAGCTGGTAACGAGCCTCCAGGAGGTCCCGGTCAAGCTTGTCCACCTCGTATGCCATGTTGCAGAGATCAGATAGCATGGCTGCAAACGACACTTCCACGTCGTCGGCAACCGTGAGGTAGGGTGTTAGGCTAGCGGGTCGGCTCGTGACAGCTGTTGAGGCGGAGGTGCTGAGCAAGTCAGCTTGAGTTGCGCCAGCCCGGGTGGCCGGCGCGGCCCCAACGCTGCTCAGAAAGCGCTGGAACTGATTATCAAAAATCTCCTGCGTGTGTCCCACCCAGTTAGGTGCCAGCACCTTGTAGTGTGTAGAGAGCTTCTGCCATTTGTCCCACACAGCTGAAAATTTGGTCTGCGCACGGATTCGCATGCGCACATCAATCATTAGAGGGATGTGTTGAACATCCAAAAATACGGACTTCCTTGCGATAAGGCAAAGAAATGAGGGAGACCGTTCCAAGCGTGTCGGGGACGCTGATCAGAGTCAAAGTTGGCGTCTGCCCATTGTCATCCGATATGCTGGGCATTTACAAAGTAGCCCTATGGTCTAGCAACTCGTGCAGCGGAGGTTAAGGGCGTCCGAAAGCTCCAGGCACAAAAGACCTTTGCTAGCTGTTTCGCTCACGATCAAACCTGCAAAGTTTTCGTCCACGCAGGCGTCCAATGCGTATTGCCCGCTAGGTTCACCGGGATGCCCACAGATGGTTGGGCTGGTGTTGGAGCGGCATGTGCCTCCGGAGTGGACGTCACAGTTGCCACATGCGTGGACACATCTAGGCTAGCCCTACGATGGCCTTTCTGTGGCGCTACTGAAACGCGAGGTGTGGTCTGCTTAAGCATTGCCGCTGTTGTCTCTTGCACCGATACGGTGCAGCCCAGGGACACAACGACCATCCTGCGCAAACAGCATATATGACCTGAGTGCGAGGAAACCCACTTGTAGTCGAACTCGATAGGTACAGGAATGTTCCTAGACAAATGGAGCATTGTCCCTATCTATTCCCTGTGCGGCCGCACCTTCGTTGCACCAAGCCCCAGCTTCAACGGGCAATGAAGCGTCAGTGCCGCGGACTGTAGACTATACCGCAGCCTGTCTCACAATTTCAGTTGCATTGCCAAGGGCGCTAATTGGTTGGCGTCAGCGTTAACTCAAGACTCTATCTGTTGATTAATTCTTCCCCATTTGCAGTGTGTAGTGCTTCCTGCTTTGAGTGGCTCGCATGAGAAATGGCGCATTAAATAATACCTTATGTATGAATGTGTATCCTGCTTTGGAGCGTGGCATTAATGTAACAGCACCCACTTGCTGACGTCGTGCATGACGTCCAATTCCGTACAAAGTGACTCCACCTCATTTCCGACGACGCTGCAACCGTGGCTAAGGTGACGCCCTTAGTGACAGGAGTTTTAGTCAGATAACTTGGAGCTTTTTGTATGCTTATTCTCAAGAATGCACTTTTTCCCCGAACAGCGCGAGAGGTAGTTCACTTATAATGCTACCTCTATGGCTAACAACCTTCTGTGAAATTGAAGGTTTATTTTTTGATTGAGAAAGTAGCATATGGCCCCAAACCGGGGCACCTTGGCCAGACTTGGCCGACGCAACCCACACTTGGCCGTCCGCTCTCGTGCGTAGAAAACGTAATGTTCTGGATATTGCTAGTTGCATTGGTACGCTCGGAAAGTCTGGAACCACACATATCGTTTGTAACCATGCACAGGTAGGCCAGGTAGGAGCCGTAGCAGGTGACGACCGCGCCCACGCTCGAAGCCCCGCCGTAAAACACGTGTCACAACCCTCAATGAAATCTTCTGTGCAGGATGATAGCATAAGCCTAATGCTGGCCGGCAAGGTCATTACATAGTTCTTGTTGCCAAGCGACTCGCATCCGACCTGGCTGGTTATCCAGGCCTCGCGTCCTACCTAGCGGACAGGTCGAGAAGGAAACTACTCGGAAGCTCAGCCGGCTCGCTGCTGCTATAGGTAGACGCAGAGCGCCTTGTGCCGCTGTGCAGCTGCACGCCTGTGTTAGTGTAAGCTATATCCTGAATTGCTGCATTAATCGGTGCAGCCCAGCCCCAAAATCTTCCTAGCTACTGCACTACAATCAGCAATTCAGGAGATTTCAGACCCAATCAGTCCTTATCTAGCGGTGCGTAGCCCTCGCGGTGCCTCCGCACGTGCATGCTCGTAGGGTAAAAGGGAATTCCTGAAGCAAAACACACACACACTTTCAGAACGTTACAGGGAACACACCGGTCCCATTCACCGTAGGTGGGGTATAATCCATCGGGGATACCAACCACGTCTGTTGATGCCACAGGTCACAGGTCACACAAGTTACGCCACAGGTACGCAACGTGACAAACATCACAGCTATTCAACCCCGGCGTACAAGAAACGCATAACGTTACCAGCGCTAACTCATAATAGTACAAAATAGGAGCCTTAGGTGCACTGCACACACCTACACCTACATCTACGCGCAACAGTTTCCATCATCGGTTTACACCTGGGACAACAATTTACTCAGCCCCAGTGCACAAGCCCCTGTTCAACAAGCAACACGTCTCTCTCTGCGCCACCCCACAGCCCTGTGCGCAACCTGATATTGCAGTTGCATACAGTTACCGCCTCCCGCACAACGTCACAGAAACAAGCGGAAGCAAACACAACCCATCCATATCAGACCGGGGAACCAAAATGTGGCATCATTCTGGGAAGCACTCCAGAGCTCACTAGCAAGGCTTCAGCAGCACACCATATACCACTCAGCTGTTGTTCCTAATGCCAAAACCTGCCATCTTTTCACGTTAAAATCGCATGGTGAACTGATTCCCAAATACCTCAGCATGTTGGGAACCCTCAATTTTTACCGGCCACCGTGTCAGGATAAGCACGCCTACTTCTTATCAGCTGCCGTGTACTTTGGCTCCGAAAGCGAGACGTATTTGGGCTCGCGCATACTGTGCGTGCTGGGGTTCACAACGTAACCCTGCTGTGCGAAGTCGTCCGCCATGCGATAGCTCACCTGAATGCAAGGCAGCGTGAACCAAAATAACATAGTACAGTCATCTCGATTGCTCCTGTCAAGATACATTTTTGCCTTTTACACATTCCTCGTTTAGCACATCGTAAGCTAACGCAGTTTCGTTTATGTTGGAGGCAAACACAGCACAAAGAGGCAAGTACCATGTCCCCAGGGGGCAGCGGTTTTACCGCTGTTGTGGTACTAATAGCCGAACCGAGGATGAAAAACACGTGTTATTGGAATGCCCAGCCTATAATGATATTCGTGCTGAAGAGGGATTCGATCATCAACAGAGCATGTTGGAGGCCATGAAGTGGGAGCCAGCACGTCTGGCGAGGATGTTGGAACGTATGTGGGCTCACCGTAACTCAGTTACCCCCTTTGGACGCTAGTCTGGGCAAGTGTGCGGTGTTTCCTTTTCTCCGTGGCTTTTAGGCGATGTAGTATTGCCCTTGGGCCTTCGGCTCGTATGGGTAGTTTTACAGTTATGGGGTCACGCACCCCCCAACCATGTAACACACAAGCGCAGGCCCAAACGCCTGGCACGAAGAACACCATAGCTTTCCCTCCAAAAGCCGTTTTCCTTCAGAAAAAGCTCTAGCGCGCACATGTAGGTAAGTGTCTTCCAGAGAAACGACAGTAGCCCCAATACCCTTCGCAACCTACCGGTCGCCCATCATCGTCATGCTTGCCAGAGATCGCCGAGAAGTCAAATTTCCGGAGGCTCGTCGGGGCAGCCGGGTCTTTCGGCGCTGCAGGCTTGGCATCGGCAGCCTGCGTTGCTGCGACTGCTTGTGAATCAGGCTTGGGGTCCACGAAATAAACGGGATCCGACATGCTGAAGTAAAGAGGCTCGCGCATGCTTGAACCGGGTGGCATGTACGTATACGTTGGCTCCACAATCGACGAAGGACGCTTTGGGGGAGGCGCTTGATTTGCGATGCTTGCAAATAATCGCCCTACAATAGACGAAGGGCGAGAAATGTAATTTAACCAGTGGCCGTGACAAAATCTGCTAACCATGAGAGCGACGCGCGACGCGCTGCGGCGTTCACGGAAACCCTGTCGCTGAACATCTCAGCACTGTCGACTCCTACCAGATGGAGGGATAAGTACAAATATTTTTTTCTAAGCATGATGCTATTGGGGGTATAACATGCAACCAAGGGAAATTTGCACCACACTAAACGAGGGTAAGCCTTACCAGAGAAGCCGCCGACCGCCTGCGCCATGCACATGAAAACATGGCGGCCAGCAAACGATGAAGACGATGAAAGAGCCATTCCTAGAGAGATCGTGCACACCAGGCGCCAAAGCTACAAAGGGCTGACGAAAAAAGCTACGAAGTTAAAACAGGAAACTGTTGCTTCACAGCTTTGTAAACTATAGCTGAATCTGTGCAGGCAGTAGGAAAATGGGCTGGTTGACCTATGTGTTGTCATGTCGCATTTTGTATGTTATTCTGAGCGGTTGCTGACGTCGGAGCTCCCTGGATTGCTGACTGGATTAGACTATGCTTCATTCCATACCCACTCTTGCAATCATAAGTAGAAGAGTCTAATTAAGAGAATGTTGCCTGTGGAGGATGGGACTGGTGCTCGTGGTGTGTAGCGCAGACTTAAACTTGGGTCACTTTATCAGATTCCGGGGCCGCAGGTTTGCCTCCCAAGCGGAACACTGCATGTACTCTAGAATATTTTTCCGTGGTGATGGGGGGAGATTGTGGCACAGCACCACCAAATGGTGTTCGCTTTGAGTCATGGGCCGCCGCAGCATAGTTTTTATCACTAAACACGGCAAGCCACAATGGCTAGCATTGAGGACGGGCTGCAACTTCAGTTCCTGCAAGAAACCCTTCACGAATCACTTACAGGGTCCATGTGCGCGCAGTGGGATGCATGATTAACCGTTGAAGGTGGAATCGCAGGTGGAATCACCAAAGATACAGTTTTGGGGCAAGCATGGGCAAACTCGTGGCACTTATGCCTGACTGGTCAAGGAATTAAAATGGCCGGTATGATTTCCGAGCGTAACCATTGAATCCCTGTGGACCGTGGCAAGGTCAGGGTAACCTGGGGTAACCTCCAAACAGATTTGTTAGCTTAAAGTAGCTTGCGCGAGCCATCCTCCATTACCTATTTACCACCAGACAAGCTTACTAGCTTACGCGAGCAACCCTGTTAGCCTAATCGTGCGTCGAGCCTCAAAACAATCCGCCGCAACAAGACCAGCAAAGCGCCAGACCCATCGCTTTCCAGCGCCGGACTCATCGCTTTCAAATTTATAGCTTGATTGCCTGGGGCCTCCTGGAGGTGATGAAACTGCCCTGCTAATAGGGCTCAGCTCTGGGGACAGTGGTAAATCTTCAATTTCTAGGTTGGAGAAGTGGCAATTGCTTTTAAGGGATTGCAATCCCCTTAAAGCTCCTCCCCTTGTCCTTGAAAGCAGCCAGAAGAAAATTTCGCTCCGCTTATTCTTTTCCTTTCTATTCGGGCATGCAAGCAGGCAGGGGGAGATATTTCCTTGTTCTAATTCAAAATTCAAGGGAAGGAGTTGTTTTGGCTTGCTAGGTGTATAGTTTATCATGTATTGAATCAGTGGATGTATCCAACGTGCAAGGATTGGCACTTCGGCAGGGTTTCGGGCTTCGACATCCGAACTCCGAAGTCGGTTTGTACGATGGCGCAGTCGTTGTCTAGTTGAGAGGCGTTTCACTGAAGTCCTAAATCTCGTGAACAGGATATTACACAATCTACCTGCTGGAAATTGAGCTGGCGCTTATGGAGTACATATTCTAGCTTCCTGTACCTTGATCGCATTAGTGGGGCTCGCTATTTTCTCGGAGACAATATTTTGAGCTACGATCTTCGCCTCAAAGACTGGGAATGAAGTGCATTGAACGGTGGGACCAATCAAGTTGCAATGCCCTTTCCTTGCACGCGCTCCATGACAAGTCGGGCATAAAGCAAACAATCGCAATCGGATTGCAATCTTTAAGTGGACAGCTATGGAAGGCAGGATTTGGAACGCCATGGAAGTGTTCGTTGCCCATCCTGATAGCACCATCCTCAGTTCGCTGCACTTCCCTGAATCCTTGTCAATTGTCCATAGGAGCTGGAGTGCAAAGCCAAGAACCAATGCATCAATAGTATTCGTGCTTCGTGGAGCAATCCGCGGAGCATTATCCAAGCAGCCACAGGCATTGCGGACATCTACAACAGGTGCTCCACTATCCCTTAACGACATCATAGCATTTGAGGTGGGCCGGAAATTCCGAACACAGCATTACGGCATACGTGGCAGGGAACGGTTAATCCCAATCCAGGCCCCAAATCCAACCCAGGCCTCACAATTCTGCTGCTCTGCACTTGCAGTCTGAGCTCCCGAGTCTAATCGATCAAGCTGCGGTGCCGGAACGCCGGGTGGACGAGCTTATAGACCGTGCGGTACGGCATTGGGGATTCGGCACCGTGGGCTGATTGCGAAACGCACAGCTGCCCAAGGGGCCCGTCGTATAATCAAGGACGGTCGTATCAGGTCGCGCGACATTTTCAACGCCGTCCATATTTTTCAACGTAACTCACATGGCCTGGGGCCAAGCAGTGGTAGCCTAACAACACAGCAGCGGCCCCGCACATCTGGTGCGCTGTGAACTGTGGCATCTTCCAGGGCAGCATCACGGCACCAAAACAAGCTGCGCGCACCAGCAAACACGTCTAACTTGTCCTCATCTCATCCTCACCTTTCCCTGTACGGCAAAAAAAGGCCCTTGCCATCAAATTGGCCCTTGCCTTCGTGGAAATCCGCTGTTAGGGGACACAAATGCAACTGTCCGGTGTGGTCAGTTTACAATATGTGATTTAATGCCGTGTCGTAACGCCGTACATCTGCGCAGGCGAGGGTGTTGCGTGAAGTCAGCAGTGTACTCGAGGACGCGGAGGGTGAACCCCCGGCACAGCAGCAGCCGCAGCAGCCCGGGCCACTCAGCACTGCCACCCTCCCAGGCACTCTGAGGCCGCCGGGCGGGGCCATCTTGTCGACATCGGATGCGACCGCGGATGCCGGTCCGGGGTCGGGAGTGGGGCCCGCATCACCGCTGAGCCGGGCGCTGTTTGGGGGAAGCGTGCAGGTGCGGAGGTGATGTGGGGATGTGAAGGGAGGCGAGAGCGATGTGGCTCCTCAGTGCTGTCGGTGCTCCTCAGTGCTCCTAGTTGGCTCCGCGGGTGAAATGGACCCCGATAGCACATATACCGGCCGCACCCGGATTTGGAGTCCGGAACTCGGGCAGGAGTCCGTTTCGTCCCGCATACGTTCCTGCATACCTTGCAGTGTTCGTCAGTGCTTAGGACGTCTTTCACCGGGTGGCAAACAGCCCACCGTGTGCGCCCTCGCGTCCTCGCGTCTCCTGGTGCCTTCCAACCCCAATCCCGACCCGATGCGACCCAAACGAATGGAACCCGTCCAACGACCCATCCCATCCCTGTTGTGGTCCCCGGATACAGGTTTCGGAGCGTGAGGCGACCCTTACGCGCCAGGCGCTGCAAAGGACGCTGGAGAGCGGCTCCGCGGGCCGGTTCGATGCCGCTAGCCCTGGACGCGACGCCGCCGCCATCGGCGGTGGCAACAGCAGCGCCGGCGACCAGTCGGCTGCAGTCTCCACAGCAAATACCGGGGATACGCCGCAGGAGCGACCTGCATGGGCCCAGGCATTCTTCCACACCACCGCCACCACCACCCCGACCTCCACCTCCACCTACCGCCCCTCCGCCTCCGCCTCCGCCGCCTCACCATCCTCCGCAGCCGCCCCCTCGCCCTCTTCTTCGCCCCCATCCGCCGCAAGCTCCTCCAGAAGCCCCCCAGGTGGGCTGTGTGGCAGAGCAGGTGATTGCTCGTGCGCCTCAACAGATCCCTCCTGTCCGCCCCTCCCCTTCATTGTTTGATTGATGAGTTGATGAATTGGGATATTGCCCTTGGACTAGTCCATGACCATGTGCTTAGCTGGCCCGCTACGCGCGCTCCTGTGCACTGACCGACCTCGCAAACTGCGTTTGAGCCCAACTCACACTGCCCTGCTCGACATTCCCTTGGAATCCCGCCGCAGGTGGCCGAGGAGCATCGCGACCCACGGGTCAGGGAGCGCAGAGCAGCAACTCCCAGCCGTCGGGCGGCCCGGGAGCTTCCATTGGGGCCAGCCGGGCTCCCGCTGCCTCCTCGCCCTCGCGCTCCCCGCAGGTGCCCCCGCAGCCCCAGCTTCAGCCCGCTGCTCCGAGCCGTCGGCCCCTGGCTGCCTGGGCCCCGCTGGCCTTTGCTGAGGTGGACTTGTCAATGCCCACAGAGCTGCTGCTTAAGTCCGAGGTGCGGAGCGGGATATGGGCTGAGCTGGGGTTGGGCTGGGCTGGGCTGGGCTGGGCTGGGCTGGGCTATAGGGAGGGGACCTGCTCCGTCCTTCCCTCCCTCCTCCCCCGCAACACAGCTGCCCCGCGCACATCCCACTGCTACATTCAGCCTCCCCATCGTTCCCACGACACCCACCACCACCACCACCCCAAACGATACTCTTCTTCTGACTGGTCCGCCAGGAGTCCGAGTTTGCGGCGGCGGCTCGTTCTGCCGTGCTGCCGCCCCTGCAGTCCGTTGTGGATCTGACATCGGCAGTACGGCCACCCACTAGGGGGCTCGATCTGGATCTGAGCACCGCAGCGGCAGTAGCGGCGCAGGATGAGCAGCAGGCGGCGGTGTCGGCAGCAGTGGCAGTGTCTGAGGAGGAGGTGGTCCAGGGTGGCGCACTGGGCAGGCGGCTGCAGGACGGCGCAGGCCGGTTGGCTGATGGCACCAGGTGATGTGGGTTTCATTTTGTGCTGGAGTAGCCCCTGGCGGGGCCCCTGGGAAAGGACGGAATGGGAAGGGAAGGGGCAAACCGATGTTGGATGTCGAGAGGAAAAGGCTGCGAAGCGTTTCCTGCCTAATGTTTGCAAGGGATGTGTTTATATTTAGAGAGAATTTATGAATTTCCTGTTGTGCAGAGGTGTGAACGACTGAGAGGGGGGCCGGAAGGAGGGGGCGGGAGGGCCGGTACTTGTGGCGTTGCGGAAGAGGGGGATGGTGGTAATCGGGCGAGTGTAAGAGTGTACGTCGCCGTGTATAACCGATGTGACGCTGCATAGGAGAGCCTCCGGCGGCATGCCTGCGGTACCCTATCTCGCCTCGCCCACCATCGTGCCTCGTTTCTCATTCCCGAACACCTCCTTCGTTGCGGCCCCCTGCATTTCAACGGATAATCGCGCGGCGGCCTCCTCCGACCTGGTCATGTGCACCGCCCTCTCCTCGTCAGGTTTGAGAAGCTGAGCGGCACGGACACAGGCCCCGATGGCTACGTAAAGAAGTGGGAGGTGTTGCGCGGAGTGACGGGCGATGGGCAAGTGCAGTGGGAGGAGTGCTGGTGGCAGGTGTGGGGACTGGGGCTTGGGGGGAAGGTAGGAAGGCGTACTTCGTGGCATCATCGTCGTACCGGGCGTGAAAGGGAAGCAGCCCATGAAGCATATAAAACCAGGAGAAAGCGCATGGTTCCCCATTACAGATTACTTCTCCCGTAGCAGCCTCCGGGCAAGAGGGGTGGGCGACCGTGTGTGTGTTCCTGCTTGTAAGTCAGGTCGATATCCTACGGGCCCAGCGCAGTAACACTCAGCGGATATTGCGGAAGTGCAGATGATTATCAGCGCCAGCGCCCTCCATAACACTGCTTCGTCCCTGGCCGTTGGTCCCACCGCCAGGCTTCCAACCGCTACGGTCTTCGGGAGTTAGGAGCGTTCAAGAAGGGCACTGCGGAGAGCGGCGCTGCCTGGGTAGAGGAGTGGAAGGAGGTGCTGTACACACATCCCACCAACCTGCGCCTGGTCATTGAGCGCACAGCTCACAAGTGAGAGGGGCGGGGAAAGCCTGGGGTGAGACCGGTCACCTGCTGGTGACCCAGCGACTTCGCGTGCGGTTTGGCCTCTTTACCCGCTTGGAACATGCTAACGGTACAATGACTCTTTTTGCTCTCTGCACGGCAGGTGGGCCCGCGACGAGAACTTGGACGAGTGGGAAGAGAAGTGGGGCGAGTGCTTCGAGGAGGCGGGTCGTGTGCACAAATGGGCAGACAAGTGGGCCAAGGCGGGCAGCAACGTGTGGCATGAGCGGTGGGGTGAAGACTACGACGGCAAGGGCGCCTGCCAGAAGTGGACGGACAAGGTGCGATCAGGGTCAGGTGGACAGAAGTCGCTGTGGCGAAGGCCACGACGTGTTGTTTGTTGTTGCGGTGTGGAACATCCGTGGTCGAATTGATCGTGTCCTAATTCTGTCTTGGTCTGGTGCCCATTTTGCCGTAGTGGGCGGAGAGGCTGCTTCCTGATGGTGGTCAGGAGCAGTGGGGCGACAAGTGGACGGAGACTTTCGGCCACGGCACGGGCACCAAACACGGAGAGGTAAGGCGCCAGCGATCGGCCATGTTATTCCATGGCTGCTCTTGAGAAGCGCTATCTTTATGAGCAACTTTTGCCGCATCATTGGAGAAGGGAGACTGTCCGTTTGATTTTGGTTTTGTGCGGCTTGGGCGCGGCTTGCTCTCTGCCGCGTCCAGTCCTGGCAATAAGCGATTTCAACGTGCAGGTTTGGAGCAGCAGCAGCAGCTGCGGGTCGCGGTACAACCGCTGGTGGAATGAGGAGCATTACGGCGACGGCCGTGTGCGCAAGTGGGGCAACAGCACCAGCGGCGAGCACTGGGACACGGTGGAGCACATGGATACCTACTACAACCCGGTGCCGCATTTTGGGTGAGGATCCGTGTGGAGTAAGTGAGGCCTTCGAGGAAACGAGGAGGGCTTACTGTATGGAGTGAGCGCCGATGAATTTAGAAGGGGCAATGAAACGACATATAGCCGTGCAGTGTGCAGTTGCAAAGCCGTGTACAACTGGATTATTATGCCGGGAACTTGCAGATGCGCCGGTAGGGCAATAAGTTGTTGCCATTCGGCTCGCTCCGTGGTCTGAAGTTCTTCGGAGCAAATTCGCCAATTACATTGAGCAGTAGCTGATGGTCGTTGCCGTCCCCTTCTCCCGCATTTGTAGTTTCCAACATGCAGTGGGCCATTCGCCTCAACTGTGGGCAGTCCCGCTACCCTCACCCGATGAGGCGGATGGCGGCAATGGTGATGACGACGGCCTAGGTGTGGGCCTTGGACGCCTCTGAGGTCGGCGGTTTGCGGCCAGGGCGGACAGCAGAGATAATCGAATCAAGTCGCGGCGCGTGCAGCAAGCCAGGCCTTGATAATCGAATCACCAAAGCTATTTTTCCAGTCAGAGCAGGCGCAGTTGATCTCTTCGGTTGTCTGTTCCAATGCGGCTAATAGGGTTTTATGCAAGTGTTGCATTGATGGCATGGCTACGGAGCCGTCAGAGATCTTAATTGACGGGAGAATGAATGAGGACGTACATAAGAGCTGCTATTTATACAGAGCCGTTGCATGGTAGTGAGGCATATTTGCAGAGAGATGCGTTTGGCTTATGTGCACGAGCTGTCAGCGATTGGTCATTTCTCCATGTCGGCAGTGGACAAGGGCGGCATTTGTGCGGAGATGTGGTAATAAATAGACATTTCCTACCACGATATCTTACAGGCACAGAGATGAGAGGGCAGCGACGGCCCTGGCGGAGATATCTGTGCACAGTATGAACATGGCCCGACTGCCTAACCAAAGCATTTCGACTTAGCGCGCATGCCATTCACCTCGCAATTTTGTAAGCAATTTTACTTGCCACTCAAATTATCCCCGAATGGATCACCTCGCCAGAGCGACGAAGAATATTATGCGGAAAACCACCCCGTGACGTATGATACATATACGTTTGTGCATGCCTGCTTACGCGAGTGAAGCACAGTTGCGCCCATTCACTAAACAGCCCCTTGCTCCATGAACACGTTCGTCCTACCAGCTTTCAGTAACACAGCTTTCAACCTGCAGAGATGCGGTTTGTGCATATGGCGCACATTCAGCCCTTGAATGATGTCCTTACGCCCACGACAGCCGTGGTCAGGCGGCGATTCTGTACGCCCACGCGGTTGCCGGCCGCTACATCTCCCGGAGCCATCGATGGGCGTGGCACACGTTCACGGGCTCCGCCGTTACAGCCCACGGCTGCTCCGTTGCTTCCAAAGACTCCGCCATTGTTGCCTGAGGGACCCGCACCGCCGCTCGTCTCTTTGTCCCGGCCCCTCTCCTTATCCTGGTCCCTGTTCCCGTTCAACGCGCCACGCTGCACAGTCGATACGACAGCCGGCGTCGGGCCAGGCACGTCTAGCGCCATACTGGCGGAGGAAGGCCCCGCCACGTTGCGCGAGGTGGCTGGCGCACAGACGTCCGAAATCCGTTGCTTAATGCGCTCCTCAAGCTTGGCAAGGCTTTGTGGGCCTGTGCAGTTCACGACTCCTTGGGTAGAACCTGTCAAAGGTCGGCACACACGGCTCACTGATAAACCGCAGCGATGCAGGCAAACTTAGGTGATTGTCGTCGCAATTTTCCGCTTACTTCCCCTATGAAGTCATAATCTCACCGCTTGCGGGAGTGCCAGCGCCGCGAATGGTGGCAATTGGCGTCCCGACGAACTGAGCCGCAGCCGGGTCACGCGCGGCCTTGCCATCAGGAGAGCCGCATGTGTCAGGACGGGTAGTACCACAAGACATTTTAGCAACCTCGGAGCCCATGCTCTCAGCCGAGTTATCAGTGTGCGGGGAGGAGGCAGCAACTGCCGCTACCGCCGCAGCAAACTGCGGGGAAGGGAAGGACAAAAGCGCAGCATGTGACTGACAGGCCTTCAAATCACTAACCGATGACCCACTTTACACAGCTGTATCTGAAGGAGAGACCAAATGAGGGCAGGCATATGGGAAGTCACACACATGCCGCTGTACCTGGAACTCATTCCGTAAGTTGGTTGCCACGCTCAGGAATTTCCTCTGCGCCTCGTTAATACCCTCCTCAAACGTTTCCTGAAGATGCGAGGATTCAGGGTTACACAACGAGAGCTGTTGGTATTGGAAAAACTAGCAAGGTAATTGATTTTAAACTTCACCGCTCAGAAGCCAGAATTAAATTTCATGACGCACCTTGCCCCCAGCATACACCGTGCCCTGTTCATTGTTCTTGCCGCGCGCGCTAAGACGCATGGCGCGCTGGCTGAGTGGCGTGCTGTACATCGCGTTGCACGTCAAACAGGCTGGCAGCACCTGCAGCATCCCGTTTGGGAAGCCAATTAGTCAAGGCAGTTCAATTGCGCATACTAAGGCAACAACAAGGTAGCAGATGTACCTTCTCAATTGCTTTGCGCTCCGCCGTGGCCAAGGTTTGCCGCCTGTCGCTGGGACCCATGCCCACCTGGACTGCCAGGTACCTGAGGCCGCAAAGTGTAGTACGGATGGAATTCATACAGGCGTGTACCGGTTAAAAGCTTGCGAGCAGTTGGCACGCGTCTCACCAGGTCAATTGGGGTCATATAGTTGGTCTTAGGCTACACATGTTGCTTGGCATGGCATACCCTTTTGCAAACAACAAACCCTCATTTGAGCCCTCACACCTGATACACTGTTCCAGCTGGAACTTGTCGCGGAGTAGAATTGTGCATTCGTGGCGGAGCTCCTCCAGCTCCTGCTTGAGACGTAAGTGGTACTGGATCTTCTGCTTATGGTTGTTGTGGCCCAGGGCGGCTTGCTCCCTGTTAGCCAGACCAGGATGGCTTAAAATCATTAACCCGATACCAGTGTAAGCGAAGCATGTTGGAAGAATCAAGATGCCAATTTAGGTCAAGCCACAAGCCTGTGCAACTTTAATCGGTGCTGTCTTCTCCGCCATGCCAACACCTGAGCGCGCGACATCAATTAGCACAGTTACCCTTACTGTGGACTGCATGATACGCCTGTACAGAATGCAGTGAATTTAATCACGATTGCACCCGGACACCTGAAGTGAGGCAGGCATATTCTGGATGCCCTTACTTCAAATCGTCCTCTAGCTTCGCCATGCGAGTCACGAGGTGCTCGTTTTCGTCCGTAAGGCGTCGCAGCTCAAGAGCAGCGGTGGTCTCCAGGAGTACGTTGCGGCGGACATGATCCTCCAGCTCATTGCTCCTCAAATGACTCTTCTCGAGCGCCTCGCTTAACGCGCGCACCTGACAAGGAGCATGAAGTCCACCACCAAGCAGGTCAGGCAGCGGTTATTTGAAGCTACTCCAGCCGAAGCCGACAAAGAACGCATGGGAAGGTGTGCACCGCGACAATCAACCTGCCTTCACGTAGGTTTGCGTTCACCTGGTCGTCGAGTTTGGCCCTGGAGCAGATTGGAGTCATAGACGCGACCCGGCCCTCCATCACCACGACCTGCAAGGTGGTGCCATGCATGGCGGCGTATGGTTAATTAAAGAAGGATTGGCATAGAGGAACAGCGCCTAGATGCGTCATGGATATGCTTTCAAAAAAGGTGTTTGAAATTACAGGGCAGAAAGGCAAAATGGTACAGTGTCCGTCACTGTAGGAAAAGTGCTCCCAAGCCTAAAATTTCCTTAATATTGAGCACCATGAGATAGGCACTCTCTAGCACAGTCGGCCGCCAGCTTGCCTGGTTCTGAAGCGCCTCGTTGCGCGCCTCGGTGTCCCGAAGGCGCATGAACATTCCCTCTAGCTCGTGGCGAAGACTCTCCATCTCATTCTCTTGCATTTGGAACGTGCGAATTTGTTCCTGGGCCTGCAAACAAGCGCCCATTAGGGGTCAGCACAATTTCAACCACCGCTAGGTGGGCATGCATGCTTCAGTAAAATTAATTGGCGTTCCCGCAAAGCGAGGTGCGCTTGTGTAGGGACAGGCATTCCACAATGCACCTTGTCCAAGTCCGCGGACATTGTGAACATCTCGTCGCGAGCTTGATGCGCCTCAAGCTGTGCGGATTCAACCAGCGCCTGCAGAGACTCCGTCTCCGCCTCCAGCTGGGCACCGCGCGCCCGTGTAGCGGCCAACGTTGCCTGCAATAACAACATTACGGTTGGAGCCGCAGCAGGACAATCAAGCGTATGCAGAGGGCATTCAACACACAACCTGCATTTCAATCATACGGCGGTGCATATCCTCCAGCTGCAGATGTAAGTCGGCGCGCTCGGCAGTTGCGGCGGATAGAGCCGCCGAGGTCTCGTGCTTGGCCAATTTTAGCTCCTGCGCAAAACATAAACAAGGTCCCCGTTTGTAGTGGTATGAACAAGAGACATGGACATGACGGCCCAGGATCTGTAACCTGTCCTAAGGACTCCTGATATCCAAAATCTCTGATTTTACGCGTCTACTAGCTGCATCCTACCTTAATATCCTGTTCGTGCGCTTGCAGGTCCGTAACCAACTGCGCGAGCTCAACACCGAGACCGGCGGCAGCGTTGCGAGAATACGCGAGCTCCTCCTCCAGCTCTGAAACCCGCGCGCTTGCCTGTCACGGCGGATCGGGGAGGGTCACCTTTTGGGCAGGAAATGACAGCTATGGACGGCAGCTACAAACGCCATTCATGTCAGGCAAGCACCCTCACTAATAGGGTCGACATGAATTTTGTGGTATACAAGAACCATTCCGAGTTGAGCATCTGCAGCCGCTTCTTTCTCTACAAGCCCGCACCTTATCACTATCCGCCTTAGCCCTGGCCATCAACTCCAGCCTCTCCGCCCGTAGCTGTTCGAGCGCCGCCTGTGCACTCGTCCGCTGCTGCGACACCTCCGCAAGCATAGCGTCCAGCTGTGCAATTTTGTCCTCAAGGGCGGTGCACCGTACGATGCTGCTTGATAGGTCTTGCTGTGAGGACAAGAGCATCACCTCAAGCTTTGCCCTTGCAGCTTCATGCTCCGCCGCCTTCTGTTCCATGTCCCTGACCGCGTACTGCAGCTGTTCGACCTTGGATATGCGGGATGCAAGGTCGGCTCGCGTTTGCGTTAGTTCCGCAGCCTGCTTCTCAGAAACCGCGTTCGCCTCTTGCAGCTGGGCTTCCAGCTTCCGTGCCTACGAGTTCAAACGACAAAGATATTTAGTGAACAACTATCAAGGGTCTAGTACGAGGCAAACAGGTATCTTATTAAACCCAGCAGTGGTACCATCGGTAGGTAAGCTGATCTATACACAGCCTGAAACCACCTTAGTACTTACCCCTTGCTGTGCTACTGTCAGCTTGGCCGTCAACTCGCCCTGCAAGTCCGTCAACTTCCCGCGTAAGGCGAAGCCCTCGCGCGCATGTACATCCTGCTGCTCCTGCAGCTCCAGTCGCAATGCCGCCTCGCCCTGGGCAAGCACCTCATTGGTCCTGGATAGGCAAGCGTAAGCATCGCGCGCGGCATCTAACTCTCCATTTAACTGGATGCGCTGCTCCTCGATCTGCTGCTTCGCGGCTTCCGTGCACGCCAGCAGCTGCTCCACGGTTGCTAGCTTTGAACGAAGTGCCTCCTCCATTGCTGCACAGCCCGCCAGATCTGACTTGGCTGTGGCTAGCTCAGCGGACAGTCCCGAGCAGATCTCACGTTGCAGATAAAGGTCTTTCTGGAGCTGGGTTTTGCAAGCCCCCAACTCCATAACTGTGCACTGAAGAGCCCTTATCGCGTCCGCAGCTGTCTCCGCCTCCGCCATGAGCTCTGCAATACGGTTTTCCCGGTCCTGCAGCTCCGTTCTAGCACTTCCAAGCTCGTCGTTAACTGAAGCGACTGCTGCGTCACGGACAGCAAGCTCTCCTTCAAGATGACTGATATGCGCCTGTAACTCTTGCATTTTCGACGTTATGACACCGACTTGATCATCGCGCGCCGCAACGTCCGCCTTTAACTCTGAATTTTGTGACTGCAGAGAGGAGACCGCTGTGTCGCGCTCCAACAATGTGCTTGCCAGCTGCGTGACTCGATCATCGCGTATGTCAATATCCCCCTCTAACTCTGCCACCCGTGACTGCAGGGAGGAGACCACCGCGCCACGTTCTGCCAATGAGTTTGTCAGCTGTTTGACCTGATCACTGCGCACGTCAACGTCTGCCTTTAGCTCCGCCACATTCAACCGCAAGACTGAAATCGCTGCATCGCGTTCCGCCAAATCGCATGTTAACTGCCCGATTTGGTCGCCGCGAACGGCAACGTCCGCTTTTAGCTCTTCCATGTGTGACTGCAGGGATGAGATCGCCGCATTGCGCTCCGCCAACGTGTGCGTCAGCTGCGCGACTTCAGCAGCGCGTACGGCAATGCCCGCTTGTAACTCTGTTACTTCAGACTGCAGGGAGGACATCGCCGCGTCGCGCTCCGATAACGTGCAGGTCAGCTGCGTGACTTCTTCAGCGCGGCTACAGAGCGCAATGTGCGCAGAAGTTAGCTCAGCCTTGACGTGTGCGACCTCCTCGTTTTGACGATGCAACAGCTCCTGCAGTTGCTCTATGGTTGCAGCACGCTCGTTCAGCGCCTTCACCTGATCTTGCGCCGCCGCTGATAGCGCTTCCAGCTCGCTCTCAAGGCCCATCAACTTGGCTGCCTGCTCCTCTAGGTCCTGCTTCTGCAAGCTGACGACCTCGTGCGCTGAGTTCAGCTTAGCTGTTGCAGTTGCGATAGCCTCCAATTTTACAGCCAGGTCTGCCTGGACGCTGTCAAGCTGCTGTTGCTGTGTCAAGGCCATTGCCGTTTGCTGCTCACATTGCATAGCCTTGGAGCTCAAGGACTCCTCCAGCTGCATATTCAATGCTGTAAGCGCCTGTTCACGCGCCGCTGCAGCCTCTAGCTCTGCGCCGCGCTGCTGCAGCTGCGTGCTCAGTCGACTTAACTCGACCTCCTTGTCACTGACCTGACGCTCCAGTTCGTTGTTCCTGGCCGTGATGCTGGCGATGGCCGCATCGCGCTGCCTCACGCCGTCCTGTGCTGCTTCCAGATCTGCGCAAAGGTTACTTACGTTCAGTCGCAACTCGACTACTTCGGACATGTGGGTAGCGAGTTGAGCACTATGGGCCTCTAGGGACGCCTCCTTCGTTCGGATCTGTGACGAAAGCACCTCGTTGTGCTGCTGTGCAGCTGCCAAATTCGACCGCAGATCGCTGAGCTGCTGGCTGCAGAATGATGCATCCGCTTTGGCCGCTGCCAATTCCCCCAGGAGGTGCTGCGCATGGACGCTGCTGCGATCCGCTTCCATTCTCGCCGCCGATAATGCGGTGAGGGTTTGCTGCAGCTCGGCGCGCGCTGCAGACAAAGAGCTCTCTGCGGACGCCAACCGACTCTCAGCCTGCGCCCGCTGTGCTACTTCGTTGGCAAGCTCGGTCTCCAGCCGCCGGCATTGCTGGTCTAGGGAACCGACGCGCTCGATGAGAACGTTCCTCTCACTGCGTGCGCCTTCAAGCTGTTGTTTGAGCGCGGAAAGCTCAGCCAGCGCCCTCCCTAAGTCATCCAGAAGGGAATTAACAGGACACCGCGCATGAGTATGCGCATAATGTTTAGCATCACGGTGACTACTACTATACTACCACTGTAACACAATGTACTTCAAAATGAAATGCAGCATTCAATCAGATGGCAGCACGTTGATTCCCCGTTCCCCGTGCACGGAATCGCGGAAGGGAACGATGCTTATGCAAACACAGCCTATCGCGGCCCCAAAGGTAACTCCGAAACCAACCAACTTACCGGCTTCTTGGCGGTTTCCTTCCACATCCTTCTGCAGTTCGATGTGTTCCTGTTCCAGCCGTTTGCGAGACTCTCCAGCCTGCGCGCAAGCGTGTTATAAAGAGCGTTTCCCTCGAAACCAATCACCTGCAGAGCTCTACTAAACATGCGCACCTTCTGTAACTCCAAAAGGAGCTGCTCTACACGCGCTGCCCCTGCTTGCGCCGATTTGCTGGCCTTGGCCTCCTGCGCCGAAACCAGGACCAACTGCTCCTTGGCCGCCGTGAGCTCGCTCCTAATGAGTTCAAGTTCCTGCTCCTTCGCGAGCAGGGTTTTCTGTGGCAGCGACAACGCGGTGTTTGAGCACAGCAAACGCGCATGTCGAATGATATGGAGGCCCAAGTGACAGTCCACCTGAGCAGGATCCAACCAACCTGAACTTGATCATTTTGTTCAGCAGACGCGACGAGGTCCTTCTTCGCTTTGTCTAGCTTCTCGGCTCTCTCCTTAAGGAGCTTATCCAGTTCCTGCATGTGTGGGGACGGCCTTGCATTCACATGTGCGTCCAATTAACCCCGGACATCCACGCGTACAGGCCACATAGTAGACCCCTTAACACGCACCAAGGAAGGCTGCAAGTAACGAACATGGTTACACCCACGGTAACACCAGTACCGATACTGGTCACACCAGCGTAAATTGGGGTGCGACACCGATTCATACTACATCTGTCGGCTATATTGAACGACGGACAGGTCCCCTTACCTTGACACGTTTGTTTGCCGCTTCAAGATCTTTGTTAAGCTCATGAATTCTCTGTGTTGCCCAAGAGTAGCTTCTATCATTCCCAGGATTAACAGGCTTTCTCTCCCTAGGAGGGGATGGCTCCGGGCGTGTGTCAATGTTCCCTGTGAAAAGTCTTGATTCAGGTCCTAGCAAACCAAGAATATTGGCCAGTATGCCTAGCAGGTACCTTGCTCAAGTTCCTGGGATGAGAAACGCTCGCCCGTAAGGAAGCCACTCTTAGGCGGCAATTTCGTCTCGAGGTCCTTCGGATCGTAGGCACCTGTTCCAAACGTTTCGCGAACGATCCCGTCAATGAAACAGTTATTATTAGGACTGCGTGACTGTACATCGGAAGGTATTGACCCACCAGGTCCTGGAGTTTGTTCCTTCGCAGATGGGAACCGCTCAGGGCCCCGCCCAAAGCCAAGAACCATGAAATATCACGTCTGCAGACTTAGGTCGTTAAAGATGGTGCTAGAACAGCTCAACAGGGCTCTGTAAAGGTAGGGTATATTGCGCGCTAAAAAACATGAAAAAGACCTCCAAGCAGCTATGGCCACTTGTAAGGAGACACTGCCGTCTAGATAGTGACGATTGAATATCCTGGCGACGGAAGCTGGACGGGTGCAGATGTTGCGAAGGAACTCGAGGAAACAGACGAATTGTATGGTCCTGGATCCAACGGACTCAAACTGGGTAAGACTAAAGCACATCCATTTTCAAGCTTATGCTTCGTAGCTGCATTTCAGCAATTAAATATAATGTAATACAAAATGACCCGGGCCCTGGATAAAGTGCTCAACGCAGGATTCAAGCCCTCAAACTCTCGCAGTCTCACTGGTAGACAGCTTGACATAACAGCAACTTACAAAATCCTCCTTGGCAAGGACACAGGCTCATTATCGCGTACTACAAACCGTTACAGCGTCTGATGCACACAAGGGGCAGATCAGTGACTCGTGGCTCGACATTTCCCCAAGTGCTTCCAGCAGCTGTATCTCCTTTGTAGCTACACAATCGCGTCAATCACGTCCGCCACAACTATACCCACAGCGCCGGCTGTTTTGTCCGTCGCACAAAGCAAGCGTTATGTCCATGAGATCCATTGACATTACCACTGTCCACTGCACTAGCTCGACAGATGCAAAGGGGCCATGCGTGCGAACTCCTGTGCTTTGGTACCGTGCGCAAAAGATTTATGAGAACAAAATACAACACGTTCGCATCCTTCGCGCCGAGTATACGATATCTACAGAAATCTCGACGCACCTAATGGACCAAATAAGATCCTGAAACACAAAACCCAAGCAATCCGGACGGTTACCAATAAAGGGCCCACCAAGTTGCATGACATACGCCATAGCCGCTTCAAAATCGCGGACGTAGCAATCCGCCGTATGCAGCTTCAGCCCCTCCGAAGAAGCTCTGCGCAATATGTCAGAGTGGCTGGAACTCAACATCCGTGAAGATGTGGCAAAGATCCGCAGGCAGCTCCAACGGCTTACAGGATTTCGCCGCAGCGAAATGAGGGGACCCGGTGCAGGGAACCCTTGCATGGCGTAACGGCAACCTCTGCAGCTCATCCAGCCCCACCCAGCATGCCCCAGCCGACTCAAAACATGGCACCGTTTTCGGTTTCGCCGCCTCGTCCACAAGCGTGGCACAAAAAGCCGCCAGGTGGGCTGGCCCAGTCTCCTCCTGTGAGTTGCGGGCTCCCGGACGCAGCCCAGCGCAAGACAAAGCAAAAAGACCTATTGCCACGGGAGGGATGACAAGCCAGCGCGGCGCCCCTCTATAAAGCCTGAAAAAGGCACTGCTCACAGACGCTGCCTGCTCCCGCCTACCACGCTGAGAACCCTCCCCCTCTGCCCATGGCCCAGTGTCACCTACTCTCCCTCTTCATCCCCTTCTCTTCCAGCGCTTTCCCCATCCCTCCCCATTCCCACAAGCCGCCTACGCCGCCCCTACCCAACCGCCAGACAGCACAAAACATACTCCCCTCTCGTGGACGGGACCCAGCTCCGGGGAGAAAGGCACACACACACACACACACACACATACACGGACACACACAGCCCAGCTCCGCCTCTTCCCCCGCTAGACCACGCAACCCTAGGCCAGGACCCCGCCCTCTCGCCCTCCACCTACTCAGAGCCTCCCTGCTCTCCTCGCCACCTCGCCCTTCCCACCATGTCCTACCCCTGACTCTCTCCCCCTCTCCCGCACTCTCCCTGCTTCCCGCCAAAAAAGCCCCTGCCCCGACGCTAGCACGGCTACTTTAGGCCGTGATTTCCACCGGTGCTGAACATCGCACCCGCTCCTCCACGACCGCCAGGATGGGGTGCTGCGGCCTGACTTTGTCCCAGCCATGTCGGGGGTTCTCCAGCGCCGTGAACGAGCGAGGCATGCCCAGATATCTGCCACCGCCCGGGCGCGTGCACGGGCCAGCGGTGAAGCTCCTGCTCTGCCCACCATTGCTGCTGTTGCCGCCGCCTCGCCCCCTCCAGGCCCCCCTTCCTGCGTTGGCCCATCATCTGCTGGGGCGTTTAGGGTGGGTCCCTCTTGCTTCACTGCACCTCCTGCCGGGGCGAAGAAGTCTGTAATGGCCCGCTGGCGGGACCTCTGCTGCTGGGGCTGCCCCACCATGGCCTTTACCTGTTGCTGTTGCTGCTGCTGTCGCCGCTACTGCTGTTGTCCTGCCGCCGCTGTTGCCCCCTCCCGCCCCTGTCGCCGGGTTGCCGCTCGGAGGCAGCACCCGACGGATTCCATGGCGGATAGCGCCGCTAAGGCAATCACATCCCAGGGTGCATGCGCACACCCGGGTGGCGCTTGGGTGAGCCAGAGCTGCTGCCGGGTGGTGGTGGCCCCTATTGTTGTCTGCGAGCGTGGCAGGTGCCTGTCGATCTGTTCCCGTACGACTCGCGTGACTGGGCATTACCAGAAGTGGTGCAGCCGCGGTGGGCAGGGTCAGCCGGCGGCGCCCCCATAGCTCCCACAACCCCATGGCTGAGTGGGCACCCGGGTTAGGTGCATGTTCAGGGAACCACGCATGAAGTCGGTCATCAGGCATATCCGACGTTCGTTAGCGGGCCCGTTCTGTAGCTGTGTCGCTTGACTGACCGTCAGGCGGCTGAGCGGCACAGTGTCCGTTGGCCCGGGGAGGTGTTCCCCCAGGCGCCCGATGATCATAGCCATCACTTATGCGCAGTCTGGCAGTGTTGCTGCCGGTGTTGGTGGCTGCTGCTGGGGCCCCTCTTCCTCCACCTGTTGCCGCTGTCGCAGCCTGATCTCCACCGCACGTGCTGCCTCCAGCCGGGCCGGGCTGATGTCGCTGTGCAAGGCTCCAAGAGCCGCAAGAGTGGCGTCCTTGTCCTGCAAACTGTTGTTTGCACCGTATAGGACCAGGGTCCGCAGGGGACAACAGTACAGTTTTTCCGTGTGCTTGTTTCCCATTTTTTGAGACCTGTCTTCGTGAAGCTCTTAAAGGGCCGCAGCTGCTGCACGCCATGTCACTGGTTGGAAACAGAAAGCTTACACCGTGTCAACACATTCAACACAATTACTAGCATAGTAGGAACGTTCCAAAACCTGAAGCTGGTATTGGCGACGTTTCCAATGTCAGGGCTCCAAACACGCGACAATCACTTGTAGCTTAGATGCGGCAGGAGCGATGCGAGTATAGCCTCAAAGCTAAGTTATGTACGGCAGCCGTACGGCTTGCTAAAATTCGAATTTGTTACCTCAGCTGACAGCTCCATAGTTCCGGCATTCTGCCTACACTATTGGAGCTTATTGTTGCTCTCACTTCCCTCCCGCCCGCCCTCAGTGTCCCTCGTTTACAAGCGGCAGGCTCGGTCCAGATGGAGACCTGGTGATTGGGCAGCCAACTCGGAACGCCAGACGCACCACTGTACAGGGATCACCACACGGCCACAGCGCCTTTAGAGTATCGCTGCGCACTAGGAATTTTGCCTGACCAACCCCGCTGGCCAGAGTGCGGTTTGTGCGTCGCTGACGCTTCAGGTTTGCCCTCGGGGCGGGTGTCAAGTGGACGCAGACATTAATGCTGCGTTTAGTCGTCTAGTGCTGTGTGTCAGTCCTTCCGGCCGTGCCGGTGTGGCCGCGCTGGAGAGCGCTGCGTGCGCTTTGACCGCGCCGTGTGGCGCTATTCCGCGCTTCGACGCACACGCGGTCCCGGTGCTCCGAGAGCAGCAGTACTGCAGTAGTGTAAGGCCCTTGGCAGCCCCGGCTCCACCTCACCCTGTCCTATCCGGCACCTCGAACGCAACCGTACAGCAAGCCATGAAGGCTATAGGACATAAATCAACTTCATAACGGCTACAATGAAAACACCATTGCGGTGCATCATGATCAGTAGCAGGGGAAGACATGCTGAAAGAGCGAATAGCAACCCAAGCAAACAACATTAACTACATTGTACATATACGTGCCGTATCAGACAAAACGTATTACAGGGTCCTCAACTTAGCACGCCCAAATACGTGCATCGCGCGTGTCCTGAACGCTTTTACGGCAGAAGGATAATGGTACAAGGGAAATAATTGCAATTCTTTATCGTCTGCGATGCCCTGTCAGGCGCAGACAAGTTCCTCCCGATGCGGACGCTTTGTCCTAAAGGCAGCCTATTGATATGCCCAGAAATCCTCCAGGCTATCCCGCGCCCCTGCAAACCAGACAGCGTCTTGGTCCGGCCCCACTCCAAAACTACCTTCAGATTTGCAACTTAGTGCGCTCATCCTACATTTCCATAACCTCCCCCGCCGGACGCTCCGTCTGCACAACAGCCCTGTCCTCCCGGATAACGCCCTGTCGTGCCGTGATCTTGCCTCGCGACATTAATCCTAGCTGTTGCTCAGGCTCTGACACTGCAGCGGCATCACGGCCTTTGGCCGTTAGGAGTGCCTTCGTCTTGTCTGTCCAAGGTGTGGACGCGGTGCCGTCAGCGCTTACACAAACACCCTGGCGCTGATCGCAGTTTGTGCCGCTCGGGCAGCAGTGCTTTAGGTCGGGGCACGTGACACCACCAGCTAGAGGGCAGCAGTCGTGCCTGCAAGGAGGCAAGGGAGTTCCCGTGGAGCGCCATGGGTCAAATGGTATTCGTTAGCGCAGGCTCCTCGCCTCCAATTCTACAGACAACGTTTCCCGTAACTGATAAGCAGGACGTGCATAAGAGGCGCTAAGCACTGAAATCCGTGAATAGCCGTGAGCAACTCCTTTCGCTACCCAAGCCGGCGAGCAGTAACTGCTACGTACCGTCCTTACACCTCCACAGCGGCCGCCCTGCAAGGCTGGCGCACATATGGCGCACTGAAGAACCGGAACTTACCATAGACAAAGGAAGCCGAAAAAGCTGAAGGAGCAGCTGCAGCTGTTGCCAACAGGGCACTCGGTCCAGCCAAAGATGTCGCAGATCTGCGCGACGGACGACATAACGGTTTCCACCAGGGTAGGCGAAACAAGCGGTCAGGCGACAAGATCAGGCAGCACCGAGCGTATTTGCACATCTATTGTCTTGCCATGGCACTACCCACTGGTCCAGAGCGCTATGCAAGCATCCACACGCATCCGACCTAATCCACCTCGGGAACAGGCTTGTTGGGCGAAGTCTTGGTTGGGTAGGATGCAGCGGATGCGATACCGCAGAGGCCGGTCTCTCCCACGCCCATCTTGAGTCGGAAGTAGCCCTGCCCAACGATTGATACACAGGCGGGTTAAGCGAAGGTGCATCTGTGAAGAGGATTGGCAGTTTCCAAGGTACAAAACAGAGCCCCTTGCCGTGACTTGACGGCCTGCTGCGTCAGGGTGGTCAAACTCAAAGCACTAGGTATACCAATTCCCAAGCATAGCAACAACCAAAAACAGCACCCTCCAGACCTGGGTATCCACGCGCCAAGCGAACGGGCGTATGGCCAAGTGTGTGTTAGGTGTGTTCCGTGGCCAGCTGTCTCACAAGGCACGTACCACAGCTTTCAAACCGCATATTGCCCTCAACCTCAATCTTAGGCACCTGGAAGCTGCCAACGGGCGCCGCCGGGGACAAGCGCCCTACCACGCCCCCCGCGCAGACCCGTCAGCCCGAAGCAGCCCGACTAAAGCCAGATACAAGGCGTCCCATACCTGCTCTCCCCAACCGGCGCCCCAGCTGTTCTTGACAATCCAGTACTTCTCGCCGTCTTGACTGACGTTGTATCCCACCGTCAACACTCCGTGGTTGAGGCCCTCACAGCAAGTTGAAATGACGCCACGGCTGTAAAACTGCATGGAAGCACCTGCGGACCAAACGCCGCATACGCCGCGACGACGCGGCTCATAAGCCAGCGCACGCAGCTTTATCATCGACCTCCCAAGTACCCGCGGGACTGCACGTTCTACGCCCTTGTGAGTCGTGACCAACCTAGACCGTCCCGCGGGAGCGTATACGCATGTCTATGCACAACAGTCGCCCCCGTTGTTTGGACCTCTTCATGTACACCGCCCTCGACGTCGTGCAACTATCCCCAATACCAGCACCTACGACACGCCCTGATCCGAGTGGTGCGCCCCACATTTACTCACCTGCGCATATGGCCACCGCCACCGGCTGGTGCGCCACCGCCTTTAGCAGGTTGTCCTCACCCTGGGGAACATCCTCATAGCCGTCAATGGACACAGCAGGCCTATGAGGCGATGGAGTGAAAGCGCAGCACCGCGACGGGCGGGATGGTGTGAGGCTTATCAAGACAATTGAGTTTCGCAATGTAGACGTAAGTGGGACCTCAACCGTAGCAAGCCACGTAAGCGCACGGATATGAAAGTAAACGGATGCATCGCCAGGTGGAAGCCCTCGCATTTCCCCTAGCCCGGGGTCACAATACACTCCCTTGCCCCCTCGTGTTCTTGCCGATCAGCAGGGTGTGCAAGGCTAGCAAGCAGACGCGAATTCGAAATCATGGCGGCACGCTGTGTCAGCGTTCGTACCTGTCAGTCTGCTTGCGCTTGTTGCACCAAAATCCCAGGCCATACCCGCTCCAGTACGCATAGTCCTGCTCCGTGTCCAGGCCGCCGTTTTGAATGACGTATTTGAAGGCGTCATCCATCAGGCCGCCACTGCAACCCATGTTGCTTTCTGCAAAACACCGCAAGAAGGCAGGTGACATGGCAGGAAAGAGCTCCGGGGGCGCCTCCATAGGAAAGGCTGGGCACCATGGCTTGATCGCTAAGCTCTTAGTAAGAACTATGATGCAGCAGGTAGAACATGACCATTACGGCAGCTGTTGCTGCTGTAAGACGGTAAGATAACCGTGCATGACCGCTTCGATCGTGTCACAGTCCGCTTGCCTGTGTCACAGTCCACCAGCTGCTGCTCGCTCAGCGACTGAAGCTGGCCTGTGACGATGGCATTGATGCCCTCAATGGCGCCGGTGGTCGAAAAGGCCCAACATGAGCCGCACTGGCCTTGATTCTTTACCTGCAGGACAGGTGTGTGTCTAGGGACGTCAAGGGCCCGGTAAATAATCCTAGCCGCCAAGCCGTTCCTGGGCCTTGGAATTGGCCATGGACCTGTGGATGCTGGAACGTTCCATGCAAAATGGAGCATAGTGTTCTAAAATGGAAACATATCCGTAAACCCCGCACCTCCGCCACGGCGCCCTTCTCGCGCCAGTCTATGGCCTTGGGGTTGTCGACTGCTGCTGCGTAGCGCCACGCATTTCGGCGAGACGCGCTTCGACGCGACCTAATTGCCGTTGGACGAAAGCAAGTAGTGCAGCGGGCAGGATCGCTCAGTAATGGGCGCTTCCGAGATAGGATATGCAAGGAAGCATGGATTATTCTTCAGCGGCCCCTACATCGCCCTGTATGCAATGCGCACCCTTCACGCTCTTGGCCCTCTGCTTGTAGTCCAAAGGCAACTGTCGATGCATGCTGGGGTGTATGTTGCCGTAAGGCATCAGCAAATCTCTATGCCCCTCGGCCTGACCATCACCTGCGGTCCAGCTGATCCTGATCAATGCGAAGGCCTAAGCGCGTGGATGAAAACTCCTCCCAAGTGAGATCGGCGTACTCGTTCAATGCCAGCTGCACGGGCAAGGGATACGCGATGGGGTAAGCGGGAAATGGAAACCCGGGAAAGGGCAGGTCTAGGGCAGCCACACAATACCTACCGTAACTCCTGGGTCCTTTTCATGTGATTCTTGAATGGCTCTGACATTATCCGAAAAGATGCTAAGGCGCCGGGTATACTCCTGGATATCGGGGACATCCTGGACGTCAGCCAAGTGGCGACGACCTTTTTCATGTCTCAGAAGCGAAAGCCTACAGGGCTTTGCTCGACATAGGTGCGCCCGTATTGTCGAGACCACAAAGTGAAGGCGCGGTGAGGCTCAACCTATCATTAGAGTAGGGTTGTTAGGTTTACAGCACTGACGTTTCCTGCTCAAATCCATAGGTTTACTGCTTCACACCTTGGCCAGTGCAAGCAGGTCTGATGACGCTAGCTGCTCAGCCCTGGCCAACAGCGCGCAAGCCAACAAAAAAAGGTACACAGCGATGGCCATGTTGTTAGTCCCGATTACCTAGTATACAACTCCAATCCGTTTACCATACAGCATTTAAAGGGAAAAGATTTGTGGTAAACAGCATTACCTCGCACTTCGCAATCGGAAGTTCGAAACGGGATTGAATTTTAGGAAGAGCCGTACCATGACAGTTTGTCGGAAGACAACGGCCCCGTAGGAGTAATCGGCAAGCACATTAATTGCATAAGCCCAATAAGCTTCAAGTGGCTACTTGTTAGAGCCTTTTCCCGTCGGGATGTTTTAGCTCATCGTTGGTCAGTCGGTAGCGTTTACCATCTATGGCACAGACTTCGGGAAAAATGTCATCAGAGCTTAGTGCTTCAGCATGGATACCTCCTCCAACAATGCAATTCATTGTGCCCAAAGGTTGGTGCGCTCAATCTGTACAGGGCATCTAAGTCAGGACTTGCTCTCCTCTACGGATCTCATCAGCATGTTTTCCTGCACAGGTTTGGCTGGTGTATCCCTCGCGGTTTTGCTAACCACGTTGTTGCTCCTGTCTGCGGTTCTCATCTACGTTTATCACCGTCGGAGGACGGTAGGTGCTGTGGGATTGGGCTTTTGCAAGCACTTGCATGCTTATCTAATCGGCATCACACACAGAATGGACCTCGTACGCCGCAGAGAGGTGGTGGTCCCCGTTCTCGCCGCACAAAAGGGACGCCGACCGTGCCCACCCCGGTCGTGGACGCGGAGCTAATAGTCGACGACTACCGGCGTGGCAGCTGGCCCAGTCCTCGACGGCAGCTCCCTTGGCTCCTGGGGTTGATATCCACCACCGGGCAACGGCCTCCTCTCTTCACAGACGCTCAGCACAGCGGGCTCCCTTTTCCGATTTCCCTAGACCGACTCTGGAGCACTTCGGCGCCGCCAGTGGATCCCGTGCCTGATGATCTGCCCGACGTAGATGTTTATGATGACGGGCAAGTTAACACCACAGGACCTCGCTTTCTTGCAACGACCGCCAGCGGTAAGTCCCTGCAGGTGGTGGTGAAAACTGCTGCGGTGGCATCTCGGCACCAGCAGAAGCAGCAGGAGTGCCAGTCCGACTTTAGCCAGGAATTGTTGCAAAAGTCACAGTCGTGGCAGACGACGCCCGACAACGGTCGAGGCATATCAGGGGCCAACCAGCATTTCTTAACAGAGCCACGTTCGCAGAGCCTATCAGAGGTTGACGCAGAGCTGCCAGTGGCGCGATCGGCGCCCCTTGGCTTGGTATTATCCGATGTACCTGCTCCGCCGACTCCCAACAGCGGCATTGACGATGGGGTGGGCAGTAGGGGCTTCCGCCAAGTGGGGCCTGGCTACGTGACGGCCAGGCCCCAAACTGACCGGTCTGTTAACGCGGCACAAGCTCATGGTCGTGTCTCCGCTGCGACTCTGGAATTAACCGACTCAGACTCTGAAACTTCGAGAGGCGGGAATATGTTCAAAAACAGCGCAGCGATACCTGCGCAAACGCGGCCGGTTCTCAACGGGGCTTGGCAAGGAAGCAATGAAAGTGGGCACATGGCAGCTGCCAGCCCGTTGGGTCCGGTCATGGAGGTAGGTGGTAGGGCCGGAGGCGGAGCATTTGGTTCTTTGGGTCGCGGCAATTTGGACCTGGACCCTGCGGTCGCCTGGTACAATCGGGCTCTGCATCGACAGGTGTCTGCGGCCGCAGCGGCAGCGCAGGTGGCGGTGGGATCAGCGAAAGTGCACATTGCGTGATGAGCGTCAAGGCTACAAAAGGCCTCCTGACCGATGCACCGGCTTTCAGTGGCGGAGTAAAGCGGTTTCCGTTGTGACGGCAACAGAGAATATGCTCGATGTTTCCTGCAATGCGATGTTTCCTTTTTCGTATTCTTGCTTGTAAACTGTGGCTCCTCTTAGTACCAAGAGAGTGATACTGCATTTAGTGTGGCGGTGGGGGGCAAGGACACTGCCTAATTGCTTGTCCTGTGCAGCCTCGCTTTGTGTCGCCAGCATGTGCGTGTGCAAGAGAGGTCAGCATAAGGTGCGGTAGCGGGAGAACCCATTGCGCGCAGGCGGAAGTTGAGGCGTAGGACGGTTTGTTTGCAAATGTTGTTGTGATTGGGGGAAGGGCCAACGTCATTTCCACGGTTAATCGTTTGACAGACCAGTTGCCGCGGGCTGAATTGGTAGAGGACCAAGGGATGTCTTCCTTCGAACTTCATGCGCATGGCCACTACGGCCATGGGTAACGCTAGACAACCAGGTGCGCATGCAATTTTGTTACGAATGTTCCTGTTCCCGCTAGCCCCTCGTTAGGCGCACTGTGGCCAGGATGTATGGGCTCAGACTTGGGGAATTGCGGCATGCAATCCAGGTAGCAGCTATTGCGTCAATCTCGTTACCATGACCACCCGAATACACTGACAGGGGGGCGTATATGACTTCTAGGGACGCCGTGTCGTCACGCGGTCACAGCAATCCTGTTTTGGGCCCCACGTGGCGCACTGCGGACACCTGCGGTGACACGTGCCTGGGGACCTGCGGACACATCCGGACGCGTAGAGACATTCTCTTTGGCCGTACGGGCGCTTGTGACTGCGTATGGATGCGGATCCCCAGTCTCATACCCCCCTACCCTGTAGATTCAGCGGATGTCTCGAGTCCGCATATGAGCTGGTGCATCCAACATCGCGTGAAGCTCATTTTGATGTTAGCTTGGCAGGTGGCTTTTGTTGGCCAGGTGCACGCCCAACCTGACTCCTTTAGGCAATTGCGATTTTTGCTGTTCGCGTAATATTTTGCAGTTTCACCATGACGCGTATTTGGAGATACGGACTGTGTGGCAGTTTTTGAGCGGTGCTTGTAGGCTGAGGTTCCTTTGACGTGATTAGGCCGGCTTGGGAGCAGCAAGCAATGCGGTTGTAAGGAGCAAGTTGTGCACATTGAACGGCGCAATTTTCAAGGGGCAGTACAGTGTGCCGACATAGAACTAATGCAAATGCGCGATGCGTGTGGTACCGCAATTAATGGTGTTTTATCGGGGCTTGCTGTATTACTCGTTTTCGACGGCCCTTACAGCGCCCGTGCTTAAACTCTTGACATGCCCAAATACATGGACAATTACACCGCATGGCTAACATCAGCATACCGCGTGACCTATGAAGCGGGTATGAGCATGCACGCGCTCATGCTGCGTCGTAGGCATAGGCTGCCTGACAACACCTGTTCAACAAGTGCTCCATGGCCCACACAGGTTGCATGGCGTTCTGCTGCACAACACTTGTATTATACGCGCGTATAAGGATCCCCCGACTAAAGCGCGGAACCACCGAAAGCAAATTTAACCAAGTTCATCCATAGCTGGGCATGTCACACTCCCGAAATGTTCCAGCAACCACCATACCACCGAACTAGCAGCTGCTGAACTCGGTCGTCGTGGCTTCTCAGCCCTTGTCTCGTGACGCCCCGCTATTTCGCTTACAGTTTGGCGGGCTGCAGGACAACACCCGCTGCTTTCAAGAGTACGGTATGCACATCGCTGTAGTGCGGCTCGCAGGCATCACGGACCCTTTGGCGCCAGGCCTGTACGACAGGGTACGGAGCCATGATCTCGCCCAGGCAGGTCCCATGATCTGGAGTTCTGAGCATGATTAGCTGCTCCAACTCACAGGCACAAAGGAGGTCCGCGGCGCTGGGCTGGGTCCCCGTCATGAAGGGGCGGGCGCCCCCAGACAGCCAATAGCTCTGCAGGCCAGATAGCGCCACCTGCGGGGCGGTTGCAGGAAATGTACCATCACGTGAAAACGCCAACTGCCGGACTCTGGGATGCGGGACGGATGTCATTCTTCACACCTGAGGACACAGCACTCATAGCAACCTTGGGAGTTTCCCAATGCTTGATCATGTGGCGGTGATACTATTGAAATAGACAGCGCTTTGGAGCCATTCATGGGATTTTAGTCTTGTGCTGTGAGATACGAATCCCCACCTGCAGCGTCTTAAGGCCGTCTGCCGCGACCCGCTCGTCGCCCTGCTGCCCCAGCCTCCTGGCGATTACCTTATGAAAGGACAACCGCATGGCGCCCGCGCGGATGTTGCCTGATCAGGTTGGGCAACCGTGGTGGCAGGCATCAGCGTCACCTCATTCTGAGGCAGGCAAGGGAAGAAAAAATAGAGGACAGGAGAGCTGCTGCAGACTGCCCTAGCAATTCACTAAAAACCCTGGGTCAGTTGGGGCCATGCTCAGTCGGGATGTGACTTCGCTGTCCTGTCCCCAACTGCGCCTATACCCCCTAAAATCCTTCCGGTCGCATGTCACCACCCACCTTGATACCAGTGCAGTGCCGAGTCGACCAATGCCCTTCGCACCGGATCTGACCGCGGATACCAATGCTCCGGAACCAGCTCCGGGAACTTAAACGATAGGTAGGACATTATGGCAGCGCTCTCCGGTAACCGGAAGCATCCGTCCCCGGCCGACGTCTCCGTGGCGCTGCAAGCGGCTCCGGGGTCTTCCAGCAGGGGTACCTTGCCCAGAGGGTTCCGTTCCAGGTAAGCGGGGGAGCGAGTCTCACCCTTGTGGATCAGCACCGGCTGCACCTCCACCGGCAGCTTATTACATCTGTGTTGGGCGTGCGGGTGGGGTAGGAGGAGCCACAAGTGGTGCCGGAGGCATACAGAGCGGCACGCAAGGGAAGTTGCCAGGGAAGGGTCCAAAGGTCCTGATAAGGAACGTACTGCGGAGGAAGAAGAGTGGCGAAAACGAAGACATACTAATCACATGGACAAATAAGTATGCCATATTTCAATTGTCACCCAATTTTATTGGACCGGGCGGACATCTGCAAGACGGTTACAGGCGGTTGCAAGGGAGTAGCAATACACTATCGCATGCAGGCCAACTGTGTCATGAGTTTCCAGTGCTGACCATGTGCCTGGGCGAAGCTGATAGGGCGCGTTCTCCCGTTCATTTTAATCGTGCAAAAGATAGCGTGCCGCATGACCGTAGCCTGCGAGTAAACGGATGCCGAAACCCATATCCAACAGGGAAGATCCGTCATGGTAGAAGAGGACGTACCATACATAGCGATGCCATGCGTTCTTGCTGTGACATTAAATTAGGTAGGCAAAACGTGCCTCGTTATCCCCATTGTCGCCCCATTGCCGTGTCACCTTTCAAAACCCGCGAGGTCTTCGAAACCCAAACCTGCACAGCCAACCCTTGTCCCGACCTCCACCCCCACCTACCTGCTAAATATTATGACAGCCCTGGAAGGTTGAGACATAAAGTCCGCGTAGAGGCGCAACCGGAGCTCATCCCGTGGGGGCATTCCTAGAGTTGCGAGTTATCGCGGTTAGGACATATAGTTAATCCTTGCTTTCGACACTTTTAATTTTATCGTTTTCGACCCGGCTTTATGGAATACCTTTCGGCGAGACTCCGTCACCTTTCAGCTTTCACCGGCTTTAAATGGAAATGATTTGCTTGGCTTGCCACAGACACAAAAACACCAGTGTAAATCTTGTAATGCTAACCTGAGCTCCCATTGTGTTTGGGGCGCGATGGGGCCCTCTATGCACGGAAACGGAATGGTCATGTTATTGTCGTCCGAACTGGCGGTGAGCGATCTAACTTCAAGTCATTACTTCGTTTGGTACCGGCCCCTAGCATATTCCTTGTCATAGTGCGTGAAAACCTGTTTTACAACACGCACTTAGGGGTAGGTATAGTGCTCTAGCCATGTCCGTTACCGTCCCCCGCAGCTTTAGGCTGCTAGAGGAACTGGACCGTGGCGAGAAGGGCTTTGGCGATGGGACTGTCTCATATGGGATGGAAGACCCTGAAGATATTCACATGAGGAACTGGACGGGGACGATTATTGGCCCGCCCAACACTGTTCACGATGGACGCATTTACTCGCTCAAGATCCACTGCGATTTGAACTACCCGGAGCAGCCTCCTAGGATTTGGTTCAAGTCGCGCATTAACCTGTCCTGCGTCGATCAGCGGGATGGCCGCGTCGACCCCAGCAAGTTCCTCATTTTGGGCAACTGGAAGCGCGAGTATACGCTGGAGCAGCTGCTAACGGAGATTCGGCGGGATATGTCCTCGCCAACCAACCGCAAGCTGCCGCAGCCGCCCGAGGGAACGACTTACATTTAAGGAGCGCACATGAAGCATACGGTGTCCATCTTGTGTTGGAACATTGGATGTGGTCTACAGATGGTTCAGGGCGTGGTAAGGGAGCTTCGGGTGCAACTAGGGCGCCTAGGGACTACGTGCAAATGGGCGCGTGTTGAAGTCCCGGGATGACGACTACCGTAACGCATTCGCCCATCCATGTGCATAGCGAGACACAATATGGTTGAGTGACTGAGCGTTATTGAACGCGCTTGCGTGGGTTGCTGGCCTGGCTATGCGGGCTAGGGGTGAAGGGACAAACCCGGCAGCGGTTTCGCACCTTGAACGACGCTGACTGGAGATGTATTGGACTTCAAGATGTGGTGTGAAGCTGGTGCTGTGGAGAGATGAGCGCGCATGTGTAAATATAGCGTAGCATCCGTCCCTGGATCAATCGTTAGCACTGCACGGGGGTTTCCCCGTGCGTTTGTCGCAAATTTGTGGCTGTCCGTGTATCTCCCCTTGCATCACCTATCTTGCCGACAGGGTTACACAGTAGTTTAGACGCTTACGATCATACTGAGGAGCACACGTAGTTACATAGACAGCCAAGCTAAATGTCGGCATGCCAGGTGCAAGTGATGCTCACGGACCCCACTTTTGGGCCTTTGAATGCTGAGCAGTTTTTTAATCTCCATTAAGATCCTCACTCGGGCAAGAGTGCCTCGGCATCCACCTCGTAAATTACAGCCATACACGGTAGGGGACGTAACTTGGACGGCGGTGACGACCCCGTTACCGTAAGGTGTGCGCTGTGGGGCATGGGCATATTGATCCCAGCTCACCATCAAGCACTAACGGCGCCGGAATCGCTTGATGAGAGCACCCCGCGGAGGCATATCAGGCTTGGAGCTCCTTTCCCTCAACAATGGGTTTCAGCTGTGCACGGGGATAGCGGATGTGCCGCTGCTCGTGTGGGTGGCCTGGCCTCTTTCTGGGAACAGCCAGCAGCAGTATTCCCCCGTGACCACTACCCTAGATTGCACCAGCTACCCCTTTTTCAGCTGACTCCCACCGACGTGTATGGCCGCGTCACCTCAATCAGCCGCCGTGTGTCCTCCAGTGTCGTATAACGGTACGACCCTGGCGCCGTGGTGCTGACCTCCAGGATGCGGGTTCCGGCCAAAGCCGCCTGCGGGTGAGTCTGCTGTTGCTGGGACTGGGCCGTGGGCCCTGCAGCAGCGGCTGCGCGAGTGGTTGTGCGCAATAGCACGACTTTCTCCTGGGCGGGTATCACAGACGGCATGGATGCGCGTGCCGCCGCCAGCCGGGCTCTCACACGGGCCAGCTGTGCCCGATACTCGTCCGCTGCTCCTGCCTCCGCGACGATGTCCTCGTAGCCAACTTGACCTGCATGATGGGAGGCGGGCACGCAGTGGCAGGCAGCGGAGGCGTTTGCGCGGCCAGGGAGCGGCGGCGACAGCAGTTCGGGGCGGGGTAGGCATGGCGGATGGAGAGAAGTGGGCCTGGCGAGGTTGGGGGGCCACGGTTAGGAAAGGCTTACGGGCTGTCGGGCGCCTCTGCTACACGCAAAGAAATCACCTAGGGCGTACCCTTGGCCAGTCCAGTGCTGGCAGCGGTTCCAATTTATACATTTTAGCCAAAGCTCGTGCAGGAAGCCAGCCGAGGGCGCTATGGATTGCGCTTCGCCTGCAGTCGCCTCAAACTGCTGCAGGCCCTGACGTCCACCACCTGTCATGGGATTGAAGCTCAGCAAATGCCGCCTCACCTTTGCCTGGCCTTCGGCGCAAGGCGGGTCGACTGTGCCCCGCCTACGGTCCACCCCCTGTGTTCCCTGCACGCTTGCACCCACCTGACACCGCCGCCGCGGTCTTGACCAGGTCTGCTCGGATGGTTCGCACTGTGGCCGGGTCCAGTCCAGGAAAGGCGCCAGCGCTGAGTACCGCACCGAAGCGCTGCAGCGTGCTCTGTATAAGGGGAGGGAGGGAAAGGTCATCAAAATGTGGGACAAGAGAAAATGATGTTCCCCACTTTGATGCGCCGACACCACAACGCCATACAATCTGCTCCACACAGGAAGACCGCCAGCACTGCCCGAGAATCAGGTGCATGAGAGTAACACAATACGTAGTGATTCAGTACCAGCGCGACTCCTAATCCCGCTAAGTACTTGGCATGGGCCATTTAGCCATCTAGCCGCAGCGCTACGTCAGCGGTGTCTCTGTGCCACACAGTGCACAGCAACCAAGTGCTAACTTGCAGCTCGTAGCGGCCAGGCGGCGGCCAATGTGAGCCCCGTTCACGCCTAGACTGCTCCCTCTGGCCCGAACTTGGCTTCTCCCACACTTTCCGCGAACCAGTTATCACCCCTCCATCCTGGCTTCGACACAAGTGTGCGGCGAACTTGTGGTGTGTACGAGGGCTTCCAACCACCTAACCATGGTAAACGGCTCCCGGCACCGTACCTGCGCACTGTACAGGGAGCTTGAGCCTGGGCCGAAGCCCCCGTAGCCCAGGAACGATCCGCCCCCGGGAACACCACCCATAAAGCGAGGACTATCGCCATAGTAGCTTGTCGCCGCCGTAGCAGCCTGCTGCTGTTGGGAATGGTGGTGCGAAGGCGGCTGAGTGTGTGTGTACGAATATCCAGGCTGTTGCTGTTGTGAGGTATGAGGGGCCATTCCGGGCGCTTGAACGGTGCCAGCATCAAAAGCGGCAACGGCCGCACCCGCGGTTTGCATGGACCCCGGGACCCGAGCGCCCGGCTGCTGAGTTACGGCCGGGGCCGCTGCCGTGCTGACGCCGGCGGCCCCGTCGCTGCCGCCTGGAGCCATCCCGTCCGCGAACTTGACATGGAAATGGTGTTGCTGGTGATGACTTCCGCCGGGCGACATGGCGCTTTGGGGTCGTGGCGGCGCACCGGCTGCTGAACCGCCAATGGCGATGCCCGCTGGCCCGCCCACCGTAGCACCGGTTGCAGGCAGGCGGTGTCCAGGGATGAGACCATGTGCCGGGGCTGGGGCCGGGGCTGGGGCTGCAGTAGCGTTGGGTGTGGGGTACGGCGGATAGACGTAGGGGATGGGCGGTGGCAGGTACTGCAGCACCGATGCCACATTTGCAGCCGGCGCTGGCGTGTACGGCGGGTAAGGTGGGTAGGGCGTGTACGGCATCATGCCAAATGGCGTGCCATATGGGTAAGGTGGATAGGAATAGTACGGCGGATAGGCGCCCGGTTGCTGCTGTTGCTGCTGCTGCGCATGCTGGTCCCCCCCCGCCGCCGACGACGCTGCGGCGGTGGTGGCGGCGCTGACGCCACCCGGCGGCGGCTCCGCCTCCGCCCCTGCGCCGTGGTGTGGGTGATTGTGGTGGTGGTGCGCTCGTCCGGTTCCGTCCAAGGACAACCGCCGGCCAGAGGCTTGTGCGGCCAGGCCACCGCCGGCCGAGGAACCCGATGCGTTTGTGCTGAACGTCTTTGGCAGAATCCGCGCCATTTGGTTTGGCAGCATGGGGTCATCCGCCATCGTAATGGAGATGGAGGCGGTGCGTTTGAAGCCAGACGAGGACTTGATGACGCTGCCCACGCGGCTGAGCATGCGTGACCTGGAGAATATCACGCGTGGAGGAACGCCAAGCCAACAGTGCAGCGGGCGGGGTAAGTGGAAACGGCAAGCGAATCCTGCCCCTGGGGACAGGAACGCGACGTTGTGCACACAGGTAGCTAGTATACGAAGCACCGAATCCCCCAAGAGGCACGGACACGGACTGACGCCGCACACAGGACAGACGCCAAGTGGTCCGGGGACGGCCAGGGGACGTGAAGAAGTGAACAGGCTAGGGCACAACACACGCTGACACGCAACGAGGGTGCGCTTATAAGTAAAGAATTTTCGTGAATAGGTGGCAGATGCCGTAAGCAAGAGGAGCCAAGGGTGGCAAAGTGAGATGAAGCAGCTGAGCTTCAGCGTCGGGGCGGAAAACCTGGCTGGCATGAGAGGAAAGACCACCAGACCGTGACAGTGGTGTTAAGGTCGCACAGGTATGCGAAGTGCACGGAGCCCAGAGCTCGCCAGCCTTCCAATGATTGCCCCAATCTTAACTCAGCAAACTCCCCTCACCCCTGCGGTGGAGATCCCTCTTCTTCGTCCTCCCTGCTGACGGCTTCGGAGCCCGCTATGGGGGCCAGCGTGGACACCACCACTGAGCCCCGCCGCAACATGGAGCGACCTGAAAAGCTGGTCGCGGACAGGTGCGGGTTGAGCTGCGGGGAGGAGATTGAAAGCGGGGAGGTGGGAGGTGATTGCATGCACGGGGATTGGGGCTGCTTGCATGGAGGTAGGTAGGTATGATCCAACTGCAAGGTGACGACCCCTGGTGTTGGGCCTGTTTTCCTTTAAACTTAGACCTCTGGATATCCTTACGACTTTTATGTGCTGTTAACTTCTTTTCCGCTGTTAATTTGCCATGCACCCGCACATTAACGGGCGGCTTGACAACCGCCGCCATCACCATCACCATCACTACCACGACCCTACCACCATCAGGTCCGTGGCAAGGCCCCCCTGACCTCACCTTGCCCCGGCTGGTGGACCCCACCAAGCTGCTGCGGTGTAGGAGGGAAGTGGTCCGGGAGACGGAGCGCGACTGGGCGGGCACGCTTTCCGTCTCGAAGTCCTCGCTGTAGTGGCCGCTGCTCTCACTGCCGCTGCCACTGCCGCTGCTGCGGACCACGTCCTCTTCGGGAATGGATGAGTCCTCCAACTGCATGTAGGGGTGCGATGACCACGGGGTGGCAGGTATGACAGTGTACTGAACGACGTCCCGTACCACGTCGGTCTTTTTTCCCAAACCCCTTCCAAAGCCCCAAGGATTGCTGATGGGCACTACCACAAGGATATCTAGCCCAACTTTCTAATTCGGTCTGCTTCTTTTCAACAGATCCCCGCACTTCTTCCTCACCACTTCCTCCTCCACCTCCTCCTCTATCTCCGCTGTCTCCTTTTCACGCCTCGCCGCTCCCCTCGCCACGTCCTCGTTCTCCTCCTCCACCTCGTTCTCCTCCTCCACCGTTTCAACATCTCCACTGCCGCCCACCAATCCGCTCTCCTCTTCCACGGCGTCCTCGAAATCCTGCGAGTACTCCTCGCTGCCGCCGCCATCGCCGCTGCCGCTGCCGCTGCCGCCACGCACCGCGCTGGCCCCTGAACGGCCAAATACGGGCGAAGAAGAACGCTTGGGCCTCAACAGCGCGCCCACGCCAGGACCCACACCCATTTCAGAGCTGGACAGGCGGCTCCGCCGGTAGGTCACGCCGCGGTCCACACCAAAAGTTCCGCTGCTTTCCCGCAGGAAGCCCCCGCTGCTGCGGACGCGGCTTATGTCTGAGCCGCCGGCCACAGACATGGTGCGCAGTCGAGACGGCGACGACGTCAGCGGCAACGGGCTGGTGGGCCTGGAGGCGCCGGCAGTGGCGCCAGGGGACGTGACGGTCCTTAGGGTCGGCCAGCTGGCGGGGCCAGGGGCGGCACCGCCGCTGGCACCGTCCATGTCCCTGGCATCGCCAGGCGGCCCTGCGGGTCGTGGGGGCGACAGTGGCGGAGAACCGCTGGCGGCCGGCGGTGACGGTGGTGGTGACTGCGCCGCCGCTGCCGCCGAAGCGGCGGCGGTGGAAGCCGTATACGCGGCCGCCGCCGCTTGACCAGGGGTCATCGGCGGCTGCCCCGCCGCCGCACCCGGCTGGCCCGGCCACCACTCGTACGGGTAGTACGGCATGGCGCCGGCGCCATGCGAGACGTGGGGCGGGTAGGCTGGCGGCGGCGCCACTCCCGCGGCGATGGTGGCACTGGAGAGGCTGCGTTCCAGCTGCTCCAAGAGGGCCGCCGTCTTGACGGAGTGGAACGCGAGGGATAAGATGCCAAAGCCGGGCCCTATGCCGCTGAAAGCAGCACCTGGCGATTCGCCTAGCAGCAGTGCATCGGCGCCCGCCTGCAAGGCGTGTGGTGGACGCGTTGGACCTCAACCTTGCATAAACTCAGTTATAATCATTCACTCACCTGCAGCAGGCCACCGCCACCGCCTCGCTTCGTGAAGGGGCCGTACAGCTGTTGCTGCTGCAGCAAGTGCGCCTGCAGCTGGCGCCGCAGGTGCGGCGGCAGCGCCTCCGTGTCGTACAGCCCCGTTGACGCTTCCATGAGGCGCTCCGCAACAGGATCGAATGCCACTTGTGTGGAGGCCTCGTTGAGGGTGCCCCACTACAGTACGGCAGGCGGCGCGGAGGCACAAAAAAACACCCATATTCTCCCATGCAACGCAAATTTGGAAGGGAAGGGGCGCGCGTATACACGCTCACACAGATACACGCACGCAAGCCAGGATGGCGTATGGCCGGCGGCATGCCGATGCATTAGTAGTCGCCAGTGGCTGGTAAGCTTTTTTCCCGGTGGCTAGAGGGGCCGCCTCAAGCGATCAGCTCGCAAACCCTTATAGCAGGCTACATCGTCGCTATTTTCCGTCAGCCCCTCGAAATCACAATCTCAACCTCAACCGTAGCGCAGCGCATCCGCAGACCCGACCTAACCAACATACCCACCTGCATGGCTACGGTGCGCAGCTTCACTGTGCCGGGGCGGGACACGGGATCCAGGTCAACAACATTCGTGTACACGTCTGTCTGCGTGGCGGCAAAGGCATGGCGAGGCGGCGGCGGCGCCGCCGCCGCCGCCACGGCCGGTGACAGTGGCTCCGGCGGCGGCCGTGGCGGATGCGGTGGCAGATGCGGCTCCGTGGGGTGGAAATGAGGGTCCGGAAAGCGGCGCAGGTCAGCAGGTGATGGCGACGGTCCCAGTGGCGGCGATGGCGGACTGATGACGCCTCCGCCGCGCGCTGTGAACGCGGGCACGGCACCTTGCGCGCCGGCGGATACTCTCGGAGCGGAAGTATTGGGCATGAGGGGCCGGAAGATAGGCTGTTCCGTTAACCCTCGCTGCATGGCCTGGAAAAGGTAGAAGCGAGCCGTGGGGAGGGCGGGGAAAGGGGGTTTGGAGAAACCGCCAAACCCCAAACCTTAACTTTTAAACATGGGGAGCTGTATTGGACCAGAGCTCTTCGTATTAAACAAGTATGCAAAAAGTGAGTGAATGGAGGATGTTGCAGTCGATCTGACCTGATCACCGGCGTTGTTCGCACCCAAGCAAAACTTTCATGTGGCGATACGTAAGTTCCGTTGCCGGGAGCTTTAGTCGTGAATAGGCCGCGTATTGGAAGGCAGTATGCTCTCTGGCGACGACAGATTTGCATATGTGTGTGTTACACCTCGGTTGCGTTATCCAGAGAGCATATATGCTGTGGTACGGACACCCAAATCGGGTTCAGGCTGGTTCTGCACCCTAACTCGGCCACGACGAGCATCCTTCTGTGCGCCTACCTGCGACGGAATGAACTCCTCAGACAAGTCGCTGTCGCGGGAGAACTGATTCGGATCAAGTCTCGCCGGCGGACCACGTATCGCCGCACCGGCAGCGGCTGTGGTGCCACCGCCGCCGTCACGGCCGGTGGCGGCAGCAGGGGTGGTAGTCCACGCCGGTGCGACAGGGCCGGGACCCAGCCCGCCACTCTGGGACAGGTGCGAGGCGGAGGCATCGAAGGTCCCGGAGGGGTCGCCAGAGCCGTCCTCTGCGGCTGGGCCCCGGCGGCGACCTCCATGGCGTTCGCGGCTGAGTGACGGCGAGGAGTTCTCAGGGGATAAAGTGTCCGCTGTGACACAGATGAGTTCATGGGAGAGTGCAGGGAAGGACTTAAGAAAGGGAGCAGGACTCTACGCGAATTCTAAGGGAGGCGGGAGCTCGCACACATGTGCAGTTTCCCGTCCCAATGCCAGGAATCCAACCATCCAATCACAAACGTCGTCGTGTGCCCTTCTAATGATCACATACACACGTTCACTTGCCGGCTCGCCGCGTGCCAGCATCCTCACCCCACCACCACTCTTCCACCAGCACCCGTTCGGGTCCTTTTAGCGCCCGGTTCGGTCCTTCGCTAAAACACACATGCAAAGGTAACTTACCGCTTTGGTGCAGTTGAATGCGCTGCTGCCTTCGCCGCCAGCGGCTAGCCCCATCATCCTCAGGCGACCGCACCGCCGCTGCCATCAGCGCCTCGTCCTCGTCCTCCACGGAACCGTAGCTGCCTGAGTCGGCCACCACAGCGACCCGTGGGTCAGGAACGGGTCGCTGTTGCTGTTGCTGCTGCTGGGCCTTCGATGGCGGCGGCGGCGGCCGAGGCACCGTGGCCGGCCCAGCACCTGCGCTACCGCCCTTGCCGCCGCCGCCGCCCGTGCCTCTCCCGTACGACTCTTCCTCCGAAAGAGAGCCGCTCTTAGCAAGCTGCCGCGGAGTAAAGGCGCTATCGGCCGCCGCTGCCAACTGCAATTCGCATCGTTAACTAACTGGTTAATCAGTACCAGGTATTTTTATAGGATCTTGCAGGCCTACATTTTAACAGGCCCGGGACCCCGATTGCCGCGGTGCCCTCCTCTCAGGTTACATCTGAAAATTGATCTTTGCTTCATTGAAGGCAGTAGTCACCGCAGTAGCTGCCTGCCCTCACATGGCCCCGCGAACACGCACAGAAACGAGCCTCTTCCTCCTCACATGGCACAACCAGCCATTGAAACGCACAACAAATAGAACGCACAACAAATACAATCCACTCATCGCCGTAACCAGGGCCAAAACAGATATCAACAGACACATACACACACATACATTCACACACGCAGACGTGCAACACACGCGCAAATCCAAACACACACACACGCAGGTACGGTACCTGGCGGCCGAAGGAGAATTCCCGCTGGCGAATCGGCAGTCCCAGGGAGGGCGTCGCTGCCGTCTCGCCCCGCCTCCGAGACGATGCGGCCCGGGAGAGGGACCGCCCCACGGACTCGGTCGCAACCGACTCAGCCACGAAGTCGGACTCGTAGGCGTCGTCATCCCCGCCGCCGCTGGCAGTGCGGCCCCGATGGCTGCTGCCGCCCTCGCTGCTATGGCTAGGCTGTACCCGGCCGAAGTACAAAATGCACAGGGGAAATGGGCGCAAAATGGACGGGAGGGAACGCAGAACGAAAGGAAGCAAGCACGAACGGGCATTGCAAAAGCCAAACCAAGGAGAGGCTACGCTGAAAACAGGAGAAGAACGCGGCGGACGAGCATCAAGGGTGTAGGGGCTGCATTATCGTCATCGCAGAGCCGAGTGTGTCGAGTTATGTGGGTGCTCGCCTCTACCTGATCCATGGATGTCTCATTCCCGTGTGCCCGCGGTTCGGCCCATTCCCGCGTGCTACGATGGACCTGGTTCAACTGGTTAACATCAGTCAAGCAGCGTGACTTCAACCTTCCTCTCGCCCTTTCTCACCATTAGCTGGTCCACCGTCATGATGTTCTCACCGCCGCTACTGCTACTGCTGCCGCTACTGCTGCTGCCCTCCCGCACCACCTGCAGCCCAGCAAGCAGATCGTGCGCGGCGGACGCCGGGCTGCTGCCCCTACTGCTCTTGTGGTTGACGGAGCCGCCACCGCCGCCGCTGCTGCCATCACCGCTGTGACTGCGGACACCCCTGGCTTCGTAGTCGTCGGAGATGCTGGGTAACGACTCCGGATCCACACTCTTGCTGTGGCCGCTACCTTTGCTGCTCCTGATGCTACTGCTACTCTTGCTACTGCTACTCTTGCTACTGCTACTCTTGCTACTACTGATGCTGCTACTGCCACCAGCATAGCGCCTCGCAGCAGCACCGCTGTGGCTGCCGCTGTCCATAGCCGTCACGCCGGAGAGGCGGGAGACGCTCCGTGGCCGTCTGGAATCTACCAGGGAGCCGTCCGAGCTGCCCGCCCGGTGGGATACCCGATTCAAATCCCGGCCGGCGCTCTTTCGTTCCGATTCGCTGCCACTGTCGCCGCCTGCTCGTGGTGCTTCAGACAGCTGTTTTGGCGGCGGTGGCGATGGCGGCGCCGCCGCTACAGACTGGGGCTTTAGCTTTCCATGTATCACGGAAACTCCAGCGTCATCGCCATAGCTGACACCAGCTTCCTCCTCGATACCCAAGTCACTGTACGACACCTCCGGCGTGGCGGAGGCCACCGGCTGCGTGAGGCCGCCACTGACCGCGTCGCCGCTGGTGCCCAGGTCCTCGATACCATGAAGCCGTACACCGCCGACTCCGTACGATGAGCTTCCGGAGGAGGACGAACCGCCGCTGCTATGGCTGCTACGCGCGCCACCGCTGTCCACGGCGCGCCTGCCGCCGCGGCTCCTGTCGCTTCTGTCCAAACTCCGGTTAACGTCAGTCGCGTGACGCACGATCTCGGTACTGCTGTATACGCCGTACGACTCGTCCATACCGCCGCTGACGGGCTCCAGCGCTGATGCGTCCATGAGGTTAACGCCCAAAGCACCGCCGCCGCTGCTGCTCTGCCTGCTGCGGCCGTCGCTGCGCTTAGCGCTGCCGTCGCCGGTACTTCTGCTTGGCGTCACGCCGCTCCGGCTGCTGCCGCTCGCGAACGCTGGCTCCGCCGTCAGGCCGCCAATGCTTTGCGGACGGCTGAGCCGTACGGAACCCGTCGTACGGTTCAGGGGGTCAGGGTGGAGGGCTGAATAGCCAGGCCGGGGCTGCAGGCTTTGGGAGCTGTCTCGCCCACCTCGCCATGCGCCGGATCCTGAGGCCGCTGAGTCGACGCCGATAGACGACAGAGAGGTGCTCCCTGCGCACGGAGATCCGCAGAACGAACACGAGTTCGCTGTAAGCCTGCTAATATACCCTCCCCGTTGGGGTGGCATATGTAACTTGAGGAAGTCCGGCAGCGAGGTTGCACGAAAAGCTATCCTTCCTGCTGCTGGTACTCCTTGTAAAGCAACGGCAGCCGCAGCAACATGCGAGTGGACCGCAGACCTAACGCCAGCCAGTCGTCTTTCCTGATTTCCGGACGGCCACCATGATGTTGCCCACCGCCAACACTAACCTACACTTACGCTGCCGTCAACAGTCCATCTGCAGCCTGCTTGCTCCAAATAGACTTCAGGCACCTCATGCCGCATTTGTAAGCGGCCGACGAAACCCCACGATGCTTTCCCAACCCAATCCAATCCAATCCAATGACCCGCCATTACACCCACCGGAAATAGATGGCGTCTTGGAATCACCGTACCGCGGCGCCGACGAAGCCACTTGCCGTCCCGCTACCTGCCGCCCTACAGCCCCTGAAGCATACACAGCTGAAGCAGTTGCCCTCGCCAACATTCCGCCGCCTCCCTCATTCGAGCCGCTAACGTCGTACTCAATGCTGGCGCTTCCGAGGCCGCCGCCTCCACTGACACCGATGTCGCTGTTGCCGAGGAAATCTTCATCGTACTCAATGGTTCCGGAGCTGGCCGCCGCAGGCGGCCTCATCCGCGGCTGCGGCTGATGCGTTCCCTGACCTGCTCGCCCTGCACCCTGCTGCATCCCCCGCCTGCCGGCTTCGTTCACGCCCCCGCCTATGCCTACGCCTAAGCCCATGTCCTCGCTGTTGTCAATGACCAGGCTGCCGCTGACGCTGCCCAGCGCACCTCCGCTGAGTGACATGAGGCTCTCCGGTTCCGACATGGCCACAGTGTGGGTTGACTCGCGGACGACCTCCTGATTCAGGCCGGCCTGGACACAGGCAACATGACGTGGAGCAGGGAGTAGGGGCAGGACTGATAGGGGCAGGGCAGCGCAGTGAGGTGCAGGGCAGGTAAGCACTGCTTTGCAGTGTGTTTCTCCTGGAAAAAGGTGGAGAGAGAACCGCTCCCACACCAAGGCAGTGGTATTTCGCTCTGGTATTCATTCAGCGAACAGTGGACAGCCCTGCCATGCTCAACGCACAGTGCACGGTACGCAAGTGTTGCTGCATGGACGGGCTACGACATAAAACTGTGTCTGCCCCCTTAGCGAAGGCGCTGCTAATGCCTCATTGCTTACGGACGCATTATCCCCCTTGGGAGTGCCTTCGCTATGTAAGCTGGTGGAGAAGGCAATGGTGGCGGGGAATCAAGGGTGCTGTCCACCTGTCCACCCCTGGTGCCGCCCAGCAGAGCACCATTCCGTTCCGGTGGAATCATCCATCGGCCCGCTCACCCGGGTGATGTGGGTCTTGGTTTTCTTGGGACCTTCCAAGCTTAGCACCTCTACCAACGTATCCTGTCCACCGCCGGCCCCACCACCGCCACCTCCCGTAATGTCCAGATCGGCCGAAAGGTCATCCGAGCTCAGGGCGGAGATGGACAGGCTGTCGCTGCCGCCGCTCCCTGCCGTGGCCGGCCTTCGGCCGCCGCCAATTCCTCTGCCACCGCCGACGCTGCGAGGCTGCATTCCGGCCGGCGGCAGGTTAGCGGATCTGCCTGCACGGCCAGGCAATTGCAACATCCCACACCATCATCACAAGGGACTTAACGAGCCTATCGCACAAAGCCAGCGCTATGCAGTAAAGCTATAGTGTGCAGTAAAGCTAAGGTGACAGGAATCCCAGCCCTTCCGGTAGTTATCAGGTTAGGATGGAAGCCATGCCGCAAACAGTGGTGAAGGGGGTCTGGCAGCAACCCTGGTCATCGGGCAGCAAGCTAGCATACATCCGCCTCCCCGTAATCCACTATACCCATTCACCCATTGGCCAGCCCCCCGCATGCGCACCTGATAACGGAGGGGGCCTGCCAGCCGTGCTGGGTCGCATCCCCTGCCCAGGTGCTGCCCCAGGTCCCCGAGCCGCGGTCGGTCGCGGATTATCCTCGTGCATGATATCAATAGATCCGGAAAGGTCAGAGCCGGATATCTCAATGGAGGATGTGCTCTTATGCTGCTGCAGGCGACCCACTGGTGCTGCAGCACAGCGGGGGAAGAGGTTGGGGCCCGGAGTCCCGGAGAGCAGCAGCAGCAGCTGTAATCAACAGCGGTAGTGGCAACGGCTGTAGCTTCGTGTCAATCGCCACGTAGACTGCAAATTGTTCAACGAGTGTGATCATGTGCTGATTGTATCTCCGGGAACTGAAGGAACCAGCGAGGTGCCTGCTGGCGACTTCACAATCTCAATCTTCTTTCCGTTGATATGCATCAAACCGAAAGGCTGCTCCAAAACTACCGACACCTGATACGTGGTGAATATGTACCACAGCTGAAAGCATGCTCGCGCAATTATCCACCGCGGCCGCACCTTGGATGGCGGGAGGCTTGCCACGGGTTGCCGGGCGACCGCTGCTCCCCACAAGCACAGACCGGGAGCGGTCATCATGATCTATTTCGATGGACCCAGAAAGCTCTGAACCCGATATCTCGATCGAGGATGCGCTCTCTCGCTTGCCGACTGGCTGTATCCGGCCAACCGGTCGCCCGACAGATGTGCTGGGACGCCCAGATGGTCGATTGGTGACTGTTGGCTTAGGTCCCACATCAGTAATATCGATGCTTGTGGACGAGACGTCGCTAAGGCCCGAAATGTCGAAAGATGAGGACATCCCGCACTAATCATTTTACCGCGGGAGACACGACGTCATAATAATCTCTTTTATATATGGCACGGTGTGAAATCTATTTTGTCGACAACATGCAGGCGAACATTACACGTGGGTTTCTCCTCACCTTACTTGTTGTGTTGTGGGTGCTTGTGGGCACAAGGATGCAAAGCTACAAAGCCTTCAGCATCGTTAACTCTACCTTTTAAGCAAGTGCAAAACCACTGCCACAACGGCTTGGACTCAATCGTCAACGGTCAACGCCTCGCGTGGCAGCCCATCGTACGACTGCGGAAATCCCCCGGGCAGCGATATAACGCACCATAAAAGCGAAAAATATAACAGCCGCTGTAGCTAGAGCTGAGCTGCTCAGCGCACGGCGGCGAACACGTCCACCTTCGCCCGGCCTCACAGAACTTAGAATATCAACGGTCAGGCGCGTATGGGTTGTGGTCACGAGCGGCACGTCGCAGTCTGGGGTCATAGTAGCGTCGCATTGAAGGACTGCCGAACGATCACTGCCTCGTGTCAGGTGCACCACACTAGGCTCGGGGATACACCCAGACTCACAGTGCAACACGATGGTGACCGGGTGGTTTCCTGGCGAGTCCTTGCCGCCTGGCGCGTGTAAGGATGACACACGCACCAAGTTCGTCCCCACGGTCAGGGCGAAAGCCTCTTCCTGTGGCACCAAGGGGTTCTTCTGGTTTTGCAGGTACTGCATATGGCAGGTGGCAGCCTCGCATTCGGGACTGGCCACCCTGAGCTCCAGGTTAAGGAAGGTTTCATTTCCTCCTGCAGCAGCGGAACGCGTACTTGTCGCGACTGGAGTTTTGAATCGTGCTTTTGGAGACATGGGAAGGTCGGCAGATTCTATTATGCTAAGTGTTGATCTGCTTCAACCCACGAACATGGCATCTTCGTTGTCAGGTGTACACACCACGGCCAGGCGCCAAGCTAATTGTTGTTTCATCCGGCTGCTCTGGCGTTGCGCTGGCCGCGATGTAGCCCGACAACATCAAGATGACAACCAGGATTGCAGACTGGCACATTCGAATGTTTTAATTGGTTCTGTATCGTCACAAGGTTACAAAATATGATTTGCTATGAGCCAGCAATTCCAGGTCTCCACTGAAATTCACGGGCTGAAGCCACGGTTAAGTGACCCGCGGGTCATTAGTGTGCCAATCTTTTGCACGAACGAATAAACAAGCCGAAAACTACGCAAAGTTGATTAGAGCATAGACTACACAGACAAAGAAGCTGCGACATGTACAACAAAGCGGTGATTTAAGTACCAGCCCTCAGAATGCGATTGTTACAGTGGACCCCGAACGAGTCGAGTGCAGCCCGCAGTACTTGACATTCGCCCCATGAACAGTTGTGATAAGTGCTAGATAAACACCAACATTGCAGCTTGGACAAAACTTTCCTCAAACGCGTAATTGCTTTCAACAAAATCAAGCATTCAGCACGATTCTCGTAACGACATCGGCATCAGCGCTTCCTCCCAAACTCGCCGTTAAATTCAAAGCGGCGAACTAGGTTCGGAGGCAAACTGGAACTGTAAGAGCTAACTTACAAATTGGGGGATCTGCGATTGCGCTTCCTCAATCATATCGAAATTCCTCAAGACTTTTCTTCCGGCCGAACGTGTCGTACAAAAGTCTGTGACACCTTCATCGACGCCTCCATCATCGCTGTTCATTCGTCAAATACCTCGTGGCCTTTGCAGTTTCACAGACTCACAAAACCTGCTAATACCGTATCGGCGGGCCATACGCTTTCCAGCAAATGCACCTGTAAAGGACGCGTCACCCTGACCTAGGCACTGCAGGAGCCACTTGCCGACACATAAAAAGACCAATGGACAAACCACAAGCAAGACTCTATTTGCATCTGCTTAAAACTGGGCTGGCACATCAGTATAAAAACAATAAATGACTTAACAAAACATATGCATGTTAACCAAACTAAAACACAAAAAACTCACGTCAGTCAGTCAGGAACATGGCCTGCAAACGAAACGCTATGTACGACGAGGCTTACGAAGCCCCGAAACAACACGCTGGCTGGCTCGCCTGACCGGCACATCGAGCACCCCTCGCAGTCCTCCAGCACCACGCGGCGCTGCGCTAGCACCTGCAACCAGACTTGGCCACGCGCCTGGCTCACGCTCCTCATCGCTGTCTGAAAGCAGCTCAATGGGGCACCCCCGGTCACCAGGCAGGAGTCCAGTCCTGTTCGCAGCCGAGTCTGCCTGTGCCTGGGCCGTAGAGCCATGCCCTACTGGCATGCTGGAAGGCAAACCGTCTCGGACAGGCCGCGAAGTCCCCGTGCCCCTGGCGACAAATTCCTGCAATCTGCCGCTCTCAGCAAGTGCGATAAGAGCCGTTTCTGCGGTAGCAAGCCTGTCCCCACTAGCCAACTCTCCGGCTGCACCAGCGTCCGCTGTCAGCAGTCTGTCGCCAACAAATGGGCGTCCACTGTCGTCGATTAGCCAGTCACCATCGCAGGCTCCACCAGCTAGCCACCGGGGTGAGAACCCGACCTCGCTACCGGGCTCAGAACCCTCTGCTGCCTCTTGCAAGCTCTCCATCAGCAACGCGCGATCGAAGAAAGGCGAGGAGAAAAAAGTGTCTGCACCACTCGGTTCCTCCCCATCGTAGTTGGAAGCCAGGTCCGGGTTCGTGTTGTGCTGTGAATGGCTGCATACCCGCGTCCGGATAACAAGGCCTTCAGGTGGTTTGCTGCCGGCGTCCAAAGAAACCGTTTGATGACTGGCAGGTGCAGGCATGGGCATTGGATCCCTTCGCAATGACACGCGCAGACGGGGCAGATTGGGCGGAGAGATGTGCAAGGGCTCCATCGCGCGGGCTACCTGCGCGTCTAGTTCGCTCCACGAAGGCGAAGGCGCGTCTGCAAAGGTCCCCAAACAGGGTTGTGGTGTGCCTTGAGTTTCGGCAATGCATCGGTTGTCCTGCACATTTCCTGGGGTTGAGAAGGACAGCGCAAGGGCTGGCATAGTGTTCGCAATGGAGCTGCTGCTGTATCCTTATCGACATGCCTACGCCGCATCCAATCAATGACCCGGTGTACCATGATATTACCGGTGTATCATGATATTAGTTGAAAGGCCACTAGAGCTGAAATAAGAACAGCGACATTAAAACAGTGACCATGAAACAGGAGACGTATTCAAACGACTGCATGCCCCTTGTGATGGATTCGTAATCTGAATTCCTGCGCACCTTGAGCCCTTGCCACAGCGGCACCAGGAACGTCCGTACTCAATGCGGTCAACCCATTGCCGATACCGCTGTCCGTTGTCACCGATAGCTCCAGATCCCGACTGATGTCGCTCTCGTCATCAAGACGCAGGGACGGATGCTGCCGCAGATCCTCCGGAGGCGGCCTACGCGGTGTCAAAATGTGAAAAAACACATAGACGACTAACAAGTGGACGGGAATAAAGCAATGACCTTCCAGACGGGTGTCACAAGTTGCACGCCGCACTCATGCGAAGGGAACAGCGTTCATGCTACCTTGACACCAAAGGTCAAACTCAAGTTTTCCCCATCCACCTACATGGGCCCTACGAAGCCTTTAGCACAATCGGTAAAGTACCATGTCGCGGCTCCTTACCTCCGCGGGTTATTGCAACGGCCATTACTCGCAAGTGTGCTACATCCTGCGCCTCCTGCTACACCCCGCGACGCCGCACTGCTCTCATTGACTGTCGTGCAGCTGCCCAAACCACACAGGTCATCGTTCTCCGGGAGAAGCTCCAGTTCCGAGGCATCATCAAAAGCCTTAGTGCTCCAGTTGCTGCCAAGCGTGCTCGGCGAGCTGCTCTCGCCGCCGGCGGTGGTGCAGCTGCCACTATCCTGTGAGGTGATTGATGCCTCACGAGGGGCGGGACCGGCTGCCGCATCCATGCCATCCGAGCGGAAAGTGGCTAAGGCACCGCTACCCGTACGGTTCAATGCATCGCGCGCCCCGGCTTGAGCCTGGGTGCTAATGCAGGCGCTCAGGAGTGCCCGCTGCGAGGCATTGAAATGCGGTGCAGCAGCGGCAACAATACCCGTATCTTGTCGTCCAGCGACCACCTGCAGCAAGCCAGCGCTCCGCGTATCCACCACCGCTGTGACCTCACCAGGGCCGCGACTGGCAGTTGCACTGGCCATCGCGGCAGCAGGGCGAGGCAGGCGCAAAAACGGGTTGTTGCTAAGGCTACGACCGCTGCCAGCGCCCTGCTGCGACAGCGTCGGCATGCCGGCGTTGAAAGCTAGTACATTTGAGCCAGCCGCCACGTTGCCAGTGGGACCTGTTGTGTGTCCTACATAAGGCCGGGATGGGGGCCGCGGCGGGACATGCGGATGAAGCCCGGAGGTCGTGGCGCCTGCCGCGTTGTGGTTTGCTTCCGATAGCAGCTGCAATAACCGAGGTGAGGATGACTGTGGGTTGGCCTGCGCAGTAACTGACGCAGCACGTCCAGCCAGGTCGGCAGTGCCTCTGTATGCAGAGCCTAGGAGGAAGGAATCGGTTCCCTCCCAACGCTCGGCGCTGCGCGAGCGCCGCCTTTCACGGGCGGGACGCACACCGAGTTCCGCTAAGGAGAACACAACGGGCGGCGGTCCGGATGGCTGCATTACTGAGCCTGTTGCAGCCGCCCCCGAAACGGATGAGCTGAATGTTTGCCGCTGTGGCCTGGGGCCGGACACACTGCGGCCAGGGAGGCTCGTCAGGCCTATGTTGCCCATACCAGCGCCATGCGTAGCGAGATTGTTGGCGTTGGCGCGTGACAGGGGTTGACCAGGGAAGCCGGGCTGGTCGACACCGCGCCATGCAGGAACGAACCTGTATAGACCAGGTTGGTCCGATACCGGTTAGGCAAAGCCAGGATAACACGATAGTGGTTCCCATTGGGCATCGCTTCCAGTTCAGATTGCCCTCCAGGGCGTTTCGGTTGCCAACTTCGTGTTCTCGTAAACAACCGAGCACGACGGCAACAGTATGGCAGTGATAAAAGGCAGGGCGTGTGCTAGAGCGTACCTTGGTGGGCGAAAAGGGGCTGCAGCGGGATGGCCATTAGTTGATAATCCCGACCCGGCAGCACGCCCCGCGATCTGACCGGAAGCTGCCTGCTGCAGGGCCTGCGCCGGCGGTGGTGTCAGAGGCTTCGCGCTTGCCTCCGCAGGGAAGAGATGTTGAATAGTGTTCCAGAGAGTAGTGTTGATGTTCAGCGCGAAACCTAGGCGGGAAGCGCAAACAGCCCGAATGTAAGCCGGAGATTCCCTGCAGGGGGATATGGGCTTGTGTTCGCAGAGCATGTCATAAGGGGCTTACCAGCGGGTAAGTTGGCGCGGCACTTCGGACACGGCCGGTTAAGCTCCGTGTTGCGACGCAGGCAGCTGCGACAGTAGTTGTGGCCTGTAGCAAAGAACATATTTCATAAAATGGCATCCATGCACGAAATGATGATATATTCTGCATCCAATAACTCTGCAAAGAATGAGCCCCCAAATAATGGGAGCAGGACAAAAACCGGGCAAATACCGCAGCAAGCGAAAGCGACAGAGGTTCACAAGGCGATGCCAAGCTTACCGCATGGTGTTGTGCATGGCCGAACGCATATGTCCAGGCACACCTACTTGCAAAGAATATACATGGCAAAGCCGTCAGTAGTCAGGCGCGCATAACCGCCGAGGTAAGCTGTCGAGATATTTCTCACCGCGCAAGTAAGCTCGTCCCGCAGTTGCTTGAAGCAAGCCAGCCTGTGCGAAAGCCAAGGCAAACGGGGGTGTTGGGAGGGTGTTGGTTGCAGCGAAAGCTGTCTGCTTTCGCGCGGCTTCCCCAACCGCACCTGCTGGGTGTCACATCCATATTTGCACCATTCTCACTACGTTCTGCTTGGCGTGAGCACAACCGAGGCCTGCAGGATCGTTGCCCCACCATAAAGTCCACCGTCAACGTGGCGAGTTTTGTAAAATGCAAGCTCACCGTGCAGGGCTTCCGTGGTTCTCATTTGCTAGTATCCGCCTTGTCTTTTGGATACAACCATCATTTTCAATATCGAGGCCACGAAACGAAGCAGACAGTCGGTCAACAGGACCACCTGATGGACGAAGTGAAACGTTAAGAATGACTAGAATTTAAGGAAATATGATGAGCAGGTGAGGGATCTAGAACATACTCATTTCGCTTTGAAGTCCCGCGTCATAGCCTTGGGTATCAACCATTTTGCTTCGTGTTGACAAGAGATAGCATATTTACGGAGATTGCCAGAGCCGTCCAACCAGGGTAAAACAAAAGTTATCTAGATTAGCGATATTGGGAAATGAGGTAAAATTATCGCTTCATCGCCGTACATTGGTACATCCGGTGCCATTTCCCTCATCAGGCGAAGATTTTTAATGTGCCCCCCGGGAATAGGTTCTGGAGGACTTAGTGCTGTTGGAGCTTTGACGGAAGCAAGTGATTTCCCCTTGTGCTGAGGCGCCCTGTGCGCTTTTGCAGCTCAGCATCTTCAGGACTACTACTCAAATAGTACGGTATTTAAGAAGGACACTTCACCTCAGCACTGCCCTTGGAGGAGTCCTTCGGGGCGTTACTTGACTTGGCTCTGCGACTCTGTTCGCTGAGTTGCGAAAATGCAAGCTTTGACGCATCGGCCCAGGATAGGAGTGAAGGTGCCTGCTCAGCAGAAGGTGGGATCAGCAAAGATGCAGGATAGTCGGACTTGCGAGGGGCAGTCCAGGCATTCATAGTGCTTGTCCTAGACGTACGGGCTCTCCTAGGGCGGAAACGTCTTACGAATCACTTACAAATTGCTGCAGGCTGGCCTAGATCGTCATGGCAAGCTTATCCTGTGCGTTCCTCGCGGTGAGGCGTTCCCACCCAGCTTTCTCTTTGGCTCCCCGCTTTTGGATCGTATCCAGAATTCTGCGGGGATATTATTTTCCCGGTTGTGCATGGCATATGGGTCGGTCAGCGCTTTCGCGATAGGGGAGCTTGACCTTTAGGGGACCCTGCCGAGCCGGAGGCCCTTAAGCACCTCCAGCACAAAATTATCACAACCGCCTACCCTGGCATCATACGACCAAAGCCCCGTGTTCAGTGTGACTCCCCGACCCAGCTCAACCTGTCACTTCGCCAACCGACGCACCGCCCAGCACGCGTTCTCATCAGGGGTCCTCTCCCCGCACTTCCTTCTTTTGGGAGGCGACACTCTCATGCACGGCCTTATTCAATCTGCGCCAAGCCTTCATGCCCTGCCCTACTAGGTCTGGGAGAGCCTACATCTGCAGCTTTCCGCCCCCTTCACACTTTTCGCTTACCCTCATTGTCCCTTCATGGCGACTGCCCGTCACCAACTATGACACTTGAACCTGTCCCCTGTCCCGCCCATTATCTACGCGCCGTCGTGCACCAACACCGCGATAACTTGACAGGAGCCGTACAAACCCAAGCGGTGGGCAGCGGAAGCAACTCTTTGACCCGCCTGTTTGAGCTGGCAGATGCGACTTCTATGGACTCCCCGCTGGATGTGGTGGTAGACGCCCCGCCACCGGCGGCTCTGGAGGCGGGTGGGTCACCTCGGCTGGGACGTGGTTATCTCACCTGGGGCCACAGGTCCATGCCGCAGCTGTTGCTTAGCTACAGGCCATGTATGCAGGTTCCTGCTATGGGCTGTAAGGTCTCTGGTCGAGGTTGGGATTGAGCTGTGTTTTCGGGGTGTTGGGGCTGGGTTGGAACCCTTATCCCGGACCCTGTTTCAGGGCCTGGATATTACCCTTGCTTCCGTTCCCTCCATCTCCCAACAAGCTCTCCTCGGCCCCTCTTGCAGTGGCTGCTGCAAGTGAGGCCATGATAGGCTCGGCTGCAGCTGCAGAGCCGGAGGCCGCTTCTAACGTGGTGACGGCAGCGGTGGAGGCGGTGGCGGAGACTGTCAGCGAGACAGTGGAGGCCACCGCGAGCGTTGCCTCAGATGTTGTCGCTGTTGCAGCGGATGCAGTCAGCGCGGCAGCTGATGCCGCGTCCGACGCCGTCTCCGCCGCCACCGGCGCCGTCAGCGCGGCAGCCGACGCAGTTACGGACGTCGCCGCTGGTGCCGTCAATGCGGCAGCCGACGCCGTCGCTGCTGCAACCGGCGCCGTTAGCGCTGTAGCCGATGCAGTCACAGACGCAGCGAACACGGCGGCGGACGCCATCGGTTCGACGGCTTCATCCGCATCGGATGTCGTCGCCGACGCCGTCACTTCTGTTACCGACACCGTTGCGCCGGCGGTAACGTCGGCGCCACAGACGCTGAGTCTTGCGGCGCAGCGGTATGCTGAGATGACGAGTAAGGCGCCCAAAGCTGCATCCGGTGGCGCCGGTGGTGGTGGCGGCTCCAGCTTCCAGGCGCCGTCCTTCTCTCTCCCGGACTTCAGTGGCGTCCAGCTGCCCAAGTTCACGGCACCCGATTTGTCCAAGCTATCTACCCCGGACTTTTCGAAACTGTCAGCCCCGGAGCTGCCCAAGCTTCCCGCAGCCAGCGGCGATGGCAGCGTCCTGCCTAAAGTTGACTTCAGCAAATTGGAGCTGCCGGTGGCACCAGCATTTGAAGTGCCAGACGTCGGCGGCGCCGCCGCTGACGTGTCCAGTGCTGCCGCAGCGGCGGCGGCCAGCGTCGGAGCTGCCGCTTCCGGCGCCTTGTCCGGCGTCACGTCCGCCATCGGCGGCGCCGCCAACAGTGCTGCCACCGCCATCAACAGCGCCACGGGAGGGCTGCTGGATGAGCTGGACCGGGAGCTCAGCGGCGTACGGAGTGCTGTACAATCTGTGGCTGCATCCGTTGAGACTGCCGTCGGCGGTGCGGTCAGCTCAGTGGAGGCTTCCGTCGGGTCCACAGCCGGACAGGTGTACGATGCACTGCCACCGCAAGCACAGGTGGGGGGAATAGTAGAGGGTGATATGGGCGCGGTAAAGCTGCACCTGAGGATTTATATACATTCCGACCCTGATCACTATCCCAAACCCGATGCCACAATACTAAAACACTCTTCCGTAAAGCTTGTCCCCATCCTCTTTGGTACCTGCTGACGCCAAAACCCTTTCTTTGTACTTCTTCACGTGATGATGCAATCGTCTATCCTAATGGCTGCCCTCTTCTCGGGCCTCCCTGGCCGCCTGCAGGTCATTGCCAGGGACGTGGGCGATGTGGTGTACGCCTTCGCCTCCCATCCTTCCTCCACGCTTGTGCTGGCTGGGCTGGTGGGAGTGCCCCTGGGTATCAAGGTTTATGTTGACAGGTGGGTGGGTGGGTGGGTGGGTGCAACATAGCAGCGGAGGCGCGGGGTAGAATGCATTGACGGTGTGTAGTCATGCCACCTGAAGAGGTGCTGGGCCTCGGGCATCAGCAGCAGAGGTAAAGGAAGCACCAGGGGATCAGGATGAGGTGCAGAGGCTTGCCTGAAGGATTGGGTCTGAGGAAGCACCTAAGTACGGTGGAGGGGAGGTCGGAGTCTAGGCGAGCGGTGCGGCGGGAGGGAGACGGGAGGGAGATGGGAGGGAGCTGGAAGGCACGGCGGAGATGGTGTGGAGTTGTGGAGGGGCCCGTTCCGCCCTGTAACGATCACGAACCAAACGAAGTTAAGACGGAGAGCGGACCCGATGGGGCTTGCGCCCGCCGTGAACAGCGCCGGCGCGTTACAGGTCCACCCATGTACGTGTAACCGAGGACGGCGGGGTTGTGGGACCGGCCGGGTGTACCTCTTTCCTTGGCTGTTTGGTGCACGGACGGGCGCCATCGCTTGTCAGGGAGGGACAGGGCGGCTGCGGGAGTGTGCGTACTGCAGTACGACGCTGCGAACCAGGCGTGGGCGCTGCAATCGCTGGCTCGCCATTTCTTCACATAATCCGCCGCCGACGCCGCTGCCGCCCTGGTGTCGTGTCCTGCACAGGTACGGTGGGTACAGTGGCGACCTGAGTCCCGCCACCGTTAAGGAGCTGCTCCTCAACGAGGATGTGCTGGTGGTTGATGTGAGGACGGAAGCTGAGCGGCAGGTGGGGCTGTCTGGTGTGTGTTTCGTGCGGCGGGTTTCAGTGGGCTTCAGGAGTAGGAAGGTCACGTCGCGTGGGAGGCGGCCAAGTAGGTGGTGAGCTGGCGACGTGTTAAACAAAGTTGCAGGAAGAAAGGAAGAAGTGTGGGTTGCGCAGCCCTGACACGCAGCACTGTGCTGGTAGTAGCTAGCAAACCGCTGCTCGCTTGTGCAGTCCTCCCCCATCCTCCTCTCCCCTTCTCTCCTCGGGGGCTTTGCGATGGTGTCGGAGTCAAGTTCCTGGTGCCGCCAATCCTTCCAGCATTTGCGCGTCCTTGCGAGCTCCTGGATTCTCTCCATGATCCGCGACCCCTGTTTCCCCTTTTTTGCTTCCCTGGCACGCTCTCCCGCATTGTGTCCCATGTAACACGGCGTACCGCGGTGGCGACATCGCTCCCCACACCGCACCGCAAACAGGAGTCCGGTGTGTTGGATCTGCGCAAGAGCGCCCGATTCAGCGCCGCTGCACTGCCCGCTGATTCGGTCACCTTCTCACCCAAGTGGGCGCGTGAGGTACGGACGGTGTACGGGGGATGCATGCGGGGATGCATGAGGGAGGGCCAAGAAGACGGCTATGGGCCGCAGGCAGGACCCTAACGGGAGGGGAAGGTAACGGAGGAACGGTTGGGCTGGGAGGTTGTGCTTGGGGTGGGGGGCTTGGCGGAGGGGGGGTATGGGAGAGGCTTGGGGCCTCACGCGGTGGACATCAATGCCATGGGAAGCAACGGGCCCAGGCAGCGAGCTTCTGGACCTGGCGTGCGCTGCGTTGTTTATCGATTTCTTGTCCATATGTTTCTATGTGGGCTGGTGGGGCTGTCTTCAGCTCACTGGACTCCTGGTCGGCTTGTTATCGCTTTCGACATCCTTTTAACTTCCTTCCTGCATCATGTTGCAATGCGTCCCTGGCCCCACTTAGCCCGCTCCTTTCCCCCCGTTCCGTCCCCTAAACCACGTAACAGTCCAAGGCGGGTGAGCGGCTGGGCACCACCACCACAGCGCTGCTCATCTCCCGTCTCAACCGTATCCGCACCCCCCTCACCAAGGTCGTCATTATGAACAACAACGTAAGGACGGGTGGTGCAGTCCGGTGTGGAGGAGTAGAGAAGGACCTTGGCTTGTTGGTTGAAGGGTGGCTTGTTGGTTGAAGGGTGTCTGGAGTCTGGGAGGGTGTCTGGGGGTTGAGGCTGCACAGGGGAAAGCGGACGAGCGCGGAATTGGGTTTTGTCAGGAGGAGGAAATGGAAGAGGAGGTGGTCGGCTGGCGGTCTCCGGTCGGCAAGCCCACGCAACCGCAACTTGCCTGTCCTGTGCTTACTCACCCCGTATGGCATCCGTTCTGTTACGCCCCTGCCCCGGCCATGTGGCACCCATCCATCCTTCCGCATCGACTGTGCCGGCTACAAACCTTGTTATCGGTCCTTACAGCCGATCCCTCCCGCCCCAAACCATCAGGATGATCTGGCTGCTCGCGATCTGGCCCGGGCGGTCCGGGCTGCGGGGGTGCTCCGGGTGTACGTCATGGCCGGGGGGTTCCAGGTGAGGGTTGCTCCGGGTGGCGGGTTGGGGATGGGCCTGGCGGATTGGGGTAGTATGGTTAGGTGGAAATGGGACTCGGAGGGGAGTCTTGGGGCCCAGGGAGGCCTTGTGAGGATGTAGCTAGGATGTAGCGGGAGAAGAGAAGAGAAGGGACAGGTAGTGCGGTTTCTTTGCGGAGGGCCTTCAGTTGCGTTGGTCGCCAGCTATCCCTGATTCTTGCCACAACACTGTCAGCTTGCCTACCCTATCCCTGGTCCTGGCCCTAGGCCTGGTCGGCTGCCGGGCTGGGTGTGGCTGAGGGCAAGACCGACTACGATGCCTCCGCGCTGGTGGTGCTGCTGGATGAGATTGCGGAGATTGCGGGTAAGGAGGACCTGTACATGGGTGGAGGGGTGGGAATCCGCCTGGTCTGACGAAGAGCCGAGGACCTGACCCGTGGGTCAGTGTCCCCAGGCCACCTCGGCCAGGCTCCGGAAGTCGGCACTTCCGAGATGTTTTAAGGCGGCTTCTCCGCAGCCCCCGCTTTGCTTCCTCTCCCCTTCGCTCTTCACTGCTCTGCGTTCGCTGCTGACACTCCCTGCGCGACACCTAGCGCCGAGCTCCGACCTAGGCTTTCTCCCGTCCCAAACCCCTTACACAAGCCCTTTCCAGCCCTTCCTTGACCTGCCGCGTCCCGCCTTTATATCCCGCTTCTTGCTTCCCACCTTCCCCCTTCAGCCGTTGTGGGTCCCAAGCTGCGTGAGCCCGCCTTCCTGGCCACAACTCTGGCTACCTCCTCCCTTGCCGTGTACGCGGCAGTGAATTACCACACCACCTTAAGGTGAAGACCAGCACACGCCTACGGGGCCATTAGTGTTGGTCGTCTCGTCGGCCATCTGCCTTTTCGTGATACTTCTGCTTGGGCGCATTATCTTCCCTGCCGTCCTATGCATTTCCCGAGGTGATGGGTACTTATTGAAGGCCCTATGGAAGATTGAATGCGGTTGTGTGGATGTTTCTGCTTGTGCGTGTGTGTTTGCGTGTGACTGAGGCTTGCTTGTTTGATGGGTTGAGCTGCAGGGCCCATCGAAATCCAGCATTTGGCATGTCGCTCCATCCGGAGCACATCACGAACGCTCTCTCTGCCCGCCCGTTCCGCCCCCGTCTACACACCCAGGTACTTTGCCGTTTGGGGCATCTTTGCCACCATCTACTGGCGCCTCAGCCGCTACAGCAGCCCGCAGGTGAGCGAGTGGCAGTCAGCTCAAATCTTATGCAACAAAGTAAAAAAGTAAAAATCAGGGTCCCGGAGCGGCAGCGTGCCGCACATTGCGAATCGGTTAGGAGGGCAGCATTCTGGGTGAGGGCTGTTGTGCACGCTGGCGGTGGTCATGGCGTAGAGATATGCTTGTGCCTTGCAAAATCTAGAAGACATTGGTGGGCGGCGGCGCCGTCGTCATGCCCTCACCTTTATGGTCCTCTTCCTTCGCTGTCCAGCGGTTTTTCGTTTACGGGTCCACCACGTATTTGCGTCCGGGTCATGTTCTTGTCAGCGGTTTTTCCCTTAATTGTCCAGTTACCCTTCTCTGTTTTAGTCTCCCTACTAGTTCTTTGCGAATGGATCCGGTGCTGGGCCCGCTTGTTGGTACAGGAGTTCTTGGAGGACGTCAAGACGGGTGCCCTTGCAGCTGCAAGCGCAGCTGCGGGAGCTGCGGGTGCTGCTGCTGGCGCAGCGGGAGCCGCCGCTCGCGCCGCGGCAAGTAAGCCTCCTGTGCTGGCGCCAGCGGCTGCTGCCGCAGCGCTGCCGCAGCCGACACCGGCTCCTGCCGCCACAGCGGCACCGCTGCCACCGCCTCCCCTGACAGAGGCCTCACCGGCGGCCCTGGCAGCAGCGATGGCCGCAGCTGGGATAGCCCCGCTGCCGCTGACTGCTAGCTCCTCGTCTTCACCCGCTGAGCCAGTGGTAGCCGAGGCGCCTGCGCCCGCTGAGCCAGTGGTAGCCGAGGCGCCTGCGCCCACTGAGGCAGTGGTAGCCGAAGCCCCTGCGCCCGCAGTGGTAGCCGAAGCCCCTGCGCCCGCAGTGGTAGCCGAAGCCCCTGCGCCCGCAGTGGTAGCCGAGGCGCCTGCGCCCGCAGTGGTAGCCGAGGCGCCTGCGCCCGCAGTGGTAGCCGAAGCCCCTGCGCCCGCAGTGGTAGCCGAGGCGCCTGCGCCCGCTGAGGCAGTGGTAGCCGAAGCCCCTGCGCCCGCAGTGGTAGCCGAAGCCCCTGCGCCCGCTGAGCCAGTGGTAGCCGAGGCGCCTGTGCCCACTGAGGCAGTGGTAGCCGAAGCCCCTGCGCCCGCAGTGGTAGCCGAAGCCCCTGCGCCCGCAGTGGTAGCCGAGGCGCCTGCGCCCGCTGAGGCAGTGGTAGCCGAAGCCCCTGCGCCCGCAGTGGTAGCCGAAGCCCCTGCGCCCGCAGTGGTAGCCGAGGCGCCTGCGCCCGCTGAGGCAGTGGTAGCCGAAGCCCCTGCGCCCGCAGTGGTAGCCGAAGCCCCTGCGCCCGCAGTGGTAGCCGAAGCTCCTGCGCCCACTGAGGCAGTGGTAGCCGAAGCCCCTGCGCCCGCAGTGGTAGCCGAGGCGCCTGCGCCCGCTGAGCCAGCGGTTGTGGAGATAGCAGCTGCCACCATTCCCACACCAACTGCGCACGTGGAGACGTCAGCGCCTCCCGCTATGGTGCTGCCACCATCGCAATCACAAGCCCCTGTCTTGCCCATTGCAAGCGACACCACTACCAGGGCGCCGGCGGCTGCAGCAGCAATTGCAGCCGCCGCCGCTGCGGCGGCGGCACCAGTTCGCCCAACGACAAACGGAAACGGAAACGGCTCGTCCAAGGCCGCTAAGGCGGCGGCAGTGGAGAAGGTGCCAGTGGTGGCAGTAGAGGCGCAGGCCTCTGGGGAGAGCTCGGGCAGCGAGTAATTAGTCTGTTGAGTGGTTGAAGATAGGGTGCAGGGCATTGAGTGTGCCACCTCTACATAGAGCTGTGTGCAGGTTATTTTTGCTTTCCCTTGATGCGGCGTTTTGACAGGTCTCCAGGAAGAAGGTGCGTGAGCGAGGCGCTGCAGTGAGCGCGTTTTTGCGGAAAGAGGAGTGGGCTTGTTACAGGGTTTGTTGAAGTTGGAGATGCTCTGAGGCACGGTTGTAGTGCGGGTGACGGTTCACACCTGGTTGCGCAAATCAGTTTTGTTGGATGCATAGCGAGACAGCAACAACCCAAGTTACTTGGGACGTGGCGAGGCCCACATGGTTTTGCAAAACGGTTTCTTTTGTGGAAATGGCTTTTCAAGGCTTTCAGTGGCTCGCACGAACGCATTGACGACGGAGAGTGAGGAATAGCGAGGGTATGTACAGTGAGTTCTGGGTTGCATGTTATACGGTAAGATATCTACAGGAAGCTGTACAACAAGATGTTCGATGTGCACAGCTGTCGCCGTTTCATGATTTTGGCGCTGATCGCGGATTTTTGCCTCTGGAGCAGGTTTATCTTTGGTTGCCAGTTTTCCTGTTGGTGCCTCCTGTCCTTGGATTCCGGTGTTGCGCGAAGGCCGTCCCTATCCCGGCCGTCAGCGAGAGAGGTAGAGAGGGCGTTGGGACGTTGGGATGGCGGTCTCAAACTGCAAAGGCATGCTGTATCGCCACCAATGGGTAAGTTGCAGACAAGCTGAGCGATAGTTTGTTTTTGAGCGCATGCTTTGCTTCGCTACGATCTGGGCGTCTCCCGGGGCCAGACGTATCCAGCCACACGGACGTCTGCGCTCACGGACCCCCGAGCGTGCAGCCGTGTTTGGCCCTTTATTGCTGCGGCTGGTCTTTATGATGATGGTAGCGATGTTCTATCCTCCATATCTTCCGATTGGTCAAGGTCGCTTTAAGCCGACCTTCATGGGGAGGCCGACCTTCATGGCCTCCCCATGAAGGTCGGCTTCCCCATCAGCCCCCTTCGACTTTGAATGAAGGGATCTTGTATACGCCTCTCCCTCCGTTGGTCCGAGGTTTTTGCCAGCCTGAATGCCGAAGAGGATGGCGCTACCTTGCCTGCTTTCTCGTTGTGGTAGTGGTTATGGCGGTTTCTTATCTCGCTTGGTTAGGTTGTTTGTATAGTATGGCTGTTGTGCGTTACGCGTTGTTGATCCATTCCCTATAGGGTTCGCTGTAACAAGGCTGAGCTTCGGCACCACACTTGATGCCCTCAGTCAAGACACTCCCAGCCCCCCTGCTCCCAGTAGTACATTCCCGGTCTTGTTTCGCAATCCCGATCAGCACCCTGCATCATGGCAACCCGTTTCAAAATAGCCGACGTTCTGGCTTAAGCTAAAAGACTAAATGAATGCAAAAGTTCATTGCTCGGCCGAGACAGTTGCCGAACTAGGCAGGTGCCAGAGATTCCTGCGTGTACCAAATCCAAAGATGAGAACTCGACGTGTCAGCGATGGGAGTGGTTCCCGGCTATTATGTGATACTACAGCATCACCCCTTACATGAGCTTTACGATATCGTACAAGAGCGGCTTTACCCCCAACCATTACACTCGCGGCAATTCAACTCCCATCGCTCAGCCATGGGTTAATCCGAAACCAATAGACAAACACTTCTGCGCCGGCGTGGAGACGACGCAAATGAAAGCGCTGGACTATGCGGCCACCCCTAGAGCCCTGTCAGCACTGATTATTGCTCTCCAATGACTCTATTGATCTCCATCGCATAACTGAGATTTGCGTATCTATCGTAATCAGCAAAGCCGGTCTCGATGCGCCGTGCTGATGCGCTCTGCCGGCAGCGAGCTGAGCGTAGCACCGCGGCCTAAGTAGCTGCGATAGGGAAAGCGTGCTAGCTCGTCATCGATCTTTGCCAAAACAAAGTCATATATCGCTTTATTGTTTTTTTTGTTGCTAAGGAGAAGTTATTTCATTTTCTGGGAAAACGGTTGATGCGAAAACCCAGCGGCCTGGCGGGCGCCATACCCCTAGATGTCTAGTCATCGCCCTGGTCATCGCGTCGCCGTCTCCGTATTCCATAACGCTGGGATATGTGCGCAGGACACCAGGTTCTTCGCCGTCACCTGACTTCCTGAAATATGCCTGTAACCGTTCCTTGCCAAGACAGGCACTGGCTTGTATTGCCAGGTATTGCCAGGTTAAGTGCTTTGCCGTGCTTTGCCAGAAACTGCCGGGATGGGCCACGACAGACGTTGGCAGCGTCATGCAAATAAAGTGGCTAAGTAGCAGATCCTGGCAGATCTTCCCCCAGCTGATGGAGTCACAACTGCAACAAATGCGTCTAGCTTCAAATAAGGCCGCGCAAGCAAGGGGCCTTACATAAGTGCATCACGTACTTGCACCTATTGTTTCTTCATGTCCTCCCCCCGCACGAGAGCAGCGCGCGCACAACGACAGCAAGGGAAGCCGCCTGCCGGGTGGGCAGCAGGCCGCCATCACCCCGCACGTCCATACCGCATACATATGTCCGTAGACTCAATGATGATCATTTATATCCTTTCGGATGTAATTTAGATGCAAAACTGTGAATGCACATGTTTGGCCAATTCACTTCAGCTCAGTTGTTCCGGAGCTAGGATTAGTAAGCTTTCACGGCTTTCAAGCAAAACCCAATCATACCGGGAAACGGTAAATCTTCCCATTCTCAGTGGTTACAAGGCCCTTTACGCAAAGCTCCCATGGCCGCTTAGGATCGATAATCTAACTTGATGCCGGCAAACAAAATCTAAAACATGTTCCTAGATGGTGGTGACGTCCCTAGCTAGCCAGCCAGCCAGCCAGCTAGCCAACAGCCCACCTCCGCGTGATTTCAAATATCCGTGTTTTCGCATCCTGTATTAATCATTTTTACACATTTTGACCACCAATTAACCTTGCGGCGGATCCAAAAGCCGGCCCCAAAAAGCTCACAGGCGCCGCATAAGGCCCCTCAGACTGTTGCTCCCCGCCAGGTCCCCCGGGTCCAACTCGAACAACGAGCTGACCGCCAGAGAACCACGTGCGTTGTCGTACACCATGTTGCGTTCGTACCGTCCAGCGCAGTCCTGCAGCACCACGAAGGTTGGCGGGGGGGGCCGTAATCGGTTCATGACTAGTTGGACGGGAAGAGGACCAAGGTGTACGGCACACGTCCGGTGTGCATGCGATTTGGGGCTGGAGTTCAAGCAGGTATAATGTTTGGATCTCCACCAAGCCACTCTCCAAGAGCAGCAGCACCCCCGGCCTCCGCCCCCACTGACCGATCCGTGTAACATCATCCAAGACGTTCCCCCCCCCCCGAACACAGGGCCCCCCTAGCGGTAAGAAGTAACCCGCCAGCTATATCGCCACCTGCAGGTTGACCCCAAAGCCGCCGTTGTTGTGGATCAGGTTGTCCTTGGCGCGGGGAGTGGACACCGGGCAGGTCGAGCAGGGCGGGGCAGGGCGGGGCGCGGAACGCACGAAGGGTTGAGCGGGTGAGAGGAGCAAAAGGGCGTGATATGGAGACAAGTACTGCGGGGTCTCAATAAGGACCGGCCAGATGGTCGGAGCAATACCACCGCGGAGCACGCTCTCTCACACACACGCACGCCCGCAGGAGCCAAACGCGCAAATAAAAGGCCAACAAACCGGGACCCAAAGCACATGCCGTTCAACCTGGGTCCCTTTCGTGAGTCATCCGCTCCCCTTACCAGCAGATCGGGAGAGGCCCCACTGCGAACCAGTACTCCGTCAAGGGAGTTGCCGTACACGTCACAGCCCTTACGGGAACACCAGCCAGCGGGGATTTAGTAAAGGAAAGACGTTGATGGGTTTGGGGATGTAGGGTAATTGTGTTGTGGAAAGCGTTACAAGTTGCACATTGACGTGCATTTAAACGGAATATAACGGAGCGCAGCGGGCCTCGAAGGGCTTCGAAGGGCCGCCGGGCGGTTTCATTATATTCACAGCTTCATAGGTTCCACGTTTGCCTAGGGGTCAGGTGTACAAACCGCCACCACACCTGCATGGTACGCTTCAGGTTTCTCAATACCATTACCCATTGCCGTACTGCCTGTTGCGTGCAGATGGTTGGCAGCAGGCGACAGCCCACACTGCGTCCCCTGAGAAGTGGTTAGAGGGGTGATCTTTTTGCAAAAAGCATATCAGCATGAACAGGCCAGGATAAAGGAACCAGCCCGGGAGCTCAGCCCCCAGCTGCCGCTGCTGTACATACAGCCATCTCACCTGCACGGTACCGCCCGTCATGCCGTACAGTAGCCCCGGATCAATGGCGGGATCCAGGTCGAATTCCACAGGCAATCCCCCAAAAATTGCGATGCCTTGGCGGGCACAGTCATGAATACGGCAATCCATTATCTGCCGTACATGGATACGGGTGTACGAGGACAGGAAGGAAGCATGTTAGATGACGCAAAGTAGGTCCTCCCCGCAGTGGTTTGACCACCTAACGGGTTACGATGACGTGATGCTGGGTGGAAGGGGGGTTGGGGAAATACTGGTCGCGGTCGCTACAGCAAAACACACACGCACAGCCTTACAAACGAGTAACGTACGAATGGATATCCTGAGGTTCCGACGTACTACCGTACCGCCGTACTTGCCTGCGGGCTCGCCCCTTCCACCCCCACTCCCGCTCCGGTGGCGCTGCTGATATCACAATCCAGCAGCCGGGGGGAACCGCCCTGCAGTCGTACACCGGCGGCGGGTTAAAGATGAGGTGCTGATGCCGGTGCTAGTGCTGGTGCTGGTACTGGTATACAAGGAATGGGCAAGTGAAACAGTATTGGAAGAATTGAGGCTTCCTGTCGGCCACAGCAGCATATGCCGTCGCGTGATCATGATCACATTACAAGGCACCGGCCCGGTACGATATCGGTACGGCAGGTGACCGACTTCCTTCCGTAGGTCCCTCCTGTCCTGTGCCTCTCCCATGTCACCAGACGGGGGCAAGGCATGCGGACATAACACACACACAGAAGACCCACACAGGCGAACCACACACAGAGGACACGGGCACAAACCCCAAATGTCGCCCTGGAGCCCCCAACGGACCCCCCTCAGACGGGGCCAGAGGTGCACCCGCACACAGACCCGCACCCACCCGAATGAACACACCGAAGTTGTTGGCCACCGACTTGGACGAGTGCCGTATCGTAAGGCCCTGGTTGGCGTCAAGACGGGCGAGTCCGAGAGGTCAGCCGGATACCGTTTGGGGATGTCTGAGCTCGAGCTACGGCTTCGGCTCTTATAGCATTAGGACGTGCTCACGTTCACATTTCAAGTATTAGTATTTCTCAAATATTTTGATAATCCAAACATTCTACACTCCGAATAATATCATACTTTCACACAGGGGGCGCTCCGTTCCTCAACATACGGGGCAGGCGATTGGGCTGTATTGCATACCGCCTCCACCATACCGCCAGGCCCCCACCCAGGGCCATAACGCGGGTGGACCACCTTCCCGGGAACCCGCCCCGCCGTGCCGTTCAGTGCATAGTCCACTCTGTTGTATGTCAGTCTGTCCTCCCGTCCTCCTCCCCAACCGCACCGGGATCACTCACCTCCAGGACAACCCCCTCCGCCCCCCTCTGCCCGCCGGAGGACCGTCCACCGCGACCCGGCCCCCCGTCTCCGGAGGCGGGACCCGCTGTGGGTGCGCTGACCTCTACCGTACTTTGGTACGGCTCCGAAGTCTCCCAAACCACCTCCACTCGGGCTCCCTGGGGACCAGCAGCGCCGAAGGGAGAATTACCTGTGTTGCGAAAAAGCGGAGGAGGACTCTACTGCCGGCTGACGTCCTAAGTACCCAAACTGCCTTACGACGGAATCCAAAGTGGTGCGGCTGGTGCCGCTGCCCGACGGTACCGGTGCAGTGGGGTGTGTAGGTCAGGTAGGGCCCCGGCCTCCCCCCCTGTGGGGCGTTGGCAGTTGTTCTCCTTGACTTCCCTTTGCTGCACACACACATTTCCCCCAAACCCCCTACCCTTCTTGGAGCACACCGCGAGAGAGTGCCCTAACTCCGCTAACAGCCCGGAAAAGTGGTTTCGCTGCGGTAAGCGGCGGTTTCACCATCAGCGTCAGGTAAGGCCACCTCCAACTCTCCTACCCGCCCTCACCTACCCACAGACAACTCCTCACCGTCCGTAAGCTGTCGATAGCCCCACCTCACCTCACCTCACCTCACATTACCGCACACCACATCACCAAGGGCCATACATGTCGACAGCACGGCTGGAAAACGCGCGTCCACGCGCGTCCTTCCTTGCCGTGCACAGCGCGTTGTTTGGAGCCCGGAATACGGTACGACACCACACAGCTACAACACCCCGGGTTCCCGGGGGGGGGGTAGTCCCTGAGGAGGTCCCGCCGTGCTGCCTCCACACCATACCCCAGCAGCCGTACGACAAACTTGATGCAATCATCGTCATCATCGACACATCATCGTCATCACCATCCCCGCGTTCCCCCGCCCCACCCCACCTCACCTTGGGCCAGGTCCTCACAGTAATCGGCCGCGACAGCACCAGCCTCTCGCGGTATCTGAGGCAGAACCGAGGTTAGAGAGCGAGTGTGCAACAGGCGGCAGTGCGGAGAAGCTGAGAGGGTGAGGGGTTGTAGAGGTGTGGTGGGTTGTGAGCGGGTCGTGAGGGAGCTCGGAGGAAATAACAGTACAAAGCAGTACAAAGCAGTACAAAGCAGTACAAGCAGTACAAAGACGGGAAGACGCACCTAGGCAAGAGCATGAAGACAAAGAACCGGCACTCCTTTATCACACTCTCCTCTATCTCATGCAGCAGCCGTACATGCTTACACAGCCCGCCCGGCCTCCTTCCCCTCCCACCCACCTTCCCGCCGCCACGAGCACCACAGCCCCCTCGGGACATGCAGCCACCGCAGCGGCCAGAGAACTGTAGTAACCCCCCGCTGCGGCGGAGGAGCCAGGCAATAGGGCCCCCTCAACCACCTTCCGCTCGTCCAAAGGCTCCGGAACCACGTAGCAGAAGACCTCCTCAGCCCCCTCAGCGGCCCCCAGCTCCGGCTTCTGCACTTCAAGGGACATGCAGCAGATGGGGACACGTTGGTAAACCCTAACCCCTCCTTCCCCTCTTTCCCTCGTCTTCGGAGACGCGTAGTAGGTCCCTCGGGGGCCCCCTTAGCGCACCGGCAGCCGCTCCCCGATCCTCCCCAACACTTCCCATCCTTCCCATCCTGATGATTGCCATTTTGCACCTCTTCTTTATCTCCACTTCGCCTCCCCCCGCTCCCCTCCCCCCCTCCCCTCCTGCCCAGGCCAACAGCAGTACATCCAGGGCCCCATGGGCCCCCCTCATGTGCCCGGCTCCCCGGCTCATGGGCCCACGGCTCCCCTCCCCCCTCCCCCCTCCCCGTACCCCAGCAGAGCCCCGGGTGCCCCACCTGACCCGACCCGGCCCCGCCCGCCCAAGTAACCCCCATCCCCACCCCCACCGCACACGCAGTCCCCACCTGCTGCCACCCACCCACCCACCGGAGGGAGGCCTCCGTCGCTCGCCACGGACACCGGTGGCTGTGGTGATGCAGATGCCGTATCTACATATGACGACAGCAGCGGCCCCGTCAGCAGTGCAGCAGCCAGTAGCCCCACCGCCCGTCTGCGACTCATCACCAGCGTGGGGGGCACCGTTTGCCTCTCTGGCCCCGCCTGCTGCTGCTGCTGCTGCTGCTGGGCCGGAGCGGAAGTGCTGCTAGATGCCGCCGCCTCCATGGCTGCTGCTGCTATTGTTTCTGCTCTTACAGCCGGCTCGGCCGGCACCGGACAGCTGCAGGACCTCGGAGCATCTGAAATGGCAGCTGGCGGGGAAAGACTGCTTGGTGGGGAGAGGCCCTGCCGCCATCCCTTCCGTCGGCATCGCACTAGTCGTAATGGTAGGGGCGGGTGCGGAGCAGCACAGTAAGGGAAGTCGGCAGTAGCGGGATTGCTCGTGGTGGTGGAGGTGGAGCTGAAGGTGGCCACAGCAGCTGCGTCATGGCTAGAGCGCCAGGCGGGCGGGCGCTGACGTGGCAGGAGCTTGAGGAGCTGCTGGGGATGAAGCCGGTGATGTGGTGGTTTGCATGGAAAACACTTTACCGACGTAACTTGTAGTAAAGGTGCGGAACAGGAGGTGAAGGTTGAACACATCGAGTCGACGGTGTGATGGATGGATGTTTCGTCACGATTCCACCGAATGCTAAAAGAAAGCGACTTCAAGGAAGTTGAAACGCTTGTCCACAAATGCTCAAACCCTGTAACGCGAGAATCAAACAGATTATATAGCTGATACGCCCGCCGCAACCTCGACAGACGCTCCGAAACATGCCACTCAACATCTTATTTTAGGCGTAGCCAAAAATGTGGTTTGAAGAGGGGCGTCAGAGCGGCGTCGTACGGTGCAGTTAGTTGGTTGTTGTTTTGAACTGCTATTTGATCGGTGGTGTTTAGTCTTGTCAAATTATCTTCCGGACTCGGCTGCTAGTTGATACGAGCTCTCTTTACCAGAACAGCTGCTAGCTGCCGCTGTTATTGTCCGTTGGTCAGCGGTGTGAATTTGATGACCTTTTCTTTAAGGACAGTCGTGTCTATATAACTATTTCGATAGTTTAGCTTTGCTTGTGGTTTCTAGGTTTTGAAGGCCAGCTGCAGCACTGTCGTTTCCCTGCCACCTGGTTTCCGCACCATCGACTTGCCACATTGCCAGGCAATTATTGCACACACTGGCTGTCTTCAGGCACCCGTAAATCCGGTACCCGCTTACCCACAGATCGACCCCAAAACCTGTTATTGTCCGTTGGTCAGCGGTGTGGGTCTGGCGACCTTTCTTTATAACAACCTTTCACTTATAACAATATAGAGACAATCTCTGTTTTGTGGTGCAGCCCTGAGAGGAGCTTCCAGACATTACCGGAGCCTTGGCCCTACATCTGTCGCCGGGTGACAGAGTCGGCTGCGGGCAGTGCTCCGGGCTCGCAGCCGCCTTGCTTCATGAGTGCAAACGACCATGACAACAATTGCGCATTTTGTATTGTTTATACAAAGGACAGCTGACTACCCTGAGAATGTGGCCATTCGCTTTGCGCGCGTTCGTTGAGGCCGTCCTGGCTAGCGTACCAGTTTCTTGCGGTATGGCCGGGGGAGCTGTGCGGACTGCATCACCGGGGAGTGGCTCCTCATAGCAGAGCTCCAGTCCGTGCTGACGTTAGCAGTCTGCCGCGACGGTATTCAGTCATCCAGTATTGAGGGGACCTTGTTTTCATTAGACAGGTAAGGCAGGACAGCGAGCATGGCATGCTGGTGTTGGGGAGGCATGCCGCTGTCATTTATCATTCCTGCTGCTATTGTTGCTTGTTTCTACCCAGGGAGGTCTCGTGTAGGCTAACGCATTCGATACCTTGTATCCGCGCTTATTAAGTACGCAGGGCGTTTCATGACCTTAGGGCATCTATCTGTGCGCCCTCGCCGCACGCGGCAAGTGATTCGAGAGATTTTATTGGTATGCTTTGCGCACCTGTTGGGTATAACGTCACAGCGTTGTGAGAGTGCGGCATTATGTATTGCGAGCGAAAAGGTGATTCTACCTGGATGGACAGTGAGCGGTCGGAGCCTGGCGGACATAAACGCGTGATACGTGTTAGGACCAAACGGACGAACCTAATTTTGCTTGAGCACTGTGGCACCTATCCCGGGCAAATACCAGGATATTTACAATGCCTAGCTTGGGTTGTGACCTTGCCGTGACAGCTAGGCAACGCATATGGGCGACGCCCATAGGCTGCGGAATTGAACACACCATATCCGGCCAACCTAGAATGTGGCATCGAGTTGTTTGGGTGGTTGGTGGATTGCATGAGGAGCGTGTGTGATTAGGGCTGAGGGAATGTGCTTTTGTGGTTCTCTTGATGCGCAGCCGTTGTTGCAAATGTTGACAGTGCGAAACCGTGATTCCAGGTTGCAGTAAATGGTAGCGTCGGGCTGACGGGTATGTTGTCTACTGGGGTTGCAGGGGCGGCTTGTGGGAAGGTCCGGACGTTGGCTCAGGCTACCTCGACGTATGGATAGGCCGCGTCCAAGTAGCTGCCGGTTAGAGCTGCCCTCCCCGTCGGGCGATAGACGGGGCGCGCACCGCGATATCGGCCCCCTCCTCGGGGATAAGGAGGCGTCTTGCTGACGTTTAGCCCAGTTGGAGGGCCCCCACACGCTGCGGGTTAGAGCTGCCCTCCCCGTCGGGCGATAGACGGGGCGCGCACCGCGATATCGGCCCCCTCCTCGGGGATAAGGAGGCGTCTTGCTGACGTTTAGCCCAGTTGGAGGGGCCCCACACGCTGCGGGTTAGAGCTGCCCTCCCCGTCGGGCGATAGACGGGGCGCGCACCGCGATATCGGCCCCCTCCTCGGGGATAAGGAGGCGTCTTGCTGACGTTTAGCCCAGTTGGAGGGCCCCCACACGCTGCGGGTTAGAGCTGCCCTCCCCGTCGGGCGATAGACGGGGCGCGCACCGCGATATCGGCCCCCTCCTCGGGGATAAGGAGGCGTCTTGCTGACGTTTAGCCCAGTTGGAGGGCCCCCACACGCTGCGGGTTAGAGCTGCCCTCCCCGTCGGGCGATAGACGGGGCGCGCACCGCGACATCGGCCCCCTCCTCGGGGATAAGGAGGCGTCTTGGTGGCGTTTGTGTTTTGGTCAATCTGGACTTGGTGAGGGGGGAATTCTTGAGGGAGGAATCACCCCAGGCGCCTACCCCGGCGGTTGGTACCGCTGCACCACTTGCTTGCTTGCGGCGGCGGGGATCGGATCAGTGGCCCTTGGGAGTGTTATGGAGGAACTGGCGCAGCTGGCTGTGGCGTTACACGGCAGCGCGGTCGCAGACAGCTCATCGGTCACCTACAAGTCGGGGCGGCGGCGCTTTGTACGCTTCTGTGCGGAGGTCGCAGGGGTGCCGGAGGCGGACGCCCTGCCCCGCCAGCGTGGGTCTGACCTCAATCGGGACCTGGTGTGTCTGTTCATAGCGCATGCAGTTGGCCGGTACGCGACTTCCACTGTCACCGGCACGCTGAGCGCCCTGGCGGACTGGCAGCGGTTCATGGGAGTCTCGCCAGAGGCATATATCAGCCGCGACACGCTGGTCAAGCGAACCCTGGGCCAAGTGTTGCGGAGGACTGCTGCGGGGCCGGAGTCGGCACCGTCCATGGCAAAGGCACCCCTGCCCCTGGGGGTGCTGAGGCTGCTCGTGGCGTGGCTACGGTGCAGGGCAAATGCGGAGCCGCGGAGGGCGACGGAGTTCACACAGGACGCCTGCTGGTTGGTTTTGGGGTTTTTTGGGATGCTCCGGAGGAGCGAGTTGGTGGCCCTGACAGTGGGCTGCGTTGAGGAGTTGCCGGGAGGGGGTGTGGGGCTGCAGATCGTACGTAGCAAGACGGACCAGAAGGGAGCGGGGACGTTGGTGTGCCTGGCAGCAATCACCCAGAGCGGCATCCCCATCGCTCGCATAGTACAGCGGCACCTGGAGTGCGTGCGGACGGCCGAGGATCACTCCCCGCTCTTCGTACGGGGAATCACTGGGCCGGGCAATCAGGGCACGGGCGTGGCGGCGCAGGGATTTCACTAGTAGGCTGCATGTGTTGCTGGGTGAGTTGCAGGGGTACGAGCCGGAGTTGAGGCTAGATCTCGCTAGAATATCGGCCCACAGCTTGCACAAGGGGGGGGCCACCGCGGCTGCCAATGCTGGGGTGGGTCTGGAGGAGATTAAGGCGCACGGGCGATGGAGGTCTGATGCGGTGCTGGTCTACATCCGCCGGTCCGTTGCTGTGAGGCGGACAGTGGTGGAGCGAATGTGACGCGACTGGGTGAGGGGGGATGTTTCGCTGGGTTAGGCGTGGGGCCAAAGTAACCCAAGCGAGGCCGTCGGCTGCCTGCTGGTTACCAATGCGGAAGAGCACGGTAGCCCGGAAGGGCCGCACGAAGTAGCATGCGGGCTCTGGCAGGCAGGCTGGGCGTCTCTTATCCCCAACCTTATGTCCACGTCCCCGGTGCCTTGTTCATATTAGTTGTACTGTAACGAACGCGTTTTGGGTTTCTCGTCCCGGTTCTTGGTCTGGCTAGCTGCTCAGCCCGGATTCAAATCCTAGCGTAAGCGCGGGTCTTATCTCTCAATGAGAGGGTTCTGAGCGCTCGGTGAGGGCTCGATGAGCGCTCAGCTGTGAGCGGTGTGAACGCTCACCAAGTGCTCATTTCGAAAGTATGAAGCCATGGAAACGAGACATGTAAAATTTTCCCTGCTACTCCATTTTATTGCTAGATAGAACCCATGTTACGTTGTGCCTAATATTTCTCACATTTGCAGTATTCTCACAGTAATATTGACTGGGTGAGCTGGTTTGATCTGCACCAGTACGAGGTCCAAATCAAGCAGCCTGTACCGACTGCACCAGAAGGCAGAATTGCAGTCATCCTGTTTGAGGTACAGTGGCACGACAGTGTGCCCTGGCCACCCAAGCAGCAACAGGTCCCGGCACCTGAAAGGAGACAGGGGGCGATCATAACATGTGTTTGAAGCCCTTTTGGAACCCTGCTTGTGCTCAACATGCACCTGGAAGCACTCTTGAAGCTTCTCCTCTCTTGTCCAGCGCTTTACGTTGTCATACTGGTACACCGCTGCATCCTGGGCCATAAACACGGCTACTTGTCACCATCCACGACACGACCTCATCAGTGCACAGTGCCCCCATACCTTATAGAGCTTGTTCCAGGCGAGGCTCCCTGAGCACGCGCTAGGTTCCTGAAACCCCGCGCACATAGTATTGTGCGCATTATTGAGGGAGGAGGCGTCAATATGTTTCCAGGGGCTGCTTGACCCGTGGGTCGGTGGAACTGGTTTCTAAGCTACACAGGCGGGTATTGGCTCCACTGTCATGCGCGTGGTATTGGCCCGGACCAGTAAATCCGACCCGTCCGAAATGCGAACATCGAGGGCTGTGCACACAAACTACGGCAGATTGCAATGAGGAGTCGGCGGGACTGTCCCAGCTGCACTTCCCAGGCAACCATTTTGCCCGGACGCCGATTCAAATCTGCGACCGCATGGTCGCGAATCCTCTTCCTCAGGAAATGGCGTTTCCGGCGTTATGGAAAGAGTGCAAACCGTGGGGCTGCGAGGGCGCAGAAAACGAAAGCAGAAGGTTGGATGCAGGAAGCAACCGGACAAGTTGTGTTACAATACCTGAGGATTTTTATTGTCTTTAAAAAAATAACCACTGAATTCTCAACGGCCTTCTGCAGTAGTATTACAACAATGGTACGCGCTGTGTCAAGGCACGTGAGGAGGAAGGAACAGGGACTGTTCACCGCTCCCGCCTCCAGCAGGGTCCTATACCTTACTAATTTCCGGAAGCTTCCGTGCGCCATTCCGTTAGACGCCTACCCTCACCTGTCGCAACGAAAGCCGTACACCCCGGAGCATAGAAGCACGCAAGCAGTTCGTACCCACGGACGCCACACCAGTGATAACCAACCAACCACCATCTGTCGTAGCAAGCGCCACCACCAACCGTCACCACCAACCGCCACCACCAACCGTCACCACCAACCGCCACCACCATCACCACAACCACAACCACTACCATTACGGCCAAGTTAGCCAGGCAGGTGGGCAGGGGCTTCGAACGCAGCCCGTCGACCTAGGCACACATGCAAACGTAAACATCTGCGGTCGCGGACAAAAGCCGCGTGTCGCCCAAAAAGCATGATCTGTTAAAGTGGGGGGCCCGGTGTACGGCGGATACGGGACGAAACAGTCTTCAGTCTGGTGGATTGCTCTGGTGCGTAAAGCCAGGAATTGGATTCCATCACGCACCGCGCAAGACAGCGCACCGAGATTCGACTGTTCCCCCTAAACTTTCCGACCTCCCTGCCTTTGTTTGGCCCTACGCTCGATCACACGGGTGACATATGGCTGTGCTTTGTTCGTTTCCCAACATTGCCTCCCGGGTGCACTCCCGGGTGTTACAAATCTCATATCTTGTAAGAGCTTTCTAACAGGGAACTGTCGGAAGCCCGCCTGCCAATTGCTCCAAGTCACCCCGCTTCGATTCGGCCCAAAGGTGAGCCCACCACACGCATCCGCAACACATGTAGGCATCAGCACAACGGAATACGGCTTTCATGCATTGGCAGAAGCAGTGTCAGCAGCACTGTGCAGCATCATGAGCAACACTGCCATCGTCTTCATCTTCTGCAGCAATCAATTGTTTTTTTGCTGAGTAGGATCAGCAAACCCAAGAGCCCAACGGCACACATGGCTCTACGCTGTTGTATGTTCTCTTTGGGTCTGGAGCTCTCGCTGTAATACCTATTACTACTACTACTACTACTACTACTGCTGCTGCTACCACCACTACTACTGCTACTACTAGTACTACTACACTGCACTGCTGCTGAAGAGCATGGGGTTCAGGTTCACCCACCCCCCGCCACTGAACCCCTTTCACTGAACGCATCACCACACAACAAGACGATAGCACACAGTCTCTCTCCCACGCCCTTCTAATCACCAGCGCCGCTATTTCGTTTTCTAACATCACCGGCCGGTTAGATGCCACCAATGCGCACTGGCCGTGCGTCAATCCTTCGGCTCGCCTGACGCCTCAGTGGGAACAGGATCGGGCTTCAGGCTCCCGTATGGAACCCACCCATGGGGCCGCACGTTGGGCGATGCACTGGTGATTCCGCCGCCAGCATATACCACACGGACCTTCTACGCACATGCACGCTATCTACTTTGGTACGTACATGACCTGCTGGTGCGGAACATGCAGATGTGGACTCATCTGACTAAGGACAAAAAGAGGTATTCGACCTACATGGCTTAACATGCGCACGGGGTCGCATAGCATTCCCTCTGCGTGCGCCTCGTACACCCCCGCACGATCTCCGCGTGTGCGAAGGCATACATGCCTAGCTTCATACATACGGACACCATACATGCTCACTGCAAGATCTATCCGCCAGCCTAGCGATTATACACCACGCTTCGCAAAGTTTAAGCAGCCGGACCTTCCTCTCTTCCCCTCCTCCGTTGCCAATGGAACAGGCGCACGCAAACATGGCAAACACTTGGCAGCTGCCCACCGCTATCCACACTCACACAGGCATGACTGTCGCCATCACCCTTCCTCCAACAGCACACGGTGTCCGATCCCATGCTCTGTCTCCTACACCGCAGCCCCGTCACAGATAGACATGGGGGCGCGTGACGCAAAGGAAAATATACCCCCTGCCTGCTAAAGCTACCAAGTTAACATTCCGCAGGTCTACCCCACACCGCCTGCTTGCGGGGATGCAGATCCCTGAGCCCCCGCTGCATTGCTAGCCCCAAGCCCTGGCGGGTGGTGCCGCGAGGAGCATTCCCCTACAGCACGAGGGACCAGCCACACAGCCAACGGTCCTGAGCTTCGCCAGCTCATCACCTCGCTTTCCCTCTCGCGCCTCACATAGGCCAACCTGGACCCACTCATACCGCGCACGCTGCACAGGTGCATGCAGCCGTGAGGTTACAGATGAGCCCCTTCAGTTGTTTTGAGTTTTTAGAGTTTCAGGATTTAAGCTTCGGGGATTGTAGGGTTTAGCAACCAACCGTAACTATGGCTCCGTGCTGTGTCGCGAGGCTATCGTAAGTACCTTCATCCGCCCACAGAGGGGCCCCTCCCTACCGACTTCGCCGACTCAAAACATCGCGCAAATAATCTTCCGCGCCATTATTATCACTGTCATCGTCATCACAAATTAATCTCTGCAATCACCTGCTTAACGCGAAGTCTGAAATTAGCAATCCACTCCCACTGGACGCCGTATTAGCACGCCCATGCAGTGCCTACCAACGCAACGAATTTATACTACTAAAGCTATTTATTACTAAAACACGTATATGGTGAAAATATTACTTCTGTCAGCTAGTACTTGTCACCCAGGCGGATGCAGCCGCAGCCGCGTATTATAATTTGTGTATGCAAATCACTGACAGCCGCCCGGGCCAAGCGCGCGCGCTGACGGAAAACGGCGCTTGCGTGGGAAACGGCGATCACTGCGTTCATGGCTGCGACGAAGCTATCAAATAGCTGTCATCCATCCATCCATCCGGAAAGTCCTTACCTAATCACAGCAGGGATAAGTAGCGGCACAGCTCTGTGGCCAACCAGCCGCCCCCAAACCATACGATATAGATTGCAAGTGAGGGTGCGCAGATTCAAATAACAAATTTACCCTCCCAGTCGGAGACTAAATCAGCAAAACCAGGAAAGCTCAGTACACAGATGCCAACAAACACCAACGAACTTTTCGCGCCACTTGCGCGTATGCGCGCACATGCACCCGCCGCAGCCCTTTTCCTCCAAATCTACAGGCACAGTAGACCAGCACTCCAAATGTTTCAATGCGCCGCAGCCTAACAGAATATCGTTCACTAAAACCATTACCAAATATACGTGTGTGTCAAAGAGAAGCACGATGCTTATTTTCGGTTCGATTTCGACACTGATGGTGGTTAGGTTCTGATGCGAGTGCACTTGTGAAATGCACCCGTCTTGTATGGCTCTGTACGGCGCTCCACTCCAACTGCCTTGCAAGGAACTTCTCCCCACCTCCTTACCAAACCCCTATCGTCCCAGGCGCTTCTTCCTCCTGCTCCCCCGGGGCCCTAAGGCTCTTACTGCTGGGCCCCCACAGAGTGCATAAGAGCGGAAAGAAGAGGAGGGGATAACCCCCCTAGGGCATATTGTAAGTTCGCCCACTTAACGGCGTAAGAAGGGCCTAAACAGGAAGCGTGTACGCACTTAACGGAAGCAGGGAGGGGAAGGTGAAGCCTATGCCCGTGCTCGTACGGCACACGATGCCCCGGGGAAGCAGGGAAAAACCCCTAACACGCAAACCAGTTGGGAGACCTGGCTGTAGACGCAGCTTGTAGTGCCTCTGTATTTATGTCCTCATGTGGCATTGCAGAGCTCCCTCGCTCTCCACTAACTTCCCTGCGCCTCTTCATCCCACTCCGCACTCCGCGTCCCTCCGCATTGAGGGTCCGGGGGCCCCTTCTTGCCACACCGCTAACGGCGCATACAGGCCCTTGTTTGCTCACAGTAACCTCCATCCCCTCTCACCCCTTCCTCCGTCACTCCTTTCCTCTGGTGGCCTTTCTTTCTCTCTCTCTCCCTCTTCCTGCCGGTCCCCGTACTACGTACGGATGCCGAAGTCAGAGACACGCAACCCGCAGAGCGGTGATGAGGGAAGGGGATGATACACCACACAACGCACACAACACAAAACACACTGCCAACACCCAAACCCAACCGGCAGCCCCTATAGGATGGAAAACGCCCATGTAAAGCTCTCTTTGGTTGTCCTGGTCATATTGCCGAGGTGTCAACGTTCCCTGACCGCCGTAAAAAACACCCCACCACTTGATCCCCTCCCCCTCCCTGCCGCGCGATGGGTCCTCTCGCTTCCCATCAGCTGCCTAATCCTAAACCCGAAGCCTGAGATCAGGACCGGTGGCGGGCCAACGTTCGGCAGCACAGCAATTAAGTCGCAGTTGTGTGCATATATGTTATTGCTACAATTGCGAGTCAAAAACGAAGATCACTTGTACGGTTAAACGAATTTATGTACGACAAAATCACACTCTCGTACCGCAACCCCCTTAATTATTGCATCGGAATGGACATATGGCGTGAAGAGCACATCCTGCATGGCGGCCTCTCTTTTTCTTCTTCTCCTCTTCTTCTATTCGATTCCCATTTGCTCTGAAGTTTGGGAGGCTGAGTGCCTCCCCGGTTTTCCTAGCTAAGCTTAGCACACCATCATTCCGCACCTGTACCGGCGGGGAGCATTCGCAGCCCATCTCCACTGCAAGCACGCACCTAGGCACCCCCCCACCCGCACTCCACGTCCTCTCACTCCACCTACCACTCCCCACCCTTTCCTTTCCGCGGTCCCCCTCGCCCCTAGGCGCCCCGGTCACCGCCAGTGGCTCCCAGGAAAGGAGGCGCCCCTTTCTAGGCAGCGGCGCCACCGCCTACCTAAAGTCTCACAACCTTCTGATGCCTCACCTCTCTGTCTCCGCCGCCGCCGCCGCCGCAATACCTGCCAGTATTCTGTTACACACACACGTATATATATATACCCCTAAGTCCAACAACACATTTGCACTCCACATACCGCCCTATTTATCCCCTCACCCTCATCCGTCGCCCCCCCCTTACACTTGCGGTCCGCAGCTGATGTCCAGCAGCGCTTGCAACCGGCTCACCAGCTCTGAAGCAGAGGGCCGCTGGGACGCATCGGAAGACCAACATGACACCGCCAGACTCCTGCCGTATGTACATGTTACGGCGGGATAGGTATGGCCAAGGTACGATCCATTCATCGGGATGGAAGGTAGGGAGGAGGGCGGCTGGTTTAGTGGCGAAGAGGGCTAGAGGGCGGGAGGGTCGAAGCATGTAGGCAAGTAACGCCGGCAAGGACACGTCGGCGATAAGCTATCTGGCTGTGACTTAGTGACTTAGTGGCAAATTGGTTATCAAATGGTTACTTTGACTAACTGCCTTGTTGGTGAGTTTGCTAGTTGGTTGCAAATGTTAATGCGCCAGCGATAATCCCCGTCACAGCCCCCAGCTTTCCTTCAATGTACCTCTTTGAGCGCTTCAGACAGACAGACAGACAGATAGCCAGGTAGGTATGCAGCTAAATAGATAGATAGATAGACAGGCGGCCTAAGGCAGACTGGGGTACGCATGTAGTATGTAGTTGAGAGAGGCCCTTCGCCCTTCCCTCCCCCCCCACCCACTTGAAGTGTGATGGAGTATCCGGGGGGAACTTGGGTCTCATCCCCTCGTGGAGCACTTTGTGAGGGACGGCCTGCAGAGGCAGCAACAGCAATAACAACAGCAGCAGTCACATGCCACATGGGCACAGCCAGCGGGGGCCAAGTCAGCACGCAGTAGCAGACTGTACATGTATGGTATGGCGTATGGCACCAGTAAGGTGAAGTTAAGATTACGAGCAGTTCGCTGCAACAGGTCTTGCTGCCGAATGGTATGGGTCCGTGTAGCACCTTCAAAAGCCGTTTATTGCCACACATGCCCCAAAGGGGAACCAAAGTCTCCGTCAGCTTCATCGCCGGTAATAGGAGGGGGCATTTTGGGAGGATGAGGAAAGGGTTTGCGTGTATTTTGCAGATAAAGGTCCTGGGTTCAATTCCTGGGTAGGCTCCTGGCAATTGTCGGGAGCGTGAGGTTATGGGTAGTTGCTGAGATGTGGAGTTGAGGTCGCAGTTGATGGACCTAGGTTCGCACCGCGCTGGATCGGTGAGGCGATTGCTGAACCCTTTGTCTCTACGGATGTCCGGGTGACTGGATGAGGAGGGATCCTAGAAGGCAGGATCCAAAACCGCCTTAGGACTTTCAGTTCGGAATCAACATTAAACATCCATAGTCCATGGCCTCCGGGTTTCGACGGACACCCCGCGTTCGTGCGGGACTTATAAACCTGTAAACTCTAACGCATGGCAAGGCAGGACATGACAATGTGGACTTTTGCAGCTTTCCCCCCCATCCCCGATCTGTCAACACCCGGCCCCACTACTCGCCTGCCTTCCCGGCCCCCTAGCCCCCATCCCGATGGAAGTTATCCCTTTTGTCTATCCATCCAATCTCGCTAGTCGCCGTACACTGCTCTGTGCAAAACATGGCCGCACAAACCACAACCCCTTGGACCGGCCCAAGTCCCCCAAGTTCCCCGTTACGCGAGTAGTAGTTACCGCGAAACCGTTCTCCGCGTAAGCGCTGTACGGAGCTCGGCCTGTATAGACCTCCCACCTGCATGGGTTGTGTCGGTGTGGGGGGTTACGGAGGGTTACTGAAGGCGTGTTCGACCACATAGCACATACATACATACAGGCAGGCGGCTGGCAGAGGTTAAGGCCTGACTTCTGTTCCCGGAGTCTCCGGGTTCAAATCCGCCTGCCGACTTCTTGAGTGTTAGAGAAGTGTTGAGGTGGCCCCCCATCTTGCGGGTGGTATAGGACGTGAAAATATCAACTTGCGAGTTGTCCAGGAACTGAGTTGAGGCGCCATTGATCCGCTAGATTTGGTTGGATGCTGGTGGTGAGTTGCTGAACCCATCGAATACATTCTGAAGTCGGATGGGGTGAATGGATTAGGGTGCCCCTCTAGCAGGGGAGAGGAGGGAACTGCCTTGGGAAAGGGGGCCGCTGGTGAAACTTAACCACCTTGTAACGACATACATACAGGGGTACGTACAGGGGAAGAGGTAACTAGGCATGCAGAAAACCTAATGGAGGCACGATCGTACAGCAGACGGTCATACGAGCGGACAGCCAAGTGGAAAGGCAAAAACGTAGTCATACAGGTCGGACCTTGTTTCCCCGCTTTTGGATTTCCCCACCACCACCACCACCGCACTCAAGGGGACTCACATCAGAATGCCGAAGCTATAAATGTCCGCACTTGGGTCAAGGGGAGAACCTGGGGGTTGGGAGTGGCGGTTACATAACACAAGCCAGGCCGGACTGTCATCACGTACAATCGCATTAGGATGCTGCTGCACAGTCATGATGTAGAAAGCGTGGATAGGGGAAGGATTGCATGCATATCTGTACGTATATCGCAGTAAGGGTGATTCCGCCAGCCGTGGACAACTTCATGGGGCCCCGCATCCTACGACGCCTAACAGCACAACCCTGGGTGAAGGGCCACAACCCACCTTGGAGCAGCTCCGGGGCCATGTGGGTCACCTAGTCCCGGGGGAGCGTGGGAAGCAAGGGGGAAAAACACATGCACGCACACATCTCATCAAAACACACATGCAATTGCATTTGCACGGAGCAAGGCCCAGAAAGTGGGACTGGAAGCAGCAGCTGCGAGGAGCGAGCGGCACTGACACGGCTATTTCGGCACGGAGATGCGTGAGACGGGCTGCAAGCTGCAAAGGGCCTATGTCAGCTGCTAGGGGCCTACGTCAGTTTCTAGGAGTCAGGACAACGCTGGGAGAAACTTCCTACGGAAAGAGATGGGGCATTGTGAGTGTTCCGTAATTAAGAACAAGCGTTTGGGAAGAGGGAGCACGCATTCAACCCTCATCCTGTTCCCGCCTCACCGTCCCCACAGGCTCTGACTCCGCCGCTCCAGGGCTAGCCAGCCCTCCCTCCCCTGACCGTCCCCCGCCAGCAGCAGCAGAAGCAGCGTCCTCGCTCCTAGCTACCAGATTCACAAAGCCTTGCGGGGAGGCAGAGAGAAGCACGCGCACAAAAGCGGAAGCGGGAGAGGGAAAAAAAGGAGAGGAAACTTGGGATGGGGTCCGGGAGGGCGGGACGCAGCGGAGGCCATCTTCCTGCGTGCTAACCTTCCCTACATTGCCTCAATGGCAGGTCCTGTTGCACTTGCCGCAGCCTTCCCGCCCTTTCCACCTCAGTTCCTCCTTCCCTCCCTCCTCCAATACACATTCACTTTTGCCCTTTCCTCCCTTCTCCCTTACTGGTTTCCGTTCCCCTGGAGTCACCCCGCCACCAGTTCCCCCTCCTTCCCTCCCTCTTCTCTGGTCCCCCGCTGTCCTCTCACCGAAATCCGTCAACTTAGCGGTGAAGCCCCGCGGGTCGGTTGCCGACGACCTCAGCAGTACATTGGCGGGCTTCACGTCGCAATGCACCAGGTTGAGTGAGTGGAGGTGCCTTAGAGCCAGGGCCACCTCCACCAGCGTGAGGTAGACAGCACACATGGCGGGGCTGCCGGCGGTGGAGTTCGCGGAGGGGTTAGGAGGCGGGAGCGGTAAGGAGACAGGCTGACAAGGGCCGCTGCTGTTGCCGTTGAGGTTGGGCTGAGGTTGCTGTTGGCGAAGCAGGATAGTGGCGGCGGCTCGGGCGGCCCGGGCGAAGGCGCCGGTGTCGATGCAGTCAGCCAGGGAGCCCATGTCGCAGTATTCCTGGAGAGAGTGTTGGGTTAGGCGGGGGGAGGAGAGGATGTCATTGGGGGTGGGGATGCGGTTAGGGATGTGGTGGTGGTGGAGGGCCGAACAGGGAAAATCCAGCTAGCGACGGTTCAGCACTGTTCCCTTTTCTCAAAGTTTTCACATGTCACACGTATGCACATCAACAACTTGTATCAGTTCACTGGAAAGATCTACCACGGCGCTGGACTATCTGCGCCGGTGAAGTGATTCGTGTGCCATCCTCATCCAAATATCACATGCAGCTACCGTCAGAAGAAACACAGCCGCAAAGGCCTTCAGACCGCCAGCTGCAGGACCCCGCATTCGCCAATCTGCCGTACCATGATGAGTGCCGTACACAAGGGCGCTGTCCAGGGGTTTTGACGGGCGTTCCAACGGACCGGCGCGTGACAGGCACGTGAGGGGAGGTGGGGGCGGCCGGCAGGGCGGAGTGGGGCAGACGATTGTGGAGTGGGTGGGGCGAAGGGGCGGTCAGAATTGAGCGAGCTAGGTCCGCAAGGTACGACACAACACGGGGTCTTAAACAAGCATGGCGTTGAGTAAGCATGACGTGGAGCAACGAAGCTGGGAGACTACGAGCTGATGGTAGTGAGCGCACCGAAATCAGGAGAGCGAGGAGGAAGGAGGGAGAGCTGGTGGGGGTGGTTGAAGAAAGGAAAGCCAGGCAGCGCCCTATGGCCGGATGCTGCTGTTGCTGCTGCTTACGAAACATGACGCCTTCTTCCCCTCACTCCGCGAGTACTTCACCACGAGGTTCGAGCTCATCCTGGAGAGGGGCATCAAGCCAATCCCCCCCCTCTCCCCGCCTTGCGCCGCCTTACCTAGCGCAGGCGCGCCCTCGGGTTGCACCTCCAATTTAACCACCCCCTGCCCCTCCTCGCGGATTACAACGCGGGTACAGTACGAGTACACCTGTACGGCAGGAAAAACGAGCATATCATTATTGTAAAATGCGAGGTGCCTGCACAGTGCAAGGTGCCTGCACAGTAGGGGTTATGTTGAGGCACATGCGGTGGGTGCGTGCTGTACAGGTGTTGGAAGCCTGGCGGACGTACTTTCCGTAAGGAGCTATGCATGGCACAACCAGCGTGTGCGGGTGATCGTACGTGTATACATACACATACATACACACACATACACACTCACGTACACGCATATACACGCACAATAGGCCGTAAGACCATTTCCCAGCCTGTGCGCAAGCCTACCCTTCCCCTTCACGTTTTACTCTCCGCGCCACCTTCCTCCTGCTTTGCTGTCTCTTCTCAATCCTCATCGGCTTGGCTCCTGCTGCTTGCTTGCTTATTCTTATTCTTCCCTTCAAACACGCACACCTAGAGCCACACCCACATCCATAGCCACCCAGGCGCCCTCCACACCTGCACGATGTTCGGGTGGCTGATGGTGGTCAGCACCGCCAGCTCCCTCGCACCCCGCATCAGAGCCTGCAGCCGCGACCTCCGTTTCGCAGTGTTCAGCCTCTGAGCTCGCACACCCGCACGGAGGCTCTTCCCCCGCCCCGCCTCGCCGTCACTCCCGCCCTCGCCAGCCACCACCGCCGCCCAGGGGGTCGACATGAGGCTCTTGTACGAGGACCGCCCGTAGGGGGCCTGCTGCTGCTGTTCCTGCTGCTGCTGCTGGTCAGTGCCAACGGGATCACCGGCAGTGGCGGTTAATGGAGCCACGTCTTTACCGGCTTCGCCTGCAGCGGTCCCCTCCTCCTCGTCTTCCAGCGGCAGTATGACCTTGACAGCAACTGGCATGGCGTGCAGTCGGGCCAGCACCACGACGCTGCAGCCGCCCAGACCGATGGCGCGCAGGATACGCAGGTTGCGGATGTCGTCCTCGGCATGGGCTCTGTTGGATAGGCGGGTGGAGGGAAGTGGGATCGGGGACCTGTGCGAAGGAGAGGGTTTTGGAAGCCCATGGAATGTGGAAACCCAACAGTAACGATCCGGCTAGCCACCGGCCGTCCCAGCTCACCCGCCCATCTGCTCGGTATCCGTCCGCGCACGCGACAGCGTCGTCGTGAAGGCCGTTACCAGCGTCGCCATGTTCTGCTGCCGCGCCACAGGACCCAGATCCGACACCGTGTGGGTCAGCAGCGTCATGCTGCTAGGCCACTCGGACTCGAAGCCGGGCGCCGTCACGCCACCCGTAAAACCTGAACCCAGACCACCCGCGGCCATCAGGCCCAGATCCTGCGCGGCGGCGACAGCGCCGGTGCCGTCGCCCGGTGGCATGACGTCGCCCACGATTCCTGAGCTACTGAAGAGGGCTGTGTCGTACGGCTCGCTCAATCCACAATCCGGGGCGCGTACAAACACTGTCGGCGCCGGCGCTGGCAGCATGGCGTCGCAGCCCGTGGAACCGGCGGAGGGCAGCGCGGCGCCGCTGGTGCTAATGACCCGGCAGGCTAAGGCGGCAGCGGCGGGTGTTTCCAGGGGGATTGCGGGGTTGGCGACGGCAGAGGCGCGGCGGGCGTGTGGGACACTGCGCCGGGGGATCGTGTGCGAGGAGACGAGCTTGCGGCTTGGAGGAGGGGTTTGGAAGGGCATCGGAGTCGTTACGGCGCCTGTGGTGACAGTACCGGTGACGGTGACTGCAGGACTGCTGTTGCTGCTAAGTGACCCGTGGGTCTGTCGGCCGCCGGCGCTGGTAATGGATCGGGATGCAGCTCCTTGCTCCATTCCCATCGCTGCTGTCGCAGCCGCCCCTGCCATGCCGGTCATCGTGCTTGCGGCAGACGACGAGGCGTCTGCACGCACAGCAAGCGCCAAGGGATCCGTTGCCACCGCAGCCGCGCCCTCCGGAGCCCTTGGCAGCGGCGCCACCGCCGCCGCCGGTCCTAGCCCAATAGACGAGGCCGGCACGAGGGAGGGATACCACTGAGCGGCCCCTTGGGGGCCCCCTCCCATCACTTGGGTCCACAGGCATGCCCACTCGTCAGCCAGCGGCCCCGTGTGTAGACAGCGGAGGGCCACGGGAGCCAGGACCTGCCAGGAGTCAGCGGTGTGCGGGGTACCTAGGAGCGGACAGATAGCGCCGTAAAGTTCTAGCTGGGCTGAAAGCCACAGCATTTCGTGATGGGTCCCAGTAAATCATGTCTCTTTTCCTTCGGGTGATTCGTCCCCATTAGTCAGATAAGCGAGAGGCGGTGTCGGTAATCCCGTCCGGTTCAAAGCCCAACCAGCACACAAGCGCACCGCGCAATTTTACGCTACGTGCACCGCACCCTTCTGTCCTTTTGACCCCACCTGCAGCAGATCCAGTGCGCGCTCCCGGGCCGCTTGTAAGAAGCTTTGCGGCAGCGGTAGGCTGCTGTACAGATACAACCCCAAAACTGCCGTCCCAAGGGAGCTGCTGCCGGCGGTGGCGGCGGCGCTGCCGCTGCCAGCGCCACCGGCGGCGGCAGTCCTAAACACGCTGTCAAAGCCCTCCACACTAGCACACGAACTGCGCTCACGACGCGGGCCCAGCCAGCTCGTACGCATCGGTGAAGCCGCCGCCGTCGCTGCTGCCAGTCCCACAGTAGCGGTGTTGCTGCTGCTGATGCCTGACGTCCTGCCAGCGCCGCCGCCAGTGTAGGGCTGAGGCCCTGTGGCGGCGCGCTGCCTCGGCTGCTGCGAGGGTACGACGGCACCGCATACGGCATCAGTGGCCGTCACTCCTGCTATCGCGACATTGTCGGCCAGGGGCTCCATCACTAACGCTATGAGCGACGCCAGGCCGCCCGCCACGCCTGCGCGTCGCACAAGACTGAAGGCATCGCCGCTGGGCTGTGTGGCGTCTTGTAGCCATGTGGGCACATCAGGGACCAGAGTAGAGCGAAGCTGAACGAAAGGGCCGGTTACGGCGCCGCCGCTGCCGCCACCGTCAGTGTAACTGGAAGCTCCCCCCATGGCAACTGGCGTTCCTGGCGGCGGAGGTGGCGGTAGGGCTCCGCCGGGGCCCTCGCCGATTTTACCATGAAGGAGCGCCGTAAGGAGGGTGGAAGAAGTGGCGAAGGGGCTGGCCTGCAGGTGGGGGTACCGACAAGGCGGCGGAAGGTCGGCGAAATGGCAAGGTGGTATTGATATCGCACAACGCAATTGTCTCCGTCCGCATTTCCCTACGACACCACCATGTTACCACGTGACACGCAAACACACTACTCCGCCCTGAAGACGAGTTCCGCTGCCATCCATTACCCAGCCCAGGCGAGGGAGCCTTTTGCATAAAAAGGTTCCCTAGCCATTTAGCATTCCATAACCGATTGACGATAACCCTTTTCCAATGCATTCTGGCCCCTCGCCTTCAATCCACTCGACACTGCACCGGCTGTCCTAGCATCAGTCCACGCAGCCACCGTAACCCCTGACCAGCCAGGCCCGACCTCGCAACCCCAACCGCCGCACCTTCCATCCGATAGCTCGCCCAGCCCCCACCGTCAACCCCGATGTGGCACTGCGGTTGAGGGGATAGCCGCCAGAGAACAGCGCCCTGCTCATTTGCCCCTGCCCCTGGCTGTGACCTTGACTCTGGCCCTGGCCCTGCGGAGGCACGATTCTCACACTCACTCCAGCAGCGGGTACTCCACCGCCTGTGACCCATGCCGGCCCCGCCGTGGTGCCTCCCCCGCCTCCAGCTCCTCCAGCAGCGCCGGGCACGCTTCCTGTGCCCTGGCTGACCATGAAGGGCGCCCAAGACAGCGCCAGGGCGTTGTCCGCTGTGGACTGGCAGGGGGTGAAGCCTGTGCCGGAGGGGTCGTCATCGGGGCCCGCGACGGAGCCCAGGCCAGCGGGACCGGAGGGCACCGAGCAGTAGCCGCCGTCTCGGCCGCCAGCCGGCCCCGGCAGCGCCACCACGATTCTAAGGGATGCGGCGCATAGTGGGGATATACATACAGAATATTATTTAGGTTTACTAAAACAGAAAAGCCGCCAACGAGGGCACTGAGAAGGCAGGGCGGGGAGCGAACGGGGTGTGGTCAGTGAGGCCAGTGTAAGAGGAATGAAATCGAGGTAATAGAAGGAAGCGACGAAAGGCAGGGCGATGTTATGCTATGCAGCCAGCGGCGAGGGAGGTAGATAAGAGGTGCGGTAAAAGGGGGTTTAAGGGGGCCTTGGCGGGTTGGAAGGCGGTTTCGTTGTTACCCCCTGCGACATACCTCCTGCCGTTGTGTTGGCCACCACCGCGAGTCGCTCCCTGATCCGCCGCCAAGGGCCGCTCTGAGCTCCCCGTCACCATACCCAGACGGTGCTGATGGTGCTGATGTCCCTGCAGCTGCTGCTGATAGTAGTGTTGCTGCGGTGACGACTGCAACAACGGCGATGAACCCAGGGCGAACGAACCACTCGGCTGGGTGCTGTACACCGAACCACCCGCAGCGGCAGCTGCCGCGTTATGTGTTGCGTTGGTAGTAGTTGTGGTCGTCGGGGTTGCAGTAGCAGAGGTGGTTGTGGCCGTTGCTGGGCCCTGCAGGGTACATCTGGGCGACTGGGGTGAGGCTCCGCTCTTGCTGGCAGTGCGGTCCGCTGGGGGGGCGTAGAACAGCAGCCCTGTGGGTGAGTCCCGGGTGGGCAGCAGCGCCAGCCTGACTACCATCTCCAGGTGCAACTCAGCTGCCAGGAGGGATGCCATGCTGCCAGTGAGCAGTGCGGCTAAGTCCTGAAGGGACACTGAGGAGGACAGTGCGTCGGCCGCCAGACACACCTGGCAGGAAGAAGACGAGGGAGGGGGACCAGGATGGGCGACGTGGCAGCACTGGGGCGAGGGCAGGGGAGGAACGGATGATGGAGAAGTTTGAACGGAGCAATCCCACATGGCCTAGCCGGCATGATAAACCCAGTCATCACGACTACGGTACTCTCGTCCCTCTGCTGCTGCTGTTGCTGTCGTTGTTGTTGCTGTTTATGCTGCTGCTGCCGACCCCATCGCGCCCGCCCTAGTCGAAGGGTTCCTTCCTCTCACACACACGTCTCCCAGGCCTTTACCCGCGACACCACCCACACTACCTGCTCCACAACGGGAAGTGCCGGCCCCAAACAGCACTCCGCCACACACTCCGCCATCTCCAACAGGCCACTCTCCAGCAAGCTCACATCACCACCAGCACCACCGCGATTTTGACCGAAGCTGCCATCGGCACAGCCGCTTCCGCCTCCGCCACCATCTCCACCATCGCCGCCTCTGGCGAAATTGCCACTGTTGGCAGGGAAAGCCGTCCCTCCGCGGCCTGCAGCCCTCCCTATTCGCACCGCCTGTGAGCCCCTCTGGGCCCCGTCCCAGGCGGTAGCACCCCGGGGAGGCTGCTGCTCCTGCTGTTGTAGTGGCAGCGGCGCTGGCAGTAGCAACAACAGCGCCCCTATATGTCGGCCGTCCAGCCCTAACGGCAATAGCACCGCCCGCCATCTGGGTGCTGGACAGGATAATGCGAGGTCGTGCAGCAAGTGCCGCCACGCCACCGGCAGCGGGGACGGCAGCAGCGGCGTTGCCGGAGATTGGCCGTCAGGCGTTGTCTGGCTCTGGCCAAGTCGGCTTGACTTGGGGGGAGCTGCAGGGAGGGGCAGCTGAAAACGGGAGCGGGGGCGAAGGGCACCTCAGCCTTAGGTGCCTGTGGGAGAACGAGGCCCCAGAGGCGGCGAGCGGTCTTTCCGTGTTTGACCTTTTCGCGGGTAGCCGTGTGAGTTGTCGTGAGGGTGCGTTGCGGGCAGGAAAGGAACTCCGGCACCCTGATCTTCGTGGGGAGATGGCATGAGGTGGGGGCTGGTGCAAAAGCCTTGTTGGGACGTATGGCCTAGGACTCAGTTTTTCTGCAGTCTTTAAGGGCCTCTGAGGGTTTGGCCTCACCTCCAGTACACAGCCCAATCGACCAGCTTCGGTTTGGCAGAGGGCCGGAACCTGCAGGCCGGGCGGCAGGGCGGCTGCAGCAGCCCCAGCACTGTGCAGCACTGTCCAGCGGGGTGTGTCGGAGAAGAAGAACTCCGCGCCACCAAATCCAAAAATGCTGCATACGAGCAGGTTTTAAAGGGAGGCAAGGCACGGATAGGATGGTGGGTGTGGCAGGCTGTGCGGTGAGGTGAGGGGTGATGGGAACTGGGTGTAGAGAGCGGGCTCGGATAGTGGTGCTCAATGGATGGGATTTCGGTGTGGATTTCAATGTGGTGCTCAAGGGATGGGATTTCGGACGCAAAGGACAGGGCAAGTACCCTTTGCTTCTGTACTGATAAAGAAACTGTCTGAGGTGATGGATTGTTCACTAGGCCGGCAGGGGTTGCTGCAATGTCAGGCGCACCTGACGGCGCCTGCCGTTAAAAGCTCGGCCAGCAGGTTCGCGCCTTCAGCGATGCGGCGTATGGGTGCACCGCGTACACCAATAAGTTTTGATCTTAAGCGTCCCAACTCGTGGAGCCAGCTCGGCAGTTCCTCAGCGCGGGATGGCAGTAGGACAGTGTCAGCCGCACCCTGCCGCACGAAGAACATCAGGGTTGAGACCATCACAGAGCTACGCGAAACAACTGAGCTTACCAAGTCATTCTCATTGACCATAACGGACTTGACAGGCTTAACGGGAATGTTCGGTGTAACCCCTGGTGAGCCATGATAATTAGAGTCCCTGTTAACTCGACCTTCGTTTTCGTTATTTGAGGGAGCAGGGCTGCTAACGTAACCGTCCTTTATCCCCCCAAAGCATTGTCCAAAACAAAACGACATATCTCCAAACGATGAACGAATGAATTACTCTCCACGTTCTACCATAGCGTTAGTAAGCTCATTGTTAATAGCCCAGGAATTATTAATGTAATTCGTATATGGTAACTTATGTATCCCTCGTTATAAATATCGCCTACGCCGGGAGCACAGCACAAGCATCGCAGTTTAATCATATAGCTCCTGAAGGTGTTTGGTGCCTGCAAAACTAATCCACATGCTTTACCGTAATGTGTAGCTTTACCGTACGAGCTCCGGTCCTTGCAGTTTTTTAGCATATCAGCATGTCAAAGAAACTGATATTAAAGAAAGATAATGTACTCAAGTAAAGTAGAGCGAACACCTCATGTACAGCTGCAAAAGAACCTAAAAACTCGTAGGTGAAAAAATAGTCTCTCCTTTGGGTTGATATTAGTGCCGGGATAAAAAAATTATAACAAACCATCAAAATGTTTACCTTCTAGTTTATAGTGCTACCTATTCCCAGAAATGAGTAACCCTGGAAAGCGTCGACCAGGCATTTTTGCTTTTCTGAGGCAATGGATTTTGATTCTAACTTTTAGTTCATCTAATATACGTACCTGGCAGTTAGTCCCTGCGAAGGGGGATGCAATCTGGTCCTGCCAGGGTTGGTATTAGGCATGAATAGGACAGAAAGTCGATAACCGTGAGATGACCATGCATGGTCCATATGGTTGCAATCCAGGGAGGTGGTGTCCAAGCCACTGTAACGGCGCATGCCATTTTGGTTTCGGACGGAGTTTTCCATCCTTGAGCGACAACCTGGAGCAGATACCTTATAATGACCTGTGCACCTCCATCCCTAACAATCGGATATTTAGTCCGATATTTCTTGCTGTTCAAGCAATAAGTACCATTTCTACTGTTTGTCAACTAGTATGCATACGACGGTAATTGTTCTTACCATGCATACGACAATAATTGCTCTTACGATGGTGGCCACTGTTCTACATTCCACCGTAATTAAAACATTTTTTGTTCATGATTATTTGATTATATTTAATAAACGCTTCCGCCTAGTGGTCTGCCTGCGCGGAAAGGATTGCCGATTGGAGTTTCAACCGACGTGTCGAGACTCCGAAATATTCCTAATATTAACCAGGTTGCTCTGCTCCACAAATGCTGATTTTTATGTAAGTTACTGCGACTCTCCTGCTGCTGCTGTAGCGCCCTTAACTGTCGACGGCAACTCACTGGAAATATGGCCGCGCCTTATAGCAACAGGATTTTTAATCTAAGAGACTAGTAGTTAAAAAGATTGTCCAATCCAGATGCGGTCACAGACTGTGGCGGATTCTGGGACGGATCGCAGATTGGGCGGCTCGCAGGCCGGGAACAAGGCCTGGTTGTATATTGCGGTGGGTTCCGACGACTTGTTTTGCTTGTGGGTGAGCTCACCGGGGGTATCACGCATGTAATAGTGCGCTTACTAAGTCCTCTGCGGACGCTCGCTAAAGGCGATACTTCCCCGACTAATCCGGCTTGTGCTGTCGCGGGCAGCAGACTTAGGAAATTAACTAGTGTCTGCTGAGTCTGTAACTGTACACATTGGCACTGTCACAATTAGGATACCTGATCCTGATAGCTGTACCACTGCTGTTTGTGTTTGGTAAAGGTGACAACTCAGCTGACGTACCTAACGGCTTTCCGTTGGCCCATGCCCCACAGGGTCGTTCGTCCAACTACATTAACAAACTTACCCGCCCCGTTTCAAGCTGAGATGTGGGCTTACCAATACCAACAATCCGTAGCATTAATTTATATGCCTGACTTGAAGTGAACGCACGCTGGTAAAGGGCGTGGTGTTTGCCGTGGTCAGGCCAATTGCTTACTTGCAGTAAGGCCCCTGGCCTAGGCAGCATCCTGGTTCCGTACCTCGCGGGTGTAAGGGGCGTAGCAGGGAACCCATGATGCCCATTATGACCCGTGCGGGACCTCAAGGTGTAGCTCCTAGCTCGTGTAGTTATATGCCAACCCAGCTCAACACATGCCGCGGCTGTACTCTTATCCTAGCTTCGTAGAGCTGACAAGCCGCTGTCTGATGCCCATGGCCATACCTTTAGGGAAAGGCTAGACAGCGTGGGGCTGTAGGCGCTGCACGAGCGGTAAAGGATTATTTTATCGCTACCCCTCCTCAACTCAAAATCTGGACGAAGCCAGCGTGTTACAGTCTGTTACAGTCGCTAGCCTTTGAATGCAACGTGGCTGCCGATCGGGAAAAGTGAAAGATTCCGCGGTCGTTTCTTCCTCAAAGCGCAAAATTCAGTCCAATAGTGCCCGGACACTGCACCAAGGGAGCTCTGTCGACGCAGGCTTGACCCTCATTGCATGGCCCTCAATCTGTACATCCTAACCGCAAAGCATCCACGCAAGAGACGTCACCCCCCGGGTTAACAGAGCCCCGCGCGAATCGTCCATGGCATCCCGAGGCGCCTCACATGGCTTCACATGGCGTGGAAACCGTCGCCTGGGAATTGCAGCGTGGGCGCATGGGAGACCCCTCAAAAACCCCGCCCCCTGTTCATGGCAACCCCGGCAAATAAATAAATAAATGAAAGAAGCGCAGTCCCGGCAGCGGCCTGGTCTACAGCTTTGGTGTGCCAATACCCACATGCCGCATTCCTCGCTCAATAGTGTGAAGCTCGCGCAGCACTCGTATGCCACCGTACAGCACTCGCATGGCACCGTGTCTGAGCGCTAACCTACCATGCATTTTCACATTCACAGCCGCCGCTCCAAGCTTAGAAATCTACACATATCTGTGGCCAATAAAAATCCAAATATTCTTCGTTGGAATGCATTGGTATCTTTGAACATTGAATATAATGTAAAACGAAGGGAACAACTTCCATATTCTTACAGCGGCTCCACTTACGCAAAGCCTGCTGCCTCAGGGAACCGCCCCAACGAACCCAACCTCGACTTAGTCAACCAAATCGAAATCGTTAGTTCATCGGAACTCCGAAGTTTCAGTCCTTTTCCATCCACCGCCCTGCTCAACGCCAATTGTGCAATGCTTGTCTCTCGTCTCGGGCGGGTGGAGGTCTTGGGGGCCCTAGGTTTCGGTTTATGGTTTCAAATTACGAGGCGGCGGATATACTCCCTCGTAAAAGGACCGCCGTAGACCTTCCAATCGGGAAACTGCCAGCGCCGCCGCGGCAGCACCCAACGCCCAAACCGCCGCCCGGACCATATGCGTCACACCAGTGGGATCCAGCGGACCCGCCACCGTGGCTGCTAGGCCCACCAAGGCTGACCCGACAGCGGCAACAGCATCGCCAGGCGCTGCCGCTGCTGCCGCCGCACCAGCCGCTGTCGCCGTCGACGCGGCAGCCACGCCGACGGCCGCACAGAAGAGGGACATCGCGCCCGCCGCCAGCTGTACAGCACCAGCGACGGCACGCACGGCGGCGATAAGTTTGAGCCCCCGCTGGCACGTGGCGCAGTTTTCGGTGTGCTGGCTGTATCGGTCGAGCAGCTCCTTCCGACTAAGGCGCGCACCCAGGGCCTCCACGAAACCCGCATCAGTGCCACCAAAAGGACCACCGCCGCCGTACTTTTGGATCCAGCGGTTGAAAGCAATGACGTACGTGTCGGCTTGCGAGGGCATGTAGCACACCTGGAGAGACCACGCGGCGGGAAGTTACCGGGCACGAGGTGCGGCTCTGGGCATCTCTTCGTGCATGCATGAACCGTCCACACCATTTTAAACATATCGCCACACTTACACCCACACCCGTATCACCCCAACACCACACACACACACATGCATACATACAAACACATGCAAACACATACAGACGCACGCACGGCCCACCTGCGAGTGCGTCAGTCCCGCTGCCCTCCTCCTGGCCAGCTCCTCCTCTCCTAGGTGCAGGAAAATCTGGTCATCCTCGAGCAGCACGTGGGAGGACACGTGCGACCACCAGTCCGGCAGGGAGCTGCAGGGGGGCCCCACACAGCAGGGAAGGACCAGAGCAGGTGTTGTGGTCATTGGAGCGGCAGAACAAGCGGGTGCAACAGGCGCACAGCGGAGAGAAAGGCAGGACGACAGAAGCTTGCAAGGCTGAGCAGCCGCTGAGCGCACCCACAGACGGAACCGCACCACTGTCCTCCCTTTTCAACGACCTCCCACCTCACTGGGACTCTTGCCCTCGCTGAGCACCAGCCCGTGGCCTACACGAGTCTGTTCCTCGACATTCCCATCCCCCCGTCCTGCCGACCCGGGCTGGCCTCGTGTCTCAGGCGCACGTACCTGAAGACAAGCTGTGGTATCGGGTTATTGAATCGGAGGATATTTCGGTTGATGAGGCGGCACTTGCCGGGGCGCATGGGCACTGCGGGGCGCAGCAGGAGGAGGGAAAGACGGGGGAGATGGGGGAAGACGAGCGACGAACGAGTGAAGCTGATGCCAAAGGGGGAGAAAGGGGAGAGGGGGGAGAAGAGGACACAAACAGGGACAAGGGGTCGACACGGGAGCATGACATTGCTGCACACAGGCAAGGAATATGAACTGTCCATGTTCCAGCCGCGAAAGCCGCGAAGCCCCCCGGCTGACGGGGACGACAGCGGCCCCGTTCCGGAAAACAAGCCATGGAGGGGCTGGAGCACCAGCAGCTACTGCTGCTGCTGCTACTTGCTGCAGCACCAAGCGAGCATCACAGCGTAGGAGCGCTTTCTGCCCCAATAGCATCAGCAATAGCTAAAACCACATTAACCGCCACAACCACAACGACCACAGATGCCGCAGCTACTGCCCAGCAACAAGCCTCCCTGACTGTAACCGAAAGCAGTTGGCACCGGCACCGACTTAACGTGGCATGGGGCCACAGGGGACACCACAGAGTCGCGTCCCCCTCCTCCAGCTTACCAGCATACACCACTGTCATTGCGGAAAAGCCCTTGGCGTCCAGGCGGTTGCGCATGAAGGCCGGAGCGGTGAAGACTGTGGACTGCGGACCCAGCTTGCCGGCACGGGGCCCTGGGGCCCCAGAGGTGGGGGGGAGGCGAGCTCCGGAGCTTAGCTAGGGAGTCAGTACAGTTCCTAGGGAGATCTATGGTCCGTACGCCGCACCCGAACCTGCTAACCAAGTGAACTCTACACGGCAGAACGGGAAGGGATGCAGACCCACATCACCCATCATGCTGGGATGACCCAGCTGCCTGCTCCGTGCCGATATCCGAGACACTCATGCGGCCGTTCGATGACCCACGGGACACCTCCCTCACTTCAATATACACCATTGCGACCTCACCCGTCTTCCATACTCCCGTAAACCCGCGCTCCGATAGCGGCGTCACCAGCTTCAGGTCGTACAGGCCCTGTGTGTACGAGTACGACAGTAACACATTTACGACGGTCATTAGGGCCGAGCATACGATGTAGTGAAGACAAGACATACATACGAGACATACAAGTATGGAGAACCGACGGAGCACATCGCTGGTACATACGTACATACACGCGTATTGGGTTCCCAAAGAAACACCGTCAAAGGCCACCAAGAATCCCAGCCGCGCCCAAGCTGCCCCCCACCATTTGCCCCGCCCCTCCTACATATACGTCTATTAACACGCACAATGGTGTTCCTGTTGCTCATGGAGGCATGGTGGGTGAAGGGCACGTGACTGGCGTCCAGCACGTTCTCCATCAGCGTTGACCAGTCATACGGCAGGTCGCGCCACACGTCCTACAGAAGGGCGGATGAGGGAAAGAGAAATTGCTTGGGAGGGAGCACTGCTTAAGACCTATCAGGGCTTATCAAAGAAGGGAGCCTTAAAAATGCAAGGGGGATGGCGTCCAAGGACGGACGCGACAGCCTCTCCGGTGCTCGCCCAAAACCCAATTATTCCCGGGGCCCCCCCATTTCCCCCCCACACACATGCCTTCAACTATACCCATTTCCGTACACGAAAAAGTGCAGAATCCACTGGATCTGGAACCTACCTGTGCAATCCATTTTCCGTTCGGCTCGTCCAGCTCCGGAACCAGCGGAATCCGTGTTTCCTCTGCCACCGCCTCTGCAAGCGCCTCGCCCAGGCAGCCGTTAGCAGCACCGTTAGGCAGCAGCGCAGATGGCAGCGGCCTGGGCAGCACGAACATCAGGCCCTGGCGCTCAGCAGCGTGGAAGGCCACCGCGCAGGCGCGCGGTGTATCAGACTTGCCTTGCTGCCAGTCGGAGCCGAACACGCAACGTGGGGGCCACAAACGAATGCACAGTGTTGTTGGGGATACACCGCTCAAGGCGGAAAGAAATATTAGCATGAAAACCACCGCGGGCGGGGAGAGGGTCACCCCGCGATGTAGCAACAAGCAGTAGCAGTAGTAGCAGCAGCAGCACTAGCAGCAGCGGTATCCCCACCTGCGGGACCACCTCGCAACGGCCCTGACTGTTAAAGGCCCAGCCGTGGTAGCCGCACTCCAGCAGTCCGGCCTTATTTATGCGGCCCTCACTGCGTAGGGGTGTACAGGTAGGGCCGATGGTTAGTGTATTAGTGTAAACGTGCTGGGGACCCTGTTGGCGCGGGAGGGGGAAAGTGAGGCAGCGTCAAGAGGAGCGCGGGGATGCGGACGTCATGTTCTAATTGGAACCCCACCCTGGAGTACAGATCTATCCTCCCCTCTGCTCCCCACCTCACTACCCTCATCCCGCTCTGTTGCCGCGCACCTTAGGGGCACCAGCCGGTGCGGGCACACGTCCTCAAACACGCGCCAGCTGGCTGCATTGGAGTCCCACCAGATGACCAGCGGGATGTTCAGCAGCACGAAGCGGTGCGGTCGGGACCTGTCCAGATCCCTGGTTGACGGTGCGTGGAGCGCAGTGATATAGGACTCTCAGAACAAGGATGAAAAGGAGGTGTTGTGGGAGCATAAACGGATGAGGGAGAAGCGGAAGCCAAGCCCGGGGAACCATAAAGCATTTGGCGAGGGGTGCATGGGGGTTTCGAACGGCTGACTGATGCCGGTGTGTTCTTAGCGGAGTATGCATCTAGGAAACCTAGAACAGGGCCATGAATTTGCCAACCCAAAAAGAGCGGATGGGACTTGCAATCAGCTAGGTCAGTGACAGCTTCCTGCCTGGTGTGGTCACAGCACAGGAAGCCAATTCAGCAAACCCATTGCGCCTGCGACTTACTTGGTGAATGCGACTGGGTACCATTCGTTAAACCAATCGATGCCGCTGTCACCCGGCAACAATGTCGCTAGGCCCAAATCATCTGCCTTCAGAGAATTAACAGATTCCACCGCGCGACAAGCCACGCCCCGCACTGCAGCATCCAACCTCTGAGAAGGATTCCAAATAAAGCCCTGCTGCACATAACCGTGCGGTGATCGCGTTCCTGATCGATCCACGTGCACTGCCTTTGCGCAAACAGAACATCTCCAATCCCAACTCCTTCCCTGAGGAACGCATTGTCGAAATGTTTGCATTGCGCTGTCTTATAGCCGTTATGTATAGACACACCTTAGCCCCAGCTAGGAAAAGAATCCGGGCAACGACCAGCGCCGAAACCGAACTTCTATTTTCTGCTGGAAAGCCTACCAAGGCAATCTGAGGGCTCCCAAAGGTTATGATTTGTTGCAACAAGGGCTTGGGCTCTTGTACGTCACCGCCTGCACACCTGCCAAATCCTGCAATAATCACCGTCCACTTTGCTCGCCTTAGCCTCGATAATCGTCAGGCAACCACAGGAGCCGACCACGCATAAACTGTTAACCTTGCACGTCTTACGCCGTAGATAATAGCATGAAAGCGCTGACGGGTGTAACGGGCCGAGCTGGAGAGGGTGTGACATCTTTGTCGCGGGGTCGTTCCCACCGGGAGTTCTTCATGATTTATCGTCGTGGTGAGGAGTTACGCACGTGTCTTAGTACATTCACAATCCATCTGGCTCAAATGCGTTTGCATTTACTTTGGGGCTTCCGGTTGCACAGGTGGCCAGGGTGCAGCTCGGAGCGGCGTGAGTCCGGCAACGAGCTCTATGCCTTGGACAGTAGGGAGAAGATGCATACGCACATATTCATCTGCTGGCGAGGTAGGAGCACAGGTAATTGAACCATACTTCAAGTTGCTTCTGATCGTGTTGCACCTGACCGATTTTTGCAGGCACCGCAAGAGCTTACAGCATCTACTGTAACGATTAAAGTTCCATATAGGGTCAACTACGGCGAAGTGCTTCGGGTGAGAGATGTTTCGAGGGCGGATGGTAGTTGCCAAACGGTAGACTAACCCCTTGCTTTGCTAGTGGGCATGGGCATAGCACGTATGCAATGTTCATGAATGAGTCCAAAGACTATTGCCATGTGCAGGTTGTTGGCTCTGGCAAAGTTCTCGGAGACTGGTCCGCTGACCGGGGGCTCCAGCTCATATGGACCGAAGGCGATGTGTGGACCGTCCAGGTGCCCATCAGCGCGGGCCACTACGAATTTAAGGTGAGGAAGCTACTTCGTGTGCGCCCATCAAGGGCACCAGGTTTTGGCCCTGGTTTCGGCGCCCGACCGCCTGGGTCGTTCATCATGGCATGACCTCGACGGAAGCAGTGGGGGAATATCACAAACGTCAACAGCGGCAGTCTGCTTTGGGGGATCTGTTTGGGGATCTCCCATAGGCTCCGTGGTCTGAGAGGTGCCTTGCGGTCTCAGGTAGACAGCTGCGTTCTATCTCCCAATGCCCCGCAAACATACCCGCTAGCCCCGCACCATGACGCCTTCCCCTCCGGCATGTCCATGGTCTGCACGGCAGTGCGTTGTATACAACCAGGCGACCAAATCTGTTGCGCGATGGGAGGACGGCGGCAACCGCATTTTGGATATTACTCGAGAGCTTGGCACCTGGGATGTGTCGTGTCAGTGGGGCGCAACCGCCGGTATGACCTCAACGTTTATTCCTAAGCCGCAACCGCCGCTCCCTGCCGCTTCTGAGCTGGAGCCAACTGCAACAGAAGCGACTACGTCAGGAGACGGGGTTGCGGGTACGGCATCGTGCACACACTCCTGGATAGGTTGACCCAGATGGTATAACCCAGATGGGGAGGATCAAAATTTGGCTTTCTTTTGGTTGCCCGCACCTTGTCTGAGAAATGCCGTGTGCAGGGGTTGTGACGAAGTTTGGCCATTGTTTGGAAACAGCGTGGAATTTTACCTGCGCTGTGCGCTGTGTGTGCGGGGTGCCTGCGCGTGTTGGGGTTCTATCGGAAGGCTAGGATGCATTCGATCGATTCTTTATTTCTTAAGTACGCAATACAAACACCATCGTGCACATGACCCCGCAGCTGCGGAGGAGGAGCTCTCAACACTCATGGCGTTGTCCGAAACAGGAATCGATGCGAACAAGGTAGGCCATGCACTTGATCACGATGCGTGGAATCAGACTGCCGCACGCTGGGCACGCGGGTATCCGCTATACGGGTGATTTCCCGCTATACATGGCGCTGAAGTTTTGTGCGATAGTTTCTATAAATCGTCCTTGAAGCGTCACGGCACTGTCGATGCCGTAGCACCGCATGTGGCGTAGAGTAAGGCCCTGTAGTTCCGTGTTGAGTCTGTTAAGCTGCAGTCGTAACGCTTGACCGAGCAGTACCTTGCTCATTTCTCGCTCCCTGCACCTCGCCGATGGCTGCGGAAGGTCGACGACGTGGCCTTGCAAGTTGAAGCCGTGCCGCAAGTGGCGTCCGTGGATGCTCCAGCGCGAAGTAGCGGTGATGCCGCCGACACCGCTGTCGCCGGCACCTCTTCCTCCTCCTCCACCGGCGGCGGCGGCAGCGCTGCACTCCTGCTCTTCGCGACGGTTGCTGCAGCGGGCGCGGTGGCGGCAGTTGCGTTCCTGGGGCCGAGCGGCCTGGACAAGTCTATTCTTGGGGCTCGGGCGGGAGTGGCGGTCAGCACCACCTTGCAACAGTCGTCCCTGGCCGGGGAGCAGGTGCGTGCGCAGCTTCAGTCCCAGCTGGCGACGCTGGCGGGACACGTGTCAGCGGTGCAGCCGACGGTTCAGGCGCAGATGGTGAGCTTGCACGGAAGCGTGGCAGATGGACGGACGTCGCTGCAGCCGATGGTGCAAAGCAGTGTGTCGTACGTGCGGAGCCAGTCGACGGCAGCATCGGGGGATGCATTTGCAAGTACGGTAGAGATGGGGGCGCGGGCATCGGAGCGTCAGGGCTGAAGTTGCGAGTTATGGAGAAGGGGCAAGTGGCCCACATGTACGTATTTTGTTTGGGTGTCAAGTGAGGAGAGACGGCGAGGGGTCTCTTCGCAAACGCCGTGTGTGGAGAATTAATCCACGGAGTTGCCTATACTGGAAAATGCTCTATCGTCAATAGGACGAGGACAACAGAAAGAGTCGCCCATCTTGCTTTTGCAGTGAGTGCGGTGCATTTCGTCCTTTGCGGAGAGAAAATTAGCATGGATTTCGCAGGGCTGCGTTGCTTCATAATTACATTTGATGGAGTGTCAGCGAGTGCAAGTGAGAGCGGTAAGTTAGGACGCTGGGATTGAGAGCGGAATTATGCTATATGTGTATCTATCTGCGTATGTAGACTGCTTCTGTAGCTATATGCCGTAGTGGAATGCCGCTATGGCGAAAAAAGTATAGCCCGAAGGTGGCTTTTTAAGAATACCCAGCAGTGAGCAGCAGAGGCAGTGCACATGGAGGCACGGGGCCTCCTTTTTTTGGCCGCTATGGCCGCAAATGTATTTATTTTTCTTGAAGAGTGCAGATGTCATTTTGTACTTCGGGCCTAGCTTGAGCTGAAGGCTTGGCGTCAGGCTATTCCCTTCCTGTGACGAGACCCGCGAGCAGTACTTCTAGACAGGTATGCTTGCTCTCCACTGCGAGAGAAGTCTGCACGGACGGCCCCCGCACTTGTGCGAACCTTGTAACTAACTTGCAGGCAGAAGGCGAATGCTGATGCCCACGCGGGGCCCATGGGTCGTCCCCCATGCGACGCGTTTCGTAAGCAGTTTGTGCTGTATGCTGTTTTCGTACAGTACTGTACCTGGCTTGTGGCGGTAGCCCTCGTATGTTCGGTACAAATCTCTCAAAGCAAGGAGGTGGATAGCAAACTCGGTAACTTTGCCTCGAATCTTTTTATCACAAAATCACACGGTTACAGTTACTGTAAAAATAACCACAGAAAACTCTCATGTCTAGGGCTCGAGGTTTTGAGAGTGCTTAATCGTACGACTTCTCGGCGGTCCTTGTAAGCTTCTACACAAATGCACGTCAACAGGGTCTATGGTGCACACGAGTAAATTCATAAAGAAATTATTTCGGACATAGTAGTGCATGTATTAAAGACAGCATTGATATCTCCGTCACCGCGTTGAATTTTGGAGCGCTCAGGTCAAGGCTGTAAGGTGTTGCCCGGATCAGGACTGCAGCGATGTCCGATACTGAGAATGATGCCCCTGCCTTGGTAAGAAAAAGGGGACTATCTGCCTGCACTTCCTGCTGTTTTGCCTGCATTTCATGTCCCAGAACCGTCAAGCCTAGCATACGCATTAGCCAGCAAGGTAAAAAAATGCCAACATTTACCTACAGGATAATGGTGATGCTGAAGAAGCAGGTGATGTAATAAGGCCTGTGACAGCAGGCACTGATGTGCTCGAGGATGGAGGTGTCGGTGACGAGTATGGAGATGCTTCGAGGCCCGTAACAGCTGGCGAAAGCAACTTTGCTGAGGGTGATGAGGGGGCTGCCGGAGGGGACGCTGAGCCAGACGCCGAGGACAGGCCACCGTCCGCAAGGCCCGGTTCCGCAAGGCCGCAATCTGCCAGGCCCGATTCAGCCAAGCCCGAGGCGGCGCGGCCGCCGTCCGCAAGGCCGCCCTCGGCATCCCCCGATGCTGCTCGGCCGCCGTCCGCAAGGCCATCTTCCGCCCGGCCGTTTTCTGCGAGACCTGCGTCTGCAAGCGCAACCCCGCCCGCTGATGGCCAGTATGCAGCCCAAGCGGAGGGCGCTGAGGTGGAGGCGGAAGGAGGGGATGGCCCTAAGCCCACTGACGACACTGGGGCAGATGCTACTACGCCGGAAGCCGAAGAAGACAAGGGCGCAGGCGCAGGCGAGGGTTCCGGTGAGGAGCCACAAGGCTCAAACCATAGCCACCACCCTGATGTGATCACCGATATCAACCAGAGCCCCGAGGCGCGTGCAGAGGTGGACGAGATAGCGCAGCAGCAAGCGAAAGAGGTATGCATGTCGAAGGCCGACCAAGGCTTATCGGATAATGTCTTCCTGCAAGCCAAGGTGCATTTACCTTGCCCCCTATCGCTATGTCGACAGCACGGCTTGGAAACCTCATGTAAAGGACAATGCCTTAAATAAAGAGGTTGCCGCGCGGCAGGGGTACACGTCTGCCTTCAGGCATTAGCCAGGGCGGTTGTTGATCTTCACGAAGATGGCTTTCCACCAAACAGGGCATGGCTCAGTACCTGGTAGCCCCTGCAACTGCCCAAGCTAATTTGGGGAATCGATTGCGCGCGCAATGATTCGTGCTTTGCCCTGCTCTGTGTAGGCCATCCCTGACGCTACATGGCAGTAAGCATGCCCCGCATACTTTGTAATGCAGGTAATTCGCTCGCGCCAGAGCAGTGCCTGCAGCGTGCGTAAGGCTGGTGAGGAAGAGAAGCGCCGCAGCTCCGCCAGCAACACCAGCGTCAGGTCTGGACCCCCCTCACGGCAGGGCCCAGCGGAGTCGCTGGCCAATATGGCGATGCAGCCGCCCTCGCCCTCCAAGATCAAGACTGGACCCTGGCTTACGGGAACCTACCGCCTGCCGAAGTCGGTGAGTGGAACGGCGCGGTCACATGGCACAGGGTTCCTCCGCGGAGAGAAGATTCCGGAGGCAAGAGCTCGACCCATTTAACAGAAAAAGGGCAAGAGTGAAGTGTGTCAGGTCGCCACCGCCTGCAGCTGGTTTTTGCATGCAAATATGGTGTCTTGGGGGGCCCCCAACATTGAATTACCGACTAGTCGTTCGCTTGGCATTGTAGGGCAAAATCATCACCGGCGAGGAGCTGTGCGATGCTCTGGAACGGATGACCAACGCCTACATCGACAAATACACTAGGGAAAAGGGCCCAAGCCTCACCAAAGAGATTGCGCCAGGTGCCGCCACTGTGTTCAACACGAAGAGGCTGAGCCAGGTATAGTTACAAGTTGGGCACAAAGAGGTTGAGCGTAAAGCGATGCTGTGAAACCATGCTGTGGCATGTTCTAAATCGTGTTCGACGTCGACGTCGTAGAACGTTTGCTGAATGTTCAGCAAGGAGTCTAGCTTTGCAGTGGTTATTCAGTCTCGGCATCGGCCGCATGTCGCACAAAGCGCGTCTGTATAAGCGACTGGACCCAAACGAATGCGATTTGCCACGTCTTGCCACTGCCGCGCCTTCCACCGTCGCCACGCATCGGCAAGACACTGCAACAGACCCATCGGCAAGAGACGTGAAGTACATTCTATGTGAGATTTCCTCTCTGCAGGCCTCGTACCATGACCCGGCCTATGTTCCGGACTCCTGATGCCGTGCAGGACGAGTACGACACCATGATTGCCCGCCTGTATAAGCCGAAGGACCGCAATGTGGCGGACGGCGACCGAATCCAGCTCATCACGCTCCGATTTGGAGACGACGGCCAGGAGCAATGGGTCCCAGTCAAGACGGTGAGATAGCCCTTAGCTGCGTCTGTTTCTGTGCATTGGTTTCCATTTGGGTTTCTTGCATCTTCTCACCTGCTTGCTCAATTATGTGCACCTTGGACCTGGTTTCGTCCATATGTACACTTCACCGTTCCCTAGGTCCCTGGATTTCGCTGACATTCAGCTGTGAACCCCGGCCGATAGGTGAGCGCCGAGGAGCAGCAGGCGTACATGTGCGAGTTGTACCAGCGCTGCTTGGACAACCGTAAGAAGACGAAGGAGGATTTGGCGGCCAAATACCTGAAACCTTTGGGTCCTCCCCGCAAGAAATGAAGTGTAGATGCATGGTCCTGGAAAGATGACTTCGGTGACCTGTCCATACAGGACTTTTCCAGACTGTGCCACGAAGAATGTTTTTTTCTCCTTTCGTCGCTTGCAGAGATGGTCTGTTTTGGATACGGTGTCGAAAATCACATCGTTTAGGAGCGGCGTTACATATTATGGATAGCGGAATAACCCTAGTTACGGTGGAGGTGACATGAGGTGTGTCGTACGAACTGGGCAAATCCCCGTGAGGAAGCGACTAATGGCAGGTGGCACGTCTCTGTGTCTGAAATGCAAGGACTCTGGCGACCTTTGTGATGCGCCTAAAGTATGGCGCTGAAACTGTTAATTGTGCGTGTAACGACCTACATTGAAGCAAATGTATCGTACCGGTCGGGTACGAGCTGGCAGTCAGGTTGCTCCTCCTTCACAGTTTTCCTGTATAGAAAGACTGCGTTAGAATAGCAACTGTTTTCACTCGCTGCTAGTTTGTTAGCGGGTCCTCGCCAAAATGTTGTCTAGAGCCCTGTTGCTTGCTGGGCGCCTTGCCTCAGCTGCAAGCTCACAATCCTCAGCGAGCACACTTTCACGCGCTGTGCAGCCACTAAGCTTACTGCTTCAAAAATACAACTTCGCCACGAACTCGACCGACATTTTCAACGTGCACAAGGACACACCCGAGAACAATGCGAGCTTAACGTTTGACTTTACTGAGGCAAGCTTCTCTAGTAGCCAAGAATTACGAAAAAGTGGAGCTTTCGTCGCGGCATCAGCGTACCACAGTGCCACACCTTACAGCACAATGTGGCCCTGCTTGTAGGCGAACTACAAGATCGTCAACGAAATTATAGCGCGGTATCCGCCAAACTACAAGGCGTCGGCTATCATTCCGGTGCTGGATGTGGCTCAGCAGCAGAACGGCGGGTGGCTCAGCCTGGCAGCGCTCAATCGTGTTGCAAAGGTGCTCGATATGGCACCGATTCGCGTGTACGAAGTTGCTACCTTTTACACCATGTTCAACCGCACAAAAATCGGCAAGTACCATGTGCTTATCTGCGGCACAACCCCTTGCAGGTGAGCGGCCACGCCTGCTGTGCGCATGGCGTGGGGAGTGCAGAATATGGTGGGGAGGAGTGTTGCACAGGACCATGTTTAGAACACATATGGCAGAACGTATGGGGCCAGGGACTCTGGCCCTTGGTGGAAAGCGGCGGCTTGTGGCTGTGCCAATTACCGCCACGTGTTGTTGTGGTCCTAACGTTCAGACCTGGGGATGAACCAATTGTGTTGTGTACGCCCATGACACCTTTTGCCTGAGCATCTGTTCTCCAGTCCCTTACACCATAACCGCTCCCACGCTAATCGCAAGTCCATGTCATGCAAAATGAGACCTCATGGCCATGCTGTCTTCCCCCATACGGTTTCCCTACTTACATTCCATGCCATAAAACCGCCTCCTATGCCCTAGCCCTTGCTGCGTGCCGCACCTGCGTGCGCAAGCCCGCACCCCACCCCGCCCACTGCCCACCATCCTCCCGTCCAGGCTCCAAGGTGCTCAGGGCATTGAAGAAGCTGTGACAAAGCACCTGGGTATCCACATTGGGCAGACCACCCCCGACGGCTTGTTCACACTGGGTGAGATGGAATGCATGGGCGCCTGCGTCAACGCGCCCATGGTGGCCATTGCGGACTACACCAAGGTGGGTCAGAGCTGAGATGGCAAGAGGAAGGCTGGGCAGATTTGGCACGGCGGGCTGGGATGGGAAGGGAGTCAGCGGGAAGGAGGTGAGGTGAGATGAGGTGGCTTGGTTGCGGTGCCATACGCGCTATGCGGTTGCGATGGAGGCCTGGGGCTGGGCGTTGCTCGGATGGGGCACAGTTCATCTTTACTTGCTGCTAGGGCTGAACCCCATGGATTGAGGGCAAGTTAGCACACGCAAATTTTGTGGGTTGGGCGGTGCAGGGGCTGGGGCTGGGGGGATAAGGAGGGTTTATAGTAGAATGGGCCCGCTGAGTCCTCTTGGTTGGGGCCAGCAGTGGTACGACAGTCCAGATGGCGAGAAGCTGAACTCTCCGCATACAGGCACACAATCCGCATACAGGCGCACATGGCATGGGTTCAGCTTGCGATGGGGAGCACTGCGTTAAGTGTTGGACCGAGCGCGTTCTCCTTTTCATCATCCTTACTGGGGGGCCACAAGCAGTCCAGCATGGCGGCAGGTACTTCGAGCGATGTGCACAGCACCAAGCATTATGTTGGGCCGTTCGCGGTTTAGCAAGTTTTTATCTGCAAAGCCTCTGAAGGAGAGGTGTGCGGGCCGTGGTATCAGCAGGGCGGGGTAGGCGCTTCTTGCTCCGGTCATGATGACGGAGTGGGTGCCGAAGCGTATGTGCCCGGTAGGCGCCGCTGGGCATGCTTGTGGGCCTGGGAAAGCTGAAAGCTGCCTTGGCGAGCACCGCATCACATCCCCCTCCGGGCCTGATCTATGGATTGGCCTCACAACTCATTGTCGAGCGCCGCACGGCGCGCCGCCGTTGGTCTCCCACTGTCCCCTTCGGTGTGGCTCGGGGGAAGCTAACAGGTCGCCAATCCGCGGGCTGTTCTCTTTCCCATCCGCAGGGTGTTGAGGGTTTTGAGTACACCTACTACGAGGACCTTACGCCGTCGGACATTGTCGGCATCCTGGACACCATCAAGAAGGGAGGCAAGCCCAAGGTGCGGTTCTTTGGACATACATGTCCCTAGGGTTTGGCTGGGTCGGGGGCTATCCTGGCAATGGGGGCTATTGCAGAGGCGGCGCGTATGGAGCCGCGAGAAGTCCTGGTGATCCATGCCCTCTCCGTGGGACACCACTTTGTTGGCACCGGTATTCCGAACCTACTTCAGGAAGCAACACGGCAGCCGCACAATGGCCCGCCAATTTTCGCGCTTCCCTTCTGTAACCCTTTTTCCGCCTCCCCGTTGCATCGTTATTGATATTCCGGTAGTAAGCATGATGGTAGGCAAGGAGCTGCTGCTTATAAAAGGACGCCGTTGTTGCGTCTTCCTTACCATTCCGGCCCCCCAACCCCACTGGCCCCGCTTTCGAACCCGCAGCCTGGGTCGCAGCACAGGAGCAAAGCTGAGCCAGCGGGCGCTGTAGTGGGAGACAAGTGGGTGCCCAAGGACGGGACCGTGACGTTGGCCGGCCCACTGCGTGGACCTTACTGCCGCGACCTGAACGCGGTGTAAGAAAGGGGGGGCCAGCGTGATGCGGGAGCAGCCTAGAGCGGCGGCAGTCACAGCGGATCCGCATGCCTGGTGTAGCATGTGGCAGCTGTGTTGTCGCCGATGTGGCTGTTGTGAATCTCCAAGTGGTGCGGTCGAAAGGAGATGGAGGAGGGAGAAGCGGCTTAATGCTTTGTTGTTGGCTGTCGCTGTACTGGCATGGAGCTTGGTGTGGATGCTTTGGAATTTTTAGGTGCAAAGTGGGTCGTAGCATAATATGTTTTGGTGTGGATCCCCGAGTTTGGATGGCTGCAAACGGGAAAGAGATGCGAGTGTCCGTGTGCCGGGGAGGTTATGTTTTCCTTGCACCGAGTTAAGGGGATGCGGGTCTTGCGGCTTCTTGATGCGCGCGACTTATTGCTCGCCCTTGCGTAGACAGCCAAATGTGAAGCTGCGCTCTTGGGGTATGGGTTTAAAGGGCAGGGCGAGGTGGGGCATAGTAATGTCACGCGAAGAACGGACGTTGAGGTGCCGTGCTTTCGCCGGATGAGCCACCCAAATTTTACTTTTAATGTTCGGATGGCCCACCACGTGTGCGAACGCTGTAACAAGCTTACACTGCATTGCTTAGATGTTGAGGAAAGGGTGAGAAATTATGCTAACTGGCTGGCGTGGCGACAGCATGCGTGCTCAGCTTCGGGTGCCATGCCGTAACTGGGCGGCCTTGTAAGAATGCGACATCCTAAATTCGCAAACGATATCCATACATACATACGTTAGATATAAAACCATGCAATATTAATGCTTCGCTAACAAGTCTAAGGGTCATCTAGTGACGTCCTAGGCTTGACTTAAAGCAACTGTCGCCACAATGAAAGATTACGCCAGGGAAGAGAATGGAGGACTTATTGTGATGGCGTCATGTACAGACGAGCGCTTCCCACCAGAGAACATGCTAGATGGCAAGGACAACACTTTCTGGGTTACCACGGGCATGTTTCCACAGGAGTTCGTGTTGAAACTGGAATCCTGCATCAGGGTCTCGAAGATAACAACGTTATCGCTGAACGGCAAGTCTTCAGGCTAAACGCGCCACCAGCAGCCCTCCAAGCTCACATGCCGCTGATACGGAAGGCCTTCTATCGCGCAGTCCGTAAGCTTGCGGTAGAGAAATGCGACCAGGACAAGCCTGATCACTTTGAGAAGGTCTTTGAAGTTGGTAAGCAGTAAGGTGCTGTTTGAGGGTAGGGAGGCAGGTTACCACCAGCTCACGGGCTGGTCCCGTTCCATATTCAGAGCTGGCCAACCGAGGAGACCGCCTTCAGACGGAGGTGCACCAAGTAAATATCCGAGCAAAATACCTGAAGTTCATGGTTCTACAGGGTCACGGGGAGTTCGCCACCGTGAACAGGTAGGTGTTGCCACATGCAGTGTGCGTGTACACTGCAAGACGCGATCAGGGAGATACGCGCCTGGGACGGCACAAGTTAGGATGCGGCTTGGTCAATAACGTGGGAGATGCTTTGCTGCCGCAGCCCGCGCTGGTACCCAGACACATGTCCGTTGCGGCATGGTGCCTGTGCTAACCCGTCTGCCTCCTCCAGAGTCTCAGTGGTCGGTGGCGACGACGATGGAGGGTACGACGACACGGGTTACGGCAGCATGCAGCGCCAGGCAAGCTACGGCGGCAGCGCAGCGGCGGGCTTCCCAAGCTCGCGCCCGGAGAGCAGCGCGGCTGGGGCCGGTGGTGGCGGCGGCGGCGGATTTGATGACGAGTTTTAAGTGAGAAGCCCCTGTACGCGGCCGAACGATTCGGCATGAAAGGTCGGGGGCAGTCACTAAGCGGTGCGGACGACCGGATGAATTGTACCCAACCTACCCGGTAGGGGTCGGGTCGGGAAGTAACTTCCAGCCAAGGCCAGGCGAGTGTAAGGCCTGGCAGAAATACACGGAAGAGCTGCCGGATGTGTGTGCTGTATTGGCGCCACACAGTAGCCCCACCGCCTTGTCGGGTGTGGTGACGTGATACACCTACGTGGGCGCAGCCTAGACACGTGTGTATAGTGCGTAAGGAAGGACTCGGAGGACACAGCTGATTCAGCCGAGCGGGACACCGCGCGGGGGCACAGCTGACTCAGCCGAGTGGGGTTTCTTGAGTTGTGGAAGAGCTGTTCCAGGCGAAGGGCGGGTGGGCGGAGACACTCCCCGGCTGGCGGGCGCCCCGCCCCTGCCAACCCACATCCTAGCGGGGCCCAGTGGGTGCCAAGCGGGTGCGGCACCTAATAAGATATGTGCAGATGTGCGCTTACTGACACGCAGTTCCGTTTTGCCTTCTGGATGGATTTCATCCGATTATCTCTCCGGCCATCGTTGGAGCTCTGTCCCTTCCTGTCTTCCTCGACGGAAGGTGGCCAGGGTAGGTGGAAGGGATATAAGGTGCTCAGTTGATGCAGTCCTGATGGAGGGAACGGATTAATCAACCCGATCACCGTGGGGGATGCCCCACGGGCCCTGACGCCCTGCACAGGGCCCTCTCATGTACATAGTGTTCCGGTGGGCCGCACTGGGGTGATATGCGGCTACTACTGTGGCAGGGGATGTTAACTGTGGTGGTGACCAACTAAAATTGAGGAGTGATGTCATTTATGGCGCGCGGCGCGGTATTGTATAATGCAGCAAGTTGGTTCATGGAGGCATAGTGGTTAGTGGTTAGTGGGGGAGCAGATTCACGGGCGAGGCTTGGCGAGTTGCCTAGAGGACGGCGGACAGCAAGTGGGTGATGCAGCACGGGCCACACTTGCGTAGGCTATCGCCGAAAGTAAGAGCCTGGGATGCCGAAGTGCACGGCCCCCCCTTTAAAAGAGACATATCAAACGTGCACGGAGCAGGCTTGCGCTGCAATGATGCCTTTCCTGTTACCCAGGGGGTCAGGGGATCTCCCAATGGACGCTCCATTTGTCCTCCTTTTCAGACCGTAGATTAATGAGCTACAGGTGTCCTAGTTCGCCTTCACTGAACCGTATAAGTCTTGGCCTGGCCTGGCAGCTATTAAACTCGCGATCCCATCACACGACGCGCCTCGCCCAAAGCCACTGCAAGGACGAGGCCCAAGACTAGTTTAATAAGGCCTTCGCTAGATGGGCAGCGGTTGAGGTTACTCAGTTGGGCCACAGGCCGACACGCTTCTGACCACGCTAACAGGCCACACGCGCCTGCCGCTGCACAGCCCCACCTTTCAAATCCGCTATGTGGGGGGCGTTATTAAGCAACATAGCTTTGCCGGTAGCCTTCATCTCTCAGTCCGATCGCACACGCGACACTCCAATTTGGATGGCCAATGCGATGGCACAAAGAGGACAACGCGTAACGCAAGACTCACCTCCTACACAAGCGCCCTCTCACCCTCCACCCACGTAACAAGGAGAGATCTCCGCAACCAGCTACTTATATCTCGGCTCAGCTCACATTCGTTAGGAATTGCCCCATTCCATTGTCCCGCTTATCGATGAACTGATGCACCTGCTCCGCCAACTAATTCTGATTGCCATCTGCACGTGCTACGGTCGACCACATTGACTTGCCCGAACCTCCCTGACTCCCCCCGCTGCAGCTCCACACACCCGTGACGACGAATCATTGGGGTTCGCAGCCCCAACAAAACAGAATAGCCATCACTCGACGCCTCCCTTCTTCAACTCTCAACTTCAGCTAGGAATCTGGACAACAAATATTCACGCCATTCCCTTGTAACGGCAACTCCGTGCAGCTCGCAAATCTGCCTTTCCGTCCACATGGATTACCTAAACCACAGGACGCAAGCAAACAGGGGACCAATCCTGTCACGACGACTCTCCACCCTCACACGCAAAATAAATGGCTGGGAACCAAAAATGGCTGGGAAACAAAGGGCTGGGAACCAAAAGCCTGCCTTACTCTGACAAACATTTTGCGCTCAGTCCTGCTCAGGCAATTGCCGCGGTTAAGCACTGTGTCCAGCCGCCCGTCTGTCCGCCCTGGATTTGCCGCAAAACCCAAATCCCCGTTCCTAATGCCACCCCAACCCAGCCCTCCACGACCACAACCCTACAGTCTCTTGTTACCGACTCTAGCTCGGACCCCCCAGCTCGTACACCCGCCCGCACGTGCTGCACGCCGCGAACCGCGCGGGGTGGCCCGTGGCGGCGCAGTGGTCGCGATGGTGTTGCAGGTTAGTGGCGGGGCGGGCGGTGCAGGTGGGGTTGCCGCAGCGCATGAGTCCCGGCAGCTGCAGCTCCCCGATGTGGCTGCGGCAGTCCGCGCAGGGACTGGGGGAGGAGTGCCACAGCCGCAGAGCCCGGAACAGCTGCCCCGCCACTAGGACGTCGCTGCGGTCAACGAGGTGGCGGAGGGCAGGGCAAGCAAGTGCGGGTGCCGGCGCAAGTGCAGGTGATGAGGACCGGGTTCCAGGGAGGCAGGGATTGTTCCCGCTAACGACCGTGGACTCCATGGAATGTGTGTGTGCAATCCAGGTACGGGCCGAGAAGCTGTGGCCAAGATGGCTCCTAGGTGACTTGGTGTGCTATATAAACTGCCCGTCATCCTAAACCCTAAAACCCTAAACAAGATGCCCTCGCATAATTCTAAGCAAAAAAGAAGTGAGGGGACATTCAGCAGGTCGGATGCAGATCGGCCGAGGCGGCGTCGGTCTCATTTCCAGTTGCGGCTCTCTGGCTGCCCGCGGCTATGCACACACGCAGGCCCCGCGACTCACAGGCTGGCGTACTTGAGCTGGTGGCTCGTGAGCTGTGGTGCCGCCCAGTTGGATCTGCTGATGGCCTTGGACTTGTGCAGAGGGAGACCCAGCACCAGCTGAGACAGGCGGGACAGGCCGAAGCCGTGGTAACCCAGACTGGCCGCCACCTCCTGCACGCGGGAACCCATGCAAGTGGGCACAGGGAGGGTGGGAGGGGCTTGTGAAAGGAAGACAGAAAGGGCCCAGATGAAAGACGGGTCAGGGCGGTGGAAAATCCCCGCCTGGAAGACAGGCGCGGGAGGAAGTTATGGTAATGGAGCGGAAGCGATTCGCCAGCCTCAATAGGCAAGCGGCATACAGTACATCTACAGGTCTGTGTATAGCACCGGACACCCAGACACCCTCCTCCCACTCCCTTCTCGTCTCTCCTCGTCCCAAACCACCCTCCCCCCTCCCCTTCTCCTCCCATTATCCCTCCCGTTGACCCCCTCCCCCTTGTCGCAAACACTGCTCTCTTTCGCTCCCTCTCCTCCCCGGCCCTCCTGCACCTGCAAGTCTAAGAAGCGACGAAAGTCCGCACGCCCTATCCCAAAGGTGCCTTGCATCTTTAACTCATCCGCTGAGTCCCACCCAAAGCCCAGCAGCACGTGCGCAGGGTCCTTTAAAAAGGACCTCAGCGCGGGCGGCAGGTCGTAGCCCATACAGCAGGTACGAACCACCACACACACAGACGCGGAGGACAGCTGCAGAAGGGCCACGGGAGACACGCGGCCCGACACGGTTTCAGGACGCCATTCCAGATCGATCGCGATTAGCCGGTCCTGCGTGTTGGTAAGGGCCGGGGAAGGGGCAGTGGATTATTGGCGACCCAGCCGGTGAACTCAGCAAGCGGACTCAGCGGAGATCGAAAGGGCCGCCCAGCTCAAAACATATGCATCTACCCGGGAGGTGGGGGCCTGTGGACCAGCTGGCCCCAGCGACATGACAGACCCAGCAGCAGCAGTAGCAGCAGCGGCGGCGGCATATTCAGTGGCCATGGCAACACGTGGTTGATACCCAAGAACCTGTATCCGGAACCTGGTAAACCCCCTCCAGCCGCACCTGCATCCCCGCCTTCAGGTTGCGCAGGGCCTCCCCGAAGTGGCGCTCGTTCTCCACCACGTACGTCACCACACCCTATGCCATACGGCAACAAGGGGACATGGGCCAATTTGGTGAGGCGTCCCCCTTTCAAGGGACGATTGATAGTAGGACAGGTGCTGTGATTGGTAGACGCTCCAGCCTCAATCAAAATACACACCGGCCGAAGGTTACGGTGCCAGAAACAGAGCAGGACAAAGTCCCCCCGCAGAGGAAATGGAGAGGGAAGGACTGCGGGGACCTCCCAAGCCCATTCCTCGCTCGCCATGTCAAGGTCTCTCCCCCACCCGGCAGCCCCCACCCAGCAGCCCCCAACAGGCCATAACCCACCCGCCGATACACGCTCGCACCTGCGGCAGTAGCAGCTTCTCGTAGCCCTTCGCCAGGCTGAAGCGCTGCAGCGCCCCTGGAGGCTCGTCAAATACGGCCTGCGGAAGACGGGGCCGCAGTGCAGTGTCGTGAAGTACCAAATGGCAAGAGGGAAAGGAAAGGGCCAATCGGGGTGGAGCAATATTTGTACCGTTGCCAAATCACAGCACCCCATAAACGGTTCGACTGCTAGCCTCCTCTCATAACCGAAAGGGAATGGAGACTCCGCTAACTGCCTCCATACACTTCCTAGCGCCCATGATAACGTGGTGCGGTGCCTGCGGGGCGGGACGCGGCCGGACCTGCCAGTTGATCGCGGGTAGGGTGACCTCAAAGCCGCACCACGGCGGGTCCATTGTTGCAGCGGTTCCAGGACCTGCAGCCGCCGCCGCCGCCGCCGCAGCCGTCACTCCCGCTGCTGCTGCTGCTGCCAGCTGCCCAGGCTCCGGGCTGCTTCCCCCACCGTTGCTGCCTTCCTCTGCCAATGAAGATCCGGAGCGGGCCCGCTTAAGTGCCGCAGCAGTGGCTGCCGCCGCTTCCTGCAGTCGTGCCTTGCAGCCCCGCGCTGGGTCGCACGGCGGCACCGTCGTTTTGGCCGCCTTAGGCGGCGGCTGCATCACCGCCGCTGCGGACACCGTCAGGCCCACACCCAAGCTGCTCGTTGCGGCCGCCGACAGGCTCAGGCTGGCCTGCTTCGGCGGGGGCCCCGGCACCTGCAGAGCCGGCCGCGACGTGCCTGCAATACCTGTCACCGCCCGTGATGGCCGCGTCCGCTCATGCTGCGAGGCCGCTTTAGCTTCTGCCGCTGCCTCCAGGCCCGCACCCAGGCTCGTTGCAGCCGCTGACAGGCTAGGCTTTGCTCGCTTCGGCGGCGGCCCCTGCACATTCGGATGCGACGCGGCGGCAGTGCCCGCCATCAAACGTGATAGCCGCGCCTGGTCACGTTCCAAGGCCGCCTTGGCCGCGGCCTTGCCGGCTTTCCCGAACACCACGGCAGCCGCTAACGAGTCCACTTGCCGCTGTAACGCCGATAGCCCAGTGGACACATCGGTATGACTCGCTACCTCAGCAGCGCTACCACCGTCGTCGTCACCGGTGGTGTTACCCGTGGCCCCGACGGCGGCGGCAGCGGCGGGCACGCTAGGTCTATTGTCGGCTGTCGTGCCGTCGTCAGAGGAATTACCCTCGACGACGGCGCTGCAGGACGATAGGTGGCCGCGACCGCCGCCGCCGCCGGCGTCTCTGCAGCTGCAGCCGCAGCTGGGGCCCTTGACTGCAGTGGCAGGAGTAACGCTACCGACGGCATACAGATTGGATGCCAAATGTAGGCAGCATGCAGGAACGCAGGAGTGCCGTGGTAGATGCACATAGGCGGAAGCTAAGGCATAGGGGAGGTGGGGATTCAGGTCCGGAGAGACAGCCCCCCCCAGACGGGCTGCTAGCAGAGCCTCTGCAGCTCGCCGCTTCGCGCTCTTGCCACCGAGCGAGGAAAGTGTTTGAGTGCCATCTTCGTGTTGCTGGCCCTGTTGATGCTGTGTGTGACGAGGTAGCTCCTGTTGCTGGTCTTGAGCTTCTCGTCGGAATGGGTTGCGGCAGGATTCGTCACTTTGAGGATGAATGTAGTCTGTACTCAAGGACTCGCACAGATTCCTTTCCCGTTTTTTGAAAGTAGGAAATGCTCCTGCCGCCAGCCCGGCGGCTGGAGTGTGAGGACAGCCTATTTCCCCCTTCCGATATTGTCCATCTGAGCCCCTGTGCAGATGGGCCCCATATGAACATGATGGCTGCGAGTCATCGCCATCACCCTCAAGGCTGGTATGACCTGATTCCCGGGCGCGGCGAACACGCCCCGCCGCGCGTAAGGGTGGGCGCATCGTCGTCATGCTTAAGAAGGAAAGCTCACGACACAGGCCTGGTAATGAGAGCGCTGGCAGCCCCTGTCCAGGGCCCCTAGAAGCTAAGGATAGAGCGTTCCGCGGCTGCTGGGCTCCTGCCGATGGCACAAACGATGTAAAGGACCAGTTGGCCAAGATAGAACATGCCCCTCTTATGGCGTTCGATGTTAACTTATGCGTTCTATGAAGCCAAAAAAGGGCCATGAACGGCTCCCCAGGCCTGCAAAGGCAGGCGGCGCGCACATTACTTGCCGGCGCAGAGGAGTTACGATATCTTAAGACAGATACTTACTATGTGCATCTGCGTATCAAGGCGTGCCGCGATGTTGCTAAAAGCAAAAAATCGTTTAGTAATAAACTGCCCGGATACTGTACTACTTAGGATGACAGAGGAAATATCAATATCCCTTGATCCATTGCGGTTCGCTCTGGTTGCCAGCGATGCAGTAATGTGTCGTATCGTCCGTTAGGCCGTTGATGCTCTTGGACTCGGAGGCCGGAACTCAAGGATGAGGCATAACAAATCTTGTAGTGCAATGCTGTTCCAACTAATTCAATTAGCGCTGTGAGGAGTAAACTCAGGCGCCGAAGTTGGCAAGAGGACTGTCCGAAAAGTTAAACCTGAAAATGCTACGCAACCTGATCCAACTTAAGCAATAGACTCATCGGTTCGGCATATGGAAGTACCAATTTAATTGGCCCGAGTCCTAATCTCCTGAACTAAACTAGTCGACGTGCACGCCAAGGCATGCTAGCCGCCTTGCGTGCTTTGTACATGCGCCAACCTAATAGTTATACTACCCTTACGCAGCCTATCACTCGTGCAAGCACCTGACAGTCAAAACCATACGCAACAACTACTCCATGTGCACTCCAGGCAGACACGTCGCTTGAGAGTCGGATCAGCTATTAACGCAATGCTCCGGCCCACGTAGCGCGTCGTGTGGGTTGAGGGGCCCAGCCGCTTGCTTCCCAGAGGAAAGCGCTGCACCGCTCGGCGTCCATCAAACAGGAAACAACAGCCCGTGGCCGACTCATGTCATCAAGCTTTGTGATCTGCGACCTGCTGATGATCTGGGGAGGAAAACAGACGGCACGTGTCTTGTTTTTTATGAATGGTTTGAGGGACAGTAGCTGGTCGAAGCGGGAGGCATGGCTACAGCAACCCTACTGCAGCCTATGCCGGGTTTATCGATGGTTTAGCCCGCAGCCAATGGTCCGGAATGAACGATCCTCTGTGCTGTGCAAACTTCCTGGATTTGGTAGCTTGAAATGCAATGGCTCCCAGATTCAGGGATGAGGAACTAGAACCCGAAATCTCCCACCTCTCACACTACGTATCTGCACGGTCGCGCCCGAGCCCCCGGTTGGGTTGCAGGTAATCCTGCACATCCCCACAAGGCATAGGATTCGGTCGAGGTTTTAAGTCCTAGAAAAGAAAGCAGATCGAAGCCAGGGCGCACTGGGAGGCATTTACACAGGGGCATCTCCGAATTGTTACGTCCAGGAATGTCAAAATTGGCGAGACTGCATCTCGAACTCCCAACTCTGCGTTCACCTGCCTCTCTTGTGACATCACATCATAGCACATTATACCCAGCCCCGAGAAATGCACTATTGCCACAAGAACACTGCCACGCCCTGAATAATTTCCATCCATGCAAAAACGAAAAGGCCAAGAGTAAAGAGGGAATCGGATGAAAAGGCAATCGCTTACTTCTGCTAGCGGCAACTGGTTTTGCCTTAATATTGCATCTACAGGCCACCCTCTCGAGCCAACTATAACCCTTATCTTGCCAATCCAGGTGCAATCGATCTCCTGAAGCTCCATCCGTAGTATCATTTCCTGGACCAATTGCTTAGGAAGTCATTCCTTGGGCTCATTCCTTAGGATGGACTGGACCGATTGTCAGCACAACGGACAGCAGGGCTTAACTCATACTCGGACTTCACAAACCTAATCCTAAACTTGCTCCTCTCCATCCAGGACAAAGAGGAATGTCTATTTCGATGATTCCACGTCTACACTAATCATTCAAACACCGCAGAAGCAGGCGAAGCACAACCCTGCGAACAATCCAGCATCACGCCATGTACGATAGAACCGCAGCTCTTAAATGGAAAACATCAGCTATGATCAAATCTCCGACTGCAGAGTCAGGACACTCGAACAACACTGCGCAGCACGACTGTATAAGCGCGGTGCATAGCGTTAGGACACGATAGCCTAAGCACACCGCCGAACTACTTTACCGCTGGTATCGCCAGCGCAGCCATACAGAATGGCCGACGAAACCCATTTCCCCCAAATCCAGCCAAGGGCGCAGCAGTGGGTGATAGGCAGGCATCGCCGCAAGCGCCCTATCGCACGCACGCATTGCATGCAAGTGTGGCATCAGAGTAACGGACACAAGCAGGCCATAACCGTCCCATCCGCGCCAGCACAGGCTCACTTGCGCAGATGGCCGCACAAAGCGACCTTACGAGACGCTGAGCAGAAGCGCCGCCCCATCCCATCCAAACCGGACCAAGTCGACCAAACCCAGCGCTCCTGCCGAAGAAAACCCTAAAGGCGCAACGCACACGAGGACAAGCATGTCGGAACCGACAGACAACAACACAGCGTGCGGTCCTGTGACATTGCCGCTCCCGGCGCCCATCCGCCTGATACTGCCTCAGGTTGAGGATGGGGATGGTCCTAAAAAACGAACTAGTAGGTACCTCATCGATTGTCTGCTTCGTCTCATTTACTATATCCACAGCTCAAGTTCTGTACAGCGCACAAACGTGCACGACCTGCCGTTCCCACCCAACGCAATTAAGTAATACGTAAGTACATGCATAGATACACACACACGAGCACTGCAGCCAGCCTCCATCAACGCGACGCCAAACAGCATCACACGCGAGCAACCCGCCGCCACAAACCTTGTTGGCTGCCATTCATCCGCCTTGCCTGCTGGACGCAAAGAAGATAGCAGCATCAACCTACGCTAATCCCACCGCGGGCCGGATCCACCATGGAAGTGGTGTTTAGCGGCTTCCACCAGAAAACATGATGGCATTTGTGGCAGGGCGGTTAGCTCAGGGCCGTCCCGACAAATAGCATCCAGTGTTATTCTCTTCAGGGGAGCCGCAGGCCAGGCCACTCCCGATACCAAAGTTCTCAGGACTCTTCCATCGGCAAGGCGGAGGGCGCATGACAAGAAGAAACACCGCACGGGGCTGCACGCGGGGCATGAGGTGCTGCGCCAATGGGTGGGCATGGGGGTTGCAGGACGAAAGATCCACACGAGCTGCCCAAACAGCGGCATCCCTGGATGCACACTGCCACAATGCTCGTCTGGAGTGCAATCCATATAGCAACTCTCCCGCGTCCTAGGTGGCCAACAGCGGCGGCACAACCCCCAACCTCGCCACAGACCACAGCAAACGTCGTGCCTGCTAACAAGCGATATGTTACGATTACCTTTCAGCTGCAGCTGGTGCTCACAGCTAAAAGCGGAAACAAAATCTCCACGTCCGCGTACCACCTTACGCCTGCCAGAACGTCAATACACAAAACCGAGAAGCCCCAAGACCACTGCAACAACAAGCAAGTGAGCGAGCGCAGCACGAGGCGCACTCCGAGGCGAATACCAGGCCCCAGGGTCACCCCACCTTCCTGCAAACGAAGCTACCAAGGGTTCGGTGCCGAGCAAATATAACAAACAAGGCCTCCCCCAGGACTCGACCATGGCTGGGGCCGCTAAGCAAGTGCCATGTCAGCTATTAACCTTCTCAACTCAATTGCCAGGATGCGCCTGCGCGCCCCGATGCCGCTGGGGCTTGAATAGGAAACACCGAAAAACAAACACCATAGCGAGTTAAAAAGAACTCAGCGGATGGGTTCGTATGTATGCGCTAGGAATAAAGACAGTCATGAATATCATTGAACGTGTATTGAAGCTGTCGAGGCACGGCTGTAGAGGCATCTCATGATCGATGCGCCCCTTGAATCCCTTCTAGCAAAGCCGTACAACCAGTAAGGACTTGTTGCCGGATCATGGAATCGAGCCACCAGTATGTAACCAACCCTATAATTTCCCTAGCAGTACAGCGCGGGCCCACGCCCAAGCTCAAGCAGCAGGCGCACGCGTGAAGCTCATCAAGCCAGTACCTAGTGATAAAACAAGAGCTAACAATTGTACGCCGAGGGTACGGCGCACACTAGATGAGACCCACCTCTTCTTCCAGAGCCAAAACCAATATGACACAATCCCATGCAACTATGTGGGAGAGAGAAGACCTCTTCCTGTCCTCGCACCAAGCAAGACAGCGAACCCAAAGGGGGGCCCTACTCGGCCCAGCCCAATCGGTTCAATGGCTTCAGCAATGCGTACTTCCACGAGGCTGAGCCGCTTTTGCATGTGCGCGCCAAAAATGTGTACAATCTATAAGCCAAGGCACAACAACAATGTGTGGTTCTTGACGGGGGTGCGTGCGGCTGGCGAGGCCCGTGGCACTCCCCTACCCCCTAGGCGGGGGCTCACAGGGAAAATGCATCAACTCAATCTTCCTTCTTACTGACGTGTGATGAAGATTCGTGGAAACCAGCGGAGGGCAGCGGCACGGGCGGCAGCAGCACCTCGCTGCTGCAGGGCCTGCTGTGCGGAAGGCATGGGGTGGGGCCGCAAACGTCCCTGCGAACAAGAGGGGGAAACGTCCAGCATAACGTCCGTTATTCCATTATTTCTGGACAGCAGTGGCAAGTGGCAGCTTAAGTTAGCTTCGCCGTTGCTGCAGGAACTGCGATCCCTGCGACAGCTAGCCAACAGATTAGTGCCCTGAAACGCCCGTACATAGGTGCGATGGCAAGGTGGCGGCAGTGCGGGACACAGTTCAGTCAAACGGCCATCCGTCCGTCAAACATTGGGCCTTATCTCCCCAAGTCTGGAAGGCAAGTTTCTAAATTTTTGGTGGGGGATGGGAATTGCGTTGAGCGTGGGCTTACGTGGTGGCGGAGAGGGCGCAGCTTGCAATGACGTTAGCAAGGTTGCTCAGGTAGCTGCCCATGGTCGCCGTGAGGGTTCCCGCCATGCGAGAGAAGCTGTCGTGAAGGCTGTCAGGACTGCCCCCGAGGCTGTAATTTGGACTGCCTCGGCTGTCGGTCTCGTCCAGCTCCTGCAAGCAATTCGTGTCTCATGGCCGTTATACGTGTTGCCTTGGACTGGCATGATCCTGCAGCAGCTTGTGGGGACAGAATACTTACCAAAAGAACTCCCTCACCAATGGCCCATGCGCCCGGAAGGAGGATTACTCTTCGGTGCGGGCTGGCTTCTACATATGAATGTTCGGAGCAGGTCAGGCCGAGTAACCGCAAACACGACCGGAGGCTTGTATACTCATGCTTACCATTTTCGTTTCCAAAGCCAATCATGTTTGCATAGCCCTGCAAAGGTTGCCCACTTTCCGGTTCAAAAATTTCTACTACTGTATGCCCGCAACAACAGTTTGAACAACGACCGCAGGTAGCGGGCCCTACCGTCTCCCAGACGAGTGTAGGTGCTGGCGTAGAGCAATCCAAGTCGCATTTGCTTGGACTTGTCAGGATAGGCTCCGGGGAATCTGTGTCGGTGCAACGAAACACCGCCGCGGACTTGTACTGAACCTCACAGATGGCGGCTCCCATTGACATTGTTAGCTCCTGAGGAAAGCCATGAGAATATGTCAGGCCCTCCATCGGAAGCGTGTCCGAAGGCGTACGAGACATATATCAAAGCAAATTCTCCCAGCACTACATACTCACTTCCTGTAAGCCAGATCTTTAGCAGAAAGCTGTTGGAGTTAGGAATGGCAAGCTCGGCATTAAATGCCTAGATAAAGTCCCTAAAGGTGTCGCTTCGCTGTGCAGTTAGCTTGACTGCGACCTACCTAATCCTCAGCCTCAAAAACTATCACAGTTCCTTATGGATGAGGCTTTTCGGATATGTTAGTTTCTAACTCTGCGCGCGGACACACATGGGGGAAGGGATTACGGCATCTTACCCGTACGTTAAAAAAGAGCGCTCCCGAGGCAGGGTAGCCAGGTAACAGCTTCATCACCACAGAATAATACACCACTTAGGACCCTCCTGGTGACTCTACTTATTAGAGAGGCAGTTAAATAAAGCTGGTGTGCCCGTCGCCAAGCCGGACAGGTTCAAACATCAACATCGCACGCTGCATACCGCACCCGGCATGTACATATTTTAGTTTATATTAAATATACAGGATCTTCACTGATGACCCTAAGAATACATCTGTCATGGCCTGCTGATTGTTGTCACTTCGTTAGCTACGAGCAGAGCGGAGGCTACGAGTCTCTGCCGGAAAGAATATGTTTTACGGTGTTCTGTAAATAGCAACTGTATCCCCCGCGCTGCAAGCCCCGTCGAGGCAAGCGGAAATAACCTAACGGCACAAGCTGCTCCTTTCCGAAGCTGATCCTGCGAAGGGCTATGGTAAACAGCCAAATCAGAGCACAGTGCACAAATTCGCAGCAATTACGTCATCTCATATAGCTCTTCATCTCTCAATGCAAATGCATACCTTATTTTGCCGATTTCCGCTGTTCCGTATACACCGCAACCGCATTATACAAGCCTGCAACATCCATTGGCACGTGTAACCCCACTGCTACTTGCATTGGCACAGTTGCACCGAGAGATTGATCCTCATAGGGAGCAATCCACGTTGGAGAATCCCCAAGCAGGGCTTGCATGCTACAGCATTTACCCTACCACAGGACTTAGGCATACGATACGACTCGTTACCTGCCGTATTCCCATGATGTCTATCCTCTGAGGCTCATCCGCTGCCACGAGGTCACTATTTCTCCGGCTGCCAGGGCCCAAATGGAACCTGGGGCTTTCCGCAGCATACCACAGGGTCGACATCCGCCTGTCGGCCCCACCGGTTGAAGGGTTCAGGAAGCTGCACGGGCTCTGCAGTTGCGAAACGTGGTAGATATTTACAGAGTGTGCAAGCAGTAGCCACTTAGCCTCGAACCAGCAGCCGCTGGACATGTGTCAATTTTATGAAAAGTAGGTAAGGTAGGCAGATTTACTTGCATGACAAGATTGGGCGCTGCCACAGTCCGTGCTCACCCTAAAATTCAGGATGGGGATTTGTGCCGCACATTTGCAGTTTGACAGGCCTTTCAGCCCAATGGTGATTCGTGCGTGGCGGCATGATGGTGCACCGTGTGCCCGGTTACACAGGTGAAAGCAACCTTGCACCGTTGCATGGTTCTCTTGAACTGCGTTCAGGTACCAGATTGCTTATTTGTTGCTTCCCTATTCCAGGCTTACGCTTTAAGCGAGGAAGGACCTTGCACTTGCATGGCTAGATTGTGAACCACGGGCCCATTTGAAAGTCAACCACTTGAAGGACGACCTCAACGCATTACATGTATAAGAGCAACTTAGCAGAATATTTGTGAAGGGAAAGGACGCCGTGACTTCTGCCGTGACGAAATATTTTGCCACATTACCAAGGTCGCTCTGTGGTCGGTAACCTTCAATAAGCAAGTAATCATTAAGCTTGTGGACAGAAAGCGCGATCAACTGGATATTTGACATGATGAATACTCGATCGCTTAGGCCATACGGTCATGGCGCTACCTGCAGGTTCCCGAGGACATTGTGCAAAGCATTTTGTCCAGTCAAGAATCGGACATGCCGTCTACCCTCCACGATAGTCCTTGCTGCTAAAGGCTCAAAAAACACAGCTTCCAAGGGCTTCGGTGCCCCAAAGCAACAGCCCGCTAAGGGAATTGCTTCAGATGCAGTTTGCCCTTGTGGCAGCGGAGCTGTGTACGAGGTGAGACGTCGGAACGGGGTTATGAAAAAAGTTTTAAATTTTGATGTAGCAATCCGGGGCCGCCTGGTACAATAGGACAAGGGGGCCAAGCGGAAGGCTGGCTTTTTCAACCTGAGGACGGCTGACAGCTAAATGGAGGATTGACTTTCCATCATATCCATCGTCGCACCCTCTCAATCATACCCCTTTGAGCTCCAGTCCCGCTCCGTTCCCCTCGCCCCTGCCCCCGTTCTGGCCCTCTACTCCACAACCCATCTCTCCTTTCAGGCCTGCTGCCTGCCGTACCACCAGGGCCCTGCCGTACCTCCCACGCCGGAGGCCCTCCTCCGCTCTCGCTACAGCGCTTACGTGGCTAAGGAGCCTGCGTTCATCGCCGACACCACCCACCCTGACTCCCCTGAGTACACAGGCTCCCGGGCCTCCTACATGGGCACCGTCAAGCAGACCATGAGGCGACTGGACCCCTTACAGCTTACCCTGCTGGGCAGTGAACCGGGCACCAGCCAGGATGAGGCGTTCATTACCTTTAGGCTCAAGAGGAGGGTTCGGGATCCGGAGGCCCCGAAGGGTGCTGCGGCCGAGGTGGGTGTGGGGGTGGTGATTTGTTCTTGGTCGGGCGAGACTGTGGGATTTCTGAGGAGAAGAGTCCTACCCTCTCACCACCCTCATGCTCGCGAAGTCAAACCAAACCCCAACTTCATTCGCAGGTTGACGAACTGACGGAGCGCAGCCGGTTCATCCGCGTCAAGGCTCGCTGGATGTACCTGGACAGCCAGTTTATAGAGGAGGAGGAACAGGAGCAGCAGGGGAAGGAGAAAGACAAGAAGGCGGTCGTGACAGGGGCGGGAGATGCTCAGCCCGGGGCACCGCCTAAGAAAAAGGGCCTCTTCAACTTGTTCTAGGATTATGACGGACTTGACAAGGCTCTGGGAACTGGCACCTGCACCCGTCTTATTGCATTTTTCTTCGCCGTTTCCGGTTGGGCAGGAATGCGAGGTGCTGTTGTCCGTTGGAAAGTGCGACATCCACGGCAGTCAATTACGCTGTTGTACACGACGAAACATAGATTTCCACGGAGGCCACGATATGGCCATTTTGCGATCTCAATCCAGGACTAGAAAGAAGATAACGCGTCGTCCACCACCTCGGATTTATTTTGTTTTATGTTCATTTGTTTATTTGCGCCCGGCGGCTGCACTCGCAACTTAAGGAAAGCAGATGAGAGGGGATGCGGAAACGTAGATGGCGCTGTGCGGGAGCGTCGGGAACAGCAGCAGCCTCGACCCAACCATAGGACTTACGTAATATTTTCTGGGGGGGGCTCTTCGGGTTCGGAACCTCCAAGGCCGCCTCTGCAAAGGTGTGTTTTGCCTGTGTCACTGGCAAAGCTATGTGGAGAAGCACCCGCGCACACACTGTTTTGTTTTGTTAACCGGCTTGCGTGTCCGTTCGCATTTACAAATACTTCGCTGCTTACTGCATTGCATATGTATGCGTCCGGTTCAAGGTCCTCAACCAAAATCTACCCCCAAACTGGCGGAGGCAGCCGTCAACACGGACCGCCAGACGGGCAGCCCGGGCCTGCATGTCCTACCTACACTTGCGAGGGCATATATGGCAACGGCATTCCCACTGGCATTTTCTCTCTGTTGCGAAGCCACGAGCTTACAACGCCAGGAGGTTCCGAGGGTGCTCCTGATGGGCAGCCGGATGGGTCGGCGGGTGAGTCCGCTTCGGGAATGAACCCCTGTCAGCACCAGCAGTAAGCCGATGCGCTGACATTACCATGGCGGCAACCAGCCTCCTAGCCACATACCCTAAGAACGGGCGCCGAAACGTAGCGCGGTTATCCCTGTCAAACCCACACACATATCAACACATTTCATGGACAGCATCAGCGTAAACTTTAAATTCTGTCAGCAGGTATTGGGCCCGTTGCTTTACAAATGCCGCCCTTCGCTCCGGAGCTAAGGATACGTTCAAACAAAACGTACCTGATTACCGTCGCGAGTAGATCCGATCAATCTAAAAGGTCTTGCGCACCATAAGGCCTGGAGGACCCCAGGTGGAAGTGGAGCGGGGAGGGGCAGGGCCGGGGGCAAGCGAAAGGAGCCGGGCAGCGCGCAAGGTGCAAGAATGTAACACGGGTGGGTGCTCATGCCGGGAAAGTTCTTCATCATATGACGTTTTGTGCACATATGGTTTTGTTGGAAAAGGGGAGATTGTGAGATCTCGGAGCTCAGACCACGAGTCGTGTTGTTCGTCTGGGTCAAACAACGGAAGTGACGTTCCGCTGTGCTTTCTCTCTCCATTTTTACACCTTTCATTTTCCCACGGGGGTCTAAACAGCGCCGATCTCACGTCAGTCCCCCCGCACCGCTCGTTGTTGTTGTTGTTGATGGGGTGTTACACTGTGGGCGGCTCGCCCGATAAAGGACGAGCACCGGGGGCCCTGACCGGGCCGAAACACAGCGCAGGGATGGGCGCGCGGCTCTACGTCCGTCTGTTCCTCCGCGCGCGCCTCGATCCCTCACTCACGCCAACCGGGACGCTCTCCCAGCCCCTGGCTAGGCAACACAGCGGCGCAGAAGCCTGCGAACCGATCTATGCGAGAGCCGCACGAAAGGCGCCACTTCGCCTGGCCTGCCTATTCACGCGCTCTCGTCCCTCTTGACCGCCAAAACAAGAGCAAAAAGAAAACAGAAAACACCACCGGGGGCAGGGGCTCTACTCAGGGGGCTGTTGTTGTTGTTGTTGTTACATGGTCGTGGGTGCGTTCCCCGTACCTGCAAACCACCCTAGTACGAGCCGAGGGCTCAAGGGCTGCCAAATCGCCTATAAGCACCATCCTACCTCGCATTTCCAACGAAACAAGTGATGAAGTATACTAACGACCAAAGGGAACGATAGAGTTACGGTGGGACCATATGCGTTCCAGCATCCTTGCCAGGCGTTCAGGTTCCCACTTCATAGCGTCCTTCATATGGTTCAAAGCGTGGAAAGCCCATATCAGATCTGATTTCGTCGTACACCGGACAGTCCAGCAAAATGTGTTTTTCATCCTCGATATGGCTATCAGTGTCGCAGCAAGGGCATACTCGCTCGTTGTGAAATGGCAATGCGCTCATTACCGCCTTGAATTCCTGAGAGACCCACGGCGTGGGGGTTTAGGTGGCCTGGTCGGGGGAAAGCCCATTTGCCTGAGCGGGGAAAGTGAAATGAGGAACTTGTTGCTTTGAAAGCAGTTAATGAACTTTCGCTACATGCACATGGTTAGGCATGGTTCTTCGGCGTGTCCCGTACCTTTTCCCCCAGCAGCGCCCAAGGACAATGCGCATTTGCGTTGCGACTGGGCCGCCGATGACAGTGTAGGTACATGGCATGGATGTTAAAAACATACATTGCAACGCCCAAACAGCAACCCTTCCCGACCCTCGACAACATCGTAAGGTGTGCACAAACTTTTACACTTACAGCACGTTACGATAGCAGTTGCTGCAACGTGAAGCTACGTCGCGAAGTGCACTGCAGCCTTGCAGGAAAAATGAAATGACACACTCCTTTTTGAGAGTTTAGTAATTTCAGCGCGTATGACATTGGCCCCGTACGTACTGCAGCCCGCCATCCTGGCAGGAAAAACGAGCAAGGCGAAAGAAGCGACCTCTCCTGGCATCGGGCCGGCCCTTGCCTAGTTGACTAGTATCAACGGCACACAGAGCCGGCTGGCGAGTCAGTGCCAGCAAACCAAACAACCCCCCTCCTGGTGCATCTTAGTTGGCATCATCAAGATAGCAACGTAGGACCAAAACGTGAATTAATTCTGTCACCGAAAGGCAGTTCACGCAAAACTGTGCTGGCCCCCTCAGTCCGCAGTTCAGCCCTAGTCCCTGCCGTAATCCTGCCGTAATCGCGGCCCCCTTCCGATGCCTACCGATCGCAGTCTTGCCGGTAAATTAACTGTCACCACAACCCGCTCCCCGTCCGTTTTTCGCATGCCGTTTGCATTTGTTCGTAGCCACTTTCATGCACACTCTCGTCTGCACAAACCTACCAGATATGCCTATCTAACCCTCGCACGCATACACGTCCGTGCACGGACATCTGCGGGACTTACACCGCCGAATATATGCATGGGTCTCTTCACATATGCTTGATACTCAAACTGTGCATCATCCATCTGCAGGCATGGCTGAAGCCCCAGCACGACAGACCCAATTGCTGCTTAACAGCCCCAGTGAAGCAGCTTGGCCTTTGAGCCGCAGCGCAGCCTTGGGGTCCCAACATCTAGTAGCTTCCCACACACAAACGTAAACACAAACACACGCCGCCCAGTGCTCTATCAACTTTCCTCAACGCTACGGCAAAGTAGCCCACACATTGGACCGGTAGTGCTCAAGAGCTCACCTCCCCCCCGGTATATCTGCACCCACCACATATATGTGTATATCTGCACCACCACATAGCCCGTTCGGTTTCATTTCAACAACGATGTGGGCGATATCGTCCATGACACAGATCGAATGCGCGTATCGAGAGCCAGCAATGCACAGGTAAAATAACCCTATCCGTACAAGGTCGGACTCCCGGACTCTCCCTTGCGTCGTCGTAAAAGGCGGCCGCGCCAGCTTCCCCATCTCACCCACATGCCATGCCGTCCACTGCCGCGCATGTCTCCCCTAAGAAGCTGATATCATGAAACCACCAAACGATCCACTCGTCGCTCTTTCAAGACTTAGTGGGCAACGTCATGGAGGAGTAGTTCACTCAAGCCGCTGTCACATTTTGCAAAAGCGACACGTAGCCCCGAGCTACGGATCTCCAGTCTCGCCCGTAGGAGTAATCCTTAGCTGCACTCTGGAACTTCACTCGGAGCTTCTCGTCGCGAAGGAGTTTCAAGATTCCCTCGCGCAGCGCGGGCGAGCTCTCGAACTCCACCAGTATACCCCGTCCCACCAGCGCCGACGCGGCGTGGTCGAACGCCGTCGACACGACGGCTTTCCCGGCGGCCATGGCCATCGTAAGAGTACCTGAATTGGTCGTTATACGCTCCGTGTACGGCAGGACAAATATGTCAGCCGCCTGAACGTATCGCAACAGCAACTCGTTCTCCAGGAACTTGCTGACAAACCTGACATTGTCTAGGATGCGGGGGTCTGACGCATCTTTGACCAACCTTGCATAGTAATCCGTGCACGGCTGACCGCAGTCGGGGTGTGGCTCGCCGACGATCAAGTACACCACGTTTGGGAAATCCTTGACGATTTCGGGCAAGGCATGAAGCACCAAATGGATTCCCTTCCCCGGGCTGAGCAAGCCGTTGGTCAGCAAGACGGTCTTCCCCGTCAGGTTCAGGACGGACTTCGCTGCGAGCGGGTCCACAGCTGTCATCAAGGGGGCTCCGTGGGGTAGTACGACGACGTTGGCGCCAGGGATACCATGAAGAGCCCCCAGCTTATTGCGGCTGGACTCGGACATCACAACAACGTTGGTGGACGCTGCCGACAGGTGCTGCAGTATGTACTGTTGCGGGTTCCCCAGGTTGTCGCTGAGTGTGTGAATCACGCTGATGACCGGCACCTCCAGCATTTTCGCAAAGCAGACAACCAAGCTGCCAACCGTACCACCCCATATCCCGAACTCATGCTGCAAGATCACCGCGTGAAATCCCTCGCTGTTAACGTAATGCGCAGCCGAGATGTAGTCGCCGTAGTTTTCCTGCCGAATGAAGCGCGTGCTTTGCTCAGGGCCACGGGTTGCTGGTATCTCGGCATCCCAGACCAGAGGCAGAATCTCCACAGAGCTTTCTTTCGGCAGCAGAGGCTGCAAGTGCTCCAAAAGAGCCGCGTTGAAAGTTGCGATCCCACAGCGACGGGGAAGCGCCGTCGACACCACAGCGACCTTCAGCGCCGGCTTGCTCTGTTTGGCGCGAGGGCTGGCTTTGGGGAACGCACCGCACATGTGCACATCCACTGGGATGGGGTCCTTGGCCATGTCCAGGGATTTTGGTGCGCGAGGGCTCGCCAATTTTAGCTCAGATTCACCAATTTCTCTGAGGCGCTCCAGAACCATGTTACTCACGATCTTGTTGTCGTACCGTTCGACTACCCTAAGCCTGGCCTTGTTTCCGATCGCGCGCAGGCTACGGCTGCGGTAAGCCGCCAGGAAAGCCGCCGTCAAATCGTCTACGTTTGGCTTCGCCCAGTTTGACCCTCGCAGCCCTTTGTCTGATGTGTGAACGGGAACCATCGTGTGATTGACCTGGAATGCGAAATCCGGCTGGATGTATTCCGCCAGGCCGCCCCATGTGGCCGATATGATAGGTTTGCCGAGACTCATTGCCTCCAAGTACGGCACATCCCAGCCTTCACTTCGGAGCGGTACGACCAGAACGTCGACGGACGAGCAGATCCTTAGAAGCTCGTCCTGCAGGAGCTGCCTGCCGAGCACGTGCACGTGCGGTGCACTGTCGTCCCGAGGATCGGCGTCCAGGCTGATGGACTGCAGATAAGGGTCGCCGCTGCTGAGCAGGAAGGTGTTCATCGCGTCGTAGATGTAGTCCTTTCGGTAGGTCATCTCGGGTAGCATGGCCGTGTGGACATAGAGCGATACGTCCGCTGTGCGGTTACGGAACGCCTGCAGCCGCAGCCACACCACCAAAACAAGGGGGGAAGGGGTCGCTGATTGGCTGATTAGGTGTCTCCGTCATCATGGTTTGGTTGTTAAGAGCACCCGGTTTGTCCACGGACTATGCAATATGTTTGCAGTCTAAAAAAGTGGGTTAAACCGATGATCCTGCTCCAATCCATTTTTATATCGAAACCTAACCATCGCCTTCTATCCAACCCACCCACCTGGAACTAGACACGTACAGGCATCCGTACTGCAAAATGACGTTTAGGGTATTTATATCTGCTCCTGCCTCCGTGTCGGTATGGCAGTTCTTCCCTACCTTCAGGTAGGCCGAAAGCACCGCCTGCCAGCCCGTGTAATCATCCAACCGGAACGATGCCAAGAAAGCCACCCGGCGCTGCCTCGGTAGCGTCACCGGCTCCCAGATATCCGGGTCGTACATCCACGAATCCACACTATCCGGAATGACGAAGATCTTATCCGCCCTGACCCCTTGGCTCTCCAGGATTGCGGCATGCCAGTTAGACGGCACCCAAACCTCGTCCAGCTCGTTCTTCATCTGGTTCGCCCACTGGCGGTTAACGCGGTCCAGATCCCATGAGTAGCGTCCAATCAGGTAGGACGATGAGTTGTTTGGAGGCCATGGCCACGCAGCCAGCTGGCGATAGTCCTTTTGATGGATTATGATGTCGGATGGCAGGTAGGCGGATAGGCCCCGGAGCCGGTGCACCCTCCTGGAGAATGACAGCGGAGCTGCCTGGAGGACGTCTGGATGCTCGCAAAAGGGCCAACCACGCTGTATCTGCGCCCTGAGCTGCAGCCGTCCCTCCAGGTGCTGCACGAGGTTGTAGGCCTTGGCGCCGTCAGAGCCACCACATTGCATGACCCAGCTCACCGTTGCATTACTCGCCAAGTCCGAGGCATACTGCGCGGCAAGGTCACGCCCCCAGAGCTCGTCGAACGCCTGCAGCGCCGCCGGGTCTTGACGCGACTCAGTGGCCGTTTCGATGAAGATACTGGCGGGAGACACCAGCACAGCATGCCGACCGTAGCGGTAAAGCCGAAGAGCCATGTCCGAACAGGCTAAAGAGCTCCCCAACTCTACGGAAAAGCCGCCATTTTCCAGGAGGCTTCTGGCGGCGGAAGCGCGCATCACCCAAGCTGAGCAGTCCGCAGCGCGTATCTCCGCGGGCTTCATGGCTGGGCGGTAACTCCAAGGGTATCCTGCGTACATCGCCACAGGCTGGACTACCTGACGGCCCAAGTAGTCATCAAACACCTTCTCGAACCGAGACCCAGAGCTTTTTATCGTGCCGTTTGCAAACAAGACCTTGGCGAAAACCGCAGCCGCATCGGTGTGCTGATGGAGCCCGTTGACCAGCCCCGACAGCCAGCCGTACAAGGGCCGCAAGGACTCCACCACTACGGCGACATAAGGGGTCTCCGGGTCCCGTTCGAGAACCTGCTGCAGGCCAAACCGCACGCATGCGTCCCAATGCAGCTCTCCGGCGGGGTGCAGAGTCGCCAGGGTACCAGCCACAGGCTCTGTGAGGCTAGTTGAGTCCGGGGCGAGGTCCTGACCCGAACAGTCAACCAGGAACACCTTGGCATGGCAGGAGCCGCCAGTGTAGCGCTGCAAATGGCTGGCTAGGATCTGCACCTGTGCGAGGTTGGTGCGGTCCACCATAGGCAATACAACCGCTGCATCGCATTGGGACAGCTGGCCGGGCACGGCGGGTTTGGTCCATGCAGATTTTCCAGCGGCCGGCCACGCCCACCGCGGCGTCGCGTTGACATTCAGCACATGGCCGGTGATGGGCAGTTCGGGTGACATGCTCATCACCACTTCGTGGGGCTCCAGTTGGCGGGGCCACACGCGGACGTTCCCGACTTGGCCCGGGAAGCGGCCTTCAAACCACCGCGGAGATCTGCCCAGGTGCAGCGGGGAGAAATCCGCGAGCGGGCTGACCTCGGCTGTTTGCCGCAAGGCGCCATTCACGTACAGGTTCGCCTTGCCGGAGCTGTAAGTGAGCACGAAGTAGTTCCTGCAAGGAGGCAACAAGTCCAGAATGGGCAATGTTATCTGTCTGCTGGTTTAATGGATCTTGCCACGGCAGACATGACAATATTGTCGCTGCGTATTGTCGAGGAGTGTGTCGAGGGCGCCACGTCGACGAAGGAGAAAGAATGAGAAGCCGTATGCATCAATCCTTGTACTGGCGCTCAAGCACCATGCATCACACCGCGGATCAAGTGCGTAGCGACACATGTTTAGTTGATTGTAAGCGGCCATGGGCCTGTGTAGCCTTAGTGAGTCTTACCAGCTGTCCGCAGTAACCGCTCCGGCGTATCGATGTATGGGAGGAGGGTCGCGGAGGGATGCAGAAAACCAAGCCGCGTCCGATTCGGAAATGGTGTAGGCCGCAAGGCAAAAGAAGGTCATCTGGGACTGTGAGTTCCGTACGACGACTGTGCAGCCTGCGTACAGCAAACGCCAAGCTATGAAGGCGGGTGATAAGGACAGAGACCGGCTGGATCGTCGATTGGGGAATTATCTCGCTCTTCATTCAAAATAGTGGAGGAGATCCCGGTCGCCCCGTGCATGGGACTCACCGGGCAGTTGTACGCATTGTCGCAATGCGCTTTGGAAAGAGGGCGTGTGGCTGATTTTCAAGGTACGGTCCGCGCAGCGGCAGCGCCGGTTGGGTTGGTAGTCGAAATGCCGTCGCAAATCAGGCCACGCCTCCTCCACGGCAAGATATGGCACCGCTGGGGCCGCGAACTTGAGACTGGCTGAACCAATTGAGAACGCGGTTACGTCGAGTACGTCGTCCAGGCTGTAATCCAGGCGCACCCAGCCTGCCACACTGCCGATATACATGCATCAGGGCAAGGTAATCTTTTATTAAGTCGATTACCCTTGCGATTACCCTTGCGACGGGAGATGTAGCGCATCCTAAGCATCGAATTTTGAATACCTCGCTTGAAATACTGTGCTCAGGCTTTGTTCTTGCACTTCTCTTCCCTAGCCTCTTATTGCGCCATTGCCCTCCCAATGGTTCAGGGTGGTTCGGCATTGCGCCCGGCCCTCGCATACCCGCCTTAACAGCCCGCCTTTACACCGCCCCGCATACCACAAATCGCATCATCTCTGCCTGCTTGTTTTCCGTGTGTTCACGGGGTCGCCGACGAGCGCCCGACCGTGCTTAGCTGCTTCGTCGCTGGTGCGCGTGCATGGTATCACGCGATGGTACTCAACACAACAGCACGACATTGCACCGGGTTAAACCATCGCGCCAAACTTTCATCCACGCACATTTCTGAAATTATGTATGACCATTAAAACTGCACAGGGAGCTCATCGGTTTCGTAGCAGCGTTTCCGTTGTTTACTTGGCGTCGCTCGGGACGCGTGCTAACGTAAAATATCATCCTCAATTTAACGTAAAGCATCAGCCCCTTTTACATTGGAGTTATCATTGGTTTGGGCGAATTCCAGTATATCCCAGGTTTTTCGGGTCGCTCTGCATTTCGTTGTCAATGCTGGACACCGCTTAATTAGGGAATTCCTTTTGAATGTGCCGGCGCCTGTGATAGATGCTTTAAAGCATCTTTATAACATTTATTTCAACAGTTTTTATTATTATTTTTGTATATTCGAGTCGCCTTCAGTCCCCCGAAGCCCGCCAAAATTGCCTAATCACCCTCTTTGCCAACGGTGGTGTGGAAGGTTGTGGTGGTGTGGAAGGGAAGGTCTCCTTGGCGGTGGAAAACCTCACCTCCAAGAACTGTTCAGGCCACGGATCTTGAAACTGCGGCATACTGAACCAGATCCGCACTGCAAGGTGCACGCAAGGTCCATCACCAGCGCGTCAGTCGGGTGTCAATCCACCATATTGATGCTATGATTTCCTATTGCGAAAATAAAATAATCGTAATAAGTTATTCGCACCTGTAATCTGCTCTGCCCCGATAAGCCGCTGGACAAGTTTATGACGCAGTCCCCGTTGTAACAAACTTGATGTCGAAAGTTGTCCTTCAGGTAATGCTTATGTGTGATCAACCATGTGGAACAGCTGACAAGAAATGCAAGCGCTAGAAGGATCCAAGACCAGCCTTTGAAGCATCTGACATGTTGCGGCCTGGCCGAGGTTCGCCTCATCAGAACAGCTTCCTACCAGTCGGCCCTATAGCGGACTGCCGTTACGTTTGAAGAAAATTCGGCATGATAAGCCTAAGAATTCTGAAGTTTGGCAGCATATTGGGGATCGAGCGAGTTGGGAATGTCAACAGGCAATACGAGGCAATGCGCTCGTACGACTGAACTACGTGCGCGCGAAAGCGGAAATGGAATATTAACAGGCAATTCTCCTCAATTATGTATGCTCTAACTCCTGTGATGCATAAACCATATAACGGGCTGAGGGGGTCGCAGCGCTTGCCGTCGACACGACTTCACCCAAACCTGGTTCACGCCACTGGATCTTCGGAGGGGCTTGGGCACCTCTCCAACGGGCTATCGCTTCTAAAAGCCATCAGCTTCAAAGTTGCTCGCCACCGCTTTGAACTGAGTATGAGAATCAAAATGCAATACCTTGAGCACATTTGTCAAAATAGCGAAGGACCATACAAACAGTACTAAGTTTGCCGGGAGTAGTACAAGTAATAAAAACCCTGGCACATGTGCAACTATGTGCAGGACAGCCTTGCCAAAGCCGCTTATAAACAAATTGGACGGCGAAATCACTTTTCCAACGACATCTGCGGTGCTTGGAACTCAGTACATATTAAGTATGCGCCATTCCATACTCCTTCGCACATATTCGCACCGGGTTTAGGGGCAGCGCAGGCAGCTGATAGCATGACAATACGCCTGAAATGCCGGGATACGCTCGATTCGCTGAAGGTGGACTCATAATGCAGTGTCGGGCCGGAGACGCGCGTACTCGCAGGGCCCGCTCTCTAGTTCCGGAACCTGCTTTCCCTGTGGTCCACAAGCAGATTTCATCTCCGGTAATGGTCCGGAGCGGGGAAATAGCCAAAAAATCAGCGTTCTTTATATCTATACTGTTCAGCATCAGGATGTTCATGCCAGCTTAAATGCTTAAGAGCAGAAGTGCTTAGTGCTCAGGTGGGCTCAGTGATGTTCAAGGCATCGATGGGGGGGATGGTTCGGGTTGTATCAGCCGCTCAGGTTGTCCAGGTCCACACGCACGCAAACACCCCAACGGACGCGGGGCGCAGGGCGGAGAAGGCGGAGGCCCCTACATCTGGCAGCTGACATGGCAGAAATGCGCCGCGGTAGGTTAAGGTAAAAGTTGGGGAGAAGATGGCGTGAGCTTAAGGTGTTAGGGATTAGGAGGTCAAGTAATTGTTTATTAGGAGGTCAATTGACCTCCTAATAATCACTTGCAAGTGATTCGCCTCAAAATTCGCCTTTTCATATCCAGCCGCATTTGTGAGTCTCCAAATACATCAGTTGTAACTATTAATAGTTACATGATAATGGTTGGAAACTGCGTACTATTTAGGCCTCCGACGTCTGAAGGATGAGACGTAAAAGTTCGGGCGTGTATATGTAAAGGGAGACCACTGCGCCAAAGAAATATCATGGATAAATTGTATTAACACCTAATATTATACAAGCAGATTATACATGAATCCGGCATATGCGCGTTGCTCGACATTCGTTCGCCAAGGGACTCTTCTCCCATCCTATTTAACGCTGCGTGGCGTTTAACATCATGGGACCGACATCAAAGATAAATTAACCGATTAAGTTTTGCCACCAGCGCTGGATTAGCTTGATAGGTAACGACAAGGACTTTGCTGTGAGTTTCACCGAATCGTTGGAGCGGCGACAGCTCGGCGACTAACTTCGTCTTTAATCCTCTTGTCAATCGCACATTGCTCCCCAATATCTTATGAGACTCTGAGCCATCAGACTATAGGAATAAAATTAAATTGAATTACGTTGGATTAATTTGCACCCTGTGTGCCATGCTGGTGCAAGACATCCTGACAGACGGAAAGGTCCGACGCGACCCGACCCGACTATTTCCTGTGCCCTCGACAAGGGAACATCCAGACCTAAATTTTTATTCCGGTATGGCATCGGCATTCATTCAAATTTCCTGCATTGAGGTCGGCGGCATGTGCGGCAATGTAAAAGTTTGTTTTGCGTCGTGCGCGTACGACAGCAGCACAGCACAAAGCTTGCCGCCTAATGACAGCGCTAATGGCATTCTTATCAGAAATATCCATCACAAGGATGGTCGGTCTGAAGGCTGCGCATATGTGTTGCTTGGCCGATTGGCCTGCCAACAATGGCACATACCAGGAGAGAACGCAGAAGGCCGCTTCGTGTTGTATCTTGGTATCGTGGGCTGTTTCCTTATTTGGCTTGAGTGTGTGTGTGTGTGTGTGTGTGTGCGCGTGTGTGTGTGTGTGTGCGTGTGTGCGTGTGTGCGTGTGTGCGGGAAACACCGCACTATCGGCCTAGCCTAGCGCCCAAACACATATGCTCCAACATCCTCGCCAGACGTGCGGGCTCCCATCTCATGGCCTCCAACATGCTCTGTTGATTATCGAATCCCTTTTCCGCACGGATATCACTATTATTTGGCTTGTCATTGACAGATTTACTGGATGTGTGCGGAGTAAGGTGATAACTGTCTATTCGTACTACACGTCTTCGTTAACCAATAGAAAACATCCTAAACAGGCCCGTATGAGCAACCTGTTGAATGACATCAATGTGAAGCATAGGATCCGAAAGCATTAAATGACTTGCTATCGATCTATTTAGAGAAATACTTGGGCCAGGCTGCAGCTGCCGGCCCCATAGGCACAGGTGAACTGAGCACCCGCAGTAAGCCAAGATGGAAACCCTGACCAAGTTACAAGTTACAGAGGACCAAGCTGGCTCCTTTCGCTCGGGCGGCTGTAGGACCGGGCCATCTATCAGCGAGGTGAGATGGGTCTTCAACGGGTAGCAGTCCCACCTGGACATAAAGCACCCACCACCCCTTTGACCTCTGTGGAGGCTGTTCGGGTTCAGGAGGGCTGGGGCCGCACCCGCAAAGAAAATGGCTTCTTCATCTTGCAGCACATCTTATTAAGGCGGCATACATCGTAGCACACCGTAGCATATCAAGGTGTGGGGTTGGTAGTGCCCAGTTGGTACTCCATGCCGCCATGAAACCCTTAGGATTTCGAATGTCTAATTGGGGTGCAGGCCGGTCAAAGCAACTTAGGAGCCTCCCGAAGCCGCAGTCTGTTTGGAACAAAGCCTCTGCTCAAACTCCTCACCGCGCCTACCGTCTCTGTGCGGCTACACGTAAAGCTGAAAGGCTGGCCAAACTCAACGGCTGGATTACAAACCTACATCCCCTTATGTCATGTGGAAGAATAAGCAGTGAATAGCAGTAATACGGGCACATTACAAGTTTATACGTGGTGTCGGATAGGTTGCTCTTGACGGGCAAATTTCCGCTTAGACGGAATCAACCGGAGGCCGGAAGGATATACCAAGGTTGGGTACGACAGCTATACGACAGTACTCCAGGAACTGTTCCGCTTACGCGTCACAGGTAACTACCGTTATTAACGGAATGTAAGTAACACCTCAACAGGCTGGTCTTCATGATTTGCGTGGGCTGGCCTACCGTTGAGACCTGAAGGCCTGCAACGGTCTTCTTCGTCATATCGCCGCACCAGGTGTGCTCTGAAGCGGCAGGGATCCAGCATCGAGAGTGACGTGCTTCATATTCAGGATGGACCTGAGTCTGGACCAACGCCAACCAGTACACCGTCTGACTCATACAACATTGGATTCAGATGAAAGCTCTAAGTTTCATGCACTGATAGATACATAATCAGGTCCAAAAAGGACATTCATGCTCCAGTGGGTCCTCGGCGAACAATGCACAAAGCTCTGTGACTTTGCATGCGGAAGCCATCTATTGAGTTTGCCGTTAACGTTTAATTTTTCTTTGAAAAATTGGTGGTCGAGATGTAGACAAAGGCATTGGCAGAATTAGCAGAAAGGAACTGGGTGTGAGAGTCCGATTTGTGATGAATGGTTGACAAACAGAACTCTAGCCTCCGAAACCAAAGGCCCATTCGCAAGACCTTGTGTTCGTCGAAAAAACAAATTTACTTTTCTTTGTATGGATGTATCGTACGTCATACTTGCCTCTTCTGGAGTACACTTTTGAACCAGGGTTTCGGTTGAGCAGGTAAACTCCTTCCTTTATAGCATGGATAAGCGATTTCTCTTATCCGTAGGCAGACGCTAGCCCAAACCGAGTCGCATATATCTTCAACCGGCCCTAGCTTCATTTTGGACCGATCCGGCCCTTACCCACCTGTAAGAGCGAGGATAGTTTCGTGAATGGCGAGTGTATCGTCTTCAGATAGTGACGACGCACCAAACCAAATTAATAGCGGCAGCAAGATTGAGCCAGAGATTCTTTCTTCGGAATGGCTCGGTGTCGACGACGTCCACGACGGCAATCACGATGACGGCAGCGACCCGGACTATACTGTTGACGACTCTGGAGACGGTGACGATGATGAAGACGATGATGTCGACGACTGCGAAGATGAAGGCGAGGAGGGGGGCCAAGTGCGGGATTTGGTCCCTGGGCATGATGGCGACGAGCTCGAGGACGAGGACGAGGACGAGGACCAGCCTGCCGACGATTACTTGGACGATGGAACGGAGGAGAACGACAGCGCTGTCAGCGACCCGGACATCCGGCGCCCTATATCCGTTCAGGAGTTCTTGGCATGGAGGCTGTTGGGCCGAGTGCCTAGGGAACGTGAGGCTACTCTCTGCAGGTATCGCTGTTGGCGCTATTGGGTACAACTTCACATTCATTTGGGTCGGGGTCTATGTGGGAAGTCAGTTGAGACGCTGGAGCCTGGTTAGGCTGGCTCGCACAGGCTACCGGCTACGCGCAATCTGTAGTACTTGGCACGCTCGGGATTTTGGTCGGAACCAACTCGGTACGGTGCGGCTCTGTGCTGTTATGTTCAAATACGCGGATTGGATGCGGACTTCCCGTACCGTACGGCGTCGTATGAAGGACGCATGTCTTCAGGAGAGTGTTCAAGCGTTACGATCATCTTCTCGCGTTCGTTCCAGCATACGAGCACACAGGCGTATGGCTTGCAGCGGCTTCCCACTCCCCTCCTGTCAGCTGTCAGTCAGCACCCCTCATGTAGGACGGGCACATGTAGGAGCAGCAGTAGCAGCACCAATGGTTGCAGCAGCAACGGCAATAGGATCGATTGCAGTAGCATCAGCCAACACGTACATATATACACACTCATACACACCCTGCGCCGTAGCTGGGTTCACGAAGTCCACCGACACCTATATCCCTCCGCCGGACTGCTGTCAAAACCTCCGCCAGGTACATGCCGTACGAGGAAGCCGTACCCCGCGCCCTGACCCGTGGGTCACTCTGGCAGCAGCTACAACTGGACACCGGGGCGGTGGAGCCCCAGGCGAGGAACAGGGGCTACCGATTCGATGTGAGTGGGGTGCAGGGTAAGGGGTCAGAGGGACTCGACCCTGAACAGCCGACGACGGCCCGGCCTGGTGGAGAGAGGGGGGATGTGGCTTCCGGGGCATGAGTGTGTATGTATGTACGTATGTATGTGTGTATCCAGCATGGTTATTTGTGCACATATCGCAGGAGGCCCCGGGTTGGGAGGATGGGGCCTATCGTACATGGCTGGGATGTGAGGGTGCCGCATACGGCGGGGTAGTGGCACTCCGCGGGGTGATGTGCGGGGCCCCGCTGTGGGTGCCCCGGGTGGCGGGCTACTGCGGCACTGCTGGCTACCTCGCTTCGGTTGTGGTTGGGCAGCTGGGGAACGGACTGGCGGGGATGCGGGGTGGATAGGGGGCGGGCGGGGAAGAGCGGTTGGGCGCCGGGTCGCGGGGCCCAGGGGTCCAGGGGGCTCCCTGGAGCAACTTCCCTCCGCTTCCAGAGTCCGTAAAGGAGGCCTGGCAGGCGTAGTACGACAGCTGCCGCCGGCCCCTGAGGGTACGTGGGGAGAGATGGGGTGTGGGTATCGCCATCTCCGTCTTCTCATCATTTCCGTACTTCTAAATGTGCTTTATTGCCGTACCAATTTGTTTTGCATATAGTCCCCCTTGTGGGCCTCCTGCACCGCCCGACCGCTCCCTCCCCAACGGCCACAGTCCCCTTTGGACGCCGGGTTCGATAGCTGCATGTTTGCAAGCCGGGAGGCACAGTACGGAAAGAAAATACGACAGGTACGACATAGTCTGATAGTCGTGATAGTCTGTGTACGAGGACTGCCTGGAGTAGTTCCAGGGAGGTTTGGGGCGCTATGTGGGGTGTGTGTGTGTGTGTGTATGTGTGTGTATGTGTGTGTCTGTGTGTGTGTGTGGAGTGGGGTTCCCTTTGAGCTCGCTCTTCTAACTCTCCTACGCCCTTACCTACGTCCCAGTTCAGGATGTCCTGCTGGACCCGTACCCTACGTAACCCCCCCCGCCTTATAGCCCCCATGACAGCCCCTCGGTATGGCGTTACCACCCAACATCTGGACTAGTCGTGGAAGTAAAGACCGCCATCCCCCCCCGAGCGCGAATGGGGCCCCCAGTGGTGTATATCTTGGCGATGGCAAACGACGCTACCACCGTAACGTGCCGTACCATCATGCGTCATTCCACACCTTACATGCACCGGGCCCAATCCCTCTCCTTCCCCCCAGGCGGTTCGCGAGGCAGTGGCTAGTGACCCACGGGTCACTGCCCGGGTCACCCTGCTGGGAACATCATCCCACAAAGCTACCGATACCCTACCCGCCTCACCTGCCGCCGCCGCCGCCGCCGCCAGCGCCAGTCCACAGTCCGAGCCCACCCCAATTAACACAACCGCCCCCACAACCACCCCCACAACCGCCTCCTGCTCCTCCGCCTCCACGCGAACGTTCTTCGCCGCGTGGGGCTGCCGGGCCTCACCAGCGGGGCCGGCTGGGCCTGCGGCTCCAGGGGTGGCGGCGGCAGCGGCGGCGGCGCCTCCGTCTGCTGCATCTGCTTCTCCGGCTGACCTCCCCCCCGTCTGCTACCTTTCCGGCCTGGCTGTAGTCCCCTCGCCGCGCATGATCCGGATCAGGGAGGTGGGGCAGGCGGGGGGCCCCGGGGCCGGGTCGGGTTGGAGCGCGTCTCAGAGGCGACACATGGCTTGTCACCGAGCTCTACCGCGGTGAGGGTGGGTGGGTGGGGGGCGCTGGTTGTGTGGAGGCTGTGGCGTGGCTGTGTATGCTGGGGAAGGGTTGGAAATGCGTGCGGGGCTGAGGGGGGAAGGGGGCCGAGTGGGGCGCGCAGTGGGATCCGCCCGGCAGCGTGTCGGCCCGTGCGCGCTCGTCCAAGCTGCAAGGCCGGTATCGCCGTACAACACATGCCCCGACTCCCCCGACTCCCTGCCCCACGACCCAAGCCCAGCTGGGTCACTCACGGTGTCGGGCCGTCTGCACCGTTCTGGGTTCGTGTCTGTCTTCCCTCCCCCTCCCCTCCAAATCGTCCCCATCTCCCGGCATTCACTCGCTCGTGGCTCGTCTTTCCCCGTCCTCCTCCGCCTCTCCCTCCCTCCCACTCTGCTCTCCGGGCGCCTTAGACGTTGGCACCCGTTGATTTGGGTTTTACATTGTATACCTCCACGCACTCACACACTCGGTCACTCGGTCACCACCGTTCCCCTTTGACCCCCGGGCCCCCCGAAACACACATACGCCCACCCCGTAGCTACCCCCGGGCTGTGGTAGACAGTTTGGACTCCCGGGCCTACATCGGACAGTTCTCAGCGGACGGGCGGTACTTCGTGGCGGCATTCCAGGTGCGTGTGGAATCGGGTATGGGTATGGAATCGTGGGGTGTTGTACGGCAGATGTTGGGGGGTTGAGGGGTTAGGATCAGCGCAGATGGGGCTTGGGGAGGGGTGCGAACCGGAGCTGGCTGGGGGCAGCGGTCCCCGGGGCTGGGGGTTTTGGGGGAGAGGAGGGGGGTGACGGAGGAGGGAGTGACGCAGCATATACAGATATACACATCCCCGCTCCACGGCTTTCCGGCGCGCCACAGGACCGTCGTGTACGACTGTACGACGTGGAGCGGGGCTGGCGGCTACGGAAGGACATCACCACACGGATGTGCAGGTGGGGTGACCCGGCGGGTGGCTGGGGGTTGCATTCCGTGTGGTGCTCCACTTTCCCTCCTGGGAGTCCCTTCGGGCCCCCGGGAATTCGGCATTCATTCCCTCCTCCTCCTCCTCCTCCCCCCGTCGTGGCCCTGTCAACGCTTTGGACTCCCGTAGCACTTCGGACGCATCAACTTTGGACAACGTTGCCGGCAGTTGTTCTCCCGTCTTGATTTGGCAACATATAATTCCCCCACCCCCCACCCCCCACCATACACACACCCCGGCCCTGGGGTCACCCCCACCCCAGGTGGACAATTACCGATACCTCCATCTCCCCCGACCAGCGCTTCGTCCTCTACTCATCCATCATACCTATCGTACACCTGGTGGAGGTACGGCAGGATGGTGGGAAGCGAGGGGAGGCGGAGGGGATTTGTGCTGGGGCGCAGAGACGGAGCCTTGTGTGCGTATACATGTCTGTGGTGCGTGTATATGTCTAGAAGTATATGTATGTATGAACGTATGTATGTACAGGTTGAGGGCTTCGAGAAAGGCAACAGGCTCCGGGGCCCGTTAGACACGAACCCTAATGATCAGGCAATCACCTGTCTGCTCCCCCGCCCGCCCCCAAACCCCCGAGGGCCAGGGGCCCCTTAACGTGGAATCTGTCTGTCGGTCTGTTTGTTAACCGCCAGACCCCTGGGTCCCACTCAGGTTGGGAGTGTGTACGACAGCGTGTCATCAGTTTGTAATATCACCCAGGTAGGGAGAGGGTGGGGGGAGCCCAGTGAGGGAGTCGGGGGGAGGGAAGGGAGGGGAGGGGGAGGGAGGAGGGAGGGGGAGGGAGGAGGGAGGGGGAGGGAGGGAAGGGAGGGGGAGGGAGGAGGGAGGGGGAGGGAGGGAAGGGAGGGGGAGGGAGGGGGGGAGGGGGAGGGAGGGAAGGGAGGGGGAGGGAGGGAAGGGAGGGGGAGGGAGGGAAGGGAGGGGGAGGGAGGGAGAAGTGGGGAAGGGGGGCACCTATCTTGCAGCTGGTGTGGTCTGTAGTTAAGACCCCACAGCGCCGCCTCTCCCCACAGTACACAGCCTGTCACCACCACCACCACCACCCGCACCCACATTCCCTCGCTAACAGATACACGAGCCCCTCAACTTTGAAAGCAGCAACGCGGGGGGCTTCGGAATCTGGTGGGTGGTTGGGTGGTTGGTTGGGTGGTTGGGTGACACAGCGGGTGAGGAGTATGGGTAGAAATGGGGAAGGGGAAAGACTCGCCGACTTTGACCGTGGCCTTCCCCCTCTTCCCCCCCACCCCCCTCACCCCCGCGCCGGCCCTCCCGAATGCGATGATGCGTGTCGTACGGTACAGGTCGGTGAAGTGGTCGGGAGATGGACGAGAGATTGTGGTGGGCAACAACGATTCGGTGAGTCTGTCTGCCGGTCTGTCCGTCTGTCGGTCTGTCTGTCCGTCTGTCTGCCGGTCTGTTGTCCGTCTGTCGGTCTGTCTGTCCGTCTGTCTGCCGGTCTGTTGTCCGTCTGTCGGTCTGTCTGTCCGTCTGTCTGCCGGTCTGTTGTCCGTCTGCCGGTCTGTCTGTCCGTCTGTCTACTTGCAAATAACCAGTGACGTGTCGGCGGGTGGGCGTTAAGGCTTGGGGGGAGTATGGACCAGTCTCAAGGCAACTGCCTGCCATGATCGGGCCCATCAGGCCCATCTAGACGTCGAGTATTCGCCCCACATAGTAGTCTGTAGAAACCCGAAGTAATAAACCTGAGTTGAAGAAACAAAATCTGCTGAAGTAGGTGTACTCTTGGGGGCTCTGCCCTGACTCCTTCACCCCGACCCGCGTGGGACTTCGGCGGCTGCTGCATGCGCCCACTTGTCGCCCCCTGGCCTCCACCACCCCAGCGACCCCCGGCCATGGGGCCGCCCCACCACGAGCCCGCCGCTTCAGGTTTTCTTATCGTTCCCCCTCCCCCCTTCTCACCCCCCCACACAGTCGGTGGTGGTTATGGATGTGGAGACAAAGAGGGTGGTCGCCGCAGCCAGCGGCCACACGGTGGGTGACGCCCGGGTTACGTCCTCCCCGCCCTCCCTTTCCCTGACGAAGGGGGAGTGTACGTTTGTATGTTTGTAGTCAGTCATGTGTTGATTGTTGGTTGGGGTCCCGGCCTCGCGCCACACACACCCAGCGACAGACACCCCCGCAGTCCTAGAAGATACGAAGAAGACACCAACAGATGATACGGGCGAGGGCTTGTGGCAGTGTGTGTGTGTGTATATGCACGTATGTATGTATTTCGTGTGTGTAGTAATTACGGCAGCCGCCTCGTAGCTACAGCCATAGGGGGGTTCGGCAGCCTCACGGGCACGGAGATCTCACTTCTCCCAGTTCCCCGCCTCCTCCTCCCCGTCCCCCGTTCCCTCACCACCGGCCGCATATGCCCCCGGTGCTCCGCAAGTGAACTGGCCTAACTTCACACCTCCCTACCCCCTTACAACCCCCCCTAAACTATCCCCTACCCCCTCACCCCAGGACGACGTCAACGCGGTCACCTATGCGGACGCCTCCCCCAACATCATCATATCGGGAAGCGACGACACGTTCATAAAGGCACGTGTGCATTAGGGATGCGAATTTACGTTTTACGTTTTTACGTTTTAAGGAATTAAGGTTACGTAATTACGTAATTAAGATTGGACCTGGCGGTAATTTACAGAATTAAGGGCTCGCCGTAATAAGGTCCCTCAGGAGGGGTAGAAACCTTAAAAGCTTAACAGACCCATGGGTCTTACAGGTTCCGCCGGTCTGCAAACCAGGGTGCCGCTGACCCGTCCACTCCTCCGAACACACCACAAACCCAGCCATGGGGGAAGCGTGAAAGAGTCCAACAATGCAGGTTGAAACCCGCGATTCCCTCCGCCCAACCAAGCAAAAGAGCAAGTCAAGTAGTCAACACGACAAGTAGTCCTGGTTTGCAACGGTATTAGGTGTCGTGGTCGAGTATGTATGCACGGCTTTCAATGCTTAACGAAATCCCCATGGGCCCAACCATGAGCCCATCATGCTGAGCCAACAAGCAAAAACAGCCGGTACTGAGGAAGGGAAGCTGCCAGGACTGAAATCGTTTACTGCTCCGGCAGCTCCAGGCCCGGCTGGGCCTCCATCCACCGAATGAACTCCTCCCAGTCCAGCGATAGTCGCCAAGTCGGCTGTACAAGCGCCAAACTGATGTCAAAATATGTAAATAAGTAAAGAATGGTGTTGCGAATGTGAAAACGCTGAAATTGTGCTGAAAATCCAAAATCGTACACTAGTACGGCAACCTTAAATTAAGGGTCCAGGGTCCAGGCCGTGGAAACCGTAAATTACAGTAATTTACTATATTACGCTTTTAAGCTTACGTAATTAAGGTTGCCAAATCCCAATTCAGCTGAAACTCACATCCCTAGTGTGCATGTGTATAGGTGGATATAAGAACGGTGTTGGGGGGAAAAGGGTTAAGGGGGGAAGCGTGCTGTACCGCATGCCGCCGCACCCTGTACTGCACCTTGGGGAGGGGGAGGGGGAGGGGCCGAGCCGGCGGTGGCATAAGCCCCGCACCAGCCGTTGGACCTGGCGACCGGCTTGGTTCTGTCCGTGGGGGCTTCCCCCTCTTCGCCCTCACCCTCGCCCTCACCCTCGCTTCCTGTCCCTGTGCCTTTCCGGGAGCAGCAGCACGCACTCCGCAATGATCCGCCCTCATCACAACTCCAGCTGTGTTGCCATATCTCTTCTCTGTCTCTCTCTCTGTCTGTCTCTCGCACCGGTGCCGGATACCGGGTGCCGCTAACGGGCCCCCCGACACCTCGCCTACACCCACCCAAAACTTGTGCAGGTGTGGGACCGCCGTACCATGCCCGGACCTGAGGACCCCAGGAACTCCCGCCCTGGACCCCGACCCGTAGGTCAGTGGACGGCGCGTGACGTCGTAGATCGACAGACAGACAGACAGACGCACACACACGCACACACACACGCACACACACGCGCGCACACACACACGCACACACACGCGCACACACACACACACGCGCGTGCGCGTCGCGTGGGGTATAGAGCACCTTCCGGCACCACCCCCCGTGGCCCTTGCACCGGCTACTGTACGTGCTCCTTCCTACATACCTATAGCTCGCTCACCTCCGCGGCCCACCACATCAGCCACCTCACAACCATGTCCGCCCAGCACTGCACTGACCTCAACCCAGGGCGCACACACGTCCGCTTGTGACGCTCTCTGCAGCCACCGGGCGCCAACTGGCAGTGCTCCTCCTCGCCTTGCCACGTGTTGTGTTGTGTTGTGTTGTGTTGTGTTGTGTGTGTTGTGTTGTGTTGTGTTGTGTTGTGTTGTGTTGTGTTGTGTTGTATTGTGTTGTGTTGTGTTGTATTGTGTTGTGTTGTGTGGCGAGCCGAGAGCTACTAGACGCCGCAACTGGGGATGTCCAGGTGCACTTGTTGTCCCATTTCGACACGGCATCATATACTAACCCTCGATCCGCTAGACCGGGTAGACCGGCTAGACCAGCTCCCCGCACTGCGATTCCCCAGAAGCCGAAGCGCCAATCTGACCGTTATTTTCCGCCCGCGCACGTACCCAGACCCGCAGCACGCGCTCCCGGACTTCGCGCCTTTTCCCCCTTCCCCCTTTGTCTTACCGCCGCGGCAGGTGTGTTTGTCGGCCACACGGAGGGTTTGACTCACCTCCACTCCAGGGGGGACGGACTGCACGTACTGTCCAATGCCAAGGACCAGACCGCTAAATTGTGGGACTTACGGATGGTGCGGGTGAGGAGTGGTGGGGGGGGAAGAGGGAGGGAAAGGGGATAGGAGCGGAAAGACGGAGAGGTGGCGTTAGTAGCCGAGACAACGAACCGGACCCTCCCCCATACGTACTAAATTTCTTGTCTTATCGGGGAGGCGACTCCTCTCGGGGCGGGAGAAGGTCAGGGTTGCGGTATGTCCCTGAATGTCGCCCAATCAGGGTATTTCTTCCCGACCATTACCTCCGCTGCCTCGCATCCGCCCTCCCCACCCGCTCCTCACCTCATACCCCACCCAGTACGACATCCTTTGCGCATCTTTGGCTTCATGAAATAGAACCTTCAAAATTAACGGGCCCGGCTGTCCCCACACAACCCCCTTCCCCCCCCAAAGGAGGGCGGCTCTCTCAGACACCCGGCAGCCAGTGAGGACCACCTGGCAACCACTCACGTCCCGCGGTATAACTGGGACTACCGGTATGTCGTACTACTACAACGCCGCGTATGCTGTACACATTGTCGATTCGAATGCCGGTTCTTATTCTGTGCCGGTTCTGTGCCGGTTGCAGCCTATTTTGGCCCCGCACACATGTGACAGACACACATACGCACACATGTGACAGACTCCTGCTTGCCACATACAGACACACACACGCGTACACATACACACACGCATACATACGTGTGCAACTCGTCAGTCTCTCGCGCCACCGCCCCGGCCTTTCACCCCGTGAATAACATTCTCAGCTGGCAGGAATACCCGGGCACAAGTCGCGTCGTAAAGCACCCGCTCGACAGCTCCGTACAGACATTTCGTGGTCACACCGTACAGAGCACCCTCATCCGTGCGTACTTCAGCCCCGCTCACACCACGGGACAGCGCTTCGTGTACACGGGCTGTGCGACGGGCGGAGTGCACGTGTACGACATTGTTACAGGGCAGGAGGTGGAGGGCAGTCCGCTGCGATTGCACCGCAAGCTGGTTCGAGACGTCAGCTGGCACCCCTTCGACCCGGTACTGGCAACTGTTAGCTGGGTAAGAAGTGGCGGCTGGGGCTGGGAACTTGGGTTTGGGATATGCCGTTAGGCCACGGGGAAGGAGAAGGGCAAACGAAGGGGGGGTACGGCAGGAAAGATAATGTGCCGAGGTCGATAATCATGAGCGTGGTCGGAGGCCGGCAAGTGGTCTCCCGGCTGGGAGGTACTGGTCAGCTGTTTGTGTGTGTATGTGTGTGTGTGGACGGGACGTAGCCGTGGACGCTCTGCTCATCTTGGGTTGGGTTTTCCAGGTGGATGTGCGTGGCTTAATGTGCGGGGACGGGCTGGGAAAGCCGGGGTGATTGGCCTAGCTGAAGAAGTCATAAGTGAAAACGATGGAGGGGCTTTCACAGAGGCTATGCACTTATTTTCCGTGGTCCTCTCTTCCTCGCGCTGTCTGTTCCATGATTGCGAGCTCCAGCCTCCCTCCCTCATCGCCTCATACTTAAGGAATAAATTACGACGACCCAGCAACTTTGTTACTTAGGTTGGAATAAATTGAGACCCGCCCTAAATGAAAAAAAATCACTGCTCATCGGCCCGCAGGATGGCACGGTGGTGCGCTGGGACGCGGTGCCGCCTGACACAGACTCGCGGCCACTGCTGGTGCCAGGTCGCGACGCCTTCAACGATAATTACTACTAAGAGCGGCTTCACCTCAGAACCTCAGAACCTTCCAGATCTGCGATTGCTTTCACGGGGAGGGGGAACCCGCTGGGAGCGTTACGCTGGGCTGCTGTAATTGGGAACTGCAAGGATGTGCCTTTGCCGTGAAAGGGCCTTAGGTTGTAGGGACGTGTGAGGCTGTAGGGATGTGTGAGGGTGCAAGGATTGCGTTGAGTACACTGCACTGCGGCGACAATCTATTGCATATTTTGCTGACAATTCAATGAAGGTATGCGATGAGAGTAGGCGGATAGGTTAGAGACTGTACTGAACTTAAGAGCTGCGCAAGCCGTTTTGTAAGTACTGTCGCCACGGCGATGATCTGTCGAGTGCACGTGTGTGTTTATAACAACATGAGGAATAGTTGCTCAGTATTATAAGAGTTCCCCATGCTAACTTAATTTTCCTAGCCTAGGAAGTAAAGCAAAACACTGGTCCGGGTGTAGCGCCCGTCTTTTGAAATTTTTATGGAGATACTTTCGGTTGTCTACGGGAGTTGCTAGAATGAACGTGGTTTTCTTTAGGCATATCTACTCTGCTACTGTGAAATAGGCCCAAATCTTGTAAATTTTCTAGTACGTCGATAATGTTATATCTATTTGGTCCAGGCAATGTTGTCTGATGTTTTTGGGGAGACCGTGGTGTTTTGTCTAGGTAATCTCTGATGAACATCTTGAATTTGATACGGGATGAAAAGCATACATGGTGCCTTACAGCACTAAGTCAATTTTGCCCACTGTTGCGGTAGGCAAAAAGCAACATACGGGCCAACCTGCCACGGCCACTCCCTACTACTCAAAAGCAGCACTCCGACCAAACGCAGCCGGGCATGTACTCCAAAACCAATGCTTATGTTACCAACGAGTCCTAACACGACGTCAGCTAGGGTAGTCGCGCTCGTAGGTTGAACGGATGTCCAAACCTCGCGCAGCTGCGAAGAAGACAACCAAAAACAAAACGTGTCCACTAAGCACCGCCCATAACCACGCCCTTGCTACACTCGGCGATACGCTTAGTAGACGTAGCCCTTCTCGTACATGCCCTGGGCAGCCTCCTTGCCCTCAGTGGCAGGGTCGTACTTGCCGAGCTGAGCATCGGAGTTCGCCTTGGCGCGCTTGAGCAGCGCGGCCTGAGCAGCTGGGACGTTCTCGGCCTTGCCCTGCCACGTCTTCAGGACGGTGTTCTGCAGAGCGCGGGCGTAGGAGAACGACACGTGCCACGGGTTCGGCGACTGGTTCATGGCGTTCAGGTTGAGGGTGGACTCCAGCTCCGACTGGCCGCCCGACAGGAACATGATGCCAGGCACGGCCGGCGGGACGCGGCGACGCAGCATCTTCAGGGTGTACTCGGCAACCTTGGCTGGGCCGGCGCGGTTAGGGCAGTCAGCACCAGGGGTGACCATGGCGGGCTTCAGCAGGATACCCTCGAACATGACCTTGTTGTCGGCCATGTACTTGAAGGTCTCAGCCCAGATAGCCTCCTGGACCTCCAGGCAGCGGTCAATATCGTGGTCACCTGTGGGAGAAGTAGCACGACAAAATTTGATGCGTGACCGACCAAGAGAAAAATGCATAGCAATCACTATATCAAGCCTGAGTGACAAAACCATAATCCAGCCAACTATCACCCAAGTGCTTCGCAACTTGGCCAAGCCTGCTTAGCTTTGGAAATTCAAACAGTTCGCAAAGCAATGTTAAGACAATACAATCAATAGATGCTGGTCTACGAAGTGAGGATAACGATCCCAGAAAGCCCATTGTGGATGCAAAGGCCAAGTGGGTCCCAAACGATTTCACCGCAGCGGATCATTCATTCCAAAACATCCTAATGCAAACGACAGGCGGTGACCTGCAAATCGGGAGATTACCTAAAGTTACACGCAGATCGCTAGAAATCCATCCCGTTGCTCACCGTCCAGGAGCACCTCAGGCTCGACAATCGGGACCAGACCAGCGTTCTGAGCAATGGCAGCGTAGCGAGCCAGGCCGTAGGCGCAGTCGCGATGGGCAATCAGAGACGGGCCGTGGGGAATGGAGACGACCGAGCGCCACTTAGCAAAGCGAGCGCCAGCCTTGTAGTACTCAGCACAGCGCTTGTCCAAGCCGTCCAGACCCATGCACCAGGACTCGCCGTTGGTGTTGGCCAGCGGCACCAGACCCTTGTCGACCTTGATACCAGGGACAATGTTCTGCTCCTTCATGGCGTCGACGAACTTGCGGCCGTCCTTGGTCGACTGGTACAGGGTCTCCTCGAACAGAATAGCGCCGGAAATGTACTGGCCAATGCCCGGGGTGGTGCACAGCAGCTCGCGGTAGGCGCGGCGGTTCTCCTCGGTGTTCTCGACGCCAATGGAGTCCAGGCGCTTGCCGCAGGTGGCGTTCGACTCATCCATAGCCAGGATACCGCGGCCCTTAGAAGCGATGGTGTTCGCGGTCTTGATGAGCTCCTCATCGTACTTGCCGGCGCGGACGACCACGCTCTTGCGCGAGCGAGCGGCGGTCACGGCCTTCAGGCCAGCCGACTGCTTCATGATCAGGGCCATCTTAAACTGCAAGTAGCGACCTAGAGCGACAAGCCGGAGTAACTTATGCTACTAAGCACAAGCAGAGCACCCGAGAATGTACCTATGCTAGTTAGCGAACGGACTTTTAAAGCCAGCAGCAGCGGCCGGTCGTCCGATCGTACGAGGGTAGGGTTTCGGAGCCGAAAACATCGCATCCCAAACATTCTGGACAGCATTTGAGTCTATACAGCAAAAGATACTCTTTTCTTGGGTCCTTGTAATTTGATGACGGTCATGGTGTCGTCTGCGGCTGGTTGCCGTCATGACGACCTGACCCGATTTGCTGAGTCCTTAACATGTGCGACAATTAGTGAATTTTACTTATAATAGTAGGCCTATTTGCTAGTGATATCCGTGATGCAATTCTGTGCACCTGTCGCGTAAGTCTAGGCATGTCGATCGGTGATGCACAACCCAGCTAAACGGATTTTTTGTGCGATTAGTTTAGCACATTTCCTTTCCGGTGCAATTCCTCTCCTTCCTACCAGTTTTTCAGTAACAATCCGTTTCGGGTCTGTTGCTGCCATGTGGGTCGGCAACTGTTGTGTAATTGTCGATAACAATTACTATTAAGCTGAATTCTAACAAAACCTCGCACGACGACATATTGAACGCGCTAAACCGCTATAGGCGAATGACGAGTTCGAACTAATACCCATCCATGGTTGCGAAGTGCAGCAACGCCTGCAAGTGCTACACCCTTTGGCAAAAGCGTCTGGTAAACATCTCATCTCAACTGCTGAAACCAATAGCCACCAAAAAAGCGACTCTCCGGAAGTGTGCACGTCCAAACATCTGTCCCATACGAGCCCACGCGACAGTCACTTATCCTCCCTGGCTCAACACTTGAGATATGGCAGCTGGCGGGCCGCATCCTCCGCACCTCGCGCCGCCGCCGAGTCTGCACTTGGGCCCGCCAGGTTTAGGCAGCGCAGCTGCATCATGCACCCCAGCGGCTCCGAAACCTCCCCAGTCGCCGCCGCCTGCAGTCCGGGCGCCCGCAATGTCAGGTAACGCAGACCCGTCAGCACCGACAACGGCCGCAGCACCTCTGCCGCTGCCAGCTCGTCATCCGGCAGACCCAGTAGCATAAACTCCAGCGACCGCAGCGACCCAAGGGTCGCGACGCCATGCCGTATGAGCCGCCAGCGCCAACAGCAACATGAGACATCGCCCCCGCCGCAGCTCCCACAGCCACCCGTCCCATTCACCTCGGCCCCCCTACCACCCTCATCCTCAGGCCGGTCAATACGGTCACTTTCGCCCGTCCCGTCCCCCACGACGCTGCCAAACCCGTTTTCGCTCAACCCAGTCATGGGGCTGCTGGCCGAAGGGCACCGCGGCTGCCAGTTCTGTTGCTCCTGTCCGCCGCGCTCCCCCTCCTTCGTCCCCTGCTGCTGTGGCTGGTGATTACCGACCAAGTATTGTGGCTGCTGGTTGAGCGAAGACTCACGCTGGCGGCTGAACGGCCGCGCGGCTGCGCTGCAACCTCCGTTCCCTGTCGCTGAGTGAAGCGCAGTCCTCTGTCCGGCGTTGTGCGGCGGGGAACACCGTGCAGGTGCCATGTGGGTCACAGGGCTAGTGAGGCAACTAGGACTGATCCAGACGTTGGGCGAGCAGCAGCAGCTGCAGGAGGGGGAATGGAAGTGGGAGTCCCCAGAGGCCCAGTCGGTGCGGCGACCCGATAGGACCTGGGCACCTGAACTTGACCCTGGAGAGGGAGCCGATCCGCGGCAGTCGTGCGACGGGTGCTTCCTCTGCCTTTGTGCTGCTGCTGCTGCTGCTGCTGCTGCTGCTGCTGCTACTGCTGCTGCTGCTGCAACGGCACCGGTACTGGGGCCCGTGGGGGCTGGTGGGGGCCGGTTTGGTGCCGGGCCTGGAAGCCCCGAGCGAAACTGCTGGCGGTCGGGATGGTGCCGGTGGCGCAATGAGTGGCAGGCACGCCATGAGCGGTTGTCGTTGAGAATCAGCACCTGGCCAAGGGGGTGGCGGGTTTTGGCGGTTGCGGGCGGCGGGAAGGAAACGTGATGGATGGAAGGACGTAACTGGGTTACTGATGTGCAAGTGGGAGTGGGCATGAGGAGGAAGTGTGTACCAAAGGGTCCGTCCGGAAGGAGGAGTTGGAGAAGTCGAGCCACCAAGGCAGGGGGCCAGGGAGCAAGGGATTAGGCGAGGAGTCAGTCCGCGGCCTCGATGTGTCATCGCTCCAAATACCGCGAAGACCCAATCCAGGGATCCACGCCACAGGTCGCCAACAGAAAGGCCGCCGATGTGCCTCAAACCATCACACAGCGCTGAAGGTCTAGATGGACCGGGGTGCTAGTCCCCTTCGCCTCCGTAACGCACGCAAGGAAACGCCGTAAAATTGAACGTCCGAACGTGCCCATGCCCCCGCCACAATACACACACACGTACATACACACAGACACACACGCACACGCACACGCACACGCGCACACACAAACACACACACCAACTACACACCTGCAACTTGTTGGCGCCGCAGTCCCCCACCATCAGATGTGCGGGAGTCAGGCCGCAGTCCAGAACCTGAGAGGAGGGGGAGGTGCGTATGAGTGTATGTATGCATATGCGTTTGCATGTGCGTCTGTAAGTGTACGCGTGTGTGGTGGTGGTGGTGGTGGGGAATACACGCCATACACGCCAAAGCCGGCGGAACACCTGTCGACACCCAAAGCACAAGGGAGGGTGGGGATGCTGCTAGAGGTAAAGGATACGCGGTTTAGCTGGGTGGCTGAGGGGGAAACGCCCCGTACCTGCAGTGACGTAAGGCCCGTCATCGGACCCGCCAGCAGCTCCAGCAGCTCCCCCCCACGCAGCCGGATGCCACTCAGCTCCAACCGCACCAGACCGGGTGGGAGGCACCGCCCCAAACCCACACCCAGGTCCAAGGCGCCCGCCGCAATGGCCGCCTCCCGGTTGTCGTCGTCATCGCCGCCGGGACCCCAGCTGCGGCTCCCGCCGCCCAGGCCGTCGGTGGCGACGAATGCGGTGGATGAGGTGGCGGCGGTGGTGGTGGTGTGCCTGAACCACGCGAGGGATATCTGCTCCTCCGGGACGGCGGTGAGGCTGAGGTCGCGGAGGGAGGTCCAGGAGGCCAGACAATCCAGGGAGGGCTTACCGGGAACGTCCGGTTCGATCTGACCTGCGGGGCCGCGCGGGTGAGGTGATGACACGGCATCCTCGGCGATATGTGATACGCGTGTGCGTGTGCGTGTGCGTGTGCGTGTGTTACTCCTCGGTTGCGTTACCCAGAGAGGTGTCATGAGCCCATGATACGCGTGCGATTTGTGTGCGTTACACCTCCTGGAGTTGCGGTACCACCCCTCCGCGGTGGAAAGAACCAATCCGGGAGGGATATGGGATCGAAGGGTTGGCGGGTCGTGGGGTTCGGCCAGAGGCGTGTACGGAGGGCTCTGGAGGCCCTCCAGCAGTCTTAAAACCCCCTATGGCACGGAAGCGGCCAAGCAGGTAATTCGGAAAGTTCGGGTTGACGGATTCGTGGCTCTGGGGGGGCATGTACATCCCTTCTTCCTCTCCCCCCGGCCCCGCCCAACCACACACACCTCCCGCCCCGGTAATCCCTCCCCCCACTTCCCCTTCCCTCCCCCCTCGTCCGGAAGCCCTCGCCCCACCGGAGAAGGCGAGTTGCGACAGCTGCGTCCAGGCCCCCGCCAGCTCCTGCACCACCCGGCCACTGAGGCTGATAATGAAGTCCCGCTCGGAGGGGTCGTGGCGCAGGGAAAACCTGACGAGTGAAACGGGTTGGTGGATTATTGTCCCATGCCCCATGTCCCCCGCAGGGAAGGGCTCTGACAAAGGCCAGCTTTCAGACGGTTTATTTGCGTAATGCGAAGGTTACGCAATGGAAGGGGGTTAGGCGGTCTTGAGGCACCGAGCGCACCGGGGACCCGCACACCCGCACACATGGCCAACTCCAATCCCCCCTCCCCTCCCCTCCTGCCCTGTTAAAACCCTTCACCCCGCCACTTTCCCCTCCAACCCAACCAACCTTTACACGACCCCAGGTCCCTCAGGTTAGACTGCTCCCCGATTGCCCCGATACACAGCCGCAGGCTGTAGCTCCTTTCCCTCCTAAACCGCTGGCCGCCCAGCCACCCAGCCACCAACTCAGACCCTACGCCGCGACCCATGCGGGCGCCCATTGAACCTCGTAAACCCACCTCTACCCCACATCCTACTCCCCCAAACCCTCCCCCACCCCACCCCTCCAGAGCCCTCCCCCACCCCCCACCCCCCTCACCTCCGAAGTCCCGTTAGGGGAGCCAGCGCCGTCATGTCGTCAGAGTACAGTGCAACTGGACACGTCAAGTACGACAGGCTCAGGGCCGTAAGGGAGGTGAGCTCAGCCAGGATTTGCAACGCATGGCCGCTGTCCAGAGTCTGTTGTGGGGGTCGTGGCGTGGAGGGGAGCGGGGGCCAGGGCGGGAGGGAAGTGGGGGAAAGGAGGGAGGAAGCGGCTCAGCCGACCGATAGCCGGAGGTAGCAACGAGCCGCCCCGTACAGGTACCAATAGGAGGCCACACCAGTAGGGGCGAGCAGGTGCCGCGGTCTCTCCCACCCGACCCCTCAGGCCCTTGCATCTAACAACCCCACACCCGGCCCCACCCCACGCCACTGCACCCACCAAGGACAAGCTGAGGGAGCGCAAGTGGGACAGCGGCACATCCTCCACGGGCAGCCAGGAGCTGTGGAGCCCGATACAACGGCGCGAGTTCACCTCGAACCTGCGAGCCGTGTGCGTGTGTATGGGTTGGGGGGCCAAGGGGGGCCCGGGCAGGGGGGCATTAGGATTTATGGAAATGGGGAATCGACATGATTGGGGAGGGGTTTGCGTGATGGTGGGCGCCTGGAACGATATTGGGAAGTACGGCCCCCTCCCCCTCTCTCCCCCCTTCTCCCCCCTTATCTCTCTCGTCGTTCAGCCCTGTTCGGGTCAGGCGAAGTTAGTTACCCCGCTGTGCAGTTCCGCACCCCACTCGCCGCCAGGGGTGTACGTGGGGCTTCACATGGCCACATGACCCGTCGGGGTCCGCGGTTTCCCACCCGCAACCCACAATTACTCTGTATATATGTATGTGTCTATATATGTTGTCTATACACATATGTATACATGTATGTATGAATGTATTATGTATACGTGTATATGTGACCAGGAAAAGCGCGCCATCTATACAAGCCTAAAATCTGAAACAAGCCCCACCCGATAGCTCCTTCTCCGCCCTCCTCAACCCCTCAAGCCACCCCTCCCCTTTGGAGGGCTCAATCAGTCGTACTTGAGCGACTGGAAGTGGCGCAGTTGCTGCAATGCGCCGTACAGCTCGTTCATAAGGTCCTGCGGGTAGTCGTCCAGGTCATCTTGGCCGTACACCAGGTCCACACCGGACAGCGACAGGTCCTAGTCCCAGCGACAGGAAACGCCCCGGACAGAAAAGTACGGTACGGGACGGGGAACGGGAATGGCCTTGTGAAAAAGTCAAAAGAACAACTGCCAACTGGAAACGTCCAACGTCCAACGACCTGGAATCTTCCCAGCCCCGAACAGCTATGTCTAGGTCCGTATGCCTCTACTCTAAAACCCTAAAACTTTCTTCCCCGCAGGCCCAAGTTCCACCTGGAGATCTCTTAGGCTGCTCAGCGCCCCCAGGTCCTCGCGCGTCAGCTCCAGCCGCCCCTGGAGTGACAAACTGGTAAGACACGTCAGCACGCTCGCCAGTGCCGTCAGCGCCCCGCCACCTTGCAAGTCACATCCCACCAGCCGCAACGACCGCAGCCGCGGCCCCATCCGGACGAACAGTGCGGGATGCGGGATCCAACAGCTGGCGACGGTTGGAGCGGTTGCGGCGGCGGCGGCGGCGCTGTCGCTGCTGCCGTGGCCGTTTCCGACAGCCCCGTCGCCGCTACCGCCACTGCCGCTGCCGCTAACGAAGCGGGCGAGACCATACAGGCTGTCGCTGGCCGTACTGTAGCTGTAGTTGCTGCTACTGCCGCCAACGCTGCTGTTATGAGCTGTCGGCTGTAGCGGAGGCCGATGGATGCCGCTGTGCTCTGTATGTTGTTGCCGAGAATGCTCTTGGCCCGGGGCTGCGGTGTCTGCGCTAGCCGGCGTCACGAGGTAGCCGCTGGCCGGGCCTTGCAGGTCCGGAACCGGTCCGCTGCAGCCAGACCTGCCGAAGCCAGGCACCTGCGCCACCTCCACTTCGCTGGTAGAGCCCTCGCCTGCGTTGCCCGCCGTCGCACGCCCATTGCGGCTCTTCGAATCCTGACCCAAATCCAAATCCAAATCCATATCCAGATCTGATCCGTAATTTCCAGCCTCCTCAAGATCCAGCAGATAATCATCTGCCGCTGCAGCAGCTACAGCAGCAGCTGCTGCTGCTGCTGTCGCGGCAGTCACTGGCGCTACATGTTGCGCCGCTGGGTCGGCAGTACCTGCGCCGGTTGTGGCGGCGGGTGAGATGATTGCATCCGCAGCCACCGCTGCTGAGGACACGTCCTCCCCACCAGCGGCCGTCCTCGTCTCCCCTTTGCAGTCTGCACTGAGGCCCCCACACCACAAAGCTCCAACCAAGGCCTCCTCGATGCCCGTCTGAACAACCGCCTCCAATTCTGATTCCGTACTCCCCTCCCCCTCCTCTTCCACCTCCGCTAGCTCCTCGTCCTCCTCCATATCCTGATCTGGCACCTCAAGCAGCTTCAAGCACAAGTGGGTCAGTCGGGTCAGACGGGTGAGGCCCTCCAGCAACACCGCCTGACCCGCCGCAAGCTGCGCTGGGTCCGGTCGCCTGGAGGCGCGCTGAGGCCCCCAGCGTCCCCACCGCTGCTGCCGCTGCCGCCACGATGACGACGGCGAGGAGACGCCCTCGCTGGCCGGCACCAGCTCCACATGCAATCGAGTCAACCCCAGACAACATGACAGGCAGGCCAGTCCCCAGGGCCCAGGGCTGCGACTGCTGGCGTGCCCCTCACCGCCGCCGCTGCCGCGGCTGCCACCCATGCTACGGTTGCTGCGACTGTACTCACGTACGGATGTTGCGGTGATTTCTCCTGGTGCAGTGTTGGCGGCGGCGGCGGCGGCGACGGCGGTCGTCGATGGGTCGCGGGTGCCTGGCGCCGCCGTGGCTCCGGTGTCGTCATGGCGATCGTAGGGAGGAGCTGCCGCCGGCTGCTGCTGCTGCTGCTGCTGGACTGCGAGGCGGACGGTAGTGGCCGGAGTCACGGGCATTTCCAGGAGGTTGAGCTCCTTGAGGTTGCGCCAGCGGCTAAGGTGGTTGGCTAGCAGCTGGGGCAAGGAGGGGGGAGCGGGTGGTGCAGCGGGCCACCAAGGAGCCCTAACGGATTTGAGATGGCGTGCCCGTCAGTTGCCCCTGTCTGTCCCATTGTTCTCAAAGAGACTCATGTAAGGAGTCCTTTAAGATGCAAAAGGCGTTGCGTTTCGGCCTTGCGATGTTAAAATGGGGTGGTCTGTGTGTGTGTGCGCGTGCATATGTATGTGCGTGTGTGTGTGCGCGCGTGTTTTTGTGTCGGTGTGTCGGTGTCCGTCGGAAGAAATACATGACCAGGACAGCAGCTACATGCCACTGGCCAGAGGGAGGGAGATGAAGGGGTAGGGCCGGCGTTGCAGCCGGCCGGCTGCGAATGTTCACAGCTATTACATGTGTACGTCAACGTCTTTTATTCCCGACTTGCGACCAACTCGCTACGGACGGTGTGCATAACCACCCGGCCTGTTGCTGCCCCAACAGCAGTGGCTCTGTCGCGCAAGTGCCTTGGGGGGTCTCGGCTTGTTAATACGCGCCAGAGAGTTATGCCTGGACTGGAGCTTTACTTCTTTGAGGAGGTCCAGGCAGTTCGCGGATCTGGGTCAGCTCTGAACTATCGTGCCCACCTGGCGGAGCGGTGGGCACCTGTTACGCACCTGTAGGGAGAGCTCCTCGTTCAGCGCCCGACCGGCGGCCAAACCGGAGAGGGTCACTGCCGAAGCAACTGGCCACATCCTGTGCAGCCGTCGCAGCGCCACGTCAACGCTCCCAACCCCCGCAGCATTTGCAGTAGTTGCCACCGCCTTGCACGGTACGTTCACATGCCGTATAACGGTTGCGGCAGCCCTGCTCCAGGTTTTGTTCACTAGCCGGCATGCTAGTACGTCGCGCAGGTCAAGGTGCATCATAATGTCCTGCGTCAGGACGGGGTTTCATGCAGAAACGATTTTAGCTGCTGACAGCTTGACCATGTCTGCGCTCGAAGGCACCTGTCACTCTACGGTAAGGGTTACCGTGTTAAATATTATGGAAAGATTTTGCTGAAAGGGCATTTCCGAGCTCTGACTTTGACGAAGGTCGCGCTCCGACAGTACCGAATGTGCAACTTCCCATGACAAACACTTTTCGAAATCTTTTTACCCCCTCAGCGACCCCGATCCAGCGATATATCTCACATTTCAGGCGGTAACTTACAGCGAGGATGCCTTCAGCGAGAGCTGGTGCAGGTAGACGTCGCAAGAGAAACGTGAAGTCCTCCTGCGGGCTTGCTAATAAGTATGCAAGTCCGAGACTCGACATGATCGTGGCTTGGATAATTTCAGCACCTAATTATGTCGGGAGTGCCAAACATAATCTTCCATGTGTCGACGGATGGCAACAGTTGAAGCCGAATTTTCCGTCAGGGCCGTCGGGAATGCTAGCAGGAAGTTGTGCTACGGCTAATGCGCTATGCTGTTGAGGAGGATTGCGCCCCCACAAGTAAAACGCATGGTTTCTGTAAGTGGCCTCGACAGGACAACCTCAGTTGTCATGTGATTCCCCCAATCGTCAACATCTACGAGCTGACCTGAGTGTATGCGTCTTATTTGCTAATGTGGTTCGATGGTTGTGCACCTGTACGAATAGTTGCCCAACATCCTCACGACACCCCCTAACGTAGCCGTTGCGGTGGAACACATGCTCTTCCGTTCCAGGCCTGTGTCTACTATAAACGACAGGCGATGTGCCCTTGGGCTCAGTTTCTTTGCTTTACGATATAGAAGCATGGTAACCCGCTGTAATAACATGTAGCTAGCCAACGGTAAGTACATTGCCCTTGGGCCTTCGGCTCGTATGGGTAGTCTTACAGGTATGGGGTCACGCACCCCCAACCATGTAACACACACACACACAAGTACATGTAACATATACGGTACGACACACCCTCACGCCTGCACATCCAGTTGACTTGTTAAACTATCCGTGTGGATATCTCTTCTCTCTTCCGGGCGTAAGCCTGTTTGCTAAGCCGTGCTCTTGTCCAACGGTCAAGCCCCTTGGACCTAAAACCATTTTTGTATATTTGCTATATTTCGCAGGCTTTATGCACGTCTCGCACGTAAATGGCTAATCAACGCAATCGTTAGGCATTAGTTCCCGCGTTTTCCATGTTCCCTACAACAAATGCCCTGGTTTCCGGCCATAGCCGTCAATTGCCCCAGTGCGGACTACCTACGTTTCGACATTGCCATCTTCCCCAGCTGCTTGGAGTTATCTCCTCCTAGCCAACCCTTTGTTGACCCATGAAAGGGAGTTTAATACAGCCCAACTCCTCCTGTTGGCCCGTTTAATACACCCTCCTCCCGAAAGCCTCGTGCTGTGTAGGTCCCATAGCCTCCAACGCCAAAAGGAGCAATCCTGCTGCTATTAGATACTGACGTCGTGTACGTAGCTGTTATCGTCGCTGCTGTTGCTGCCGCTGCGATCTGCAGCTGTCCGCTTTGACTCCCCTGGTTCCTGGTCGAGTGCGGTGACCCCCCCCCGCCGGCATCAATCACCCAGAGCTGTGGGTCCCAGGTCTCAATGAGAGGTGCACACGGAGGCATAGACACACAGTAAATCTTTACAGCCCGCGTCAGGGGGTTGCAGGAAGTGGGGCAGTGCCGCGGCGGCGGCCGCGGCCGCCTTTCCAGCTCATGACACCGCCGCTGCTGTGCGCCAGAAGCTGGCAGTGTGTGCGTCCTTCCTTCCATGGGGCACATCCCCCAAACCTGCAGGATACAGCAGGCATGGGAAGGACCGAACCACTGTAAGACGGGGTTAATGTTCCCAGGAGAGGCACGATATTACCGACCAAACCTTAACTACCACATCTCGGTCTAACCTGGCTAACATTGCAATGTGCAGAACAGATTTTACAAGCCCCTGGATGCCACAGGTTAACCTAGTCAACCTGGCTAGCCCGGGGTTCAAGGCCCGCAGGATGGCCAGGAGGGTGACACAAAGGCGAACACTGTCCCCCGCTATGTAACCGATGCAACACAATCGAATTCGCATCGGCTATTAGCGCGGGTCCTTATGTTGCATTCAAGATTGCTCCCAAACACCATAAATACAGCGCATCCGGGACTGCTGTGAATGCAACCTACCCACGCTGCGTCCTGGGTTTTGGTGGCCCACAAGTACGTCCTGGCAAAATCATTCCTTTTCATTTCCTAATGAAATCAAACCCCGTCCTAGCCCTACTTTAATGAGAAGTTCAAACTCCATGCACCCTTTCCCAACCCCAAAGCCCATACAGGTAGCCTGTGACAGAAGAAGCATTCGACGAGAAAGCAGCTACCCTGTAAAGCTGTCCACCATCGTGGCTCGTTCAAATATGCCAACAGGCCGAAGAGCCGCCAGGATACCTGCCTCGAGCGCACCTGCTTGCTGCTCGAATACGCCAGTGCAAAATGCTGCTTAATAAAAGAAGCCCAGCACCTTGCCACCAACCCTCTTCCGACGCGCCTCCTCGTGGTCCATGATGCCGGCCGAGGTAGTCATGACGATAACGCCGAACTGACGCGAGGGAAGCAGACGGGCCACCCACGCCTCAATCTCGGCGTGCCCAATATCATAGCGGGGCGAGATAACACCGCACTTGTTGAGCCGGCCGTTCAGCTCAACCACAATCTTGCCCGCGCGGTGGTCATCGACATACTCAAACTCGCCAATGTACCCGTGCTTCATCATCAGCGAAAGAAATTTAATGACCACCTTGGAAGCAGGCCGGAGAAGCACCTGCCGCTTGCCACGCTTCTCGGCATTGTACATGGTCTTAAGCGCGTCCCCCAGGACGCTGATGCGCACCATCTTTGCTGGTCTGGCAGCAGCAACAGCGGCAAGCCTAGGAAGAAAGAGAGACTAAGGTTTCGCGCACAACCTGAGTAGTTTGCCGCCGCCTCCCGTACTTTCAAAGGGCCCATGGCGTTTTCCACATTGGGGCCAAAGCAGTCCCTCCCACCTTGTATAACCGATATGTGAAGATAACCTGATGCTGTTACATCTTGTTTCGCTGCCTAGCTTGAGCCTTGTGGGTTGCTCCGAGGCCAAATACAGTCACTGAAAGCAGAAAATTAGAATAACCCGAACATATGTCATGAAGTAAAGGCTATAAAGAAATTGTGTATACAATTGTACTCTTCATGGAGCTGCATATGTTTTGTCCACGAGAAGACTGCTTGGCACGGACCTATACTTGAGCGTGGCAGGGGCCTAAAAAATGGGCCTCAAAGATGGGATATCTAGTCGAAAGTAACCCCAGAGTGTTGTTCTTCAGGCCTCGGCCCGTGGGTCTTTGACGGGCTTGAGGTCGTGTCCGGCAACAAGTGCGTAAGCGTTCAGGAAAAGCCCACGACAGTGTCCACGGACTTGCAGCACCATACGCCCGTCACTATCCACCCAAACGCTTTTGCAGCTGCTGTACGAAGGTCAGCGCTTATGAAGATATGACGTACTCACCCTCATTCCTGGGGCTCCTTTCGCGGGCCGTGCTAATGGTCTTTACTTAGACGCGCAGGGTAGGGAAATGTCTTCGATTGCTTGTTGCTGTCCGAGCCGAGGTACGGGGTTTGCATTGGTTACCTCTTTAGCACCTTTAGCGGCATTCGTTACAGTCATTTGGGTCCGGACAGCACTGGCAATCTGTTCGGATCCACCGTAACACATTCACTTTGTTGCAAGTCATCAAATACTGTGTGTCAACATTTGCGCAGAGTCCTGAGCTCCCTTACGACTCCCTAAACCCAGTATGAGTGCACGTCCTGTGACCAACATGTTCTGCAGCAGGCAGACGCAGCACGTGTATTGCACCCATCACGCGAAGAGGACCCATGGCTTCCTGACAGGGAACTGGAGCGCACACATCAGTGTTTCCTGTTAGGCTTCTTATTCGGTCCAAATGCCAGATTGGAACCGCATGGCTGAGTGCCGCCTACGCTCATGCTGTCCAAGGCGGCGATATGCATAATTATCATGATTCGCCCCTACACGTAGCAGCATGACACAGTTTACAGCTGAGCCTAAATGACCGGACCACCTCATAGCTTCAAGAGATGGGATGCGACAGAAGCCTTGTCGTCCTCCTCGCCACCTCCTCGCCTTCTCGTAGCCATATTCCTGTCCAACACAATCATAAGACCCGTGGTACACGAGTCTTCCGCCTAACCATCTTCGCATCCTATGCGCAGCGCAACGCGCGTTGCGAGTCCCTATAATCGTTGTATTCTGACCCCACGGTCAAGGTCTTGGTTCAAAGACAGCTAAACAGTTTCCATGTACCTGTCTGACGGCCGCTGGACATAACGGGGCGTGGAGTACCCGGGGCAAACAAAGCCAGTGCGCTTGCCTAGATGCGTAAAAAAGCTTCAAGGAAAACCAAAACCCGAGTGCAAACCCAGGAACAAAAAAGGAATATGCCGATTTGCTTCCCATCTCCTCGAAAAAGGCTTGGCCCCATATACCCACGCATCCATCCCGTTAGCGGCCTTTCGGCGCCTCTTTCCACCTTGTCAATACCCCCACGTGTTAAACCTCTGCCCCAACCACAGTCGCTACTAAAAGTGCCCACAGCTCACGCGATAGCCTGTCCTACTACAGCACGGCCGTGACACCACAGCCGTGATACCACAGCTGTGACACCACGACCCGGTCCTTATTATGGTAGTACACATTCTCCGCGGGCAGCTCAGCGCCTAGCCTCAACTTGTTTTGGATCACGTAGGCCAGGTGCTGGTGGCTGCCGAGGAGGAGAGTAGCGGAGGTGAACGCAACGCGCAGCAACCCGTGCCATTAAAAACTGAGACAAGGAAGCAGCACCACACGGGGGCCGGCAGCGAAAGCGCGACCAGCAACTTCATACCAGCGGCCCAGCCGCTCCGAGCAAGTTAGGGTGCAATTCCATTGCTGCCGTACTGTGTCGCGATGCCACATCAGGAGTCCTTGCACCGCCCACCTCTCGTGGCTTGTGCCCGCTTAACTCCATGTCCCCGGGGCGCGGGTCTGGCAGCGCACACTCCGTGGGCACTCTCACGCCGTAGCCACCATGGCCCGCTCGTTGATGAGGGACACCTTTTGCGTGGCGCGTCGGTTAGCACCGCGGCCAGACATCTCCAGCTTTTGCAGGTACGCCTCATCGATGTCGCCGGTTACGTAACTGGACATGTACCACAACCAGGGGGTGATTTAGGAGCGACGTGGAGGAAGCACACGTCAGACCAGAATGGGCCTCTCCTTAGCCTCGCATAGAGGCCGGGTGATTGTCAACTAAAGTCAACCCTCGCGCCTTTCCAGGGAGGCCTCATCACCCTAAGCCAAGGCCACAATACCAAGGTTTGCAAGCGGGCGGAACATCTATCGTAACAGCATCATGAACTAACGAGTAAACGTGCAACATTGCCAAGCAACAGCACTAGGCGGAGCCAGTCGGCTAGCCCTGTTGGCGGCCCAGACACCCAGCCCCATTCGAAGCAATGCACCTCACCTCCCAGTGAAACACGAGGCATCGAAGTCCTTGATGTCCGGGTTGAGCTCCTTGCCGCTGGTAATGAGGTCTTCCACCTCCTGGTAGATCAGCCCATCGGCACGTAGCACCTGGCACACCTGCGGAGGTTAACCAGAGCCACGGCACGGCACAACCACGTGGTACTTCTAGTCCAGCGGAAAGTTGCCAACAGGTTTCCTACAGTCTCCTGGGTCCCCGGACCGTAGCCTTGGAGCTTGATTCAAGGGAGGGATTGCACCCATACTGGTGGAGAACAAATGTGGACTGGCTGAGGATAAAATGTAGGCTAAGCCGTGTCGCTCCGTGGGCCTTTAGGATGGTTCCTTGTTTTGTTGAGTCAGCAGTCCGTTAAGCCAGCATTCATTACCTGGTCGATGGTTAGGCCGTTGGCCACGAACTCCTTGCGGCTGGGCATGTCCACGCCGTACACGTTGGGGTACACCACGGGCGGGGATGCGGAGGCCAGATACACTCTTCGTGCCCCCGCGCGTCGTACCATGTCCACAATCTACAGCAATGCGTCAGTGCGTTCAGGTTTCTTTGGTTGCAATCATTCCTGTTTTTTTGGAGAGCAAAATGTAGGTTAGCAAACGGTATTCCTCCCGTAGCAGTGATTACAACAGTAGCATGACCCATGAGGGACAGAGGCCTTCGGTCAGAAGTAGAATGAAGGATGCAAACGCAATGCCTCTGCAAAGTAGTGCTCCGCTTTGGAGTGGCTGTGTCGCTTACGTGGGTGAGAACCGAGTCAAGCAGCCGCAGCTTGCGAAACTACGCGCAGTCGGGAGAGGGACTAAAAAATGCCGTCGGCGGACAGAGCGCACTGACCTGTGTCATAGTTGTTCCGCGCACAATCGAGTCGTCAATGAGCAGCACGCTCTTGCCTTCGAACACTGCCGGCATGGCGTTGAGCTTGCGGCGCACTGACATTTCACGAAGGCGCTGGTCGGGCATGATGAAGGTGCGGCCCACATACCTAAGGGGGTATGACGTACAAGTACCAGACACAACGAAAAATGACGACTACGGAGTCTTGCATCATCATTCGGGTAAATTACTTTGGGAACTCACGGGAAATCAAGAGCTACCCGGGGCATGCTAACCCGGGGCGAAGCAGCATAAACCTGAGCGCCATCAGCATCAGGGGCCGCCGCACCGCTGTGGATGCACGGACGAATTGACGATATTACACCGCACGGACCGGTTCAGCTTCAGAACCTTATCCCCTCATCGTTCAGTCGCCCCCTGTCCATCGGCGGACTCACCGGTTCTTCACTAGGCCCTCGCGGTACGGCAGCCCCAGCTCGGCTGCAATCTGGATGGCGGCTGGCCGAGATCCATCTGGCACCGGGCACACAATGTCCAGATCCCAGCCCCTCTCCCTGAAATCAGCGGTGAAAGGAGCAGCGTTGCACAACACGGAGGTTGCTGCAGCCCATGAATGGCAACAGAGGATTCGGGGAGTCGCAGTCCATTTGGGTCATTCCCCAGATCCGAACGTAGGTTCTACATAACATTTCGAGCTTCTTGAATGCACGCCTGTTCAGGTGTCCGTTCAGGTAACCACCGCCCGGCCTCGCTCCCCCTCGTGATGCCGCGTTCCCCCCCCCTCACTTGATGCGGTTAGCCAGGGCTGTTCCCAGCTTGAGCTGGAAGTTGTAGACCGGGATCCCGTTGAGTACCGAGTCGGGGCGAGCCAGGTAGATGTACTCGAAGATGCAAGGACTAGGGGTGCCCTGCGTACGTGCGGGGGATGTGCGGGGGAGTAGCTCAGTAGCAAAACAACCCTGCCCCCGCAATTAAACTTCTCCGAAGCTCATATGGAAATGGCTAAGCTGTACAGACACGGTAAGGCTGCGCACGGTGGTGTGAGTTAGGAGCTGCACCACGACTAGCAACTGCGCAATAGCGCCGGGGGTCATTTTTCCTGGCTCAGTCGGTTGACGGCAACGCGCACACGTGATCATCACACGGGCATCACCACAGCGATGGACGGAGCAACCTCATCGTCTTCACTTTTCCCAGCCCAGCGCTTTTCCTTTCCTTCAGCGCACCATCCTCTCCTCTGATGTTCCACCCGCAGTATGAGGAGGTGCATGCATGCATACATATGCACAACCCTTCCGTGTCGTACACTCGTTCCCGTACCTGAGCGCATTGGCGGCTCATGAGCTTGCCGTCCTCCGTAATGATGACCATCTCGCCGGGCAGCACGTCGCGCACGCGCTCGAAACCGATGGGGCCGAATGCGCAGTCCTCGCTAGCGATGCACCACTCGTCGCCGTGGGCGCTCGAGCGCTTGCCAATCACTAGGGGCCTGCAGAGCGCACGGAACCAGCGTCAGTGAGTGCATCTGACACACCGTATTGGTTACGAGGTCCGCCTCTCGGGCCGGGAACGCAACGCGCCGTGTCCCCGGCTCTTGCGCTACCAAGCCATCAACATGCGGGGCGCGTCCCCAGCCGTCCACTCCACCTCACCGGATGCCGAAGGGGTCCCTGAACGCCACCAGGCCCACGCCCTTGACCAGAGACAAGCAGCTGTAGGCGCCCTTGAGCAGCCGCATCGTCATCTCGCCCGCCTCGAACAGGAAATTGATCTTATTCTTGTTGGGGTCACAGCCCGTCGTCTAGGAGTTGAATAGGGGAGCGGGCGTTGGATAATCACATTATGGAAACAAGACGGGAGAGAGAAGGGAAAGCCATGGCCAGCAGGAATACCTAAGTTAACACCAACTTACCAAACGCCGGTTCTGGGAACTAGGTCAGGGAAAAGACGGCAAACGAACGACGTGGAGCACGCATGGCGAAAGGGCGCGTAAGTAACCAGCGAAGAGCAAAAGGGAACGAGGCCCTATACTTTACGCGCAATGGACTAGTAGATGGTTCCGCGGAATGCCACGAGACGATTAGACGATTAGCCCTGGCCACTGCCGCTGTGCTCGGGGACAGAAGCTGCCCGGCCCAAAGAGAATCCAAGTCTGACGTTCCAAATGCCTGTACACTCGATGACGGTTGAGCGGGCTCGGCGCCTGGGATTCAAAAGGCGAGGGTCGCTGCAGATGCACCGCTGCATCTCTGTGGGAACACATGCAGCAGCCAGTTGCCCTCTCTGCCCTTCAGCTCCGCTCCGTAAGGAAGCCTCCGCAGTCGTGGACACGGAGACAGCGCGACTCCTGTGCTGCTAGCTCATCCCCAGGACCCACATCCCCGCTCCCTTGCTCACTACCGCGCGTCCCCCCTCCCCTGCCTTCTGCCCGGCCCAATGCAGGAAATGGTGGAAAACCCATTACTACGGCACGGCACCCGGCCCTGCTACGGCTCTGAGCCAGACCGGGCAGCAGGGGCCCGTGCAACCCCCTGCATTACCGTATCATCACCACCCAACCGTCAGTCGGCCTGTTAGCGCACCTGCAGGCAGCGCTGGTGGGCCCGATGTACTTCGTCAGCCAGGATGTTGAGCAGCACCTCCGAGTCCGAGTCCGTGCGCAAGTGGCGGTTGAAGAAGGAGCGCGAGGAGTTCAGGAGGTCGCGCAGCTCTTCTGTGTTGGTTAGGTTGCCGTTATGAATCAAGTAGATGCCCAACGGCGAGTTGACGAAGAAGGGCTGGGCCTCCTGCGCCGAGGACGAGCCGGCGGTGGGGTAGCGCACGTGCGCGATGCCGCAGTGGCCTGAAGGAGGGAGAGGTAAGGGCGAGGTAGGAAGCGAGGTGCATGGCGCGGGGAACATTGGGCACGGAGATGTGCGGGTGGTTGCCGGAATAAAGCATGGCGTGTGTAGATGTGCACGCGCGCGTTTTATACTGTGATTTGCTTACATCCAGAGATGTAATAATGAGCCTGTATGGGCCGGGTGCCCTATGGCCACACAACGACAACCCAAATGGAACATTCCACGGGAGGAAAAGGTACTACAAACGAAACCGAAACAAATGAAGCATGAAGTACTGATGCTGCAGGTTCCGGCGAAAAGGATGCGGGGGGGCAGCATACCAAAGAGTACATCAGTGCAAACGAAAAGTAAATCCGCGGCCTGCTGTGGTGCTGTAGAAGCCGGCCAGGGGGTAGGGACGTGGGAAATACAAGAAAGGGGGTGACCCACATCGCGAATCTGGTCCGGCTGAAACCTTTTGCAGGCTACCTCCCAGTACCCTGGTTGCTACTCGTCTATATGCAATCGTTTCTGGGGAGCTTCAAGCCAGATGCTGTTCCCCAGGGTTGCGACGCGTCCGTTCATCGCGGCATCACGGGAAGGGTGTGGACAAGGCCCCTGAGCACATCTGCTAAAGGTAAACCCGTGAGCACATCTGAACTGTGCTGAGGCGTGGGATGGTGAATACGGGGGCCGCGATGTTCCCGTCGTGTCCCCTCGCAGGCCACATGACGCTTGCCAAGTCGGAAAGCGCAGACGTACGCAGACGTACCCTTCATGGAATCCATGAGCTCCTGCTTTCCAAAGACATCCTTCACGAGGCCATTCTCCTTGTGCTCCTTAAAGCGACTCCAGTCAGTGGTCACCATGCCCGCTGAGTCCTGGCCGCGATGCTGCAGCATTAGCAGACCCTCGTACAACTCAACGTTGGCGTTGCCCTCGTACTTAAAGATACCAATGATACCACACATGCGAGGGGTAATCCTGCAGATGATGTGTCGTGATGGCATCGGAGTTTGGCTTCCGAACTGCCTCCGCATGTCTTGACCATTCCCGGCGGCGTCGCAGTGTCTTACCGCTTGTACGCCTTTGCGCCACCTCCCACTATACGTGACATGCGGGCGTTACTTATTGCCATTTTGCACTTTAAACTAGCCGCATTGGTGAAGGTGCTGACCAAGTGGCTCGGCAGCGCGGGCAGCACGGTGCGCTCGCGAGTGCCGGCACGTGCCGACACTTTGACTACATGGCGTTGGGCACAGCCCCTTGCCAAGGACTTCTTAGTCAGATTCATGTTGTGGCTAAATCGGCAGTGAAATATTGCGCAAGTGAAACGTTTGCGAGGCGTACACGACACAAGTATGCGTGCGTCAGATAGGGCAGGCGATTATTATGTTCTTGATGATTATGTTGGCGAAATTGAGGCACATACAAAGAAAGAGCGAGCATGTGAAGCCCTTATGAGCGTCATGCCCCCTCACGCGCCACGTTGCCGTACCCACATTTGCTTGCGAAACCGATTTGTTTCCTTACATTTTTTAAATTCACACAAATTCACACGCTTCTGGATTTCTTCACGCTCTTGCAGAACAACTGCATAATTTGCTTTTCCATACCGCGATTTGCAGCCTTTGCTTATACATACCACCCGACTGTTATATATCTACCGTGGATACCATACTGACTGTCTTTTTATTATGAGATCAGGACGCGGTCGGTAACTTAGTATATCCCTGGTAGTTGGCGGCGTTATGTGACGTGAAAGCCTGAGACATCCATGTTCAAGTCGTATACTACTTGCCAATAATTGATTCATAATTGCCCGACTATATTAGATGATATTGTTCCCACATTAGGGGAAGGCTGTCATGACTTACGAATGATCCGCAGCGGGGGCACTCAAGCAGCTTGCAGTGGGGTCAGACATGAAAATATGAAGATCGAAGAGACAAAAAGATGATCGCCCTTACTTTTGGAAGTAGTCGGCTTTTTTACGTTTACGTTTACAAGCTTCAAGCTTGTACGGTCCAGACGAGCCAAAAGGCTCATGAACCGCCAAACTGGAAACAAGAACTTTAAAAAGAAAAATGCCAATACCCAACAATAACAGATTGATTAGTCAGCTCTGCTGACGGACCGTTGGGTGCGGTAGTTACAGCCAAAAGTGGGAGCCCACAGTGGGGCAGTGGGCTCGTCCTCTTGAGACTTACATCCCAGATAGCTTGGCGATGGAGCCGCCTAAGATAGTTACCTCCTCGCCAGTGTAGGATACCGACACGGACTTGTATCGATGTTCCTTTTCTCAGTGGGATGAGTTAAAGCAAGACCAGGACGAAGGGCCACCTGCGGTACCGTTCCTAGGATCGGCACACGCAGGCTGAGGGAGGTGTCGGGGGGAAAGTTAGCACTCGGGCCTCTAGCCCTCTTCTGCACTGCTACCTGGCACCATACCCTTGGGAGGTGCCGCCGTAAGTGATGGCTGCCGTACAGGGGACTAGAAGGGTGCGAAAGGCTGCCTCCTCTCGTAGCTCTGTCGTCGACCGAACAGGGTGGTTTGCCCCGTTCTCAGAGACCGGCCTGGCAGCCTCTGCGTATTGTTCGCCTGGGAATGGATGTTGCCCGGGAAAAGGATAGCCTACTGGTTTAACAGCATCTACATGCCGCTTCGCTCCCCGTTTCTTTCCTGCCTAGTTAATGCCGTCTTTTGTAGGGTAGGCTCGGCTGCGTTGGCTTTTGCCAGTACTCATGGCATGGCTCCTTTCTCTGTGGAGGTTAATTCAGTGGGCTAGGATGAACAGTCCGCTGTGCCTGTACGGCAAGAGAACGACTTCGTTTCCCCCTTGTAGCGTCGCATCCTACTTCTTTTCGTTAAGGTCTAATGTTATCATCAGGATCTCTTGCACATATTATCAGCTTATGATGCACTTCAGTTTGAATCCCAGCGGATTTTGTCTAAACAAGAGTTTGGGAATTATGCTTGTGGAGATTGCTGCAACACTCTAGGCCTAGTTAATACCCATAAGCGTTTGTGTTAGTAGCAACCTACGAAACATGATTAATATGTCGGCTATACTGAAGTCAGGATGCTCCGCTCAAGCGGTTGCACGCCGCGCGTGGACGTGTGGTGCTGAAGGTAAATGGATGTTTGGAAGGATATGCTTGTCCTATAGCAAGCATTAGCATGCAGTATGTATCGCGACGAAGTGCTTACGTGTATACAACTCAATCGACAGGTTCTCTGTCAGCCTCCATATCAGCTAGCGTTCCTGCGTTGTGCACATCCGGGTGCAAAGATGGCGATTCCCCATTGTCTGGCGTCCGGTTCCTAAGCCACTGGTTACGACACACCAGCGCTACCGCCCGCAGCAGCTGGACGAGTTCGCAATGTACAGCTGCCCTGCATATGTCCGCAGGGCCAACAGCAATGCCAGCAGCAGCAGCCGCAACTGCAGATCGCCAAGCAGCTGGGCACCATCTATTAGATCCTGCCATAGATATTCCACGGGATCGACTTGCCAAGCTGGCGGACGAGCTAGATGAACCTGGCGACCGCAACGACCGAGCAGCAGCCCGTCATGGCAGGCGCGACCGGCGGCCCAAGCGCACAGCGTGTGATAGCTCTGCGGCTGTCGCCTCCGTGTCGGAGGCAGGCTTGGAGTTGCCTGACGATACCGAAGTGAAGGTGGTGTTTGACAAGCTGGTGGGGAACCTGACAAAGTCGGGGAAAAAGGCTACGGCGCGGCGCATTGTGCTGGATGCAGTGCGGGTGATGCAGAAGCACCTGCGAAAGGGAGACCTGGACAACATAAAGTAGTATTCAGCTGCAGACGGTGTCCAGCAGAATTGCCAGTCTCAAGTTCTTGCCGAAGGACTGCTTGGAAAGGGTAGACGGGAAACAAGACAGAGACGATGACGACGCGGAACCGCCACCAGGGGGTCCGGTTACATAAGTTTGAGGCCTAGGCGCCGCGAAAGGCGCTTGCATCCTAGCAATCCGTATGCGGCACGTCCGCTGTCAAGCAATTCCTTTCCGATTGCATGTGCTTTCAAAGCGCTGTGACCCCTACGCTGAAGGGAAGGAGGTTGCTGTCGTGTGGGGCCTGGCATTCCTCGCGGGGTAATGTCACTGTGTTGGGACTAAGACATTCTTACGGCTGGTGAGGCTGCACGTGTAAGCACGCCCCGAGGATGCGGTTTTGTTTTCTGATAGTATTTGCAGGGCAGCGGACGATGAGCAACCGATAGAAGGGGCCTCTTGTATGGCGGACAATCACCCTGCATTGTGGAAGTTGCTGAGGGGTCCAGTCCTCCTCACTACCACACTCCGGGCTGAGGGCCCAGGAGCTGATGGTGCCGGGACGCACCACCCGGCAGTGCAGTAGTAAGCGGATTGATTATATCCGGTGTTGCGACAGGAGGACCCTGCACAGCTCGAGCATCCGTAATCTGCAGATGGATACCCGTTTTACCAGACTACCACGTACGCCTTACAGGCCATGATCTTAACAGCTGAGCGAGCACGGTCATACTCCCTCACGCAATTCAACAGCCTTTCGGCCCCAAACGAGATCCCTCCTCGTCCTTGCGCACAAAACCTCCCTCAAGCGAAGGCTGTGACCCGGTGTCCAGCAGCTATGGTAAGCACTCAGCCTGTGCAGCTGTACACATACCACCGCCTTCGGCACGACGTCCATCCAGAAATATTAGGCCAGCACGTACCAAAGATGACGTCTCTGTGCATTGCTGTGATTGCATGCAACGTCGCTCCTCACCGGTCACAGTCATCGTCTCGTCACGGTCTGTCCGTAAAACCCTATCATGAACAGTCTATCGCTGTCCAGACTGGGGCCCATCAAGACCCCAAACGTAGGCAATAGCTGCATTACGAACTACATGTATTCTAGCGTAAGAAGATACAAACACACAACCATAGCTGGCTCATGTCCAGACGACCTCCAGGTACCCTTCCTTGAGCCACTCTTAAGGGGCCGTGAACCCATAATCTCCTACGTCTACATGTGCGAGCTCCTCACCCTGCGCGCCCCTTCCTGCTGCTGCAACCCCACACAACAGGCGCACCTGCTCTGTGCCCTTAACATGGCCCCTCGTGCATCCCGCGCTTACTCCGGAAAGTGACACACTGGGTGCCCCTCCCCCCACCAGACCCATTACCGTGTGGGGACAATGTCGTCAATCTTGAGGATCATCCGCACGCATTCCGTCGCGAGCGTGACGGCACTAGTGGTCACCAGCAGTGGCTGGACCACATTCTCCTCCAACATATCGGTGATGGTGCCCTGAACAGCGGGATGGGCAGGCAAGAGGGGCAGCGGTGAGGGCGGCGGTGCGGGAGGGAGCCGCGGCAATAGCGGATCGAGGAATGATGAAACTCGTCTGAAGCACAGCTGGGGGGACAGCTGGGGGAGCATATCTGAGGGGACAGCAGCGCTACAGTGACCTCGTACTAGGACACAGACAAGGTATGCGCAATATGGACTGACGCTACCTTCATCTGAGCGGATCAAAATGCACTACGCGCATCGGAAAGTCGCATCCTAAGTCGCAGTGCTGTCGCACAAAAAATTGCAGTGCTCGCTACTTTCAACTCAGGGAATGATGCCTCGACCGCCGGGGCCCGTTCCACAACGCTGCGCCGTACCTTCTTCACATTGATGCCCGCGTATTTCTGCCCGGCCGCGTGCATCCGCCGCAACTCCGTAACGATGTTAATCGGGTTGAGGCCGGCGTTCTCCGCAAGGGTGTACGGCACCACCTCGAGCGCCTCCGCGAATGCGCGCACACAAAAGGCCTCCATGCCCTACAGCGCGGCCAGGGGGACCAGGGGCGCAGAGAATAAGAGGCGTGAATGCAAGTTGCGGATGACGCATCGGCACAGCCCCACATGGAAGGAGAAGGAACATTGGCTGCCGAAATCGTGCGTCACAACAGACAGGGCGTGAAGTGTCAGTATTGCCATAGTGGGGCCACCATGCATTCGGCCTTCCGGCCTGTCGCAGCCGCCCCAAGACGCCGACACACACACTTTTCCTCACCAGTTCTCAAATCCTTCATTGCACCATGCATTCCTCTTTATGCGATTCACCACCGTTCCCAGGTGAGGCCCCCACCTGTAGCGTCTTGCTCCAGTGCGCGAGCTGCATGGACATCTGCACCTCGGGGGAGGAACCTCCAGCAATGAGGAAGCGCTTGTTGACCAGACAGCGGATGACACACAGCGCATCGTGCAGGGAGCGGTCCGCCTCCTGAGGATGACCAGGGTAGGGGGTCCAGGGTAGGCGGGTCGCACAGGTAATGCCACAGCGGAATGCAATGAACCGGGGGGCCCGCCGCGTCGAATTGTTGGAACGTGGTGCAATAATAGCGGTCCGGGCGCAACTAGTGGCGAGCCTAGGAATACATCGCACTATCGTCTGTCCCGTGGAAGCGAAAGGATGATGGCTGAGCAACGCGGGCCTCTTTACGCTTTTGGGAAAGCCGAGAATACACTGAACACTGAGCCGCAGTGGGTGTAGTACGATACTCACACGAGAACAGGCCCGCCGGATGCGCGGCAACCTCACGCCAAGTACGTCTAGTTAAGTATGCTTTGAAAGAAGGCTTGTTGCCGAACCCCCAGGTCCAGGTGTAGGTGGTCATGAAGGTTGCAAACAGGAAGGAGAGGAGGGCGCTCTCCGACTTGGCTTCTAACATAAAAATGACACGAGAATTGGCTGCTCCACAGGCACCCATGGACACATGGCACAGCACATATCCATGAGGCGAAGGAAGCCGTTGCCCGGGCTACCGCTACCACTGCAGCTCTCACCTCGAGTACCATCTTGTTGCTCCCCCGCAGCAGCACGGTGGCGGTGCGGCCCTTGTTCTCAATGCCTGTGATCTTGACCACGCGGCCCTTGCCCACCTGCAGATTGGGGCCCGGCCGCAACATCATCGTCAGTTTAAGCATGGACACAGCAGTAACGCAACATGCGGCTATAACACATGCACGTGCCGTGGTGTCACAGGCGGGTGATAGCAGACGGGCCTCCAATGCTGTGCCGCAGGCCTGCGGAGAGAGCAACCGCCAAATCCACACAATGCGCCGCTGTCAAGCGGGCACCTGGCTTGACCACTTGCCGATATTCGCCGCATCGCTTGATATCCTCGGATGGACAACGGGAAACGCGGCATCTGGTCCGAGGCAGCAAACAGACCCTACCGCACCCACGTATTGCACACACATGTGCGCACGTCTATGGCCCATCACGCACCTCGACCTCCTCCACCAGCTTGGCGGCGCCCAGCTTCTCTGGCTTCATGTTATCCACATGGGCAATGGGCAGGCAGCCCAGCGTCTTGGAAATGAGCTCGATCTCATCACGTTCAATGTCGCGCACCACCATGATCTTGGCCTTGGCCTGAACCCAGGAACGCGCATGTGGATGGATAGAAGCCAGCGATCTTAAAAAAATACAGGACAAGCCAGAAGCGCAATAACAAGACAGTGAACTTATGCCCCCCAAGCATTATTCCGTTATCGTTAAAGGTAATCTTTACCAACACGCTCGGCAGGCGTGAATGCGCAGCAAGATGATGTCGATGTCATGAACATAACGATATCGACAGGGGCGTGATTGGCTTCCCCGGACTAGCTTTCTCCCTCCCGCACCAGGTAGTGCAGCGACAGGTCCGTGACCGCATCCCGCAGGATGGACTTCTGGATGAGCAGCACGTTGCAACCGGACGCCTTGATCTTCTTGACCACAGATAGGATGTAGTTGCGTTCCTCCTTGTATACCCGGTCCATCTGGACAGCAGGCGGAGAGGGCGGGAACACGCATGCGAGGGTCAAGGCCCGCGGTGCGCAACGCTGGACAGGGAGCACGGAGCTAGGTGCTGGAAGGGCCAAGCGTGCACGAGGCCTTAGTCTTATGACAGCTGGGAAAGAGGTAACTCAAGGTGGTCACAACGGGGGAGGCAGTCTATCTAGCATTATGAGCAGTTACTGGCGATACTGGCGTGCGATAAGGCTTCATAGCGAGATATGCCACCTCTGCGTCTGGCACGTTTGCTCCCGTGAAACTCCCCCATTGCCATGTTCCGTTCCCGCACAACCAACAAGCACACGCGCATTGATTTGAAGTAAAGGACCACCCACAACATGCACCATCTCCGCGATCCACTCGCGCCCCACCCGACCCTGCCCACCTGGTTATAGTCCGACACAATGACGTTGTTCTCAATATCCGTCTTGGGTGGCGAGATCTGGAACTGGATCAAGCCAATCTTGGCGTCCTCCATTCGGGTCGGACCGCCGGCCGACTTGGCAGCCTGGGGGGAACACACGCAGCAGCAAGGACAGGACGACAGGCACATCCAGGCGGTTGCCGGCGGCTCGGAGACCACTGAGATGTATTCCGGTGTGCCGGAATGAGGTCGTGTATCGCATATCGTTTATGGCCAGTTTGCCGCCATAGTCAAGTGCTCTTCTGCAAGCAGAAAGCGGACGTCTTGTTATTGCTGACATTTTAGCAGCCGCTACAGCTGGGAAATCGATCGTTGGAACCGTCCAGCTGGAATGGGTATGTAGTCATGTATTCACGCCTGCGCTGTACCTACCAACGTCGGCTGTACACGGACATATATTATTAGCGCCAGGACCACTGAGCAGAGCTCCGACTAATGCAGGGTCACTCACCTTTTGGTCAAACACCAAACCGTCCACCATCTCCGAGTCGTCGATGGTTCCCCCGACCTTAGACACCACCTGCGTAAAGCACCGCACCACACCGCACCGCAGAGGAAGCTGTCAGGAGCACGGAGACATGGAGCACGGAGAGCACCGGAAGGAAACAGCATCCCATAGAACCGCAAGCGCCCGCTTAGGGAACTGAATGGGTCCGTGAAGGCCAGATCTATGAATGAATGTGATTGGCTCATGGCTGCATCGATTGCAGGCGCCAGAAACGCTTGGCGCATGACAGATGTAGCGCCAGAACTAACAGGCTCGCCGCGCTGCCAAATGTGGCAACCCAGCTATTAGGAGCCAGCACAAGATGCCCACCGAGCCCGCGAGCGAGATAAGCGCCGATGTTCCACATATGTGTATAGGGGTGCTGCGGTAGCGGGCGCATGACGCCTGAGCTCTTGTGTTTTGCTTATGCGGCAAGAACGGGCTCCGGGGCTGTTCCCAGCAGAAAATGACCGTGGGGCTAGCTGGCCTGCGTGGGTTCCCGGTAGGGTGCTGCTGCGGTGGTACGGCGACGGCCTCCTGTACAAACGTGTTACTTCCACTTTAAACCAAAAGTTGACTCCGATGACGGTGATGCCTACATGATGATGGCGGAGCGACACCGCCTCGACCTCTCGCTGTTCCCTTCCTTTCGGCGACCTGATCCTTAAACAGCTTCCTTGCGCCCATAACGATGTTTCAATTATCCACATGCTTGTATTGTTCTCTTGTTGGTTATCATCAAACTACTGTGTCCGAGCCGAGCCAGCGACATCAGTCGTCACCACGAACCGCGTGTCCGTCCCGTTCCGCCCCGGTCAGCTACCAAACAAAACAAAGCAGGGACCCTTCCCCTTCCCCCTTCCCGAGAACTGCTTCTTCACAACCGCCGACTGGTCAGTTGTCTGCTTCCTGCACATCGGCCGCAGCAGTCTTTCCTTGGCAGCAGGTTCACTCGCTTGGGGTTCGTCTTTTCCCCTTTCCCTCCCAAGCACCGACCGCACCTTAATGTCCCGCAAGTCCAGCATGTTGGGTCGGGCGGGGTCCATGACCCGCAGCACTGCGTCCACCGCCATGGGCGACAGCAGCGACGAGTACTGGGACACCACCTTGGAGGACAGGGACCTGAGGATCGGTTGCATAAGAAGCGGGACGACGCTTTTTAGAGGACCTCTAGATGCGCTGCAAATAAAACACTAGCCCGCTATCATGTTGCATCAAACCCACCCATTTCCCCCGTAGGAGCCCCTTCCCCTTAAGCTCCCCCTCCCGTCCCTCCCTCGCGCTGCTCACGTATTTGCTGCCCGGATAAGCGCCTCCCGATCCTCCATGTTCACCGGGATGGCAATTGACTCCAATATCTACAAATCGGCCAGGGCCGTCAAGAGGAGTGGCGGAGGAGGTTGGCGTGAGATGATAAATCACGAATTTGGCTGGCAGCCCGGACTTGGGTCGGGCAATAGTAGGCAGCTGCGCCGCTGCTGCTGCTGCTGTTGCTGCACACCATGCATGGTCCGTGCACGTGTGAGATGCAGATCGGGAAGCCTGCTCAGGGCGGTCCGGTCGGCGGCCTACTGACGCTGTTGGTCGGGTCACCTCCGGTCCAGAAGCGGCCAGGCCAGGTAAAAGGCAACATCCGCTCGGTTGCGTAAAGCTGACGACAAACTGCCCACTGGCCCATCTGGTTTTCATTTCATCTGAACCCAGGAACCCAGCTCGGCTGCGGCCTTATTAGGTAACGGCAAATGATTGCTACCATATTCTGTGGCAAGTGGAAATGACACGAAGTCTGTGTACAGCCTGCAGCGGCAGCATTGCTCGCACGCAGCGAGTCCCCTGACCCCGGCCTAATCGCCCTTGACTGGTGGATACATTAGGCTGCGTTCCACCTGAAGGCACTACTCACACACTAACCAAGGAGAAGAGGCCTCCGCAGCCCAACACCTGCCTCTGTGCAGCCTCCTTATTGCCGTCCTAGATCCCAGCGACACCTTATATGCAGGTTCCGGGCGTGGCAGCAGGTCTACAGTGTATGCCGCCTCATCAGGTCTGCACGAAACCCAACGTTCACGTGCTAGCCACGCTCCGGCACGTACCTCACAGGCCTTTGCTGCAGCCTTGCTGAACGAGTCGGAAATAATGGTTGGATGCACGCCCTTCTCCAAGAGCTCCTGGCACTTTTTAAGCAGGGCTCCACAAATGACCACGACTGACGTCGTACCATCACCGGCCACGACATCCTGACAACGTGTTTTCATGTACCCCCGTGCGTTAGTGGCATATCCTGGTCGGGGAGGCCTTCTCGCCAGACTACACCATGCGAGGGGCGCGACACGGGGTTACCTGGGACTTGGATAGTTCTACAAGCATCTTGGCGGCTGGTTGCGTAACTGTCATCTTTTGCAGGATGGTAGCGCCGTCATTTGTAATTATAACCTCCCCGTTTGGAGCCGCCACCTGGTTAACATCCATTTCTAGCTGTCGTCGCAGTTTTCGGTGCGCATGCCGAGCCCGCTTGAACATCCAGCCTCACCATTTTGTCCATGCCGCGAGGCCCAAGGCTTGTTCGCACAGCATCAGCAACAGCTTTGGCTGCTTCTATGTTCGACGTGCGGACGTCCTTCTTCCTCGCACTCTCCCTGTGTCACGCGGGAGCGGGCCAGCTGTGGAAGTCCATTCATGTGACATTCACCATGTTCTTGCATGCTCGTTACGCACTTGTAAAGCTCATTTTTTTGTTTCGGTGGCATCCTCTTGAACAACGATAAAGATGTTCAGATCGGCGGCAAAAGCCCTCAAACTGTCCTTAGTCGTCAACAATAAGGAGTTTGATGACCAACCTGTATACTACGATTAGAAAAACAGAGACAGTGTTACTGCGAACATGGTGCGATGCTTCCGCCGTGCAGTTCCCCGCCAAACTGTTACGACGTCGTCCATAAAGCATGAGAATACTCACCTTGCGCAAGTAATCCCGATTATAACTTGCACTAGTATGATCGCAGACGAATTTAACGTTTCAAGTGCACAGGGCTTAGCCCACGCACCGAGATTGTTCCACAATGCTAGGCTTATCACTGATAAACAATTTTGTTACCATCATGGATTTCACAAAAGCGAAGGATCCGAAACGCAAAGCTTCCCCGTGTTACATTAGGTCCAAAAAGGAATTATTGTCTCGCTGAGGCTAAGCCGCTGCTATTAGATGAGACATTGCCCAGCTGTAGGTGACGCCAGCCATAACACAAGGGACTCTTCGCCTTGACCGCCGTTGCTGTCATACGCAACATGGGGTTGCATGTGACGATGCAAATATCCCTAGTTATCTTCACCGTGCACCTCGCACAGCACAACTAGCACACCCACGTGCCCGCTACACACACCCCACGCATACTTTGCATCCTCCTGCACTACAGCACATGCGCCAGACCCTGCCAGCACCACCCGCCGCCGCGGCCGAAGGAAAAGTACATAAACTGCACTAGAATCCTAGTCGTGACACTCTGCCCTGCAAGTCCTGCCTAGACCTTGTCATACACGGAACCAAGCCCCTCCTTGCCTGTTCAGGTCTCCGACAGGAAAATAAGGCATTTGCCTCTTTACCAAATCGCGGCTCATTGATTGATAGTTGGTTATGACCCAAGGAAAGGCCAGCTGGACTCGATCCATCACTCCCACCCCAGTAAGCACGCGCGAGGCTTCAGTCGCCAGAGCTGCACGACAGTTACGAACCCCTGCTCCAAGATACGTTTACTCAGAGGGGAAGAGGGAATACTGATTTTACTTCAAAACCTTAACCTCCCTCACTCCCTCTCTGCCGACATGCCACCGCCTCTACGGCGTATGGGCGTATCAGGGCCAATCACACCTCCACACTATATTCATGGTGAATTATTGGGCTAGGTCGCAAACCGGTTGGTTGAGTTCTATCATCAACATCCACCATTCCTTTCAAGGAGCGTCCCGGTGACTGTAGGCTGCCGTCCTGTCGGCCCTATTATTGCTTGCTACTGCGGCTGCTGCTGCAGCTATTGCTATCCCCCTCCTCTCTTTACCCCGCCGCCGCCCCGGGGCCCCCGAGCCCTGGGTTGCCTCAGCTTGGCCAGCAGCTGCTCCCCCGTCTTGCAGCCCAGCAGGTCCATCAGGTTGTGGAGCAGGATGGCGAGAACCTGGGGCCGGGGGGGAGATGAGGGAGAGGGGCGGGGTAGCCAGGTGGTCTATGAGGGCGGAAAATGTTACCATGGGAATCAGACACGAGGTCAGGCCACAAGGGGTGAGGTGTGGGGCAGGGGTGAAAAAGGGTAGGAGAACCCGGGGGCCTCAACCTCGTCCCCCAGCTGGCTCCCCCCCCAACCTGGTTGAGTTTATCCACCAGCGGTCGGGTCTTGGGTGTGTGTAGCTGGGCGCTCTCCCGGGGGGCCAGCAGTACGGCGGGATCGCGGCGGGCGGCGGCGTAGTAGGCGGCGGCAGCGGCCTCACCCGTGAAGCCCAACTGCTCGGGAGTTCGGGGGGACAGGGAAGATGGAGGGAAGGAGGGGGAGGAGCCCAGGAGGGAGGGAAGATAGGAAGGGGATGGAAGAGTTTGGAGAAAGGGAGGGAGGGGGGCAATGGAAAGGAGCGAGGTGGTCTAGGAGGGGTAAGCGGATAGGGTGGGGCCACTACAGCATCTCCACACACCCCTTTCCCTCCCGGGGCCCACCCTCACACAGACACGGGCTCGTCCCTTCCCTTGCCCCCTTCCTTCCCCCTTCCTTTCCCCCCTACCACCACCACACATACAACCCTGACGGTAAAGTCTGTGGGTTGCTCCTACTTTAGCTAAAGACTGCATGTTGTGTTGTGTTGCACCTCCAGATATGCGGCCCTTCAAAAGTGTGTTTCTGTGGCCCATGCGAGCCCTGATGGGGTCAAGGGCGCCACAGAGCCGACGGGGCTGACCGCGGGATACTGCCCCCCACAATCCCCCACGGCCCCCCACGGCCCCTCACTGCCCCTCTCCCACCTTGGAGAGCTCCGAGGGGGGCGGGGGACTGATCAGTTCAGCCGACCGACCCAGGGCCTCAAGGAAGGATGTGTACGACAATGTACGACTACGTGCTGGATCCACTTGCTCGCCCCTGGCGGCAGCCAGCTCGTCCACGTACCTGGGCGGTGGGGGTAGAGGGCGGGAGAAGGTAGGGGAGCAGAGTGTAGTGCAGCGGGGGGAAGGAAGGGGGGGGGGGAGAGGAAGCGTAAGCTTGTGTGTGTATGTGCGTGTGTTGGGTGGTTTTGTGGGGTACCTTGACGGGGTGGTGTCCGAGGTGTGGAAAGGTGGAGCGGACAGATCACGGGTCACAGGTTGCGGACTGTGGGCCAATGAAACCTCCGCCCAACCCAGAGGGGGCCGTGAAACCCCACCCCACCCCACCCGGCCCCCACCCAACACCCAACACCCAACACACACAAAAGGGAGGGAGCAGCAAGTAATCGCCATCACGAAGCTATCCACCCCCACCCCCGTTCCCCGCCAGCCACCACCACCCCTACTGCATCAAGGGAAGGGTTCATTATCCAGGTTATTCCCTATCCAGGGCCGTCATGTACGGCAATAACGCCGCCTTCACCAGCGCACGAGAATCCCCGCCCCCAGGACCTCTTCCTTTGGCCCCCTCCCTTTCCTTCCGAAACCTCCCCCGTGTCACTTACCACTTCCCCCCTCAAGCCCCCCCCTAACCCCCCGGCCCAGAGCCCACCTAGCGCGGGACATCATGAATGCCACTCGGGCCTCAGACGTCGTGAACTGGGCACTGAGCAGCCGCCCCTCATCCATCAGATCCAGCCACCCGGACAAACCAAGACGACGGCGACCGCCGCCACCTCCGCCACCAGCGGCGGCACCAGCGCCGGTGGCACCAGCGCCGGTGGCAGCACCTCTGGGGGGTGCGGTTCCTGTGACGGCACTGGACGCGGTGGGGCCCACATCGCGGTAATGCGCGTACAAAGCCTGAGGAGGGGCACAGGGGGTGGGGTGAAGACACGGTCGCTCATCTATTACACCCCCACACGACTCCCCCCTCCTCCCTCCTTCAACCGCCCCGCCCACCTTGAGCAGCGGCGCCTGCTGCTGTAGGAATCGGTCCACCTCGGGCTGCCACCACCGAGCCTCTCGGAAGTTGCTGGGCTCCACCTGCGGGGGGGGGGAGGGGGGGAAGGGGGGGAAGGGGGGGAAGGGGAGGGAGGGGGGGAGGGGGGGAGGGGGAGGGAGGGGGGAAGGGGGGGAGGGGGAGGGAGGGGGGAAGGGGGGGAAGGGCGCTGCAGTTGAAGGATTGGACGGCAACCAAAAGAAGGGAAGTCAGCTGCAGCTGGGCGAGCACCCAACGGAGGGAGGAAGCGGGAAGGGGGGAGGTGGGGGGGACGTGAGGCGCGCCGGGGGATGTTCCTTCCGTGATCCCGGCAGCGGTTGTTTCGGGAGGGCGGCGGGGCGGCTCCTCCGGGAGGAACCCGTACACTTGCACCTCCCCCTCCCCCTCCCCCTTCCCCTTCCCCCCGGGGGAAACAGCTCACCAGGGCCCCCGGCGCCACATGGGGTAGGAAGCAGTCGTACAGCAAACGCCGTACGGCAGATGCTAGGTCCGGCGAAAAGCCCTCATCATCCTGCTCAACGGTTTTGTCGCCATCACTGCCGTCGCGGGCGGACTCCTGCCCGCCCTTCCCGGGGCTGGACGGGGCGTCAGCCGCCCCCGCTGCTACTGCCACTGCTACTGGTACGGCTGCTGCTGACGTTGTCGTACCACTCGCTGCCCCATTCCTCCCCGATGCCCCCTTCTCCCGGTGCCCTTCACCCCCGCTCTCCTCCCCGGCCCCGGCCCCCTCGGGCAAGTTCCATCTGACACTCGGGTGGCGCCGGGTGACACGATTACCCCCATCGCCATCACCCTGCTCTCCCGTAGCAGCAGTAGCAGCAGTAGCAGCGCCCCCACCCGAACTCCCACTTTCCGGCCCTTCTGCTTCCGGCGGCCTGGTCGACTGTACGACCGCGGAGGTGGTCTTCAGCGCCGGCGGCGGCAGCTGCGGTGGCGTCACCGGCGCCGCCACCGGCGATGCACCGTCCGTCTTCACTCCGTCGCCGCTCTCGCCAGGGCCAGCGGTGGTATTGTCTGCCCCTGCCCCTGCCGCCGCCGCCGCCGCCGCTGCCCCCATGGCCTTCTTGGAGGCCCCCCTAAGCCGGCTGACCCCTCCCACGCCTCCGTGACTTAGCTGCCGACGTGACGAACTGGCCGGGGGGGGTACCCGGGGGCTCCGACCGCTGAAAGACGTCCCACCCACACCCGCACCCACACCCACACCTACAGGTGCACGACCTCCCACGGTCCCGCCCTGGGGTGGGGGGGGCGAGGGGGTGGGGGTGCTGATGCGGGGCTTGCTGGAAGTGGGGTTGGGATGTTGGTCCGGGGGCCTCAGGAATTTGGCGGCTGCGGCCCGGAGCAGCAGCTCTATCCATTGGGGCCGGGCTAGGAGCAGGCCGGCTCCGAGACCAGCAGCCTGGGGGGGTGAGAGATGTGGGTGAGGAGGTGGGTGGCATTTCGGTTAGTTAGGTTCATTTTGGTCACGGCTTGTACGATAGCGATTGTTGCCGTACAACAGGAACTAACAGTACGACGAAGGCACTGGCCGAGATATAGGTTGTTGCGTTGGTGATAAGTGTCGGTCCGTTGCACGTTGGGGCACAAAGGAAATGGACCGTGGAGGTGGTGGCGGCGTTGGAGGTGGGGGTGCTGGTGGCGGAAGGGGGGTGAGCATATGTGTGTGTGTGTGTGCTGTGGAGGGGGCCCCTAAGGCCCCAGAGTCCACCACAGGCCC